GTTCTAATCGTAGGTGTTGATCAGGCGTGCACCGAGGTTGAGGCATAGTCGCTGGTGCTAGTCATAGCGACTGCTATCCTACAGACGGAGTGGGGCATGCTGTGCCTCTTACCAACTCGCAACCTCATAGAAATGCTAGCGAGACCTGCAGTCAACGGCTTTTTTGGTGGTCATCGGAAGGATATAAGGATAGGGCCGCTGTCACAAGCGCACTGTGGTATAGCGCGGCCTGACCTAGTGCCTTCGCGTGTGGTAAGCGCAACCGAGATACGCATCCTGGAGATTACCGCCAGGCTGACCTGGACAGTATCCGAGTCGCAAGTGATCCTGCTAGAGTCTTGTGTGAATCGGTCGACGCCCAAACTGGCATTGCTGTGTCTCTTCTTCGATACACCATATTATGCAGTACAGTACAAGACTGTTCTGACGATGATGTTGATCATTGATCAGCAGCATTGCGTTGTCCCCTGCCGAGCAATAGCCGAATCGGTCACATGAGGCTACTGTGATGCGCGTTGAGATGGGAGAAAATCCACACGCAAAAGGGAAAACAAGTCACATCTTAATTTTACAGCCGCGAACCCCCGCGCCTCAAACGTGGATCAATGTGCCGAAACACAGCCCTGCCAAAGTGGGCAATAGCTCGCAGTGGAGAGCAACAGACTTTGAAGGACCGTTGCAGGTATAATACACATGTTGCTTCTGCGCGCCAATACTGCAGGCGCGCGGACTTGATTCCTGCGTCTCGCAAAACGAAACAGTCCGCGTTGCTTTTTGATCACCGACGGCGCATCTGTACTGTGGAGCTCCAGGTCGCACAAGTCGATCATATAAGAGCGGGCCGTGACGCTAGTGTATTTCGGGAAAGGAGGGTAAAATCACCCCTGCACGCCGTTGAAGGCTGGTTGTGGAACACTGTCTGACAGGCTACACAGCATGCGTCGAGTAGCGCTTGTATCCCGATCGCGGTCCGCCAAAGGACGTGTTCAGTCCTGTATGATGCTTCTGCGCTTCGGGTGACTTCTTGTGCTGTCATTAGGGTGTGGAGACAGCCGGTAATCACATATTGTGGGTGACGGGCAATCCGGCTCAACCCTCAACCCTTCAAACCGACGCTGACGTGGTGGCTCATTTGACGAGCTCCGAGTCGGTTGGGTGTTTGCAATCCGTTGTTTGTTTGGTTCCAGGGTTCGAAATTGGCTTGATGACTGAGTGAGGAAGTTTCCATCTTGTCTCGAATCATGGGCGGAGGTCGCAATTACAACGCTAAAGCTTGCGTCCAAATTTGGCTCACAGAGTAACCAGACTCGATAGCAAGATTTATCGACTTTGCGTCGACGCTTCACTTGACCTCGCCCTAAGGTAGCTGTCATTGAGTTGCGTTGACGTTATGCAAGGACGGCCCCTATGATTGCATCCAATGTTCCACCCGTGTTGTCCGCCGTGCTGGAATCGACAGCGCATGACAAGTAGGGCCTCGGGATGTTTTCATAATGATAAATTGAATTCACAAAGTTGCCATGTGCCAATAGTATGCGGTCGCGATAGAAACAAGGGTGTGATTATCTGGTCGTCCGGGCAGGGCATCTCTGGTGATTGTTGACCACACACACTGCTTGAGTCGAGGCTTGAGTCAGGATGCACAAACAGACTCGGGACTCTGGTCGCCAACAAAAGGTCAGTTAGAGACGTCCGCCATTGGCGTTACAGGCGAAGATGCCGTTAGCCGTCTGGCATGATGTTGCAACTCGCCATGTAACGGGCGGATGGTTGCAGTAGTGGAGGTCAACGTCTATCAACAGCAGGTGTGGTACGGTACGAGTAAGACGCAGACGAGAGAATCAGCCCTGTGTGTGGTCTGATGCGTCGGCCTCTTTTCCGGTCCACCACGGAACATCAATGGCTGGCTAGAAGGTGCTGGCGCTGTTTGTGTTATTTGTAGTGGTAATTTGAAATGAAGCAAAAAGTAAAGCTGGCGCAGCGGGTGTTTCCTGAAGCTCGCAAAGTGCCGGGCAGCCTCCGCAGTGGGCAGACCCTGGGCAGCAGGTAAAGGAAGAGGAGAAACGGTCGTCGGGTGTCCAGGAACGGCGATTGGGCCATTCACGGCGTGTTGGTCACAGCACTGGCGCTGGCCAGAAGACGCGGGATCACCCTGGCTGATGCGATGCTGGCTTGCTGGCTGCAGCTAGGCGTCAAGGCTAGTAGCTCCGCGTATGTATGTGCTTGCCTTTCCGCACGGAGCCAACGGCTGTACAAGACTGTCGCGTCGTGTTGCGAACGGGAGCGAAAGTAATCTAACAGCTTTGGAGCGTACCGTCAGGCTGGCTCGCTGCAATGTCGAAGTTATAAAACTCTCCACGCTGCCCACTGTATCCCTTTTGGACGCTCCGCCCAATTCCTCACCCACTCGACCAAACCAAGTACACCTACCACTTGCTGCTGCCCTTGCCGTCTCCTCGTCGACCAGTCCAGCACGCTCCCCCGGTCCGCCAGCTAGAAAGAAGCTCTGATACCGCCGCCGGTCGCCTATCTTCTCATCGTCATTGTTTATTTTTGACTTTGTTTTTCCCTTGTTACTCCATAACACCATCTGCTCCTCCTCCTCATCCTCCCCCGCGAGCACGTTGAGCTGCGCTCCGCACGGCAGTCTCGCCCTCACCTGCAAGAAGAAAGAGCTCCCTCTCCAGCAGCCAATCAGCGCACCCAAGCTGCCACCCCCGCCTTCCTCGTCTCCCACGCCGTTGCAGAAGGCGCTACCCCCGCCGTACGACCGCGCCTTCCCCGTTCGCCTACCCCCGCCAAACATGTGCACCAAGGTCGTACACAAATATGGCTGCGGCCACGAGATCGCCGAGAAGGCTCCATGCGCGACATCGAGAACAGCTCCTTGCGGCGTCTGCAACACCAAGACCGTCAAGCACGACGAGAAGTGTGATAGATGCGACCATTGAGACAGGTGCGCCCGACATTCCCCAAACCCTACGCGTCACACGTGTCTAACACCCTGACGCCCACAGCCTACCACCGTGAACTTATTCGCACGATACCCCATCATGGCCAGTCAGTCGCACTGAGCCAGCGCGCCCCCGCCTTAGCCCTCCAAGCTGCTCCTTCCTCCTGGCTCACCATTGCGCGACTTTCTGGCCTTGATACACACTCAGCTCTCCATGGAGGCTCTAGCCCCAAGACTGCATTTCACGGCGTCACGGATTTCAAAAAGTATTGGCCCTCTTGGGTAATTGCGTCTTAATTGGACTTTGGGCACTGCATGTCCGGCGTTTTGGATACAGGCCGGTGTTGCGAGACATTTTCCTACTTGTGTCATTCGGCAGCTTTCTTACTACATGGATACCACGCTCTCCTAATCATGTTGCGCAATGCGTCGACGGCGAACCACATGGGTTCTCTCTTCTTATCTTGTCATTGCTATCACTATATTTCTGTCTGCAGCCTTTGGCGCTCCGCAACGTTGGCATCATGGACCGTGTCCAGTATACGAGCAAGTCAATCAATTCCTTACGCGCCCGAGACGGAGACCTCGTCCCCTCTTGGATCGCCACGATTCATCTGTTGGGCTTATTGTTGTAATGCGCCACCTCCGCGCATCTTGAGACTATTTCGACGGCCAATCAATCCGCGCTGATCTGCGATACAGTATCACGCATGAGAAGCCATATGCAATGCCGTTTTTCGCCAATCGCCCCGGCTTACGGCGTCTGCAATACCATAAATCACACTTCACGTAGCTCTTGAACCACCTCTGCGAGTCACGCCAATCAAGCAAGGCACCTATTCGTTTTCTATGTCGGGCCTGACTCCCTTGTATATCAGCCTTGCACTAACAACCAGGTAAACGAGAGTACATGGTCAAGGCACCTTCTATTCTAGGCCCCTGATAGGGCGCCATCCGTCAAGCTCCAATCTTGTCATGCAGTACATGCTAGCATGTGCACCGGGCCTAATACTCAACCTGGGAACACGGGCGTCGTCATATAACGCTCGAAATATGGTCGTCTTACTACACCTCCGATCGTGTTGAGGGACGGGCCGTGGCATGTCCAACGCCTCGTAAGCTTAGATGCGTTCGTACAGCCACATGCATCTCAGCCGGCAGCCTCCAAATCTTCTTCATGTACTTTGACTGAGTGAGTGCAGCTCTTCCATATGGCCAACGGCAAAGCCGCGGCCTGTGCCAACACGCACCCCGATCGCCAAATAACCGAGAATGTTATACATGGGCACCTGATATGCGTCAAGCTTCGCACTGGTCATCTGCAGCCAACCGGGTAACGCGTTTTCTAGAAGACATTCAGCCTGACGACCTTGACGGTCCAACCGAGAACTGAGCCACATAGATGCAGCAATAGCTCCCTCTGTCATGCGTGTGATTGTGCACCGGCCTTCCTAGGCTCTTCCGAGGTTCCTTGCCACACACTGTTAAGAAGTAGTGTGACCGAGTGTAGAGGGCATTCTCGACAATATTGCCTGCTTTCTAAGTTGACAACTTCGTTCTAATTTGATACCCTGGGCACAGGCAAGACGCCCACTGGTCCGGACCCCTGTAACTGCCGCACCATCCCTTGCTCTTTATTCCTCGAAGCATCACATGGTCGATCTGCGGCATGGAGGCGCTTGTGTTAGCACGTGCAGAAACGCAGAGCGGCTCCTTTCGGTTCATCAATTAGACGACCTGCTTTCGAGTTAAGTCATACGTGTGCTAACTTAGGACATCACCGCGAGCGGGTCTCACTATCAACTATTGAGTCTAGTCGGCACGGGGCTACACGGAAGGCAGGGTATCAATGCAGACGTGAATAGTTCATCACATCCGGACGTTTCGTGAAGAAATGAGGTGCGCAAGCGATGACTTTCGTTGTCAGGATGATGAGTGGTTCGCGGCTCGGCGCCGTCGTTTGTGCGCTCGGCCCGGTGGTCGATTCCTTATTCGGTCTTGGTAGCCGCATCTTTCTCTCGTCAACCCCAACCATCAATCTCCCACCATGTCGATTGACATCAACTGGGATACTATCACAGGCGGCGCAGAAGGCTCCGCGCGTGCGGAGAAGATACGCGCCTTCATCCACGACCGCTTCCAGCAGGTGACGCTGCCACGCTTCATTCGCTCAGTTCACGTGCATTCCTTCGACTTCGGCAGCGTACCCCCGGAAATTGAAATTAAAGACATATGCGACCCACTACCGGACTTTTACGAAGATGACGAGGACTATCCAGACGAACAAGGGGACGACCTAGGGAAAGACGACACTGAGAATGACGCTGAATCACGCGACTCCAGCAACCCGCCTAGTCATTCACGAAGGGATAGCCATCCCAGGGAACGAGGCCGAGAAGTAGACTTGGAGGAACACACGCCCAGTCAGAACAGATTGCGGCCTTTTCAACCTCTTGCTAGACCATCCACCAAGCGTTCGTCATTGGCTCCCAACGAGCTAGGCAGCCCGTTTTTTCACGGAGCGCTCACGCCAGGCATCCCTGGTGGTACCTCCAACATGAACTACTTCCATCTACCTTTGAGTGCTGGGCTCTCTGGTACTACAACGCCTCTGGCTGCTGTAGCTGGTGCGCATCTGCATAATTGGCTTGACAACCCTCATGGTCGGCCGAGTACACCAACAAATATGCGTCTGCGGAATGCCGCGTCCATGAACTCGCTAACCCTTACACCACAATCCCACCCAGACCCTAGTTCAAGGCCATCTTCCAGGCACCAACAGGATGACGGAAAAAGACAGTCCTTTGCCGGATCAGATGACAGTAACTCTCAGCATAGCTTTGGGCGGACACCGTCTGCGTCTCCTCACCGCATGCGTGACAAGAGCCCCGATGATATACAGGTCGTGACACATGTACAATACTCTGGCGATATCAAAATGTCTCTGACTGCGGAGATTCTGCTCGACTACCCCATGCCAAGCTTCGTTGGCATTCCTCTCAAGCTGAACATCACCGGACTTACCTTCGACGGTGTTGCGATCTTGGCATACATCAAGAAGCGGGCTCATTTCTGCTTCCTGTCACCGGACGACGCAGACGCTCTGGTCGGTGGGGAGAACGGCTTCAATGGTCTTCAGACGGACTCACAAGGCCAAAACCCACGTCCTGTACAACGACCCAAGATTGGAGGTCTGTTGGAACATATCAAAGTTGAAAGTGAGATAGGTGGCCAAGGCAGTGGAAAGCAAGTCCTCAAGAACGTCGGGAAAGTGGAGTCATTCGTGCTGGAGCAAGTCAGGCGCATCTTTGAGGATGAGTTTGTCTATCCAAGCTTTTGGACGTTCCTGGTCTAGGTTTCCGATGCTCGCTCCCCATAAGAATCGAATGCATGTGTAATCACATGCGTTACATGTACGAACGGCCAACAGTCTGAACAATGAAACCGCGATGTGACATTCGGCATCGGCATTCTCCACCGCCAACCAAGGATGGAATTCATTCGAGCACAGCACATATCACATATCCACTGTGGACGTTAGTACAAAGCATGCATGCATGCGTTTCCGGGGTCACACAAACGCGTTCATCCCCACTTGAGTGACGGAGCTGGTGTATCACAACAGCAAAACACCCTTATAGCAAGCCTTTCCACCCTAGTCAAACCACGGGTCATACATGAGATACTCCGGGAACGTGGGTTGGCCATTTGTTACCTACGGGTGTCAGCAGAAGCGATGAAGGACGGCATTTTGACAGCTACGTTACTGACAGCGGGAGTGACGGGATTCGACCACGTTGGTAACGCCCGAACAGGGGAAAGAGAGCGAGTTGGATGCTCTTTGAGTCGTCAGTGCGAGTGTTACCTGCCTGTCAAAATCAAGTGTCCGCTGGCATTGGCATCGGGCCCAAACAGGCGAGTCTCGCGCCGCGGCTGTGTCTCGTCAATTAGCGCATATACCATTAACCCTCTTATCATGTATGTCGATCATGTATGTCGCATCCTGCCCGTATTTTCCCGCGATTCCCGTCTCCGCCGTAACTTCGCTGGCTGGTTGCGCCCCTTGCTAGCATACAACCATACTGTCTGGACAGCAATACCAATATACGATGCTGTGCATTTGACTTCACCGGTCGTTGAAATCCCCCAAAGCGACTGACCAGTGGCATTGGAGCACGAAATAGCAGACCCAACAGATCTCCAGCAGGGTCTCGAATTCTCCCTAAACGGTCAGAAAAACGCAATAGATCAATGCTAGAGCACTGCAGTGGCCAATGGTAGTATGCCAATAACTCGAGACCTGATTGCGCAATACTCACTTCATACGCTGAGATGAACTATATGCCTTTCATCATCATCAAGCACTCCCAGCATTTTGACATACTCGATTACGCATCCCAACACATGCGATCTATTTTTGGACAATCACAAGATAGAGTTTCCATAATACTTGGTACGAAAAACAACCGTGTTTCATTGTTTGCGCAATATTGCCATGTCCTCTGCCGTTATTGTCACATATAGGTTGATGGGGTTATAGTACCGGCTCAGAGCTGGTAAGGATCGCGACGCTGTTCTATGTCTTGCATAGTTAGGGCAACGGACCTCGGACGACTGCTTTTGGCAATAATATGCCAGGATTGTTCGCCTATGGAGAATATGTCGATGTTTTGACGGTGGCTCTTGTATCCCGGCTTGATGTGAAACAGCAGGACTACGGAGGTGGTACGGGAATGTCGAATGCGGAAGGCACATGCAGCAAGCATGTGATAGGTCTCGACCTCCAGTCATCAGGAAGCTGCTACAATGGTTGAGGATGCGATTACGTTGCTGATGTCGGGGTTTGAGCATGATCACAAGCTTAGCTGCTTGTACAGAGTTTTGGTTCGTTGGTATGCCAGTCAGATGTCGATGCAAGAGCGCCACTGTAGCGAGCTGGATTTACTGATGCATGAGAGCGTAATGAGCGTACAGCCTAACAGATTCAAAAGAACTACCAAGAGCACAGAGGATTTCAGCTTTGAAGAGTCGCAGTGGGCAGGACGTGGATTTCATGCACCCAAGTGAGTTCTTCTCACATGCCAAAGGGTTGTTTCCTCATCTTTTGACTCCACACAACATCATCAATGTGTGCAAGGTACAGTGTCTACCTCTCTGTGAATCCTGAAAGCCCTTACAGCTACCTAAGTAGTTTTGAGTTTTCAGTTAGTTGTCTGCATCGTGTCTACTCGTCTAAGGCTGACTTATCATGAATGTAAACTGGCGAATGACGTACGTCGCTTCCCCACTTTGAGACCCCACTCGCACTGACCCCAAATGACGCATCAATGCACCCCAAAGCTACTCGATCCCTTCATGAGGCTGCGCAATTTCGTACGCCATGCTCGCACTACTCAAATTGCCAGGCTACCTGTATCCTGCAACCTCAAACGCTACCAATATGAAAGTCTCCCCTCACCTACTTGTATACGCCTGTTGGAGCTCCTGCCAACTACAAGCAATGGCGTCATACGTTGCTCCTTGAAGACCACTGAGCTAGAAGACGCACCTTCCTTCAAAGCGCTGTCCTACACATGGGGAAGTCCACGTACCTCCATCGCAGGAACGCCTCCACATAAAGAGGCGGGTCTAAAGTCCCTATCGACTGAAGAAGTGAATTCGGCAGGTCAACACACTATCATATGCGATGGCTGTCTCGTTAAAGTCACTAGCAACCTTCGGGATGCCTTGCATATGCTCAGCAATGCCATCAACATGCCGCATATGCCAAAAACACCAACCTACTACTGGATAGACTTCTTGTGTATGAATCAATCAAACATTGAAGAAAGGAACGCGCAAGTTGCCCGCATGGCCGACGTGTTCAAGAAAGCAGATGGTGTTGTGGTCTGGCTAGGCAAAGAGGATCAGTACACGCAGGATGCTCTGACCACGATGCGAAGGATATCGGCGACCCCTGAGAAAGACGGGCCGCTAGTACCGTACACCTCCTTTTACAACCCAGAAGAGAGTCAGTTGGTGTCTTCTACCAGACTCACCTTCCACAACTGGCTCGGATTCATAGTCCTCATCAATCGCCCATGGTTCAAGAGGGCCTGGGTGAGTTTACGACAAGCGTTTACCTGCACGATCTACGGCTAACCTGCTCAGGTCATTCAAGAGATCGCGCTTGGCAAAACGGCCCTGGTAGTCTGTGGTAACAAAGTCTTTCCCTGGGACATTCTCTCCAAAACACTGTCTTTCGTCAAGACTACGAGATGGTATCATCATCTCCATGCCGAGAAGCTTAAGCATGTAAAAGAGCTGCGAAAACATCCCGGTATCTACAAGCAGATCCTCAAGTCAAAATTGGAAGTCGGTATTAGTCCTCTGAATCTCAATTCCACTCGACTAACCGCATCATCGTTGATCGAGCCTAACGGCCAAGCGGTCAAACAACCGTCTTTCCGAAACTTACTGGACAAACATCGCTTTGCTGAGTCTTCAGATCCTAGGGACAAGGTTTACGCCTTCCTCGGCCTTGCCAATAGGAACCTATCTCCGTTCCGTACGCAGCCAAACGCGCTTGTTCCGGACTACAATCTCAGTGTGGAAGAGGTCTTCATCGAAATCGCAACCGTTCTTATGTCTTCATACAAGAATCTCTCCTGGCTATCTCACGTAGAAGACTTATCACAAAGACGGATATCTGGACTACCGTCCTGGGTGCCTGATCTTAGTGTACCACTTCAACCATACCCGCTCCGCTACCGCGGTCCCGCATACTGGGCAGCTGCTGGTAACCGCGCCTGGCGTCCAGATGTAGCGAGCATGGAAAAGGGATTACTTCGGGTTCAAGGAATCCAACTAGACCGTGTTGACCAGACCTCAATGCTTATTGACGAATCAGAAGACCCTTCAGCGGCATGGGCAAGCATCGTGAACCTAGCTCTCTCACTCAACTTTCCTTATCCGGACCCTGGTGCAACTGGCAAGACACCGTCACGCGTTGAGGTACTATGGTGAACATTAACTACCGATATCTACAACCACATCTACCCAGCTCCACCAGAAACAGGCTCGCTATTCATCGACTACATCCTCAACCTCCAGATCCGGCATCGCTTGACACCGTGGTCTAGCGCTGATGAATTCCAACCCCATCATTCCCCACTATCAGAATTCGTATATCCCGATTGGCGCAAACTCTTCGAGCTTGAACCTCCAAGTTCACCATATAGCCTAAGCTCATATACCAAGCGCTTAACCACCGTCGTGGAAAGTATGTTCAATGGAACATACTCGCCAATAGGGCTCGCGCAATTACAACACGAGCTTGATCAGAGCGGAGGCCGACAGCGAAGACTTTTCAAGACATGCGGAGGCTTCATGGGCACCGGAGCGAGATCGCTGCGTGTAGGTGATGAGATTTGGGTGCTGTACCGTGGTGGCCTCCCTTTTGTGCTGCGACCTTTGCCTAATGGTCATCATAGTTTTGTGGGAGAGTCGTTTGTATATGGGGTTATGCATGGTGAGGCGTTGAAGATGGGTCTTTCGCGGGAGGATATTGTCCTTGAGTAGGATACTTGGGAACTAAGACGAGAGTTCTCACTTACAATACAAACCAAACCAATCATGTGGTTTAGTCTCTTATCCACCGGCCGCCGTCGTCGCAGCTGTGATGCTGGCTTCCTGTCACCTCTTTGTATCTCTAAATAACCCCTATCACAGCACACATGCTATTGCACCAGATCTCACATTGACTGATCTAGTAATCCGATGTTTGGAGACGGATCAGGTGTCGTCGTTCTCACTCTCCCTACACTGCTTTTCGCCGCCAGTACCCCCATGCTCAGTTGCACTTTCTCGTGGGATAGTCAGCCAATCTCGAATGGTAATCGCTTCCAGCAACGGATGAAGAAAGCAAGACTGAAGCTGGGTACTAAACACACAAACACCCAACCGCAACGTAATGACGTCGAGCCCACGACTCTTCGTATATTCCGCAACCGCTTTACTACCGACCACGCACTCGCTCAGCGTGTTCATTCTTAGCCATAGATATCGCTCATGTGACCACAAGATTAAACGACCACTCCGCCCGTAAATCAAGCCACCCTCACGTCCACGCCTTACGCAAGTCACTGGCACATCCCATATTCCCAACACAATCATGGCTCAGCCTCCAATCCGAACCACACCCATCACCGGCGTTTTTCCAGCACTCAAACTCCGGCCCCCAACTTAGGGCGAGAAAAATATCGAAGTCGCACGCCGTCAAACCCTCGCACTATATCACCACCCCTACCTATCTACGTGGAGACTCCAGGAGCTGGAGAACTGGTACCTAAACACCGTCGTCGATCCATCCATCGCCCCACACGTAGCAGATATCCATCTAGACGGCGAGACAACGAACCGCCAACAAGTCCTCTTCCCCGACTTGAAACGGAAGGAGTTTGAGCCGACGGTCCAGCCGCATTACGACGAGAACGACGTATGGATTAATTACCACAAGCCTACGGACAAGGAATGCGTGTACGATCGCACTTTGGAATTGTATTCCGCGCGACAGAATTATATCCAGGAAGAAGGTGTACGGAGGTTGAGCGTGTGGTTGGACTGGTATGCTGAGAAGATGAAACCGGAACCGCTGCGCGATGAGAGTGTGGTGGCGGCGTGCCAATCCACGATATTGTTCTTGAAGGACGATTATCTCAAGCGGAAAGTCGACTTCGCGACTGAGGTGTATGCGGTTTTGGATAAGGGGGATACGAAGAGTGCGAAGATGGTGGTGGATGATCTGGTGGAGTTGTTTCCGTGGTTGAAGAAGGACTTTTGTGGGAGGCTGATGAACTCTGTGGTGGCTTATGATGGGTTGAAGAATGTGAGTGGAGGAGGGGATGGACATGTACAGAGAGGTTTCGTGCTAATCTTTGGTAGAAATTATCACAGGTCTAAGAGTAGGGGCTGATGTCGATAAGACTACTTCTAGGATGATGAGTGACAGATGGACCGTCTAGAGTACTCCATGAGCCGGGGAAGAGCGCATCTACCCTCTCTAATGAGTGTGCAACACTCATCGTAGCAATCATACGTCACCGCAGAAACAAACATCAGTAGAGGGGTCGAAGAACGGTATGTGTGAGACGCAGCAGCCAAAACAGCGCCGCAGAAAATCTTCAATGGATTGATCCCAGTCCCCTCGCGAATATTTTGTTGCCTAGTAAAAGACCCTAGAAGACGTTCCATCTCTCCTTGTAGCAACACCAAAGAAAACATTTCCCGCAATGGTCAAGGACCACATTTCCCTAATATACGAGAAGGCTACGACCTTCGCAAGCCGAAGACTAAGACGCCAAAATGCATACCCCAATATTTTGTGACGAGATGAGAAAGGAAATCCGCCCAGCGCCATGCTTGCTATATACATTTGCCGCTTGCAAAAAAAAGTAGAAACAGAAAAACGACAAGATTAGAAAAGTAGCGATTAGGTGGTATCGTGCGTAGAACATTAACAAGGAGCTTCGTAGACAGAGTTGGGGAAAACCAGACAATAGCGTTGTGGAGGCAGTAAACATTGCTGCCACTACGCCGCAGGCGAGGACATGGGTGATATAGCGGGCGATTCATCTGCACGACGATTATCACTTGTCCCCGAAACGATGGTAAAGGGCGCTGTAGTGTTCGCTGAAGGTACCGGGTTCACTGCTGCGCCGTTTGTTTGTGATTTGGGGATCGCGCTATTAGGAGGCGTTGTATCCGACTCTTCTTCGGGGATCGTGGGGCAGTATGTTTTGAGGACGTGTTTAAGGGCGGGTCGGCGGATGGGTTTCGAGAGGAAGAAGTCCATGCCTGAGTCGAGGCATTCCTATGACATGTTAGTATATGGGCTGTTAGAATGAGACAATGTGTACATACCTTCACGTTGCTCTCCTCCGCGTAAGCTGTCAGAGCGACGATGGGAGCTGAGAAGCCAGACTGTCGGATGAGTCGCGTTGATTGCAGACCATCCAGGTTGGGCATTTGGACGTCCATGAAGATGAGATTATATGGAGCCTGACGTTCCATACTCTCCATGACCTTGTCGAGTGCTTCTTGACCGTCCTTCGCGACAGTCACATCGTACACATCTTCCAGCTTCAACATGCGCAGTACGACCTCTTGGTTGGTCTTGTTGTCCTCCGCAACGAGCACCTTGACTTTGTCTCCTCGTTTTGTTGCTTCAGCTTCCACCCGCTTCATGGCCGCGACCTGCGAGTTTGGCGATTCTAATGGCGTGTTCGAAGCGAAGAAAGGTTGACTGAGACCAACAAGACGGGGTTGGTTATCGCTGTCGAATGCTACTGGTCCTGATGGAGCACTAGCAGCGGTGTTCCCGGTACCGATCGGGCCACTTGTAGCGGATTGTATCGAGCGGGCCGAAAGCGCGTCGTCATGTGAGCGGCCTCGTGGCGGCTCATCGATCGATAAACTCCGGCGCGGTGTGCCGGTTTCCAGGTTGACGTTCCTTGAACTTGCTGTACTGTCGGCCCGACTCGTAAGATGCTTCAATGGTATTACCATAGTGAACACACTTCCGTGACCGACCTCGCTCTTGAGACCGATTGTACCCTTCATCAAGCCCGCGAGTTGCGAGCAGATACTCAGACCGAGACCGGTGCCTCCAAATTTCTTGCTAAGTCCCAAGTCGCCCTGAACGAAAGGCTCAAAGATCTTAGCATGTAGATTATCGGGGATACCGGGACCTGTGTCTTCAACCTCAAATTCGAAAGACAACCATCGTCCGGGTGGCGGTGTTGCGGCTCGCTCTTGTGCCATGTAGCGGGCGAACGCGTCCCCTTTGCCCATGACGTTGATGACATTGGCAGTACCGTAGTTGGGGTCTGGTGTGGTAACCGAAACGGATCCTACCTCCGACGCAGAGGCTCTTATGCGGTTTTTTGAGTTGCGCGTTGAGCTTTGCCGTGATTGTAGGGATGCCTTGCGACTATCCGACATATGGGCCTCTCCAGGACAACGGATAGTGAGCGTGACAGAACCACCCTGAGGTGTGAACTTGAGACTGTTTGATACCAAGTTGATGACCACTTGAAGTATCCGGTGCTGGTCACCGTACAAAACCATATCTTTGAGCCGACCTAGTCCAAAAGGTCCGAGATCGCGTAACTCGTTGGGTCGTCCGTTGTCGTCTAGGTTGTTCTCGTATGGCCCCTCGAATTCAACGGCAAGCTTGATACCGCCCTCTTTAGCCTGCTTCTCGAAGATGGCCAAGACTTGGGAGCTGATGTCCCGTAACCGGAACTCCTTCTCGTCCAGACTTAGTTGTTGGCCAACCTGGTTCTTGCTGAATGTTAAGAGGTCTGTCAGTAGGTTAAGTAGCAAATCTCCACTCTTGTAAATTATGCCTAGCGATCTCCTCAGCTTGATTGGATCGTCTTCCGACATGCACACTGCGCACATGCCCAGAATACCATTGAGTGGCGTTTTCAACTCGTGCGAGATGTTGGCAATGAACAATGTCTTGCTTTCATTTGCCGCCTCTGCCGCCTTTTTGCTTTGTTCGAGCTCCGCTGTTCTTTGTGCTACCCTCTCTTCCAGCTTCTCATACTGCATCATGAGCTCATCCGTCATCTCGTTGAAGGTTGTTGTCAAGTCTGTGAGTTCGTCGTGAATAAAGTGCTTGCGGTCCTTGACTTTACTTGGGATGCGGAACTGTCTTCGCCTTTCAGCTTCCTTCTTTTCTGCTCGGTTGAGTTTCGCGTTTCTCCGGTAATGAATGATCTGACCAAAGAAGCCTTCTTTGCGGGCAAGTGCCCCGTCTTCCGAGTCATCATTGGCACCGTCATTTTGTGAGCTGAAGTCATCATCCTCGAACATGTGGGGCGCTACAGTTTTCTTAGTGGCGTCTCGGAGTCTTCGGATCGGCTGACTGGAGAAGTGGGCTACAGGGAATGTGAGGATTAACATAGCGCCCATTGTGCCAAACACACATGCGATGATAACGTTGCGGAGATGGTAGATAGGTCCCCAGACTTCATCGTGAGTCTGCTCTACCACGACCATCCAATCGACCATAGGACTGTTGACAATAGCGTAACCAATAGCAACGTCGTCGCCATCTTCGTTTCGGGTAGAGATGATGCTTCCTGCGTTGTTGGTAGCACCGGTGGACTTGGTGAAGCCTTTCCGTACAGCGGGATATCGAGTCCAGTCGAATGGCGGCGGATTGAGAGCAGTATCGTATTGGCCATGCCTCTGTACTTTTGCTCGCTGCGTTGGTGGGGCAAGATAGCGTACCTCCACGTTCTCGGGAGCGCTAGGGTTTACAGCATCATATAAATAATCGGCAGGGAAGGTATTAGTGGCATTGTTCGGGCCGAAAAGCAGGGTAAGACCACTCTTGTCAAGACCCTCTATGGCGTTGACAACATTGGTGATGAGCGATGCATCCAAGACAGCCGTCAGCCACCCTAGAGTATCAATGTTAGACGTGTTGTTGATGATGGGTATGGTAACTGAGACCAGGCTGAGTGTTTGGTTCACGTGGTACGGCCCGGACAAGAGGTAACTGGTGTTGTCGATGGTTCTGCCTTGGTAGTGTGCCTTGTACATGTTGTCGGTTTCATTGTATGGGATAGTCTCTACAGAGAACTTGGGGTAGAGTTCGGGGATGAAGCCGTACTCGGTGTCGCCTAGGGTCGCATTCTGTCCGTCGGGTTTGAGTATGGGCAGCACGACGTCCATCATGCTGTTTGCGGTGCGACTGAAGACAGAGCGATCGGACGAGTTGAAGGGGTATATTTTGGCTTGGATAGCCACACGGGTCCGCATGTCACCGGAGAAGATGGCATCGTAGTCTTCCTCGACCCGGGACCAGTTCTCCTCTGATGTATTTCCGGTGTAGTAGCGACTGAGGGCGGACTGCGGCGAGAGGCGGTTCGCAGCCTGCCGGGTGAGGATCTGCATGAGAGCCAGATTCGAGGAGAGTTGGGCGGCTTTTAATGAGGCTGTCAGCGTCAGGCGAGTCGAGCTAGTTGACGATTAGCACAGTACGTCAACAAGATGAAGAAGCAAAGGATGTACCGTATGTTCAACACGAAGTTGTGGTTGGTGAGCTGCCAAAGTCAGTACCAGCATGGAAGAGTATACAGTGTTGGTATGTACCCATGTTGCGACGGCTATCACAGCCAACCCTATCATCGAAGCCAGCAGAACCAGACATCCCAACTGCTCACGGATGGGAATCCGCATCTTGACCATAACTCTGCGAGGGGTCGCAGGCTATTCTTCCGACGTGCTGTTGAGGGGAGCAACGCAACCCGGCAATAGCGAGAGAATACGCAACCGGAGTGAATGTCACAGCGGTACCGGCAAGCTGACAGACGCGAACGACGGATCTAGTCGGGGGAGTGTGCGGGATGTGCGTATCCCATTCCTCGCAGTGGGCTATCGACGGAGATTTTCTTGGTACCGTGGACGATCAGAGGAAGATCTCGATGCAACCTGGGGTGCGAGTCGCAGAGGGCAGGCGAGGTGGAGTGAATGCACGGTAGAGGCTACTACGCCCGAAGCAGCAAGACGGGCTCGGTTTTCGGGTCTGCAGGGTATATATTGCTTTTCGCAGCAGGAACCGTACGATTGTTGTGAGCAGCAATAACGCGAAAAGAGAGGACGAGCTGGTGCTCTAGCAGACGGGCTTGAGACGTGGACGAGTGGCAGCGGAGCGTCTCAGCTTGGGAGGGCTCAGTGCAGGTCGCGTCCACTGTGGTGGAAAAGGATAGAGGGCGGACCATCCGGCGAGAGATTGGTAGTCGGTTCCTTTGGGTTAGAGTCGTCTACCGTTGAACATGGGCTGGTAGCTCCAGGCCCAGGCGCCGGCTTGGGTTCGCCACAGCTTGCCAGCATCCCGCTGCATAGACTGAGCAAATTACACTGCCAGAAAGCAGTGCAATCTGGACACGCATTGCCTCCAGCCACACTCAGTATCGCCTTGACTGCAGCACCAAGCCATGTTGTTTTAAGAGCGTGATTCCCGGCCTTGGGTCGGATTGACTCCCCACCAGCAAACACGAGTTCGAGCCACTTGGCAAGCGGGGGTGGCCTTGTCATCTTTGACGGGCTCGTCTCCACTTACTCTTTTGATCGGCAGATTTACTGGATTCGCTGCGATCCAGACTTCCACCCCAGTCGGGCTCACCTAGGGGCTGATGCGTCTCGTGTTGCCGCCGAGGCAAAGTCTGGCATGCGTTGACATGAACAAACAAACGTCACTTTTCAAACTCCCAAATGTCAACGGCTCTTAGATGGTTGCTAACAGTCGTTTCAACGGTCCGCGCCGCTGTCTCGAGTAGTGCGCTGTCAAAGCCCAAATTCTAGTCTTGTGATGCCGCCACTCAAACCACCCGCCTAGTAGACGTTGCCGCAGATCGACATATCTCCAGTCTTTAGGGTCCTTCTCGGTCCTTCCACACGTGGCATAAGCACAGCAATGTGCCACTTTCGCATGTTTCACGTCTAGAAATACATGTACGTTATACCCAATCATCAACTATATGCATTATCCCGCCCAATTGCCCACGGTTGAATAGCCTGCTGTCGAGCCCCGATGCAACGACGGCAGCTGCATGTCTCCTGTTACAGAGCCCACCCTCGACGGCCCATCCATCCTCGGGTTCGTGTAGTTCCTGCCCATTCTTTTGAAGAAGGTGACGACAACCATGGTGCCACATACGACTTGATCAATCCCACCCGGCGCCATTGTTAGTCCGTCTCGAAATACAGTCAAGTCACCGACCTCAGCGCCTCTCAGTGCCAATACACCTTTGTCTGAAAACGTAAAACGCGCAATGACCCTGTTAGAGCCTTTCTCGCGCAGACTCAATGCGATCGGTCGCATTTCTAATGTCCAGTTGTATGTCTTGTCTCCAACTGCGAGACTCCAATCCTCAAAGTTCAGCGACTCCATATTATACCTCGTACGCAAGCCATCCTCCGAAGTGTAATCGAAATGCGCGCGCGGCCGCCACGGGAACCCTCCGTCATTGTCGTAGAATAGAGCAGCTATATTGCGCTGGCGCATATCCTGGGATGTATAAAGCACTTCCATTTCTGGCTTCTTGGAGAAGACGCGGAAGCTGTTTGTTGTGATTCTGTATGACGAGGCGACCGGCGCATCGTAAGCAGCGAGTATTTGTATCTTGCGATCATACTGGCGAAGGCGGTAGATGATGAGGGGTTCGTCGTAAGCGCCGTTATCGTAGGCAGGAGCTGTCACAGCCTCGTCGTAACCCGGAAGCTCGTCGTCGTGTGCGACGTCTAAGAAGTCGCGAGTGTCTGCGTGCAGTGTAGCGGACATTGTGCATTTGGCCGTCTTGTCTACTGCTAGTCAAAAGGCGCCGGCATATATACCCTCGCTGGATGCATTGCACTCGTATGGAATGCGACACTCACTGCGCATGTGAGCAGGCCGTTGGCTTATGACCAGAACAAGACTAGGACGAGACTGGCGCCGAGCCTGTCCAATGACTGTGTTAGTCATCGCTACACGCGTGTACTTGGCCGATCGTGCAAACACCGCCCATTACACGCCATACAAACGATCATGTATGGCGTATCCTTATCGCAACATGAATTCTATGGAATGCAGACGCGTGAAACGTTATTGAGAGGTTTGTCGCGTGTAATGATCATGTAAGAGCGAGATCCTTCTTTCCTCACTGACAGCTAGCGTCTGGCCCGTGCGCCCGTGCCTTGTTCGAGGTATCATCAAGAACTACCAGCTCAATGCACACCAGCTAAGACCTCGGACTTGCGAACACGATCTTGCCCTTCGAATTCTAGCCTTCCAACTGTAGGAGCTACTGACATCCCTTGGTTTTGACGCCACGACTACTGTCTCGTCAAAATGGCTCATACCTGTAGCAGCCATACCCACACTGCATCACTAGTCTGATTCGGTAAGATGCAGGCAGCTGTAGCAGCAGGTGCAACCCTAAAGTTGCTACCATTTTCGATGCTCAGCCTCACCCCGCAACCCGCCAAGCATTCGTATTCTTACCATACATAAATCTACATGTGTCATATTTGCTTCCCTTTTACCATAACAGCTATTAAGCTCGACCTCATTGATCCGTCTGCTCGTCTCTACAGCAAATCAAATCTTCGCTCTCACTAGCTACTACCACATCCAAGATGACAGACTCAAATCCTCTAGTCTTCTACGATATCTCCTCGGTAATTCAACCCCGCTCCTACGCACCCAACCCCTCCAAAGCCCGTCTCGCCCTCGGTTTCAAGCGTGTACCCTTTAAAACAACATTCGTCGACTTACTCGACATCTCCACCGTCCGCAAGGGGCTCAACTGCCCAGCCACGCGTAAGCTAGACGATGGCTCTGACTTCCATACCCTACCCATGCTGCAAGACCCATCCGCAGACGACAAGGTCATTGGAGACAGTTTCGACATCGCCAACTACCTCGAGGACACGTTCCCCAACTCTGGTGGCTGCCTCTTCCCTCAGGATTCCACTCACACGGGGCTTGATTATGAGAGCCCAAACAAGGATACTATGTTCTTCGCCCCACTTACACTAAACGAAGGTGCGAAGAACGAGGCATATGCAAAGTTCAACACCCATGTCGACGCGACCTTTTCCTCGCATGTGGTGCTTGTCGCTCAATACATGCCTTTTAATCCAGAGACTGCGGAGGCTGTGAAGGCGCAGATGTGTCAGCGTGCGCACTTGGAGTCTTGGGAGAGTATATGCATTCAGGGAGAAGCTAGGGAGCAGCTCAAAGTGGCGTTCAAGGCGGCGCTCAAGTCACTGGCGGACTTGTTTACGGTTCATGACGAGGGCCCATTTCTTGAGGGTGAGAAAGCCAACTACGCGGATTTGATTGTGGGTGGGTGGATTAACATGATGGCAAAGTGTATGCCAAAAGAGGAATGGGAGGATTTTAGGACGTGGCATGGGGGTGTCTTTGGGAGTTTGCATGACGCGTTGCAAGAAAAGTACTTTGTGTGCGTGTGATGGAGTCGACAAAGTTATAACATAACTTCTTAGTGATGATGCGGCTGAACTGGTGACATTTCCTGCCCACTTCCGCTCGCCTGGTCTCCAGCTTTTCGACCTTCTTCATCAGCTGATCAAGCCTGCGTCAGAGTTTAGCTATTGTTTCTCGCGTAACCACTCCAGGGCAAAACTTACTCTGTCTGAACCGAAATGTTTTCTGCGAGAAGCCTATAAAGTGTAAGCAATAGCCAACAGCTGTCTCAAGATACTCATTACTGACCCGGACAGGTCGGCCTCGGCTAATGAGTACTCAGGTGTAGAAGCTGAGTAGCTGCGTGTGTCTGCTTGGAAAGCAATGGAGTTGATAGGCGTGAGGTAGCGCAAACGAGGGTTCGCGCTAGTGACACGCTACCGCGGTTGTTATTGTCACGATAGAGGACCAAGCCTGTTGACGTTGAGCAAGGATCACGTTCGCATTGCTCGTGGTTGTTACTGCGATGTTTGGGTTTCATGTCAATCCATGATTATACGACAGCTTGTCGCATGCACATACCAACACTTGTCGCATTGATCGCCGATGATGCACTATTCAAGCAATCAATCCAACTCAATCCCTAGGCATCGGTGACGCAGCCATGCTCTTTTTTGTGTATGTATTTGTTTAGTTCTCATTGTATTCGACAAGTATATACACTGGCCTGCTACGCTCATCTTTCGGCTTGTCAGGCATCATACGGGTCGTCCGTTCTCATGATGTAGATCTCGCCAACGAGAACAACAAGACCGACGAGCATGGTAATTGCAATGATAGGCAAATTGACGCGTGCAAACTCCAGACCGCCAACATGGATGTGCTTTCTGCCTAGAATATCGCGCCACAGCATGCCAGCCAGCGATGCGCTGAAGGCCAGACTGAAAGCACCATAATTGACGCCAATGGCCATGCTGTATATCGTGCCCCAAAAGGTTCGATCGGAAATCGGATTGCCGTTTTGACGGTGGATTTCTTCCCACGCCTGGATTACTCTGGAAATGAGGATTGTGGTGCCGATGTTGGTACCAGCGAACTATCATGATGTTAGCTGTTGTCTTGTAGTGATGATCGCGCGGTCTCACATTGCACAGTATTACTGAGACAAAGCCCATACCGCCGATCGCACCAACCGTCCCAGTCTTCTCAACCCAATGGTCCCACGCATGGGCGAAAACCGGAACCCAGCCCTTGGTGACCAGAGCCTGAACCAGAACAAACATGCAGAATGCGAAAGGGACCAGGGCCAAAGGGAGGTGGTGGAAGACAGTCATGGTTGTCGGAAAGGTCTCCTGTGCCCATCTATATGAGTCTGCGACGATTGACGCTAGAGTAGTTGGCATCGGCTTCTCGCTTGGCTCCAACTTTTTCTCCTCCTGTGATACAAGTTCAGTCCCCGTCATCTCTCGCGTTCGCCCACTCAATATGTGACTGGAGGCTTCGGGAAATGATTGCGGCTTCTCATCGGAGTTCCGGACAGTTTCCGGAGCTATTTGAGGGGTGATTGCGTCCAAATCTTCTTGTGTAACAGACTTCCTTCTTGTTTCGGCTCTTTCAGCAAGTGTAGTCTCAGCTCTTCGCCGGCCCTCGTGAGCGATCTTCCGCGTCTCTGCTCTGCCAAGCCACCCCATTGTGAGATCGAAAATGAGCATGACGAATGCAGCAGGTAACGTGACCCAGAACACCGGGCGTTCGTGCGACCCTTGAGAAGCGGCATTGATTGCCAAGACGGTTATAAGTGTAGCTGCCATAATTGCCGCTCCGAACATGGCGCCTTTCCTGTCCAAGAAGGGGTTTAGAACTTCTTCGAGGGACATCTTCTTCTCCTGTTCGTCGTCGCTGCTGCTGGGGTCGCTCTCGTTCTCGTCTAGTCCACCTTTGGCGAAGGGGATATTGGGGTTGATTGGCTTCTTGTTCTATTGAACAGAGCTGGATCAGCATATGCACAATGCGCCTCTTTCTCGGGATGCTTACTTTGAGCTCATCAGGAAGATCTTCCATCTTGATGGATGCAGGGATCAAAGATTCGTCATGGAAGATGATGTATAGTAAGAAAGGATACAACACAATTCCTGTGACAAGAACTGGCACAATGATATTTGCCGTGTACTTGATGAATGTGATCCCAAATGCGCCTGCCAGGACAAGGTTGGTGGGGTTTGAAGACACCAGTATTGCCGATGCGATGTTTGCGACTGAGAACTGCGTGAATATCCACGCTCTCGGATGCTTGATATTGCTTGATACGCGTGTCATGTACGACAGGAAGGCTGTACCCGATAGGATAACCGGATCGTTACCGATGAAAGCTGTGAGAAGGAAGAAGAAGGTATACAGGTAGAAGAACAGCCTGTGGCCCACTTTCCCTCCTTTCTGCAGAACCTTGAAGGCTAGCCATCTGATGAGACCGGAAGCGTCAACAGAGATGGCAATGTAGGCAAGGGAGAGGAAAAAGAGCATGATATCGTATGGCACGATACCCTGATCGCCGAGAGTGCCGCCTCTTACTTCCTTAGCGCCAATAGCAAGGATAGCGAGCAGAAAGAGATCTGCCACCAGAGGAGCCGTAATGAAGTTCATTGGAAAGTCGAACCGCACAAGAGGTCCAGGTCTACCATTCCGGACCCTAGTTGGGTGTTGCGGTGGTGGGATGATGCGCAACGCACTCGCGGTTTTGAGGAATGGGGTCCATAATATCCGCGGGATGTATATAGGTATGTGGAAAGGGAATAGAACATTGATATCTGTAGGCGTCAAGTGTTAGTTGATGGTCCGCAATACCAGTACGCACATTCTACTTACTCGTCAAAACAAAGACAATCAGTGTCACTATAGAGCGCCATTCTTTGATCTTGCTGGTATCAAGGTCTGGCCTTTCCGATTGGGTGGCACGCTGAGAGATCATGTCGCGCCTTGTGGCAATGCTTGAAAACAGCACCGCAGATTGCTTTTGGGGCAGAAACTTTCCAGTAGGTATATTGACGGTTAAAATGCGCCAAATCAGGCTTTTGGTAAGGCCCGATTGAAGAGTGCATGTATACGCTAGACGTTACAGGCGATCTGTGAGCCGGTGCCTGGACCTTAGGCGCGACGGTGAGGATCAGTACCGATGCCGAGAAATTGCTTGTGCCATGTGAAGGATGACGCGCGACGTGGTCATGGCGGCAGGCAAGTGAGGCTCTTTGTATTGTTTTTGTTATATGCAGTCAGATGGGGCGGTGTCAAAAATGGCTTGCAGCCCGGCACGACAAGATGATGGCAACTCGGCGCCGGTTGGGCCGCTAGCAAGCAGCGCCTCCCGTATCCAGAAAAGGGTCCAGTCGTTGGCAGGTCATGCCATCTACTCAGCCTCTCGCCTTATGCATCTGCTCCAGGCGAAAGCCATATAGTTCACCGGTGGCCTGCATTACCCCAGAGTATTGGAGATCTACGCTCTACATGGGACGCCTTACTGACCGGAGTCGCACCCATTTGCGCACTGCACAATACCTATGCCGCTGCTCTCCCTTTGCGACGGCACACTCGGTGATGTCTTCATCTCACCCGTCTTTGCTCGTACTATGTGAGCATGTCGGAAACTCAGGCGTTCTCCAAATTTGCGACGCATAGTGTTGCGATACCTACTTCAACAGCTACAATGTCCAGCCCTCCGCTACAAGTCGTTTGTGCCTGGCCAATTTCATCCAACTATGGCGCAGGATCACGTGTTAGTACACCCCCATACTGGCATATTCATGTTGAACGGGTATGGACCTATTAGATAACTGATGCATGAACACAGATCCTGTATTATATCCTCGTTGCCGCATGTGTAACTTTCCGCAAGGCAGAATGGCTGCGAAATACTTGCCTAGCCGCCGTCTTGATTCTGCCGGCCATTTCTGCCCTCCAAGCCATCGTGCTCGCTTCGGCGCATACGAATGGTCAGTACAACAGCCACCAAGAAGATCCAAGAAGCACAAATCTAACGACGAACCATACAGGCGGGGTCGATATGGATATATACGGAGTAAGTTCCTGGTGTACAAGATACACGTGCGACATACACTAATTTCATGTCTTCGCCTGTGCAGGCTTTTCAATTCTGCGCGATTGGAATCTTAGCAGCACCGCTTACTGTGAGGCTGTCGCGAACCTACTTTCAGTCTCCAGGGCGCAACATCATATTTCTCTGGACAATATTGATATTAATGGGGCTATTGGCCCTCTGCGTAGAATTTTACAGGGTTACTCCAACGGCCTGCAGTAGCGACGATGATGGAAACCCATTTCTCGGCGCCGCCAACTTTCCATACGAACATGCTAGATGTAATCTGACGTGCTCCGAAAGCGAGGGTCCGAGATCTCCTATGCGGGGTGGATCCGCTGCCGACGTCTATGTCATTCCCGTGCCGCGCATCTTGACCTTCAACGCTGCCATGCTACTTTCTGCCGGATTTTGCATCCCCGCGATACTGTCTCTAATCTTCACTTGGGACAAGATCCTCGAGATCAACTGGAAAAGACGACGGCATGGTGAGCATCTTAACGCTCGAATTGAGGGTGCGAACATGACCGTTGGGGAGCTGAAAGGCATCAACAATGTTGTGAGAAAGTTCTTGAGCGTCATCGAAATTCCGTTGTTTGGTGGTGTGATCATCACAATCATCGGGGTTGGTGAAGCGAACTTCTTTAGTTCACAGGTATCGCATATGACTGAGCCCATGGCTTCCATTGGTGAGTATACGGTCGCAGCGCCATGTCCATTTCTGACATGATCTTTAGGCCAATGGTCACCCATAGCAGGAACAATTCTGGCTGCACTTGGTTCTCTATATATACTGTGGTCAACTGATGACGATGACGTCCCCAGAAGGAAGTCTCCGGATCCTTTCGAGAATTCGGGTTCATCACGTCCCAGCCGGAGTAGCGAGCGACAACCTTCTCCTCGACGTCCATCGCCTGTGTATTATAGCTCGGGAAGAACGGCAGGGGATGGCCTGGGCATAGGCTCAGAGTCACCTAATGCTATCGAGTTGACTCCGACTATCACGTATCCGGAATCTGAACGCGTCCCTGCCAGTTCTTTCTCTTGTGAAAATCAGCAAGATGATCACCGATCTGATCAGCCGACAGCTGGCAGAAATCGTGTGCGCAAGTGGTTCACGTCAGCTGGGAACTACCTCGGTGACGCAGCACACGAGAAGCTCGCCCCAGATCATGGCCACAATGACAAGAATACCAAGGATTTTCCAGAAGTCCCCGGTGAGATTCTGCGCAACGCCCGTCTAGTAGAGATTAGCCGCACATACAGTCATCTTCGCGAAGAACGGGAGAACAGCGTATATGCGGCAAGCATTAGGTCTACAACAGGACTTGAAGGAAGTTCATCTCCACCCATCCCAGGGTCTTCACGTCCCGAAACTAGTCCTTCTCGACCACCGAAACGGCGAGATACGCTGGAAGTACCAACGGAAGGACATCGAGGGAGTGAAAGTCGCTGATTGATTACAAGCCAAACCAGGCTTCCGATACTGTCAAATGCGAGGGAACGCTATGTCCTACACCCACTGCCCAGATACCCTCGACGCTCGGGCCGAAGTCGTCAGTGCGATAGTTCTTCTCTGGTGTATCCTTCTTTGAGCTTGTTGGTGTAGTACTGACGCCAAACACATTGGTCCATTGCTTCAACGTCTCGTCGTAGTTCTTGGGACTAAGCGTTCCGTCTACAGAGCCATGCCAGAATTCTGAAGGAGTCAGTTCATGGTCTACAAGCGCAGTATATAGTTCGGAACTTACGCATGCGCGGTCGTGTTCCGTTGTACCCTGGATACATTCCTCGAACTACATCGCCCCAGTGTTGCGCAGTGGAGATAGACTGTCCGCCAGAGCATGTGTTGTTCCATGCTGCCGCTGCTCCGGAGGCGGAGACGAAACACCCAGCCGGTACACCAGAGTACAGCGACACTGCGCTGATGAGCTCGGGGTAAGTGGCGGCGAGGACGTTGCTCATCATGCCGACAGAGGAACCACCCGTAACGAAGACTTTCTTGGGATCAATCTTGTACTTGTCAATCGCATATGTGATCATGTTCGCAATGGCATTCGAATCGCCGCCACCGTTATGCGACAGTGAAGCCTTGCTGGACACATCCCAGCACTCAGTCGTCGAGCTTGGCCATACTGTCACGTAACCTTTCGTGTCCGATCCTTTCTTCCATGGAATCAGGGAGTTTTGAAAGTACTTCTGCGCCGATGATTGGCACGAGTGAATTGCTACGACCAGTGCGTCACTCTTGACTTGGTCGGGTACATATACCCACCTTTGGTGTCGTGTTAGCTGTATGTAAGAGAAGGGTGGTTACTACGTACATGCCAGGCTTCGCTCGCGCACTACCACCATAGTTCGAGACCTGCGTCAATTGCGCAGCGAGAGCGCCTGACACGAGTGCGAGGCTTGCAGCCAGGGTTTGGATATGCATTCTGAGTGAGTTGATGATAGTCAGAGTTGGAGAGTTTCATGCTTGAGTCTGATGGCTAAATATTCATTCATGCTCAGGTTCTCCGCATCGATAAAGTGGGGTCGACTGTTATTCGTGGAACTCGAGTTGTTTTTGTCGTCTCGTATACTCCGATTACTGTTGCGCCACATGAAGTACGATGTTTGTCAAAGTAGGTTGTTAGGTAGCTCCGGGTAAAGAGCAAGGTGCTCGCAATCAAGCTTCATACCAAGCATTTTCGCGGATTACCCGCATATTTCTACACCCCTGCACTCCATGTTCATCACTTTGCGACTGCCGGTATGAAACACGATACATCAATGCTACTGGTCGAACTGTCGTTAGACTTTGATAGGGTTGCTATGGGTGCCGAAGAAGGCTTCACATCAGGTGCAGTTCCCAAACAAGGCTCGCATGATCTGCAAAGAATACAATATGGGGATGAATCATCGTGTGACGGTTGCTGGCTTTAGTCTCGGACAGAAGGGAAACTGCGTTAGATGTTCGGTACGTTATATGGAACGAGCGTTGGCGTTATGTGGGGAGGATTCCGTGACGGTCGGACTTGTCGTTGGACTGTTTCCATCGAGGAACAGTAGAATCGAACAACGAGACAACAACTTTTGCCCCGAATTTGATACAGCCTTCCATACCTCGGTTCTGACACGGTTTCATGGTAGAGACACCGGCAATGCGGCCCCTCCTTGCGTCCACCGTCGTCTTTTTAGCCCGTCATGCTTCCGCCCACGGCGGTGCTCTGAACTATACCGTCGGTGACACATGGTACCCTGGGTAAGGCCAAGATGCCTCAATGCCTCCAGAAACAACCAGCACAACCCGGCTTACACTCGCAGCTACGACCCCTATGGCGACCAAATCATGCAAGACGCCGCCCCATGGATGCCACAACGAAAGTGGATCTCCAACAACCCCATCTTCGAAACCACCAATACGTCCCTATCCTGCAACACACCCGGCACTCCCGCTCGCGCCTACATACCCATCCGCGCAGGCGAAAACATAACCGCCGTATACGCATACTGGGTGCATACTGTTGGTCCTATGATCGCCTGGATGGCCTACTGCGACAACGCGGAAAACGACTGCACAACCTTCTCCAGTGAGACAGCAAATTGGTTTAAGATTGGGGAGAAGGGGTTATTGGAGGGAAGTATTGAGACTGGAGAGTGGTTCCAGAAGGCGTTCAGTATGTGGGATGGAAGCCCAAGTTTGTGGAGTGAGATGGTACCGACAGGGTTGAAGGCGGGGAGGTATCTGGTGAGACATGAGATTATCAGTTTGCATTCCGCGAATAGTAAGTATGGTCTTTCTTGATCTAAAAAGAGGACGCAGAGCGCTAACGGTGCGTGCCTGCCTAGAACCGCAGTTTTACCCCGAATGCGCGCATTTGGAAGTTAGCAACGATGGAGAGGAGGGTGTCATACCTAGCGAAGAATATATGGCCAAGATTCCAGGAGTGTGGAGTATGGACCGTAAGTGTATGGACGACCAAGTAAAGAGCATGCGACTGATCATTAGTAGAACCAGAGATCAATATCGACATCTACAGTCCCGAGATTTCGACGAAGACGGTATGTCTGAAGAAGATAAGGATAAGCCTCGATAGCTTTGTGCTAACAAAGTTGACTAGGTATACAATATCCCGGGCCCACCCGTATGGACAGCGAAGCCGTAGGTCGGAATGCGGAAGGATCGATGGACTGGTTCAACAGGCACGATTCGCGGCGTAAACTACCTGGAATCAGAACCTGGTCAATTCAGATTTTGCTCATCAAAATTCATATATCCTCTGTGGCGCAATTGGCTAGCGCGTCTGACTGTTACAGCTTGCAGTAGCAGTCCATCAGGAGGTTGGAAGTTCGAGCCTTCCCGGAGGAGCTGAATTTTTGGCCATTTGTGCGTATAAGGCGGTAGGACTGTGTGGGCTGACAACGGCAATATATTTTTGAATGCTAAAGTTGTGGATAAGGAAGCAGACGCGGAGGATCCACATGGGTGCGCGCTTACATAAACGGCAATTGTCATCGGCTAGCGATGCTTGTCGCGCTCCTTCCGTACTGCCTTTCACCACAATAACAACACACGTCGGCATATGTACAACGCGACAAAGACTGTGTTCTGATGAACTAGCTGCCTTTTGTTATTGTTTACGCACTCATCGCGTAACGGTGCCATCCTAATCATCGCATCAGCACTGAGATGCTTAACGCAGCTTCCGAGTCATATAAGTGCCAGGCACATGTCGATTCCACCACAGATTATTTTGTTAACGTTACAAAAGTAACATATAGGAGCACTGAACCCGATGTCCGGCGTGCTACCATGAATGCAACAGCTACAGCAATATTTCCACAAGATCAGGACAGACCCCCGATAACTCGTATATCCCCGTATCCTCCCACAGACTTCATGCTCGTCCACACTTCCTGAAATCACCACTGCGTCTTAGCAATCATAGGAGTGTGTATCGTCCAGTCTTTCCACTAATGCCCGTCTTGCCACCTCTCAGACCCTTCCCACACCTAGAACTCATCTCGCTCATGGTGACCTCCTCCTTTGCTATTCCTCTGGTATTCTCCTCTATGTTGGCCTTTGAGGCGGCCCCTACCATCCCCTTAGCAGCATGCACCTTGCTGGCTCTCTATTTCTTGGCCTCCTTGGCCTCCTTTCGACTGGTCGAGTCACAAGTGTCTCGATGGATGCTTGCTTAATTGCGACTTCACCATCCTCTATAGGAGTAGACAGTGACTCGGAGTGTTTGGTGGGAGGAAGACTTGCGACAGCGCTTGTTCTCAGTGTCGATGTCGCTTTTGTAGATGGCAAGTCACCAGATACTGGCGTTGTAGGTCTGTGATCATCCTGGATGGCGTATGTTAGTCTGGTGCCCGATGCGCGATGTGTAAGCCAGACGATTCAGCTACAATACCCATGTTTTCTCCGTCCCCTGCCGAAGATATGTCTTGGCCTCTCGACGATAGTCCTTTACGTCCTTCGCCAGCGATGATCGTCAACGGTGGATGGCCTATCTCATGGCCAACATCCTGTCGGCCTGCAGCATAATCTCGTGCACGGCAATTGTGGAACGCAGCCTGGTCTTGCAGTTTCAGCTGGCGCCGCTGTTGATGCTCGGTCATATCCTCCCTCTTTCTTGACAGCTCCTCTCGCTCTGCCTTGTTCGCCAACGCTGCATCGTGTTCAGCTTTGAATGCCTCGAACTTGACCTTCCATTCGACCTCAGTGGCGGGGTAGCCGTTGCGCGCGTCCTTGACGTCGACGTTGAAGCCCGCTAGATATGGATGTACAGCGCATCCTTTGGGCGAAATGCACTGGAAGCGCTGCCCACATATCACGACTTGGCCGTATATGGGTGACTTCTTGTCTTCATCGACCACGGGAGCGAGGCACCAGCAAAATTGCAGCGCACTGACACATCTCATGCTTGGACTACCGCTACATTCCTTGTCCTCGCAATGATGCTGTCGGTGAAGGAGGTCAGTATTGTTTGAAATGAACTCAGCTAAACTCTGCCACTTACAACGCTGTTCATTCTCTCCTTGGTACGAATGTTTCTTATCATGGCGACGTTGCATTCGTTCTTGATATAGTTGCCGAACATCTCATCCAGGTCCAAGGAGCTCTGTCGCACGTAGTTGGGCATTGCTGTGACGATCGCATTCGGTATTCACTAGATTGTGGTGGTTGGTAGACAGTACAGCTGGACAGATAGAGCCGGGAAATTCCTATAGATCTGTAAGATTGTAGCCTCCATCGGTAGAACGCGAGATCACTAATGATTGTTGCAAGAGTTGTTCACCCCCGCGGCTAACGGGCAGTGTTTAATTCGTCATTGTTATTGTTGCCCATTGGTTTACCTAGCTTGACTCACCCAGTCACCCCGAATATCCCGGACATTGTCGAACCTTCGGACATTCGCTTCTATATAACGGAATTTCTTGAACAATCTCTCCTGACGCCCTTGGGTATTCTCACTCGAGACCGTGATTCTCAGCCGCTGTCAGTCATCGCTCGAGTTTTCATTGGCGCTTGTCCCCGTAACAACAATCCCTGCAAAACTTGTTGGACTTGGTATACCTTCGTGCAAGACATCCACAAGACCGGTTCGAAAAAGCTTGCTCCGCGTCAGGCACCTCCACCAACGTTCACATATACGAAGATTCGACGGCGACATCGAGCATGTGTTTCAGAGGAACTTCAGGTCATTGCAATGTCCACGAAAATCCAGGTAAACCAGTTCTTGGAAGTACTGCGTGATGGTTGGGCGAAACGAAAGTGTCGTTCACTATGACATCTACCACCTCATGAGTGAGGATATAGTGACCTCAATGACTAACCAATCTCTCTATCTTCCTGGAATTCGCGTTCAATGCACGATAAGAGGCGCCTCGACTTTTGATGGGCAAGTCGTGAGCAGAGATGCGCCAGTCTCGGTAACGTGAAGTAGACTGTCTCGCTTCCGTCATCCACCAACCCCACATCTAGCAAAAAATGCCCAAACACCAACCACCTCACATGTCTACCACCAAAGCAACACAGATCAACAAAAAAAAAGTTGTAGTTGTTCTCCGCTCCCAGAATCGAACTAGGGACCTTTCGATAACAATTTGCTATTACAGTCGAACGTGATAACTGGGTGGGATGTTAGAGGGATGATAGGGGATGATAGGTAGGATTTCAACGTACACCAACTACACCAAGCGGAGGCTTGCAACCAGCGGTTGCGCTTGTGGTGATTGATGAGTCAGCAAGATGAATAAAACATATATATAGTTTTAGGCACTGCTAAAAATAAGCGGGAGGAAGGTTGAGGGATTACGTCGGACATGTGTATTGCTGCGCAATGACCCGCAAGGTGGGGCAGTTGCTGCCATGATGCCTTACCTTAGTAAGCTCTCCAATATGACTAGAATCGAACACAATTTCATAAGAATGATTCTAAGAGATATCTACAAAGGAAGACCAAACCGCAGCAGTTTAGGGCACGCGCAACGTTCAAGAGTCTTACATCATGACACAAACTTATACTGTTGCATGATTATCGGCGCCAGTGAGATTGTTGGCCTTGTTCCAATCTTGCCATCTCTTACGAGATATGCTCTCATCCTCAAGGAGCATGCGATCACCGATTTGCAGCATCTTTCCCAAAACCTGGCATCTGCAATTGTTCCATTACCCATTTCAGGAATATTGGCCATGCTTTCGAAATTTCCAAGTCCAAAGCAAAGGTCGATTCTAGAAGTCCTGGCCATGCCTTGGAAATCTCCAGGTCCAAAGCGAAGGTCGAGTGTTTGGCCATGGTCTCAAGGTCCGTGTGCAATCCGTAGTGAAGTGAGCCACCCAAATAACGTTGGTCACTAATCACACCCACGCGTACCTTGTCGCTTGCGGCTTCTATCATCTTCGCCGACCTTTGCTATATCTTGTAAATGAGCTCATAAAGATTGGCTGAAGCAGTACGGTTGAGTAGTGAGTTATCAATGGTTACCGCTGGTGCTGGACCACTGGCCCGGTCGCCTCTGGAATGGAATATCCACGAGAAGCCGAGAATTGCATGAGTGGTGCAGGTGGTAGTGCATAGCAAGTCGCAACCTTGAACAAGAACATATATGCTGTAGTGAAGCAGTTTTTCTGACACGTAATGATCGCCAGAGTAAAGACGGACTGATACACCGCTTTGCTTAGATGGCGTGCGCCACTCGGGTGTATACATCATGATTTCGACCACATAATAACCAGTTGGTTCTGTGTTGTACGACATGGTCGGGGACGCTCGCATAGCCATAGCCATGCGCAGGGAAGAACCGTCGACGCTTGTGTATTGACTGTCATCGGGGCCGCAAAGTTCCGATTGCGAATTTGGAGCCAGTTTTACATGGATGGGACCGCACATGTACTTGTCTTGCTGTCCTTTGATGACAAAACGATTATACTGTTCCGTAAATTTGAACGGGCTGTTCGCAAGAACATTGGAGTCCAAGATACGCTGAAGAAGCTGCCATACGGTGAGATTGTAATCAACCATACTAACGAGCTCCAATTCTTCCTCGCGTGCCCCAACGAGGCCGAGTAAAGCAAACACGCCATCTTGGGGAATTGAACATGACAGCATGCCAAATCCTTCAAACAAATACTCGAAACGCAGCCCGCGCGAGCCCTTGAATCCACCGTAACGATTGTTCGTGAAGGCAATCGTTTTACTTCGTGAAATTATATGCGATCCGTTGAAGAGACGTCGATATCGCCCAATCCTATGCAACTGGTCATAGGAGATTTTGTCCCTCCCCACCAATAGAAATACTTTCTTTGCGAGGGTAAACTCCTGTACAATCCACATCCGTGACCAATAATCTGCTTGTACTATGTATTCAAGCCGATTCTTCTGTCGTGTAAATTGACACTCATCCCCTTTAAACCAATAGTACGTATCCACTATATGCTGTTGGTCGAAAATGCTAGCATGACGTAGTGGTTTGTCGTAGCCTAGCCAACAGTAAACGTACCTTGCGCCAGAGTAGATCCTTTTCATCTCCCGGACCTGATGGCCTCGCTCGTGGATGTCGTCTTGATTGATGCAGATTGCGTCTATCCATATAACCTGAGATTGGTATCGGCTGCGAAAGGCTTTGAGGAAGCGAAAGAGGTTTTTGCGCACTTGAAACAATGTGCCATTTAGGATTATGGTTTTTGTTGGCTCAGGCGGACCCCAGACGTAGGAGCCAGCGATGTAATGATCTTCTTCGCGCGAAATTGAAGTTGTATACAGCTCGCATTGCAGTGGAGAGCTAGTCTTTCGGTTAGACAGCATGCGCAGAATTCGGAAGCTGTCACCGTCATGCGGAAGAGGTGAGTATCATGTAGAGGCAGTGTTTGGGGTGGGTGCTGGATTGATGTCTATAGCGTCGGCCGACATAGCGGACGTCCCACCCGAAAAGTATAACCTTGACGATGAGTACAAGAGCCTAGACAAAAGTATGAAGCGATTCGTTTGACTTTCTTGGTTCTTACTAAGTGATCAGACGACACACGTAGGAAGAGGGAGGTGCGGCTGAGCAAATGGGCTTGGCAGCTGACGTTGGGACCAGTACTGGGGTCACACCAATAACGCCCGCCGCAAGGACACGAACTCCAAATTCGCCGTCATCGTCTTCTCAATCTTGAAGCCTTGTCTGATCAGGATTGTTGTAACATGCCTAACTCCCATAACACATTGTATTGCTGAAAAATAGACTAAAAGTCAGTAGATATGCTTCATCCTACCACGTATAAGACCAGCGAAAGGCTATAAATTATCAAGCACACTAGTACTTGGCAGGTCATGTTGCGAGGCGAAGCTCCGTGTGCCAATTTGGCACCATGATTGTGGGTGTATTACGGCGTAGTCAAGGCCACCTGCTGACAAAACACCAAAGGTCCACCCACAATGAACCCACTACATCATAAGCGTCAAAACCCAATACCTCTCTTGAACCTTAATCCAACTCAAAGAATTTTGCAGCTGTTGGATTAGCCCTCTGTCGAAGATTCACGAGAACCGCTCACCATGTCTGCCCCAACAATCCTCATTATACCCGGCGGTTGGCACAAACCCGAATCTTACACTAAACTACACCATGCTCTCACCTCCGCGGGGTTCAAAGTGCACATACCAGAGCTACCCTCCACTAACGGTTCCCGCCCACCCGATGCAAACCTCACGAACGACACAGCGCACGTGCGCGCCACCGCCGAGCAAATCATCAAAAACGGTGACGAACTGATCGTCTTGATGCACTCCTATGGCGGACAAATCGGCACAAACGCCCTTTCCGGCCTCTCCATCACAAGCAGACGAAACGCAGGACTAGAAGGCGGCGTAAGAGAACTCGTATACATGAGCGCATACGCGGTATCAGAAGGAAAGAGCATGATAGACATGGTCCGTCACTTCGACCACGAATCACTTATACCGCTAGCCTTCGATTTCGCCGACGACATGACATGTGTAAGCCGCGACCCTAAGATCTTGTTAGTGGGCGCGGATTCCGGATTGCCTGATAATGAGGTCGAGAAGTATGTTGAGACGCTGGTGCGCTGGAATGGACAGTGTATGTATGATGCGCTGACAACTGAACGGTGTGCGTGGCGCGATATACCGGTTACGTATATTCATACGACGAAGGATATGACAATTCCGTATGAATACCAGAAATGGCTCGTGGAAGGTATGAGGAAGGAGGGCGTGTGGGTGCATACTGCGACGTTGGAGACGGGGCATTGTCCAAACCTGACGGCAACAGAGGGTGTGGTGGATGTTCTGCGAAAGGTGGTTGCAGGCGAGAAACTGGATGAAGAAGGAGAGGTGGAAAAGCCTGTGACTACAGTGGAGGTGCAGGATGCCATCGTGGGTGTTGGAATTGAGAAACCGTAAGCCTGTAAGCACCAAGCAAGGCTAGTCCACCAATACGATGAACTCGCCATTCTTCCCTTGTGACAGCTCTTCCGCTTTCCTCTCCCATTGATCCATAAACTATACCGGCTGCCCTCTCGCGTGCTTCCCATACTTTTGCCGGGGACTGTCCGACACAGGATGTGAGACTAACATCACCACGGCGACTCATCAAGAACTTTTTAATGCATATGTTGTCTGCGCATAGTCTCTGCATTGTCTAGAATCGAGACACGTTTCGTAGGTCGTCTAACAGTTACCACCTCACCATTTCCCCTGTGTATAGCTGAACATCAACGCTCGGACATTGTGCTCGTACATCCTTTTACACATGACTCCCTGGCGTCTCGTACATGATTCCTCCCCGTGATCTGTTTCCCAATATGACGTCTTGTTACTCCTCAACGAAGAACCTCGCCGCAAACACGACGTCGCTCTCCGTGAACACCCCCAGCCTTTCACTCTTGACCTGCCTCAGGACGCCTTGTTTGTTCCTTTTATCCTTGCTCTCCGCGTATGCGATGACGCAATCCCTGTTCAGCGGTGGGTTATCGTTCGTCTTCAGGCGAGTGGGGCTGCGAGGCTCCTTGGGTAAGGTCCGGCGGAGAGTCTTGCGTTTCTTCGTGGATAAGGTTTGAGGTGTAGATGGAGCGTTGCGTGGAAGTTGGGGTGTCGTGAGGGTTGAAGCGAGCTTAACAGGGGATAGAGTCTGATTGCCACGACGGTGTTTATGAAAGGTCTTGCGCTCGGGTGAGCCATCTGCCTGTGGAATAGGAGCAGGAGATGGTTTGATAGGTGCTTGAAACGAATGGGTGTACGAAGTGGGCTCTGTCTCTGGCTCGGGAGTAGTGTGTAGGCTTGACAGAGGGGATGGTGTGCCAGTTTCCCATACCTTGGGGGTTTGAACGGCCGGCACTACGGTATAGGGTGGTAGCATCATATCAGACGTGTTTCCCTGCTTGACAACAGATCGAGATCGGCGTAGTCGCGAAGATGCCTCGCGCAAGATCTCTTCTGGGTCCTCAAACCAGAATGGATTTGCCTTTGGACCCTGTACGCCAAGTATGTTGTTGCCAGGAGTTGTACGACGCGAAGGTCTTTGCTTCGTGACACGCAAATTTTGGTTAATTGTATCAGTGCCAGGCTGGTCGTCATCTGGCTTGGCCTTTCCAATCCTTTCTGCTATATCCGTTCGGTTGGTGTCTTTTGCAATAGAAGTGGGCGGACCAGTTAAGACGTCCGTTTGGCAAGCGCCGATCGGTTGTTGCTTGTCGGCAACGATAGATGGTCCAGTCCTTCCAACGTTTGGTGATGACGTGAGTGACGGGGTGCCCATCCGGACTGTACTCTTCCTCGACCGGCGAAAGTCTGTGAATGTCTTTATCTGCTCAGCAGGATTGGCATATTTATTGTCGCCTGAAGCCACTACCTCTTGAGTCCGGAATTTGGCGGGGCGACGAATAGGCACGTCGATGCGCTGTGTAGGATCCCATCGGTGGTCCACCAAGATCGAATCTTGTTGTCCGTGAACTACCAAGCGCTTGACCTCGATGCTGGACTTAGCCTTCTTCAGCTCTTGCGAAGAAGAAGCTTTTTGTGGAGACAAACTACGCTTTGGCTTGGTAGGTACAGAATACAGAGCGGCCGGCGGCAGTGGCAGCGATAGTCGGCGGTCGAACGGTGGAAAGGGCACTAACTGTGGCCTAGAATTATAAGGACCAAGAAGAGCTGGAGCTTGCGGTAGCATGTTTGGCTTGTAAAACTCGGGTGCTCCAGGGACAGGAGGACCCATGCCAGATAGGTTTTGGTTGGGCGAGGAGTATGCATACAGACCAAGCTTTGAGGGGTCATCTTGAAGTTCTGGTATTGGTGAAGGGAATGAGACCGCGGGCTGATAGTCTGGGTTCTGGACAGCTACCGGAGGGTGATCTAGCGGGCTGGACGTTGGACTGGCGTTGTCGAACGGAATCTGACGCATGAGATCACTAGGCGCAACTCGCTCAAGAATCGGATCCGAAAACTGAACAGCGTACGGCGATGGATACATCTGAGGTGTCTGTAGATGTGGGAGAAGATTGGGACACATAGTTTTCGGGGCGAACCCTGCTTGCGACATGGCGTTCACTTGTGGTTCGTATGCTCTGACTTGCGCACGCGCTCGTCCAATCTCTGGTGGATACTGTAAATCGGTAGAATTCGCACTTCGTCGCATCGGTGAAGACACAAGTCCTGGGCCTGTCATGCTTGGTGCTACGAGTGCTGAAATCCTCGATCTAAATTGGACAGGTGGTGGAATCGATGGTATCAAGGGACCCATGGCCGGGTGCTGCAAAGCTGATGACAATACAGGTGATGCACCTTGTGTCGAGCGCACACTGGACTGAAGAACCTGTCTCTTGGTTTGAAACCCATACTGCGGGTTGCTGTTCCCTTTTGCATCCACATCGATGACCCATGAGTTCGGCTCGATGACATTCTGGGACTCGGCTTCACTCTCGCTCTTTCCAGGCGCATCCGAGCGCAGATGTACAGTAGTACCGTCAGTCCCAAACACGAATGGATAGCTCTCATCAATCATGCGTTTTGGTGCTTTCAGATAGCCCACACCACTAGTGAGTTTTCTACCCTCTCCAGCAGTGACAACCACATCGATGATGCCGAAGGCCTTGCCACCCGGCTTCTGCATACTGTGCACCTGTTCAGGCATCTGCATCGTCGCAAGCGTATTGAGGAAATCGGCAGTCGGAGGCCTGTTCCCCTCCTCGTCGGTACCTCGCTCTCGCGCTTCATTTTGGAGCGCCTGGCAAAGGTGTTGCCATCGCTGCTCTATCGAAGCTGGTGTGTTGTTCTTTCTAGCACTACCGTCGGCTGCCAGCTCAGGCGGCAGAATCACCCACGGTCGCTCAGCGAGGAAGTCGATCCTGGTACCCGCGAAGACCTGGTGATTGCTTTTCGCTCCGGACCTAATATCGTGGGTAGGTATAAATAAGCAGGCGGAGAGTGTTCCGTTGAAGAAAACATCGACCTTGAGGGAGGTTCTCTGGTTGTAGAGGCCCGAGACGTAGGTCTTGTCCGAGAGGTTAACGTGGAGAGAAAGCGCTTTTGGTTTGCGATGCGAGGATGCATCTGCGAAGTTGTAGTTAGCCAGAGTAACACTATCAAGAATCTGCGCAAGGTGCGTACCGATCGTCGCTTCCTCCTCGTCTCTAGTATCTTCCTCTTCGTGTACATCGCTTCCAACCCGAGTCTGCATGAAAGGCGTGTTTGCAACCCAATTGAGCTGGAAAGCAGCCTCATCACCCGGGAAAGGCACCTGCTTCTCCTTCAGCAACTCGCTCTTCAGAAGCCTCTTTTCAGCTAATTGAGATTGCTGCTTGGCTGCGTCGCCCTTCCTTAGTATGATCTTCTGTGTAGTCGTATCCTCGAGTGGCATTGCGCCCAGGCGCACCGACACGCCGCGTGCGAAGTAGGTAGGCATATTTGTACGAGGTGAAGGCATATACAAGTATTATAACATGGCTGTCGCAGGAAGCAAAGCCGCAATACCCGGCAACTGAGTGGTCTCTGGTCGATTGGGTACGGTAATACCGTTTAGAGTGTGTCGAACATGGTGGGGTATGGGGTAATCGTTGCGGTGACTGAGCGCTGTTGTTGTCGCGTGACGTGTATCGTGGGCTTCCGTTTTGGGCAGTCGCCCTCCAGTGCTCTTTCTACGCGTCCTCGCCGCTATAGCCAGGACCCCATCTACTTCTAGCGCTGCACTCAGTGCATGATGCCGATAAGACATTCTCGAGGAGCACCTAGAATGATCACAGGCGATGAACAATACAAGTGAACAAGCTACAGAAAGGGAAATATAAGAAGGACATGGAAGGTCTTCACAACAGCACGTGAATGCCATCGGGATGAAGGTATACCTATATGATAAGACTGCAACCACCAGTGTATTCTCCATGCAAGTCGGCGCTTGAGGAACCTCGCAGCGGTGAGTAATTGATGCTACGCCTCAGAGCTCGACTTCACCCCCCGATTCAACGAAGCCTCCGCCGCTTCTTTGCTGCTCAGTACCATTAACGCCCCAATCGTCAGTAATAATGCCAATCGGTGGACCGCCTAGAACATCGCCTAGCTCGCCTATTGTCTTTTCATACACACTTGCAACACCACGCTCTTCCCAATCGTCATCTTCCTCATCGTCGTCATTATCTTCGAAGCCTTCAAAGGTCACGGTGCCTTGACGTCCGCTTGCCTGTCCTTCTCCTTCGGTATCGGTATCCATTGCCTCACCGACATCATCCTCGTCGCCAACCACGCTATCCCCACTCATCGCTCGTGTAACCGTAAGTCGAGTACGGTCTACAACGCCCTTCAAGCGAACCTTGTCTGTTGTGGTAATTGTACGGCCATTCTCGAAACCTGACAAAAGCTCGCCTGTCGCAGTGTCGTGGCCAGTAAGCAGTGAGGAGAAGGCGTAATCGAGCTTCGAGAGCAGGCGGAAGGTGGCCTGTGCAGAACGCGTTGAAGATCCGAATAGAGGGAGGAAGTCGGCGGTAAGGACGGCAAAGTTGAGCAAATAGGGGATCTGGAGGTTTGCTATATATCGTACATGTTAGCGAAGCTAATTTCCATGACAAGAAGGGGTAGCATACGTGACCCAGATACCCAGACGACATCCACAAGGCCATCGAGATCCTTCGCGACCTCCCAAAACGCCTTGTATCCTTCCTCCTCGCCCGGTGCAGGTTTGAGCTTGCGGTTCGTCATACGATTGTCCACTCGCTTCTGAATGCGGTTTACGCCATGATCCAGGTATCGAATCAAATCAGACTCCCTTGGTCCGCCGGGCTTCAGTGGGTGTTTGCGTGGTTGAGGTAGAGGTGATGCGTGTTGTGAAGGCGTCGCGGACGAGGCTGGCGGGGTAGGAATCTCAGCCATAATGGTCTGTTAAGATTGTGTATCTAGTAGGCGCGTAATAGGAATGATGTAAGTCCTGCTCTTTGTAAAGTGCTAAGGTGGCAGATACAGGTGTATGATGGTGTGTAAGTAGTGGGGTACAGTCATTCTACGCCGCAAGATGAGCGTCCTCTCGATTGTCGCGTGCGTACGAAGATGAGTCCGGCTGATGTCCTTCGAGATGACGGGTTGCACTGGTAGAGGTCGCGCGTAACTTAGACGTGGAGCTCTTGATGATAAGATGACGTTCACAGCTGGTAGCTGCGTTACGGCCATAGCTCCTACTCTGTGCTCATAACACCCCGCAACACCAACATCACAACATCTTCCAGCTTTGGCCAAAGTTCCACAATCATAGGCACATCCAGGGCGAATTGGCCATCAACAAGCTGGATTGAATCGACTGCTTTCTGTTTTCACATGCCTGCACATCTTTTCGTCAATCCGTTGGTAGTGCCTTGTCATAATCAGGTTTTACCGGAGAACCTGTACCAGGCTAGGCAGCACCTTCAGCAAACAGTCACACTGTGCTCCTGAAGGAAAGATGACACTTTTTCCGGTAGAATCGCAATACGACGGAAAAGTTGCATGCTTCGGAGTTGCATGGCATCGGAGCTTAGCTGCTATGCCGTGCGACTGATATGGCAGGGTGAACAGCTTAACGACATCGGCCCGCCGAACTGGTGTCCCTGAATGGCCGGAATAAAGACGATCGCGCTGATTAATCTCAGCGCGCCCTTCTCCAGCGTTGCGCGTGCGCCCTACATGCCAGTCCAGGCGTTCGCTACGCGTCGACATGCATACCTGATTAAGCCACCGACTTGGCAATCCCATATGCTCGCACGCAGAAGACTTGGGTCATCTGGGATGTCGCCCCTTTTCTAGAAGTCTTCTTAACTGCAAGAAAGGAAAATTTGCTAACAAAAGCAACAATCGGAGGACTCCGATTGTTGGATGAGGTTGAAACGCGACATTTATTGACTCTACCACTTAACGGCATAACGTTGAAAATTTGCAAGGAGACCAACGACATAGGGTATCCACTTGTCGTGTACTCGCAAGGCGAGTAATCAGGAACGTGTCGCGCTTGGTCAACTTTTATGGTATGAGATCGTGTAGGGCTTCTTTGAGGCTCAACTGACCGCTAGAGTACCGCCATGGTTGATCGGTGCGCTCCGAGCTAATGCGATCATGACGGAAATGATCCCAGAACCTGGCTAAAGCGCCTTCGAGACCGTTGACTTGGTGGAGACGTCCTTGTGTCGTCGTGTACTCAACTTCGAGAAAATGTAGATGTGCGCACCTGTATGGGTCTAGCGCACAGCGCTATCGGCATAAAGGGCGTGGTTTGTGATGGATGCAGGATGCGTGACTCCCCCCGCGTATCCGACGGCAAACCTGCAAGCGCATCTCTCAGCGCATCATCCATGTGCAGCCTGCAACCTTCTCATCACTTGCCCAGCCCTGGTACTCTGCCGCTTGTAGATGACTCAAGCCAGGGCGTGCCTGATTGACTTGTATAAGACAACCTGAGGCCCACTCATTCACAGCCCTGGAACAAGACGTCTTATCTTCACTTGCCACCCAAGACTAGTCTGGTCGCTTCCTATTCGCACTACCCCAGCTCTCAGCTTCTCCGCATCCAAGACATCTTGTCTGAGGAACATTTTTCCCCGCTTTTCGTGTGACTATCCCTTGGTTGCTGCGTTCAGCCAGTCGGTCTTGGGACACGCGACACCTTCGCAATGCCTTCTTCCTCGAGCATAACATCGTTTGCGCCGCCAGACAGGATGCAGACGCTTGGAAACCAGATAGGTTACAAGGTTCGCAACATCTCGCATCATGGCCAACCTGCAATTGTGATCGATCTTGACGAGAGTGATGGCCGCGGTCACAAGTTTATTACAAGCTATTCTTCCATGGATACTATCGAGGGCACAGTCACCATCACTGCACCGCACGACATCCGCTTTGAGGATATCGACATTGCATTCGTCGGTAAGAGAAGACTATTATGACGAGGTTGGTGATCATGTATCTAACACAACACAGGTACAAGCCATGTATACGTCGACAGGATGACGACCACACCCACTATGACAGGGCGGACAGAGGCAAAGCACCGGTTTTTGACTCTTAGACAGCCAATTGACGAATCAAACTTCCCAACCCCAAGAATATTTGAAGCTCATAGAGCTTACAAGTTCCCCTTCACATTCACCATCCCATCGCAACTACTCCCAAAGGCCTGTTCACATAGTGTCGCCTCGGACCACATCCGCGACATGCACCTTACGCTACCACCAAGTATTGGCGATCCCGATCTGGCTGGGTTTGGCAGTACATTGCTCGATGATCTGGCACCAGAGATGTCAAAGATAACTTATGGGATTCAAGTCAAAATCGCACAAAACCGGGGATCGGAAGGCATCTCGGTGCTAGCTGATAAGCTAAAGAAAGTTCGTGTCAAGCCCGCTTTCCCAGAGCAGCCTCCGTTGAACATTGACCACAGCGAGGAATACCGATCGCGACAGGAGAAGACAGTCAAGAAGGGCTTGTTCAAGGGGAAGCTTGGGACATTATCTGCGAAGACCATGCAACCGCCACCGCTTGTTATCCCGGGCGCACGATCAAGGTGGGAAAGGTCGATCACGACGATGGCCAAGTTAGTCCTACGTTTCGATCCCACAGAGGAGGCCAGCGCACCACCAAAGCTCGGCTCGTTGTCAACAAAGCTGAAAGTCCTGACCTACTACGCCTCGGCTCCCCGACAAAACCTCCCAACGCAGTCAACACTGGGTTTTGACTTATCGCAAGGTCTATACTCCGAATACGTGCCCCTGTCAAACCTTTGCATCGCCGCCGCCCAATGGGAAAAGCACGACGCAACACAAAACCCTAGTCCAGAAAGCCTAGTCCGACGTGACTCTGGTATCAGTGATTGCTCAACCATGAGCGATGCGGAGGAAGCCTTCGCAATCGGCATTCTACCTGCTTCCAAAGACTACAAGCAAGGCACCTTCTACACTGCACAAATCCTTGTACCCATCGCCCTTCCCACGACGCAAAACTTCATACCGACGTTCCACTCCTGCCTCATTTCACGAACATATACCCTCGCGCTGCAGTTCTCCGCCCAAGGAAGTTCAAGCATACATCTCAAGGTCCCTGTGCAGATATGTGCCGAGGGCAGTGATACTGGTATCGAGAACGCTAGGGCGAGGAGCGTAGAGGAGACGGCATTCAGAGCTGCTGCTGATGTCTTTGCGCCGCGAAGTGTTGCGCCACCGAGCTTCGAGACGGCGAGGAGTGCGAGTGTGGGAGCGAGGGAGGAGATGCCGCCTGGGTATTCCGCTTTTGCACCGCCGAGCACCAGGTACAGTGTGCACCATTCTGTTGTGGCTTGAAAGTATTCTCACGGCAGGACCGTCGAAGAAGATGAGAACTGCTCATTGAGCAATAAATTGGCGGCTAATGAGACATGTTCTTGATAGAAGAGACTGTGTTTTGGGGCGTTTTCGAAGGCGCCGCAACGGGAGTTTTTTCCACTACAACCACAGCTTATTCTGGATTTCAGTCGCTTCTTTTCATTATTGGATCACGTATCAGATACCCATCATATATAGCAACAAATCTAATACATTTAAATCTCATAATTCGTTCCTTCCTCTACAGTTGTCGATGATGTGATAATGGCTTGGCACGTCCGTGCTAGCCTTTCCCAGCTTCCTAATCATCTGACTTCTGTAACACTACATCAGCACACCATCGCCCAAGCATCACTCTTCATCAAAACAAGTTACCGTGACGATGGCTGAGCATCCGTCTTTCACATTAGCAGGCTTGCGTAAGTGCCACAACGAGATCTGTGTAGGTATGTGTGTCAAAGCTGACTGAGAAATGATGCGCAGTGGCCGTCGGAGGAACAGCGGGTTATCTCAGAACACGCTCAACACCCAGCCTTGTCGCTGGACTCGGATTGGGTGCTTCGTATGCCTTTGCAGGTGGGTTCCCCTAGTTTATATGCATGCAGATTAGACTTTGACGAAGAAGTTTGATCGTCTATCCCCGCTTCTTGCGTGCAAGACGCTCGCTGTGGCTTCAGCTGACTTGTAATCGAAGGTTACCGCATCAAGCAGAATCAGGACTACGGTACTGAACTTGCGCTTGGTAACAGTATCATGCTATTGGGTTCGGCGATACCACGCATCATGAAGACGGGCGGACGTGCACCTGTGCCGATTGCGTTGGGTGCGACTGGCGCGTTGGCAACTTATTACTATCAGAAGAAGGTGCGCGAGTTTAGGTATGGCGTGTGAGAAGGATCCATGCTCGATAAGAGGAGGACTCTCATGAGAACGATGACCAGCATGTACGACTATGACCGTGTACGACTACGCAGTGTTCTCCTACCCTGCTTTACTCCTCAGTATTAACTCCCCACTCCCATCTTTCTCGATCAAGTATGTCCTTTTCTGTGCCTTCTTCTCATCTCCAATGTCTTGCAGTGGCGGGCTTTGTTGCGCAATCATCATCATACCATCAAGCTGTACCCACGGACCCGGCGCCATCCAGTACCGCAAAGTCTGATACATGCCAAAGCAGAAAGATAGTAACACAATTACGAGAACGGCGACGGCTGCCCACTCCCACTTCAGACGCGGACTAGACCCATACAGTTGCCACTGTATGGGATATGATGCGAGCCTCTCTTCGGAACGAGAAGGCAGAGACGATGGAAGGGGAGACCAGTACTTGTTGCCCATGCTGAGGACGTTCTGCAATAGGACACCCACGACGATTGACAGACCCATGGCGTCGGAGTTGACAACGGGATCGATTGCCTGGAGATTGCGACTCATGAGTAGGAAATGGGGCAGAAGTCTTGTCGACGGAACCAAAGGCTCGAGCCTCGGCATAATGTCACGCGCTTGACCTCCTACTCCGTCGGCAACATCAAAGTCGCTTGCAGTTACGAGTTCGTATACGATCTTCTGATTCCATTCAGCGCCGTAATGGTTGAAGCTGAGGTCGGGACTTGCCCTATCAACGATCCACACATTGACTGCGTACGTCCCATGTCGGAATACGCTGGAACACCTGGCACCTTCAAAGCCCAAGGACGGGACTGGCCCAAAATTGGTTGTGATCACCGCTTCAGAAGATTCGTTCTTAGCTGGCGGTCGGATAATGATCGACCCTTCCAGATTCGAGGAATCCATTGGCATACACACCGTGTTCAACACTGGCAGCACAAGCGTCAAGTTACCAGTCCAACCGATGGATGAAGATGTTGGCTGATGGTTCGTTCTTTTGAGCCAGTCGTAGACACTCGTCACTTGCCCATCATCCGCTGAGATCGTCTCGACTGATCCCTGTGAACGGGTGAAGTCGGTATTGAGCGCAGTCCACCGCTTCCATGGATCTCCGTCTAATCGGTAATCGTAAACATGCCGCCAGCCTTTCTGGGTTTCCTTGATTGTTGAAACAACATGCGTTAAGCCGATGAACGCGAGAGAAGCAGACATGCCAAGCGCCCAGTCCCATGGAGGGTAGCCTTCTCCTCCAATGTTGGACTGACCGACACCGAGCATATTCCCCCAGTCGATGCCTCCCAACAACACTTTGGGATACTCGATCCTCATAGTTTTCCGATCGCCCGCCGTCGTTCCCCACCTCTGTTGTAGGTTAGGATACCATCGCTTCTTTGGTATAGCAACAGTATTGACAGCCAGACCTTGCAGCATAACCGAGACTGATATGCAAAGACAAAGCAACAACGAAACGCGCTTTTCCAACTCAACCTCGACCGCCTCCACCTCGTGATAAAGCTAACAACAGTCATCCACGGCTTCGTCAGCTCATCTTTCAGCCCGAAATCATCGTACGTCGCCCCACGTCTATCTCTCTCCGCAGCGGGAACCTGCGCCATCCAGACAGTGAGGAGAAAAGATGCCATGTATTCCAAGGAGCTCACCAGGAGTACGTCCAGACTTTTGTTGAAGAAGCCGAGAAAGGCTAGCTTGAGATCTGCGTCTACTTCTTCGCCGAACACACGACTTAGGCCTATGGAGATGTACGTGCGCGTCGCTCCGAGTGTAATTGCAGCGATGATGATGCCAATGGCAGTAATGCGGATGGCTAGCATCCAGTAATCGAAAAGTTTCAGGCGTGGTCGCGCTATGACGGCTGGACGACTCGCGATCTTCTCCCTATGCAAAATCAGCAGAAGCTAAACATGATTGCCAGGTTGTTACCTGAAAACTGTCAGATGCGCTGCGGTGTAGTCGCCCGCCTTGCTGAGTAACGTCTTTGCAGGGGCTTTTGGAGCCATGCTGCCGACCTTTACACACGCCGATGTCGAAACATCTGGAATGAATTTTGAGGCTGTCAAACTCGAGCGGCAGTTGACTGGAGCGGAGGGAGTTTGCAGGCGACACCTCTCTTACACGGTGCGGATGCGAGGCTGAAGGATTCGCGAGGCGGAGACATGTGCGTGTTGGCTGCATGCATGACAGCCACAAGCTCCACGCGTGTCCTTATCGACGCAACAAGAGTTGCGCAATTTCCACGAATCGCGTACTACTATATTCTTCGTTTTAGCAATGAATGCTGATGTAGCAAACAAGAAGAAGTTCGATGGTTGCAAACTACGAAGCTCGTTTTTCCCGAGGGTTTGCAATATTGGTAGATACCCTAACAGTGTTCGCTAAGATTCTTACAAACACTCCCGAAGAATATACATTGACGTATCCCTTTGGTCTAGAACTCCATAGCGTAGGCACGACCTGGAAAACTGAGCTCCTCTGTATTTGTAAGTGCTAAAAGGAACCCATTGTCCGGATTCATGGGTATTGCAATGAATACCTACGCTTCTTCATTTGAGCTACGGGATCCTTCGCGAGCTTCCTTGGACTTTCCGGCACGCTCCTTCACCACGCGCAACTTTTGAATCGCCTTGTTACGATTGCGCATCGTCGACGCATGTGTCACTATCTTCCTAAGCTGTGTGAAGTACTCGTTCTCGGTAAAATCATCACAGCAGAGGAAAGGAAGTACTTCCATTCACTCTGGTCCTTGCAAGACATACTCGCCGAGGTAGAGAGCCTTTGCATCCACAAGTCTCTGAAAGGATAGCAGCACAGGCTCTTCGTACGGGCTCGGGATACCCGTCTTGATACAGGAAGGATTACAGTACTCTAGCAGGTTCAGTCCACGAAACACACACCTCTTATTGCTTTCCCCTGGAGTACCGATATCCCATTCGATACCACGTCTGTAGTGGGCAGTGAGGACTCGTTACGGAAGCGATGAGCAATGCGAAATGTTCCAGTCCTTATGAGCCCTCTGGTTGGAGGGCTATCAAGGCCACACGGCTTCGTCTTCAGTTGGGAATGGTCTGCGGAGTGTGATAAACATCTACTGGCAACATTGCACAAGGGTACGCCTCCATTCCGTTACTTCCCGAGCATTCATGTTTTCATCCATCCTTTATGAACCCTGTCTCCTCTCTCACGTTGCCACATCTGGATGTCTTATAGGGAATCCTGACCCACTCTTGAAAATTGGACGGTGAATGGTGAAATCATGCTTTGTAAAGGAGCGTATCTTCTGATGTGTGTCTGTGTGTAGACGTCTGTTTGCTCTGCCCCACTATACCTGTGTCAATTATCGAGCTCACGCCGCGCAACAATCTCAACTATACAACACTCAATACCCCATAACACGCACAGTGGGGCCAGAGAGAGACGAGAGAGGTTGGATGAAGGTGACGGCGGATATGGAGGCGAGTTTGCAGGCGCTGGAGTTGGCGGAACAGGAGCGCTTCCGACAAGCAGCTGTCGCGGCAGAGGTTGTGAGAGTGCGTGTTGAAGAAGAGAGGAAGCTGATGGTAATAGTTCATCACATGCTGATCATGAAGCACTTTGCTAATATTCAATGTACCTGTACAGAGTGAAAGGTGTGCCGAGAAGGAGGCTAGGGATGCTGAACGCGATGCTGAGTTGGCTGCATTCGAGGCTGAGCTTCAGGCTGTGCGTGCTTCTAACGAGGGGGCAAAGAAGAAGCGACAGCAAGCGTACGCGCAGCTGGCCTTAGAGCACGCGGAGCAAGAAGACCGCAGGCGGAGGAAAGACGGGAGGATGACTGTCGCTGCTCGTACTGAGAGCCTCCTTGCTAAGTGGTACGTCGTCTGCTATTCCACACAACCAATGGTGTGTAGCTTGCTTCGACACGATCTTGTTTGACCTCTGGCCAGCCACTTTGCCAGACACGTCTGCTACCAACAAGATTGCTGCCGAAGCTCCTGGGAAGGAGAGAGCTGCTGAGAAGAGGAAAGAGGAGGATAAGAAGAAGAAGGAATTTGAGGAGAAGCTCAACTCTCACAACCGTTGTGGTGATTTTGCTAGATGGGGTGGGAGTGATTATGGTGGTAGTGGTCACCGTGGCAGTCTTGATAGTGATGCTCGCGGTGGTCGCGGCGGTCCTCCTCGACCGGCTCCTGAAACTCCCCAGGTTGGGCACATCCAGGCAGGAACTAAAGTGCAATGTGGCTTATGTGAAGGAATGCAAGCGGCGGGAAGTAGAGAACGCTACAGCCTTAGCAACTGCTTCTTCGCCGATTCTTGCCCCTGCCCCTGCCCCTGCCCCTACTCAGGCCCCATCTACGCCTGACTCCGCCCCCGACCCTCTCTCCAATACCCTCGATGGCCACAATCTCACCAAGGAAGAGAGGAAAACGGTGTCGAAAGAAGACTAGAGGTGGAAGATGTCGACGACCGGCATATCGGAGTATGTACTCGGTAGGTATTACCATGGATGGGAAATATTCGGTCGCCTGATCGGAGTTTCGGGATCAAAACAGCGTAGTGCCGGAGCTTCGCCCGGTACTCGCTACATTCCCTTTGCACATTGTATTCATTCTAGTGTAGCATAGACGGGAAGATAAGCCAGTATGCTGCAGCGTCGGGTTTCTTCGGTTCCACCAGGTAAGGCAATGAATACTGGGGGCACTCCTCGGTATTTTTCAGTTCTTGGTACCTGAGTAATCTACAGTACCATCGTTTTCATCTCATCACAGGTAAGCGGTGATGGCCATTTTCAATGATCATGTTCAGTTGTCATAGGTAGGATTGTTTCATGGTAATCTCATTGCAATGCTTGCTGTCAACTATCATCGCATTCTCCATTTCCTTGACTCGCAATCGTGGTCGCGTAAGATACCCCTGTGTACCAGCCACCCAATTTAGTATCCGTACAAGTTGACGCGCTCATTGGTCGAAGCCTTGAGCTTTTGGTTCTCTTTGATAAGCATCATGCGAATCACCCAAGCACAGGCAATTGAGCACAGCGCAAACCCAGCTGATGCACCGAATCCAATTCCGAACCTTGGCTTGTCGGAGTTTGGCCAGAGGTATGCGCCGTAGATGTAACCAATTTGACCTCCGACATTTGTCATCGCAAGGACCACAGCTTTCTTCTCTTTTGTTTGACTGAGCGTCGAAGACGCCCAACCGATGATGACGGAGTTGACCGAGTAAGCGCCAATGGGGAAGATAAAGCACGCAACGTATCGACCTGCCGTGTTCAACGTACTAGCAGCGATGACGAATCCGACAATGGCGACGAGTAGTCCACCGGTGATATGCCAGGTACGTTCATGCATGCGTCCTGAACTCCAGCCTGTAGCAATACCTGCCGCGCCTGCGAGCAGGAAGGGAGGGCATGTCAGTACCAGAGTAATTGTGGTGCTGAAGCCGAGGGTCTTGACAACACTGTCATCACTTTCAGCGATCCATTCCAGTAGTGACATGGAACAAGTGTACTTACGTTGGGAAGAAAGAGTTGAACGAGCAAGCACTGAGATGGAAGTTCTGCATGAGACAGAACAGCCACGTCCTCTTGTCGCGGCACGCCTGCCTCAGCCCCTCCATCATACTGACAGGACCTGTGGAGTCGCCGAGTCGGTCACGCTCCATACGTGCATGAGCAAGTTCACGTTCCCTTGGGTTGAGCCAGCTAGTGGTGAGTGGGGTGTTGGGAAGCATGAAGAAACCCCAGATAGCCACCAATCCGGTCGCCGCTCCTTCACTGTCGAAATGTTAGTTTCCAATGGAGTTCTTGGTAGAAACGAAAAAACCTACATAATGAATAGCCAACGCCACCCTGCGATGCCTCGAGCACCATCTAGTTGGAATACTCCTGCTGCGATCAATCCACTGAACCCAGTAGCCAAGATCTGCGCGCAGTAAAGTGTCGCAATACGTGTTGCGACTTCCTTGCGCGTGTAGAAGATTGAGAGCATGTATGTAGCTCCGGGGTAGAACGGCGCCTCAGTAACACCTAGGAAGAACCGACATATGACCAATCCGGCGAAGTTCTGCACCAGCGCTGTGCAAGCCGATACAATAGCCCAAATGAACATCCAAGTACTCATGTAGATACCTGGGCGGACACGAGTAATAAGCATATCTGTAAATTTCAGCTTCCTACTAATCTTCAACAAGGCAAGACTGCTCACTCGATGGGACCTGCATCAGGACGTAACCCACGAAGAGAATGCTAACACAAGTGTTGAACTGAACACCAGTCATTCCCAAGTCATCTTCCAAGTTGTTCAAGCGAGCTTGCGCAATGGCATTGCGGTCAACGTAGTTCAAAAAGTACATGATGCACAACGTTGGCTATCATCACGTTAATCATTATACCGCATCAAAGTTTGCAATACGTACCATCAGTCTCCAGTCAATCTTTCGTACAAGCGCAATCTCTTCCGGATCTGACTTGGCTTCCGCGCCGGTATAGTCCGCCACGCCAGCATGCTTATCAGGACCAAGCTCACACTTGTCCTCCAAGTGCGCCACAGCCACGGGTTCGTCGTCCGCCGTCTCAATGGTAGTAGGCTGATGTTTTGTACCCATCTTGGCAGGGTCTTTCAAACGTAGAGTCGTAATGTCGAAAGTACCAGCAAGCAGTGGGTATGTGCCTTCCTTTTGAATGCATAATGACGGCGTGGTGTGTCAACACACATGTTCCAATCACCTGCTTGGCGTGGTATTGGCATGGACGGGTCCAAGACATTTCCCCGCACTGTACTACAATATAGCTTCCTTGCCTACTCCAATCTACTCAGCCACTAAGCTCGGCCTGCAGATCTTATCGTAATAAACAGTCCATATGCACACTATCCAAGACATTTCGGTAGTAGTTTTGACGCCGGCGTACAGAAACATGCATGGATTTCTGGTTTTGTGTTCGCACGGGGTGCCTTTTGCCTGGAACCCGGGGAAGGACTGGGGCCGACAACGTTGTTTTTTGTGGAGAAGCTGAATAAGTCTGCACGGTACGATCGTGCGCTTTTGAATAACTTGTTCCGTTGGCAGTTAGCGGCAAGTCTTTGAGCTGGAAAGTCACACTGCTTTGGAAGCGGTGCAACGGTGGACGGACATCATGCGATGGCATGTGTATCGGTGGTTCGCCCTACTTGCTTCTCCCACATTACTCAAACGTTGCAGAATATTCAGCTCTGGAACTTCGCGCGATGTATGCGCAAACGCAGAATTCTGTTATATGTCTTATTAACCAACTGAACAATGTGCATAAACATTACTCATGTATGTGCTCCTTGTCTATCCAGGATTGTACCTATGTATGACTTCGTCCAAATACCCGGAGGCAGATAAGTCACCGTTCCATTATGCTCCTAACAAATAGTGGCGAACTTGTATTCCACCTGACCGTTTCTGATCGCCGGAAAGACACCGGCGTCGATAAGTCGAAAGGCGTCCCATTCAGCCGCACCCTCTGTCTTGAAGTTCCACCAGAACCAACCCTGAGTCTTAGACTCAAATGCGGCGATCTGGGCCTCGATATAGCGTCGAGAGTCATCTTTGTAAGAGGCTGACCATCGCGAGATGTCGTTTTGCCAGTCGCAAGACCCGATTCTGGAGCTACCTGAGAGGGTGCCGTCGTAGCGAGCACCGCGATCAAAGCCGTTGAGGTACTTTGCGCAATCTCTGATATGATGTCAGTAGGTATTTCATGTGTCGCAGAGGTGAGAGCTTTCTTACGTCATGGCCGATGTCCACTCGCCAACTAGAAGCAATTCAAGTCAGTAAATACCTCACAAGCATTTCTGTCCTCGCAATTACATACCAAAAGTCCACTTATCCGCACCACTGTACGTCTCAGAGTTACTGCAGGCGTATCTTGCGTGGTCCGCAGGTGACATGCGAAGAAGGTTGCTGTCAAATACTTGATATTCATGGTGGTCGATAGCGACGTTTACCGCGTTTGCATCTGACGGGGTGAGGAAACCATTCCAAGTGTTCGGTGGCTTGAAACCATCGTGAATTATCACTGGGGTGTCTGAGACCTCCCTAGTCTGGCCATAACCGTCGCGATAAAATTGCTTAGTCACGTCCAGGCTAAGACCAGTGTACAACGCAGGCTCGTTGAGAAGCTGGATACCGATGACGACGTCCTGGTACTCTGTCCGTGCATACTTCTGCTGAATGGTCCGAAGAACTTGCAGAGTCTGTTTGACGGTATCGCCTTGTTGCCAGCGTGGGACGTCCATCCGTTGGCCGGAGTTGTCGTATCCGTTCTGGGAGCCTGGTGCGCCATGGAGGTCGATGATGATCTTGAGCCCTAAACTTCGCGACCAGTCGATAGCGGCGTCAATGTAGACATTCGCACCGCTGACATAAGCTGTACCGAAGGTATCGTATGCCCAGAATCCGACAGGGATACGAACAACATTGAAACCAGACTGCTTGATCTTGTTGAAGTCTTCCCATCTAACAAAAGAGTCCCAATGCTTGCGCAGGATACTAAGCGCCGTGTCTTTGCCAAGCTTCTGGCCCAAGGTAAACTCTATGAAGCATCAGCTTCCAAGCCCGTCATAGCTTGCAGACTTCTACTTACCGTCGACAATGTCCCTTTGCGGACGACCCTGGTTTGCCCCATCAAAGATCGACGGCGTAATCCAACTGCGTGAAGATATTCAGTAACACATCCTCTAGATTATCGGAAAGTTAAGGCAGCGTACGGTTCCAAGACCAACCATCCGCCAATATTGACACCACGAATCTTGTCTGAGCCCCATCTGAAGTCGACTGCACGCTTCTCACTAAAAGATATATCAGCAGCTGCGTGAAACGTGCTTGGGTAGGGAAAGAGTGTCCAATGTGAGAGTTGCCACTGCTCAGCCGGAAGTGGAAAGATGCATTCCATCGCATCATACACAACACTTACGTCGGAGCTGCAATCGCGCTGGCGCATAGTGACAAAGCCACAAATGCGCGACTGAAAATCATGATATCGGGTAACAGTATAGAAAATTAAGAGTAGGAGTGTAGACCCTGCAAATGTAGTGGTACTGAAATCAAGTGAGAGGTGACGGGATGCGCGGAAACGAGTAGTACGTCTACACTTAAGATAGGTTGTCACAAGAATAGGAACCACGGCTGGTCAGGGTGGAATTCGCGTGCGCCCCCTGCAAGTGCTAACCTGGCGAGGTGCGACTGCTGTGGCAAGAAATGAATGGCATATATACCTGGTTGGATCTGAGCGGTATAAGCATAGTCAAATTAGCAAGTTTTCCTCGAGTTGTTACTGGCGTGTGACCTTATGACCCAACAAGGAAGGTAAATTGGAGGCCGCAGAAGTGAACCTAACCCTGGAAGTCCGGATAGAAGGCTACGTAGATGGTGATCCGGTCAGGAGGTGGGTGTACTCAGCAAACCGGAGGTAGTCGTGGCGCATGTGACGCGTTCACGCGAGTACTTCTAACCTTAAACCCGTAGTGCACCCCGCACTGATTCTGGCGGGGACGAGCATTCTGCACCTAAGATTTTGGTAATGCATACTCGCTCTTGAAGCGTGACCTCCGCAGAGAAGTCTGGAGTAGACGGACTTGCTGCAAAGTAATCATACTTGTGCAGTCGCGTGGTGTCTGAAACACATTGTCAAATTAGACCATCTCCAATGGCGCAATGCGGTTGATTAGCCACGAGCTTAAAGTGACCGCCGCAAACTTAGTACCGGGAATATGCACACGGAAGTGTGAACTGTTCCTGACGATCCTGGAAGCTAACATGTGCGGCATATAGATCATATGACCCAGGATCTGCAAATTAATTTAGCAGCAACCTATAGTACAGTCAGAGATGTCACTGTAGGATTACGGTTCTCCATGCGTTGTTCTAGGCCATCAGAGGAGAGGTGTTGTCAAGCGCGATTGCGGTGTTCGCTCCGCCCGTTTCTCCTATGTTTACTTCTCGGTGCATGGCGTAGTGCAGCGCTAGAAGAAATTCTGATCATTGTTCCAATGCCAATGAAGTTCTCTCGTGTAACCACATTGCTGGCGCAGCATCTGAAAATAAAGTATCAAGGGGGGTTGATTGCCCGCAGTATGCATCTGCAAGGTGGAGTGGCGAAAGTTGGTTTGGACGGGCGGCAGGTTGACTGGGGTGAACGTACAAGGATAAATTATGCAATGAGCATAAGACCGCTACTATGAAATTCAACGAGGCATAGTGTGGTAAACGAAGCTTGATGCAGCGTCACAGGCGCAGTTGCGAACTGGGATGCAAGGATGATGGAATGCAATGTCGAGCTGTGAAGGTGCGATCAAGGTGTGGCGCGGCGCCTTCCGGGCCACAGGAGTAACGCCGGCAGGCGGGGACGAATCAGAGGCAGTTGGTACAATGTCTCACAACACGCAGAGTGTATCCGACTGGACGTCAATGTATACGGTCAAATAATTCGAGAGACTCTCCTCTCCTATCGACTGCGATCACTTCTTCTCTAACACCCATCCTCCCAGCCATAGAAAGCCTGGCACTGCAGTGACTGCGGACAGCGCTCCCAACACTGCTGCCATCGTGCCCCAACCGCTGTCTTCGACGAGAAATCCGGCCAGCAAAGGCCCCACCATACAGCCTCCAGCGAAAGCAACGTTGTACAATGCGTAAGCCTGCGCAAATGCGCCACCTTTTCCGAATCCTGGGCGTCCATTTACGAGCATCTTCTTTTCCTTCGCCTCAGCGACAGCCGATATCTCGGCCATAACCGGCGCGAAGGTCATGCCCACGAAGAACCCAGTAACTGCTAATAACGCGCATATCAACACCTTGTCTTTCATGGTATTCTCATCCACGAAGCGGAGGCAGATGAGAGGAGGGCAGCCGCACAAGAAGCCCACGACGACCAGATAGCGCCCACCATATGTGTCGCTCAACCAACCCCACAATGGCGAGAGTAAGCTTGGTATGACAATTGGGAGGAACAAAAGTGCAGCACCTGTTGAATTCCAGTTGAATGTGTTGGCGGCATGAATGGTGAGAACAGAGTCGAAGGCTGTCAACAACATTGCTTGAATGAGTGCACAGAACAGCGAGGCAAGTAGGCGTCGTGAATACAAAAGTGAAAGAACTGGAGGAAGACGATCGCGTATACGTTGATGAGGCGGACTGTGTTGTTGCGCTTCGACGGACACCGTTTCTTGCTGGGCTATCGTTTTGGTAGCATCTGGGTTGAAGCTTGGGGTTCCAGGAGTATTGGCCGGTGTCACTGTTTTCTCCAAGTATACGTTTTCGTCGACAGGCGGGCGGCCCATAGCCTCTGGATCCCATCTCGCTGCCACCTTCTTCTCCACAAGCAACAATCGGAGGATCACGTCCAAGCCAACCAATGCATAGCACATGCCAAAAACAGCATTGTAGCCAGCTTTGTCGTAGACCACGCCACCGAGTAGAGGAGATATAAGCATGCCAAGAGACACCCCTATAGTCAACCACCCAGTGGCTGTCGCGAGTCGCTCCTGAGGTACTGTATCAGCCAACAAGGCAAGGCCAACGACCCATACCACAGCTGCCGAGGCTCCCTGGAGGATCCTTCCAACAATCAGAACGCCAGTTGACTTGCCAAAGTTGAGCAAGATCGTAGCTCCGAGGAGGACGAACAAGCCTAGAAGAAGTGGGAACCGGCGCGACGAGCCGCGGTCTGCAAGCCACCCGCATATTGGCGAGAATGCAAGAAGTGCAGCACCATATACGGCGACGAGTACTGAGACCCAGTACTGGACTTGATCATCTTCAACATGGCTACGCGTACCTATTGCGAAGGGTATGACAGGCACAATGACGCCATACAGGAACATGTCCTTCTTGAATCAGCTTCCTACCCCGGCGATAGCTATACGTGACGTGGGAACTTACTGTGAAGACAGCCAAGGAAACAGTCCCGATGATGAACGCATCCGAGCTTCTGACTTTGAGCATGAACGGTGGGTTGGATCCATGATTCGTCAAAGACGACAGCCACGAAGATCTCGCCATTGTGTTCGGTGTTGTCATTGTTCCGGGTGCTGCAGAATCTATTTGTACACCAGCCGTCCTAGTATGACGATTAACACTTGCAGCAGTACCACGGTTCTCACTCTGCTCTTCATTCAAGTGGTAGCGCAATTTTGCTAAGATTGCGGTACACGATCGCGCCGGTTCCACTCCAGATCGTCTTCTCAATCGGCTCTATCTGCAATACATCTCGTCAAACCCCAAATAGACGAAGAATTATGACAGACGACAAGGTCAGTATGTGTGGCGTAGACGTTGGTATAACGCCGGGTATGATGTTCTCGTGGTGGCGATATCTATCCTGCCTTGCAGCCTCGTACCCACGGGCTCCCTGGACTGCGGTCTTGGCAAACGTCATCTCCTACACAAGATCCACTTCCAAATTCCCTTTCCCTACGAGCGGGGCTTCAAACGTTTCAATTCCCACGTGCTGACTTCCGAATATGCATGACACGCTGACTTTTATTTTTCCTCGAGGAAGCAATTATTGACTATCTAAAGGATATCGTCGCACGGCCCTCATTGCGCCGCCGATCAAGCCGATAGAATCGGTATCATCTGCACGACGGTCCAGTTTTGGAGTATCTTTGTCAGGCCTGGCTGACGATATATACCATCCTGCACCAGGATTAGTAATTCACGGATCATACGTACCTTTTGGCTGCATAGCGTAGTGGTGCAGGGCTGCGTTCTGACAATCTGCCTACGAAGAAGCCCGTCCTCAACAAGTTGCTCTAAAACCACACCCGCCATAGGTATACGGTATCTTCTATTTCGACAGCTTGATATGCTGGTCATTACCATGACCTTTCGTATAAATTGGGAAAGCCTTGGCCTTGCTAGAAGACTACATGGGCCCACTGTGTTCCTATACATCAAATCCACCAACATTAGATGCGCCTCTATCCATTAGGTATCAATCGGACTTACTACGCTTTTTTCTTTTGACGTCCTGGAGTTCTTTGCTGAGCATGGATGAATCACCCTCGGCTCACACCCTTGCTTCGTTCGTCATTACTGTCATCGTCTTTCTGCGATGCACATTCTAACACACTTACTTCTGCCATCAATGCCTCTCGAAGACATGTAGTTTGAGGGATAAAACACTGCTACGGTGACTTCCAGGATCCATTACGCGAAGACTGGTCAACGCCCGGCCTAGTTGGCGAGAGCTAAAATCCTTCTTTATCCTGCTGTTTCACAACATTTGAGGTGTGTATAAAGAAAGGTGTTCAAGGTGGGGCATATTAGTGTGGCGGTCTTTTCTGGTACCTAGCTACTCTACTCCAGCAGGCTCTGAAAGTGTTCTTGCGAGACTATGTTATGTTAAACGCCTTAACCATGGAGACTGAGATAGCTCCTGCAGAACACTTGCTCACTCAAGCTTCTATGGTCATGTTCCAAAGCAGCAGCATGCGCTCATTCGCTTCACTACCTTTAGTTTCAGACAGAACCGCATGTCAATCACGCACGGACGCTAGTATCTAACACAATGTCGCAACGACCCTTCGACTGTGGCAACACTTGCGCTTGACGTTTCCGCTCCACTCTCACCTCTCACTTCTCAACGCAAAATGGCACAAGTTGAACGCGCGACGCCCGTCGTGAGCATATGCACACACACCATACCGACCTCTCTCGCACCCGAGCTATCCCCACTGCAGCTCTGTCCGACATGTATGATAACTTCGCAGATCGCCGCTATCAATTTCGTACAAGAACAGTTCGACGCGCGCGGTGGTATATTCCAGTCTAAACAAAAGGGACCAGACGGCCATACTACCCATGACCACAAGGCCGCTCGAAAGGCCTGGCGCACTGCGAAGATTGCATTGACAAACACCATAGAGAAGTTCGAAGACTTACTTGAAGACAAGAACACACCAGTACAGGATCTGCCGAAGCTGAGAGAAGCGTTAAATGTGTGGGACAAGAAGAAGATCGTGCTGACTAGGGTGCCGGGCTTAAAATATGTCGATGGCGCAGAAGAAGAAGAACCAACCGAGGAGGAGAAAGATGGTGCGCGATTATTGATGGTATGGCTGAAAATGGTCGTTGAGAAAGAGATGACACAAGAAGAGCTGAAGTCATCTCGAACAAACCCGCCAGTAGGCACTTCACATCCAACATCATCGCGAATCCCTGTCGCCTGTCCGTTCCAATATGCTGTACCACAAGAACCGGCACCGCAAAAATGTTCAGATGTACGTCAGTCTGAGTGCCCACTTCTAGCAATCACGCAGATGCTTGCAACGCCGCCACCGAAATCCCGACATCATGTCGCGACACCTAAATCAATACTCAAGCGACCCCGCGCCATCAACTTGTCAGGCAGCGCATCCGCCTCACCATCACCATCACCCAAGCGGGTTTGCTTGTCAGATTCCGTGATTATGTCACCAGAGCATCTTTGCATTGCCAACCCCTCACCTTTCCACCCACTATCCCGCACCGCGAACGTACTACCCCACGCTGCTCACACCGTTGCCGAGCATCACCGCCCGCGACCTGAATTCCATCGCATAACCGAAGCCTACGTACCCGGTGTATGGGCCTCGGCAGCTTTTGATGAAAAGGCCGATACGAGCTTCCGCAGCATGACACGCCTGGAGATGGAGAAGCGATTCAAGGAGGAATCGGAAGAGCAGGAGCAGGAACAAAGGTTGGCGAACAAGTTGAAGAAAACTAGTAGAGGCTGGGTGGCCCTTTGGTGGGCGAGGAAAATGGCGCCAAACCTAGATCTGGACAAGTTGGAGATGGAAACGCAGACGTAAAGTGAAGAGATGGAAGCGGGGTAGATTGCGGTACTTGACTTTGCTGTGCGACGATATGCAAAGCAAGAAGGAAAGTACCTGCTACGAAACTGACAGCTTTACACGTTGCGTTAGGAAAGCTTTACGGTTTAACACTACGTAGTTGAGAGTAAGCGTTCTGGTCAGCCAATTGAATGCGTGTATGCGTCTACGAGATGAACTAGGATCGGCATGGAGCCTCGTCCCTGCTGTGCCTGGAGCTCATAGCGTCCTGGCGAGAACAAGAGCGAAATCGCGTCTCGTGATTTTACCACGGTATATTCTTGAGTGACCAAAATGATTTAAGACGCTGCTGAAGGATCGCTGGTCACTGCTGCGAGGTTGTGTTTGAAGCATTCACAATGTGGTAAGCATCGCAGCCTTCTGTTGGACAAGAATGGAATAGGCCAACGCGATTTCTCGCATTCCTGCCGTATTTCTGGGCGACGACTACTTCGAGCTGCGTATGGATGATGTCCACTTCGCTGGTATACAAGTCCAGGATAGGCAAGCTGTAAAGCGCACGGCCGAGAAAGCGAATATAGGATGGCAGAATGACAAATGTACTGGGCATTTACATCCGGCTAATAACAAGAGGTTGAAGATAAACCTGGCAGAGCGCTTGATGACTTTGAGGATTATGATTCTGGGGATTCTGACGAGAGCGACGCTACCGAGAGTGAGGATGGATCGCAAGGAGAGAGGACGAAGAAGACGATGAGGAAGTCGAGGAGGAAGTCGAGGAGGAAGTCGAGGAGGAAGTCGAGGAGGAAGTCGAGGAGGAGGAGTGAGAAAGAATGCGTACTCTGCAGTTCATGTATGCTCCAACTCTAATACCCGCTCGCATGACAACCTATGCCGTATTCTTGACACAACAGTGCAAGAATTCGTGCTATATTAGATCTAGAGTACAACATATCCTAAAGGTATTCGCAGTGCTACCCTATTATGTGATAACAGGATATATGTTAACGTATGATTCTACCTAAGATATATAATGCAACTTGTAAAGACAAGCCTCTTTGTAAATGTCTAATGCGACACGAATTCTGCACCCTCTTGTAACAGAGCTTGCTAATTAGAAATTTGAGGCGCCACGACGTTGCAGCCTTAAACCAGCGGCAAACCAGACCAAGTCGGCGAACGTCAGTTACAACGTCGTACAATGGGAAATTGCAACACTTAGCCCTACTTTAGCTGGCTTCTAACTAGCTAAATTGGGCTTAAGTGTGGTATTTCTTCCTTGTATGACATGATACCTGCGTGTCTTCCTACGGAGTGAGCGACGGGAACGCCCACTAGCGTGCGGACGCGGAGTGTCGGCAGTACGCTAGAAGTTACCAGTTTGACATTTCGGACGAAGTGTACGGGAGGAGGATTGTATGATAAAAAGGATGGATTCTTCACTAGAATGGTTCAGCGTTCATCAAACTTGATCTTGTACCAACCTCCAGACGTCATGACCACAATGAAACAAATCATCAATTATCCAGGCCCAGAAGTCAAGGCCAAGATTACATGCGCCCCCGTCCCTGAGCCTAGCGCTAAACAAGTGCTTATCAAGGTCGTCGTCTCCGGCTCTAATCCCAAGGACTGGAAATCACCCGAGTATGCCGCTGCTTATGATGGCCCCGACAATGATTCCTTCTTCGCAAGGTGCAAGGCTGGTGTGAACCAGGGTGATGATATTGCCGGAATAGTTGAGAAAGTCGGCAAGGATGTGATTGAATTCAAGGTACGTGGTCTGCGACTCTGGGATAGAATGAAGGGATGATAACATGAGAACAGAAGGGAGACCGTGTCGCCGCTTTCCATGAGATGGGTGCACCTGGAGGTTCGTACGCAGAGTATGCACTTGCGTGGGATTGGACCACTTTCCACATTCCTGCCGAAAAGTCTTTTGAGGGTATGTTTGCCCCTTTACTCTCAGCTCTTGACATTTGCCTGAGTGCGTTATCGTTGTTGACTCGGTTTGCGCAGAAGCTGCAACAATACCTCTCGCGGCCCTTACCGCCACTGTTGCAATGTTCCGCAATCTCAAACTGCCCACACCCTGGAATCCCGCAACGACATCTACACCTTTTGTAGTTTACGGTGCGAGTTCTGCTGTCGGCTCGTTTGCCATCAAACTCGCACGCAATAGCAACATCCACCCAATCATCGCCATTGCAGGAAAGGGTTCTCACTACGTCCAGACACTTATCGGTAGCACCAAAGGCGATATAGTCATTGACTACCGCAGTGGTGCTGACGAGGTGATAAGCCAGATTCGTGCACACCTCAAGGCAGGAAACTACGGGGAAGTTCAACACGGACTTGACCCTGGCATTGGTGCCCCGAGTCAAAAGGTTTTGACGGAGATTGTCGCGCTTAACGGATCAATCGACCTTGTTCTGCCAAGTGATTGGGAGGTTGGGTCTGCGCAGACCAAGACTTCGACTTCGGTCGGCATTGTTCATAATCAGGATAATGGGGCTTATGGAGCTGATGGTGGCGATCTGGGTTTCGTGACTTGTCGCTGGTTTACAAGGGCGTGGCAGGCGGGAACGTTTGATGGACATCCATTTGAAGTGAGACCTGAAGGACTGGAAGGCGTGGAGCAAGCGTTGAGAGATCTGAAGGATGGGAAACAGAGTGCTGTGAAGTATGTCTTCCGGATTGCGGATACACCTGGTCTTTAGGATTGCCAGGTTTGGCGTAGATACTATTAGCAGTCGACGGTTATTCCACATTTCTCGAGACGCCAAAATTGTACACAGTTGGGGGAATTTGGAAATGGAAGATTCGTCGGACATGGACGAAGATGCTGAAGAAGAGTGATGAGCTTGTGGCATCGGACTATAGGGATGAAGAACGTTTTATTGCTTCATATCATCACTGGCGCATTATGATGTGACATAAACGTCGTTATCGTGACGCAGTCTCAACACTCCTCCGTACATTCTCAACCATATCCCCCAACGATTACCTCACCGGCCGTCCATCCGTAACCTCTCCATATGCTGGAGGATCATACTCACCAAAGCAAGCAAAGTCGTAATCCGCAAGCTCAATCTGCTTCTGCATCACCTTGAGGAAAGTCTCCATCTCACACCACCCATCATCCCTATCACCACATTCCCTGTGACTCTGCCCCAACGGGATAGTCCTCTGGTTGAGGATGAAATGCACGTAGCTTGTCGGCGGCCCATCAAGATAGATCTTCTCGTCAGTCCGGTTAGGATTAACGGGTGTAGGCGCTTTGATGACTTCGATGTCGAGACGACCAGCAAATGGCTGGAGATGCGAGAGGATGAATTCGCGGGGCGTCTTGATATGGGTTGTGGGGAGTACCTCGGCGAACTGCGTGATGCCAAATGCGACAAGAATGCTTATGATGCCGGCGTCGTGGCTAAAGTCCAGATTAAGGTTTTGGTCTATAGGGAAGGTGACGGTGTTGTTGTCAAGGGTAATGTTGATCTGAGCGGAGGGTGAGGTGATGACGTGGTGCTGCATGCGGGCGAGGACCTCTTCGACGTAGCCTGAACGATGTCAATACAGTAAGGGATAGGATAAAGATGGCCAAAACATACCCACACCGATGGCACGGCCAACGGAAGAGCCAAACCCTGTGCCTGCCTGGAATGAAAGGTCAAGAGCATATTCGAAGCCTTCCCACTCTTCGTAGGTAAATAGGCCACACCAATGGGAGAAACCAAGCGAGACGGTTTCGTACGAGCATAGGGCTTGAGCGTTGTATGTATCGCTGATTGTCCAATCGAGATCACCAGTAATGTTGCTCCTGAACCTCTGATGAGCGTCATGAAGGTACACGCCAATCCACTCCATGAGGCCTTCACGGGCCATTGGCCAGCTCGAATGATTACATTGCTTGTAGCCCGCAAGCGTGTTGTTAAAGCCAGGCGCCTCAATCGCCAACTCAAGCGTCGCGTTCTGCGCCCATCCTAAACCGAAGAAGCCCGCAAGGAAGTACTCTGCCGACTCTGTCATACGCCGCTGTGTTGTACTACGAACGACAACCTTGCTTCCATTGTTGGGGTACAAGTGACCGTATTGGTAGTAGTGCAGGGTACCAGAAGTAAAAAGCTCTTGCTTGCCATTAGGAACCAGGATCTCGGCACCGAGCAGAAACTTCCAATCGTTGAGGAAAGAGAGTGGTCCATGGCCAGTGAACTTGCCAGCAGCGTCTGAAAGCTTCTTTCCTAGGGTCCTCTCTGCTGCTTCACCGCTGACTTCGGGATACCGACTCCCGTGGCGATGGACCATGTTCAGCCATGTTACGTTGGTGCCAGGCGGTATGGAGTACTCGTTCACACCGAAACCCCGAGGATTAGGAAAATAAGGACTGATGTTTGCCAGGCTCTGGAAGATGTTCTTGTTGTCCGCATTGCCAACAATGGGGATCTGAGTCTCGAGGGGCGTATTTGGTATGTACGACACACCAGCAAAAGGTGCTAGATTTGTCTGCGCAAGAAATGGCGCAGCACCAGTCTGGGTAGGGCCTTGGAAATGTCCATCATCCGTTACAAAATAGTCCGGAATCCTGGAAGGCTTTGTTGTCGGTGTGGCTGTGTCGGTGTTAGTTGCTATGTCTTCGCTCTTGCCTATCCCAGAGTTGGAGGAGAGCAAACTTACGCTTCACATGTTGTTCACCTTGGATAGGCACCTGAGCTCCGGACCGACCTGTCAACGATGAGTAAATATTGCTCAAAGCCACAATGATGCAGAGTGGCTGATGGATGAGGCGTACGTACCGAGATTGGCCGGACTAAACGAGTTGAGGAGCTGCAGCGAGAGCTCGAGAATGCCGTGCATGGTGGGGTAGCTGCGAGCTCTTACTCGGCAACGCGATCTCAAACTAGATAGGACGATTGAGGACTGCTGACTCCCTGCAAGACAAGTCACCGCTTCACTACACGTCGCTGTCGCTATACAGAGTCTTCGCGTTGAGATTGTTTAGAAACAGCTTGAGCTTGGGCCAAGCGTTGAAGTTAGAAGTGACGCAATGCCGAGGGCAGTTCAACACAGTATCCTTGACCATGTCACCTACATAGGTGTTTCGCGTTCCGCTTAAACGCGTTCCTCGATGAGCGAGAGTACTCTATTAGGAGTGATTCTCGGGTAATATGGCGGCGTTGAAAGTGCCTTGCCGCAGAGTGGGCGAGGAATAATGTAGATGCTCACGTGCACAAGACGCGAATTGCGGAGATAAGGTTTGCAACAACTGCGGATAGTCCTCGCGGACTTTTTCATGTCTTTGCATGGTTCAGGCATATACGCAGCCTGGAGAATTGAACGTGAGGTGGAGAGGCTAAATGAGAGTGAGGCTCAAAATCGCGATGGCAAACTACCTATCTTCCATGTCCCTGAAGCCGACCTTACAGGCATACATGATGAAATCGAGAAGAGACGGGATGACTGCGAGTGCTGGTATACGCGCGTTTTCCCATTGTGATATCTACAAATCAGTGGAGCATTGAGTAAAGAAGGAGAAGTCACATGGAAACATGAACAATGATCGTCCCCTAATCTTCCGCTTGCCGCACTGATGCCGGAATTAAACAACAACCCCAAAGTCAACACCCATTAAGCGCGAAGGCCTATATTTGGCTTTAGCTCATCAGCTCATCGACGAGCTTGTCAATCCCAATACCTTCGCTTCGCACGATCATTTCGCGGAATTCCCCCTCCCTCCTTCCAAGCCCGGCCAATTTCGCCCCCACGAATCATAATTCCCGATATCTTTAATCTCCCATTTTGACCTCTCCCCCCCTCCACCCAAGTGTCTCCGCTCCAATCACGGTATTAAGAAACACATGAGCGAGCGGACCAAGAACCGAGTTTAGCAAAGTACTGTAGAGAGTTTGAGATCCTTATTTCCAGGTGCTCTCCACTTTGCTTGCTCCGGCCGGTAACATGTCGGCAAAGGTCTGCACATATGGTCAGACGGAAAGGAAAGTGGAGATGGTATATGGTATGTCTGCGCACGTGTACGGGCGCATCATGAACCTGCATTACCGGTGCCCCGGGCTGCGAAGCTACGAAGCTATGAGACGTTAGTGTTGTCGCGAGCTTGGCACAGTGAAGTGGACACATGAGATCTCGGACACGATGTCGCCCGCACACTAGGAATCGTGTATGATAATGTATGCACGCGCTAAAGCGGGCGTAATCAAGAAGCAAACACAAAATCAAACCCCCTAAATGAGTCGTTAGAGCATGATTAAGGTTATCGGCATTCACGATTGTCTCGCTTGGAAGGAAGCGGAATTGATCAAGAAGGCGAAAAGAGATCCAAAGGAGGAGGGCGTAACGTAGTCGGCGTAGGTGGCGGGCGTCGTGTTGCGTGGTTTTCTTAGTGTGACGGCTGTCACTTTTCCTTGTCCTGCGTGCTTTGCTGTTGCGAGCAAGGTACGTACCGAAGAGGGGCAGCTCGGTGCGGGTCCTGACAAAACAGTTTTTCTTGCATCTGCCACACGGCAGCCTTGCGCGTGTTCCTTCGTTGGAGCCTGTCGGACGGGTCATCTGGTCACCGTATCTGGCATGGGCATGCAGGGTCCTGCCTGTTTAGATGCTAGATTGGGCATACATGCACTGACACACATGCAGTCATTGAGCTGTAATCTGTATCGTGAATTGGCATGATCACGATGGAGATGTTGGGCGGCGGGAAGCAAGTAAGGAACAAGGGTAAATAAACATTTTGTGCTTCGTTATGTGCAGATGCAACAAACATCCTTATTTGCTCATGCAAGCTATGCTACTTCTGATTTTCTCTCTCAAACAAAATAAAGCCTTACATAGCGCCGAGTACCGACGAAGGACCCGATACTTCAGCTATAGGCTGGAAGACGTTGAAATCAAAGCTTCCATCAAATCTTCCATCTGTAGCAAAAAACAAACAAACGAAGGAGGTTGTTGTGTACCAAACAGAATCCTGCCGTGGTATAGAATCGAATTGAAAAACTCCCGTAACACCGTAGTCGCCATGACATCCGTAAATTACTCGGGTAAAATGTAAAGTTGTTGTAAAAAAAACCAACGATCAAGGGCGCAATGTGCCATGGTATATGCGCAGAATGGAGCTGCGACAACACTGAGCCGAGCCGAGCTGAGCTCATAGGGTTGTCGAAAGGGTGGTAAGACAGAAGCTGTTTGCTGAATCGAAGTGTAAAGACGAACGCCGGTTCCCAATCCTGTGCCGCTATGCAGATGCTCATAAACGCGGTGTCAACGTGCGTGTGTGTTCGTATGTTGGAAGGTTGCGGTGATGGTCAGTATGTGAGGCAGTAGACCATCATGATTGCATGATAGTGAGGGTTCGAGCGACGAGTGGCGTCCATGATGAGTCGGGGCCTGGGAGGAATGCCGACTTGGTGTAAGCTCACAGCGCCCATAGGTTGCCGAACGAGCACTGATTGTTATTTGATGATTCTGCCCTTGCCCTTGACTTTGGACGCTTTTCCGGCGCCCGTAGAGGTGAGCTTGCTCGTTTGCATCAGCTCGCCGATATATCTGCGAATCATTAGTCACACGTCGCGAAACAGATGCTCGAGGTACCTACGATTGCAGGAACTTGTTGCCGCCCTCGAGCTTTTCGTGTTCGTTCTTGACGACTTCGACACGATCAACAATCTGCATGAGGCTGGCTTGTAGAGCTTTGGCTTGTCTAGCGAAACGGTTAGCCTGATATGGGCTGGGACGATAAGTCAAAACGCGGAACATTGAAGACAACGAGTAGAGGGAAAAAGACATGGTGCAACGAGCGACGACGACGACGACAACAACAACACAACAACAACAGCGAGGTTGGCCGATGGTGTTCGCAGCGTCGACACCATGTATGGTGATGCAGGGTTGAGGTACTTACTCTATCAGAGCTTGCCGAGCATCCTGGCCCATCTTCTCGATTTCTTCGCTACTCCGGCGAGGGCTCATGGTCCGCGCATCGCCGTCATCGTACTCCTCCTCCTCCTCCTTCATCTCGACATTGGGGCTGTCGCGGGGTATTATGATGGTGCCGCTGGATTTTCTGCTCCCTAGACGGGGCCTGGTCTGTAGTGTGGGGTCGTTTTTCATCTCCGTGTCGCTGATGGAAGAGTTGGACGAGGAAGTCGACATGTCGTCGGGGTAGGATTGTCGGCGGCCGTCTTGCGTAGAAGTAGACGGATGGGGAGTGATGAGAATCTGCGGGTTCATTGCACGGGACAGTATGGTGCGGCTCTCAGAGTGTAGGTTTAGGGATGGAGCCAGGTGGGCGAGCGTCGGCAAGAGTATGCCGTAGGTGGGTTCAGGCCAAGATAAAGCCACACGGTTGATGTGGAAGGATGTTAGAGTGGGTGGGCCCTTGTCGGCACTAAGCCAGATAATGCTTCAGGGTCTCCCGAGACGAGGATCCCTGCCAATGTAGCGTGGAATGCGTAAAGGAAGACTGGCGACTTCAGAGCCTAGCAGAAATGCTCGGAGTGGCGGCGGCAAAGTAGTCAATAGCGCCCTCGTATGACTCTCGAGAAGAGCACGAGATAGTGAACCTTTTCGCTGTCGTCGGCGAGTGTTGCAGTCCACACCCAGTGCACCCAAGCTTTGTGAGTTGATCGGCAAGGGCAGAGCACCCACCAGAGGCGCGGATGATTAGAAGCGGTCAATTAGCGCTGCGATGGCCGGACAGCTATTACCAGGAATTCGCCCAAGGAAACTGGGGCGTGTTGGCGAATGTATTCGTAAAGTGCAAGGGCAGCGTGGACCGTGTCTGTTGTCTTGAATCAGTGAAGAGCGTGGGTTGGTGAGGATGAGCAGCAGCGATTGCAGTGCCCTGGGAGGTGAAGGCATGCAAAGGCTGAAAGCGGTGCATGACGTCGCCAGCAGCTGTGAGACATGGAAGAGCTGATCAATTGCCCCATTGCGCCACGTCCCACCGCGCACAGCTTGCACGGCTTCTCAAGGCGGGCGGCTGACATCACTGAACACTGCCGTGGGATCCGTCAACCACCAATGGCGTCTGGGCGGCCGCCTCTAAAGAGATGTGAGGTGGAAGTCACGATGATGGTGCCTGCATCGCTCAACGGCGTCGCCTGTGAACCGCGCGCAGCCTCAGTTTCCCACCCTCCTCACCACCCTCACCCCTCTCCCAATCCCACACCCCGCCCAAGGTATTGTACCCACTGCCCCCTACTATGTACAGCACAGCAATCAAATAGCGCGCACAAGTCAACGTGTTGCAGACCGATAAATTGCGGGTCATGCTGTCCATGCGCACATCACCAGCCGCTCATGTTGGGCTTGGTTGCTGATCGTTCTTTGTCTGCATTCCGTTTCGTCGAGGATGCAAACCAGAAATATATAAGATCGGCTAAGAGGACCCGGCGGCGGCGGCGCTGGCCTGCCACTTACGCTCCCACAGTATTCGTAGATTGCCGTTGCGACCAATCCACGACCGTTGGCACCACCAGTATGCACAGCGCCAAACTTGCGGCACACTCAAGAGACATGCTGAGGGCTGTCTCCAGGGCGCCAGTCGCTCACATTCCCTCGCATCAGCTCCTGGGACCCTGAGATCTCGTATACGCTTTACTCCGCACCATGCCATGACCAATGACGAAATTCTGGTTTGATCAGCACAGCACCCTGGACACTGCGCAACCGCTCACGGTGCTTCTATTCGACCTTTGCCCGCCGGGCCAAGAGCTTCTTTTCGTGCAACATGACAGCTTTGATTGGGTCATGACTGGATGGAACAATTCCCGCCTCCGCCGCAGCACTGTCGCACTTTGTCCAACCCGTAGGCCTGTTGCATTGGAAAACGGTGATCTCCAGGATCATGACGTCCCACGTTCCAACGTGAGAAAACATACTCGTCTAAGTGGCTTACCGTTTCCCCATTATCAATAGGTTGTTTCAGCATTCATAGCTCCATCTCGCCGGTACGATCCGCATCTCGCTAGGTTGTAACTTGTGCTGAAGCAACCATTCTGAAGCTTCCAAAGAGGTCACCGCTGTTCTGCTTCGTGGCGATCCCTCGGGAACACGGCTGGTTGGGGAAAGACAGAGGAACGATTGTCAATTTCCCGCGGGTGTTCGAGTAGGACCGGCACCAGCCGGCCTCGCAGCTGTGCCATGATTGCTTTATTCGGTCCGGCGTCGCGCAGCATGCCCCTACCATGTCTCTACCACGCGTCTACCGTACCTCCTCGCCAGCGTACCATTACCGTTTTCAGTCGGTGACGATCAGCACGGGCTTTCAAGGCAACGCACATGGTCTGCAACATGAGGGCATCCATCCAATGTTCCTACAAGTCTATGACAATTCACATCTCAAATCTTCGCAAGCAACGTGACCGAATCACGTCAACACATACCAGGATACCATCTGCTGAGTTACTTCCGCTCAGACATTCACTCTACTTCCTACTCCAACGTCTCCAACGTCTCCAACTCTCCAACATCACAAAACACGCTCACCACAGCTCGCTTAATTCACTTGATCAATCGGTTTGCATGCTGCTAGCACTCTTCCCGTTGCCTTTGCATCATCGCTGGTCCAGCATTCGTCTGTGGGGTTTCCACTTTTCGTTCTTCGGTGGTTCTTCAGCAGATGGTACCTGAGTCATGTTTCTGTTGTCAAGGGTCCACCTGGTACACGCAACCAATACACCTATATCGGCCCGACACCTCACTCTATTATTTCGCAGCAAGGCGACAGCAATCACGACACTGCGATCTTGGGCCATTGCCGAAGCCAGTAATCGAACGCTGCCGAACCAAGTCACAACATGCCGCCGTTGCGCCGGCGTGCGAGTAACTGTGGAGCTACTGCCTACTATAGTATATCTCCGGTAGGGCTGCATTCGGAGACAGTGCGGCGTTTTGTGTTGCAGAGTGACTTCGCTGGGATGTGGTGATGTAAGTTACGAATATTGCCCGGTATGTCATCACGAGACTTGAAGAGTTGGAAGTGAGGCACCGACAGACTCGCCGGCGACGGAGTTACCGACAACCACGCGTCCCTATAACGTACGATATATAGCCAACGACACGGCCCGTGGAACAATCGGTGGTGAAACAATAGGTCCTCACTGAAGAGAAACCTCTCCTTACTCCTGACTAGCATCAGTATATGGTATGTCTACGGGGCGCTCGTGACCTGTCAGTTTACAGGATGCGAGACTGTTACGATCAAGACTGTCACCACGCGATCTGAACAAACGTCTAATGTAAAACGTGTCTAGTGGTGGAATCCACACGCTATGTCGCTGGATATTCTAAGCTCAGACATGTGTATGCCTTCGGAAGCATTCTCGCTATCGATTAACAGTATCCGACCCCACTCCCTCCGGATATGGCACTTCCGTACAATTGATAGACATCACAACCTGGCTTAGTGAGACCACTCTGTTGGGGATTCCCCGGATCAGCTGCGGCCACCAGCTCGAGTCCTTAACTATCTTCATTAGCTATTTCCGTGGCCGAATAGTTCAGGCCTGCATCAGAATGTCAGGGGACTCATAAGGCAACTAACGCGCAGACGCGCAAGTTGGTGGTAAAACCACAGCAGATTTTTCTCCCCTGATCACGATCGATTGGCGATCTTCATAAGCACGCTATAAATGAGGTACGGGCGATCGATCTGACTTGTTCAATTCTTCGGCGTTATCCTCCATATGCCAATGGGGTTGTAGGATCGTGATCTGGAAGCTTACTGTCATTGACATGGCGCGTACGCGGTTCAACGATCGTATATCGAAGATGCACTCACCTCTACGACGTCCCATTTGCAAACTCAACTCGAGGAAAAGCGCTACGCACCTCCAGTTGATACCGCTCTCCGGAAGGGAAAAACCTGATATCTCCCAGGCGCAACAGTCGCATAGTCTCAGCTTCTTCTTCTTCTTCTTCTTCTTCTTCTTCTTCTTCTCCTCCCTGGAAGTAATATAGTGTCTGCAGTCCGCCAATTTGGGACGTCGGAACTGATGAATGTGCTGACAAACCTAAGCCTATTTTCTATTTTTGAGAATCTTTGCTGGCCATGTACCAGAAAGGGATTCCGCTTGCTAGGATAAGAACTGCTTGTCATTAATTTGAAATCCTGGGTCAAGATGAAGTAGGAAATAGGATATTTACACTGTTGCATTGACTTATCCGGTGTTGTTTCTTCTCGTGGTGTTCGTTCATTCGCAGTACGCCCACTTATTAAGCATACAATTGCATCTCGTACGTACCCTATGAAGGGATGAATAAGGCAGCACCATCTATTAGCCAAACTCATGGTGTTAGATGAACGTAGCGATCCATCACGTTTAGTAAGACGGAATCATGCCGTAGAATAGGACGAAGTGAGGAAATAAACACGAGACACTACTAGAGTACGTATACCAAACGCATATATTTATAACGAGGCAATACCTCGCTTTCTACCTCTTCAAAACATCCACCCACCCCCGCGGCATGACCCTGCCCCCTCCAACCCCTCCCTCAACCACGCTTCTCCATCAAACCCAAACTCAACCAACAGGTCCTCACTCCCCCACTCCCCATTCCCACTCAACCCAATCGGCACTTTGCCCTCCCCCCTAGTCCCTTCAACATAACCAACCGGGAACTGTATACAAGGCACACCCGTAAAATTCGCCAACCAAACATACTCCATATTCCTAATCTGCTTATTTCCATTCGTAACGCCGTGGGACAGCTCCGCGGGGTCAATAGGCCAGCCTGCATTCGGCGTTGTGGGCGTGACAATGATGAGGCCGGGGTGTTTTTGAAATAAGTTGGCGAGATGTTCCATTAGTATGTTACGCAGGCGCTGGGCGAGCAGGAAGTCTGTGGCAGGACTCTGGCGCGCGACACTCATTAGGATGCGGTTGGCGGGCGTGAGGTCGTAGATGGAAGTCTTGTGGCCTGCGGCGCCTTCGGCCATGATGGTCATTGCATGGGCTAGTTGGCCTTCTGTTAGCAGCGGGATGGTGATGTCGATGATTTGGTAGCCTAGTTCTGATTCAAAGTACTGTAGGGCGGAGTGAACTGCTTCTTGTACTGCAGGGTCTGCGCGATCGATCCACGCTTTGTACACACCCAGCACTTTGTTTCGGGGCCCGGTGTGCTTTCTGGGTGGGCTGAAGAGCGATGACGGATACGTCGATGGGTCGGGCTGGGCGAGGATCCGGTATGCGATCTCGAGATCCGACATGTTGCTTGCGAGGGGCCCACGGACGGTGACGGATTTCCCGGCATCTGGCATTGGTGCGACGGAGACGCGAGAGTGTGAAGGCTTCAGACCGTAGAGACCGCAATAGTTGCTGGGGATTCTGACCGAGCCACCACCATCTGACCCGATGGCAAAGGGTATGAGACCATGTCCTACAGCAGACGCAGCGCCTCCTGATGAGCCGCCCGGGTAGTATGAGCTATTGTAAGGGTTGATTGGTGTGCCCCAATTGGGGTTATTGTTTGTGGTATCTACACCAGTTAGTATCGTGCTGAAGGTCGCAGACGCTTCGACTCACCCATGCCCAGTTCGTGCATGGTCAGCGTTCCAACCAGGATAGCGCCTTCTTTCTCGACCATCTTCGCGCACCAACTGGTATCCTTGTTTCCGCCATTGCTATAGTCATGGGTGGTGCCGATGTAGTGCTTGTAACCCTTAACCTTGAGGTCATCCTTGACACCAAACGGCACGCCGTCTAGTATACCCAGTGGCTTTCCTTGCTTGTACCGTTGCGTGGAGGCTTCGGCAGCTTGTCTGACCATGTCTACCTTGCTGTCCATGAAGGCTGTCGAGTAAGGCGAGCGCTGAGCGACATCTCGGCGTATAAGGGGGAGAAGATGTTCTACGACTTCGGTGGGCGTAAGTGCGCCACTCAAGTATGCATCGTGAAAGTCTTTGATCGAGTGAAATCGGTTTGACGAGGCGTGGCCGGGGGATGCGCGAAGGTTGGAGTTGTCTGTGTAGCTAACAGAAGCATCGTTGGACTCAGATAGCGGTATCACGGTGGGATCGTAGCGCGGGTCGATTCCGTCGAGCTGCCTACATTCTCGCAAGGAGCTGAAGCCGGCATTGCTCCAGAGGACGCCAGGGACCAAGGGTACAGTCGCGACGCTGAAGCTGTCAGCTGGGTATACAAGTGAGGAAGCTGAGGTAGCTTACAGATTGGAAAGATAGTGCAGTAAAGCGCCCTTAACTACGGGGTTCTTTCCTGGGGGTGGGGCCTTGTATGGCGCGTCGTGAGGTTTGGGTGTGGGATAGTTGAAGAAGCGCGGGGATGTCTGATTGCTTCCCGACATCTTGGCTGTGGCTTCACAGAGCCAATGGCAAAGAAAGACGAAGGGGAATGCGATTGGCTTGCTGGTGCGATTGACCAACACCTGTATTCTTCTTCGCTGCCTTTATTCTGATTCTTGGTAGACCTCGGGATATCTGAAGCACTGCGCTAGCTTTCACATGTGCTAGTTGGGGTGCTTCGTCATTGCCGGTCGCAAGCTCCAAGATATCCGACGGCCCCGTCGCACGCGGCAAGAAAAGAAGCTTTCCAAATCAGGTCCGAAGGTAGCAAAAGACAATATGTATTCAAAATATGTTTGCTGTTCATTGCAGCTGCAGCTGTTGCTACAGAGCCAAATCCAAAAGCCATATCGAAGATGTGGCTCTACTTTCCCTCAAACCTAGCTACCACCCCATAACACCCTAAGAACAAAGATGATATAATCGTATGCATGGCGTCCACCAGCACAGAGTCTCTGAAACTTCAACTTTGAAGATATATTTGTAGTGAATGCTTCTCTCGGACATTCGGGAAGCCAGCGCCGGCTGCATCCGTAACCGTTCGAAGCTATCCATGCGCGTCTACTGCTTACCAGAAACCTGGTCGCCCATGCGGTTGTACTCCTTCTGCATGTTCTCAACCTGCTTCTTCAGGTTCTCCATGTCGCGGTCCTTGGCAGCGAGCTCGTTCTTGAGAGCTCCAACCTCACCAGCGCCGCCAACATCCTTCAGGGAAGAGCCCTTCTTGACGCTGGAGTCACCCTTGAGGCTCTTGACCTCCTCCTCTAGACGGAGAACATCGAGGATCATGACGTAGGTACGGTTAAGGATGAGCGACAGGAAGAGGGTGAAACCGCAGAGGTACATGTTGCGCTGCGAGTAGAACTTGCGAGCCTGGACCTCCATGCGTTCGATACCTCCAGCAGCGACGTTTCTGACGTCGTTAGTATAACACCTTTTATGTGGGGAATATTGACTTACCCTCCGCGACCCTGATCGTCGCCGGAAAGCTCAATTTGCACGCGGTATACGCGGTTGACACTGTCAATGAACAGGATCAGGATGAAGATGAACGTGATCTTCATGCCATATTGCAGCTTTGCTATTATAGGGCTCTCCGAGATGAAGGTGAAGAGCTTGCGGCGCCATGTGAAGGGTAGAGGGACGATGAGGGCGCAGAAGATGAGCATCTCCGTCACCAGGAGGAGGAAGACCTGAAATTGAGTTAGCAGGAAAGCTACATACCGCAGCTTTGGGGGAGCTTACCAGACTGTAGTAGAGCGTCATGTTGGCTACGTGGTATTATTGTCTGTGTTTGTGTGGGAGCGGGGTTAAGCAGAATCAACAATGAATCTAGGAAGAGCTGGCGTGCGAGTGTGTGCAACGATCAGCAGGGAGATGAGAGTCGTGTGGATGATCTGAGGGGATTGCAGGAGTGTTGATGTGAAAGTGGGAACGGAAACGCGATGTGATGTAGGGGAGCCGCCAGCCGCAAGTGCCTAGCTGTGACGTATGATCGCAGCTTTCCCAACTTGCTCGCTAGCGCATGGGCCGCCGGTCTAGCCTCTTCTAGCCGCATTCGCGTTCACAATTTGAGCGAGTGCTTTTCTCTTTTGAGCAGCAACGCCAACAACACACGTGTACTGCAAGCCTGGTCTTGAAGCTTGCATAAAATGACGACAGGTGAAGAGACCTGGAAGGTTGCGCCCGACCATTCGGTCCCGGACGCTGCCGCCACTAATGGCGTGAATGGTGGCAATGGCACGATGAATGTGGAATCTGAACCACCTGCGAGCCCGAAGAAGAGGAACAGGACTAACAGCCAAGATATCGAGGATGCAGATACTTCTGTCAAGCGGGTCAAGGGTGTCGCGCCCATCAAGGCAGAGTACACTACACCACCAACTTGAAGCAACTCACGTGCTAAGAACATCAGGTTTCTCATACGCCTAGACAGCAACAAGGCCGACACAAAAGATAGAGTCATCGACGATGATGCGGCTGAGGGCGCTGATGCTGAGCATAAATCTGAAGGCCTGCCAAAAACTGATGCCCGCGATGGCCCCAGAAAGGGCAAGAACAACAAGAAAGACAAAAAGCAAAAAGGCCAAAACACCAGCCGTACTTTCGGAAGCTCACGCGACAGGCTACCACTCTGCGGTACTCGCGCAGTGTACAACGAATTCTCACCAAAGGAGTGTCCGTTTGGCGACAAGTGCAAATTTGAACACGATATCCGCAAGTATCTGAAGGAAGGCCGACGAGAAGATCTCACTACTTTCGATGGCCAGTGTCCGGTCTATGCCGTCAAAGGATTCTGCCACTTTGGCTGGAAGTGTCGATTCGTCGGCAGTCATTCAGAAGAGCGTACTACAGAAGATGGCAGGCAAGAGTTGGTTCTGAAAGAGGATCCCGACCGCAAAGCCAAATTCTCTAGCTTCGACGAGGAGGCAGAGGCTGAAGTGGTCAATATTGTGCCCAAGGATATCAAGATTGGCTTGTCGAGACGAAAGATTGGCACCCCGCGGTCTGACCAGTACTTGGAATGGATTGAGAAGAACCACCGTAACGAGAGAGAGATGTTCGATGCAGCTCAGATGGATATGGATGTTCTTAAAGAGGAGAAAGAGGCGCGCAGGGCAGAGTATGTCGAGGCGCCCTTCAGACCGTCTGAGAAGCGCAGGCTCTACTATGGACCCGAGACACCTATGCTCGCCCCTCTCACCACCCAAGGCAATATGCCGTACCGTCGACTCTGCGTGGATTTCGGCTGCCAAGTGACTTGGAGCGAGATGGCCATGGGCATGCCACTCATCCAAGGTGACAAGGGCGAATGGCCACTGCTCAAGGCCCATGAATCTGAGATAACTCCTCCGAAATTCCTGGGCAAGAACACGGTGGTTCAGGGCTACGACAACTCCACTGATCTCAAGTTCGGTGCCCAGATTGCTGCGAACAAGCCATGGCTAGCTACCAAAACGGTCGAAGTATTGACTGAATACTGCCCGAAGCTGCGCGCTATCGATCTCAACTGCGGGTGCCCCATCAACCTCGTCTGTGAAAAGGGAAGTGGTTCTGCCCTACTCGACAGCGAAGCCAAGCTAGAGCACATCCTCCGCGGCATGACCTATGTCTCCAAAGAAGTCCCCATCACCGTCAAAATCCGTATGGGCACAAAGGACAACCACCCCACCGCTCAAAAACTCATCAAGCGGCTTGTCCTCGGCGGTCACGAAGCCGTAGAATCCGGAAAGGGCACCTCAGGTATCGCAGCCATTACACTTCACGGCCGAAGCAAACAGCAGCGCTATTCCCGCAGCGCAGACTGGTCTTATATCGCCGAATGCTCCGCCCTCATCAACCGCCTCCGCAAAGAACAAGCCGCCCGAACGGACACCGTTGGCGAGGCTGATCCGCGGGACCTCGCAAACGGCGGCCACGTCTACTTTGTCGGTAATGGCGACTGCTACTCCCACGAGGACTACTACAACCATCTCGACAACGCCGGCGTCGACACCGTCATGGTGGGCCGCGGCGCACTCATCAAACCCTGGCTCTTTGAGGAGATTGAAAAGGGCCAGTACCTTGACAAATCCGCCTCGGAGCGCCTTTCCTATATTGAAAAATTTACGAAATATGGCTTGCAGACTTGGGGTTCTGATGAGATGGGTATCGGTACGACGAGACGTTTCCTTCTCGAGTGGCTTAGCTTCGCGCATCGTTATGTGCCGGTTGGCTTACTGGAACATCTACCGCCTAATATCCAGGATCGCCCGCCGAGGTTCAAGGGGAGGAACGACTTGGAGACTTTGATGGCTAGTGAGCACTACAAGGACTGGATTAAGCTAAGGTATGTTTTTTTTGGTTGTTTACTGACGTGGAGGGCGGTTTGGCTAACGTGTTTCGCAGTGAGATGTTCCTGGGTCCTGCACACCCTAACTTCAAGTTTGAGCCGAAGCATAAGTCCAATGCGTACGAAATTGAAGCTGAGGGTTAGAGAGATGGCGAGACGAGAACGGTGGCGTTGTACTGGGGGTGTATGAGAGTACGTAAGCAAATGCATTGGATGATGGTATGAAAAGCATGGTGGGGCTGATGCATTCATATACTGCTTCTATGGCGTCTTCGAGCATCTGCATCTAGTACCCACGAAAAGTTATACATCAATACCAGCAAGTATCTTCCATGTTACTTCCATCTCACCTATCAAGACAAAACTCGCTGCGTCGGCCTATATATACCAATTACAAAAATCCCACGAGCGTCTCCAACATCTCCCTCTCAGCGGGTTCAACAGCCAACACACCATCAAGCTGCGCCTGCAAAGTCCTCTTGACATCTCCCAACCCTTCATCCCTTTCACTCAACGCCTTCTCAATCGCCTTCTTTGCACCGCCATCCTCGGCCACCAACCAAGCCAGCACCGCATCAATCCTCTCAAGACAATACAAGCCCTCACTCAACCTCTCCGGAATATTCTCCAGCTCATAGCTCTCCAGTTCCTCTTTGCTAGTTAATCCTAATGCTCTTCGCTTCTCCGCTAATCGCTGATCGAAAGCGGAAAGACGAGTAACGTAGTCTCTGCGCAGGGAAACTAGTTTATGAATCTTGTCGTAATCCTTTTCGAGAAATTTGGCGAGGAGACGGAAACGGGTGTCTGAGTTACCGGGTAGCGAGCGGAGGAGGGAGGCGAAGATACCGAGTATGTGTTCGGTTTGTTGGGGATCGTTGTGGGATTTTTTTGTTGTTGCTGATTTGGAAAAGGTGCTGAAGAGGGGTTTTAGACCGCGCGAGTCGATGAGTTTGGTGCAGACGGCTGTTGCGCTGTTGATGGCTTCTTGTGCGACTTCCTTGCCTTTTGAGTTGCCGTTGGTTTGTGGTGATGCGCTTTCTTCTGCGTAGCCACAAGCGTGGTCTAATACTTTCAGGGCACGGCTCTTGCTTGTTTTACCGTCTCGGACGAACAAGAGACAGAGTTCCACACCTTCTGCTTCTAGGAATTTGGCTTTTCCGAGAGGTTCTTCTGTTACGGAGGATAGGCAATTAAACAGGTTCTCCATATACTCCTCCTCATTGCTGTCCTTTTCGGGATCGTCTCTTCGGTACGGCGCAAGATTTGTGAGGAAGGTTTCGACACCGTTTGCGTCGGCTACGTGGTTTCGGTTTGGCCGCGAAGACTGTGTAAGGATGGAGAGGATCTCGGATACGTATTGTTTGTTCTGCGTTGTCGGTTTCTCGGACTTTTGTATTCGGTCTAATAGCCATTTTAGTAGCGCCGTTTCCCGCCCTATTATGTCGGTGTATGTGGGTTGTGACAGTAGGTTCTCGATGACGCTGAGCGAGTTGTAGACGCCCGATGCGTCGGCCTCGTCGCTTTCATCAAAGCGGGAGAAGTTGGATATGAGTAGACTGAGCAGATCGGCGTCCATGAACGCGGTGACAAGCGCGTCCCATTGTTCTTGCTCTCCTCCAACGTCCTCGTCTGTGAGTTCGGATATCATCTCAATCGCTGCGATTGCAATGTCGGTGTTCTCATGCGCCAATAGATCCACTAATTTGGATGCTGCTGTGCTTTTCGCAAACTCGTCGTATAGCTCCGGATGCTCTGACAGTATGCTGAGCGCCTTGATGCCTTCATCCAGATCGCCTTCCGACTCCATAAATTTTGTCGGGTCGTTCTCGTACTTTGCGCGCAGCGATGCGTTCTTGTTGACCTTCTTTTCAAAGTTGAGCGCCAACTTACGTACCCACGGTACGTCGTATCTCTCTTCTCCTATCGCTTCGTCGCCGTCTTGTGCGTCAATGTACTCCATAGCGTCCCGCGCATTCTCATCCAGGCCATCGCCAAAGAACCGTCCTTCTTCATCGTCGCCGGGTCCGTCTTCGAAGTCGGGTGGTAATGAGGGACCAGCCTCGTCGTCGTCTTCGTCGGCTACCGAGGCTTGCGCTGGACCCTTGATGTCGTTGTTTGCATTGAGTTTTGCGGATTTATAGGATTGCGTCGGGTCGGCTTCGTTTGGGTTCTCGAACTTGCGCTTTGTCGAGCCATTTGCGCTTTTGAAGAGGTCGTCAATGCTCGTCATAATGCGCGATGTAACGCAAGAAGAAATAGAAGGAAGGCGGATACAGCGAAGCGGAGTTGGTGAAGTTGTCGCGTCTTCTTTCTAGACAGTGAGGAACCCGTGAACGAAATGGTCCCAGCTCTGTACTAGCGCGCCTTCTCCGCCGCGATGCCTCACATTGTACCGGGTCCACTTCTCCCGTCACCTGCACATCCCATTCGTTCATTTTCCATCATACGACCAGCTGTCAAGTCAGTACTTTACCGGTTTCGAGAATCTGACACGATGACAATTTCCAACATTTGTCCTGAACTTTTGACCCAAAACTCTCCAAAATGGAGCCTGAACATTCCCAGGCCGCGGTGTCGAAGCCGTCATTGATCGTCAGACTTCGCTATCAGCCATTGTGTGCGCAATGCGCTGACATGCTCGCTAGATGGTGCGATCCGCCTGGCTGGCAATATCTTCATCGGTATGTGTGGAGGTGGACAGTTGATGCACTTAAGCAAGACTCCTCAACGTGTCATTGCTGCCGATTCCTGGTCCAAGTGCTGGAAGCAAGCCCTTGGATCGAGTATGAAAACCACGATGAACTTGTTGTCGAGACCAAAATAGTAGGCTCTCAGCACACTTCACCGAGTCCCCATCTTTCCGAGTTCAGGACTTACTACAGGCCGGTGCTATCTGTGGGCGATCGTTACACGAAATCTACTCTTATACTTCCGGTTTCGCAAGTTCACGATGATGATGCAGATGAATGCACTACGCAAACATTCTGTGGAAGACTTGTGAACGATATGGTCGATTTGTCGCTGATCGCGAGCTGGCACAAGACTTGTACGTTGGAACACCAAAGTTCAGTGGATAGCCATGGTTGCTCGCCACAGACACACGTTGATGTACAAGATTTTCGAGTCATTGATGTCCAGAAACGTTGCGTTGTACGGGCAAATGCCAAGGTCGACTACGCGGCGCTCAGCTATGTCTGGGGGAACGCGAAGCGCCTCACACTCTCCAAACACAATGAAGCCTGGCTTTCTACACCCGGCGCACTGGCACAAGATGAAGAAAACGTCCCGAAAACCTTCAGAGACGCCTTGAAAGTGGCTGCTGCCCTAGGAATCGCGAACTTGTGGGTAGACGCATTGTGCATCGACCAAGGAAATCCTGAACAAGTCACACATCACATGGACGCAATGAACACCATCTATGGCAGTGCTATTCTCACTATCGTTTCGACTGCTGAAAATGCCAACTCAGGTCTTCCTGGTATCAGTTTTCCCCGTGGACCTCCCCAGGTGACCTTCCAATATAATGGAGCTTGCTATTTAAGTTCTAAACCAACATTCGGGACGGCCCTGCAAGATTCTCCTTGGGAGAAACGCGCGTGGTGTCTGCAAGAAAAGCTCTTCTCTGCTAGACTCCTGGTTTTCACAGATAATCAGGCTTTCTATCATTGTGGCGCAGCGACGTGGTTCGAGGATACAATCATGGAATTGAAGGAAAGCCTTCATGGCGCTGTACAAATGAGAGAGAAAACAAAGAACGAGAGAAAAAGCGAACTTGAGGACCGCCCATCGTATCCGGCCTACGATACTCACCGTACAGCCTTCGAAGACAGGAATTTCTGGTCGCTTGTACAAAGCTATAGTCAGCGGGAGATATCCTACGAAGAGGATGTGATACGCGCCTTTGGAGGAATTCTACGATCGGTAGAAGCAGACCATGGTCATGCTATATGGGGAATCCCTCAATATCATTTTTTAAGAGGACTGTCATGGTATCAGGGCCAGCATCAGATGAGCCTACGTCGAGAGGGGTTTCCAAGCTGGAGCTGGGCAGGATGGCGTACTCATGGCATTGACTTGTCCTTTGCGAATTGCAAGAGGAAAAATACCGATATTGGTGTCTCCTATGGTCGATATCGTGTTGCTCGAGGCAAGCAAGCTGAACGCTCCGTGTGGGATCTCTCCTGGTACTACCATGCGACTGATGAACCCGGTGGCCAATTAAGAGCTGTACAGCTTGAACCCCAAAATCGTAACGCGGAGCCTGAAAGTGCCCCTCTCCCGGATGCAGCAACAGAACAGCCCATGGATCCAGGTAGTGTGTTTCTTTTTCCGAGAAATCCTGAGTGGTTTCACGCATCACGAAAGGACCCGGAATCCCTGGAGAAAGCCAATATGAAGTACAAATACTTGCACGAATGGGACCTACTTGGCCACCCGGAAACTGTACAACCTACCCACGAACCATTGCCACCCCTTGTGCCAGGGCCAGGAATGCCTAAATTATCGCATATCCTCCGGTTCTACACCAGCGTTGCTACAGTGCTGGTCCATCCTGGCCTGATCAGGTCTGACTGGACTGGTAAAGGAGAACATCCCCTCCTTATCCCTGGCACTGACACTGAGCTCGCTAGGGTGGAGCTGGACCCGCTCTGGTCTGGCATTGGTAAGACTCATAGCCTTGTTTATATATCGAGACACTGTCGCGAGTATATCACGTATGAAGAGCAGGACAGTTCTGATCCAGAGAAACTGCACCTCTTACTAGTTGAGAGTGTTCCGGGATGGGGTGAAGTGAAGAGCAGGGTGCAGTTGGTGCAAGAAGTCAGTATATTGGACTGGAGGAAGGCGAACCCAAGGTGGGAACTGGTAAACCTGGGATGAAACCCTCGGGCTACACACAGGCGACCGAGGGTCGAACTGTCATCTGATCTTTTAGTCCTCAGTCGAGCAACACGCCACTTTCGGCATCCAAGCTTACATCAGTAAATCAAATCTGCGCATACTGTTCGCTGCCTGTAGATAACGCTATGGCACGTGGCATGGCTATTTTCGCCTCGCTGCGTGCAACAAAAAAGCACTTAATTGTGCAGGATATCATCTGATTAGTGGAGTGTCCCAGGTACTCTGCGCCACTCGAAACTAGGCTGGCTAGATTGATCCTCATACTGTTGGTACAAAGTGACTGTGCGGCTTTTCCGGCCGCTTCTGAAGTAGGCAGGTCGTCTCGCCACCCTGTACAAGATACATGGACTGCATATATAGTGACACTTGGCAGGGGTTGTGGCTGTTCAGCCACGCTTGGCATTCGGGTGGTACCATACAAATCGCAGCTAACAATCTGCTCTACGCAAATTCCGACGCGCGCCTGGACTTCACCTCGAGAAATTCGTGATGTCACGAACCCGGGACACGATTTTAACGCTGGAGATTCTTTGGCGGTCTGCGTCTGGCTGGAGATCTTCAACAGGTCGTAAGAATCACCTGCAACGCGATGAAACCCTTCTGTTAGAACTCGAGCGCTCGACTTCAGCATCTCCAGTACCTCAGCGACAGAGTCGAAAACACCGCATCACTGGATGGAGATTTGGCGTCATCGGCGGCGGTGTTGCAACTTCTGTGGTCTTTCTTATCAACCTTATCGTTACTATAATCTTAAGTACCCGAGCGGGTGCTAACGGACTACTATTCGAAGGAGATTGTGACCACGCGCAGCATATCAACTCTGTGCTACACGTCGTCATAAATGTTCTAAGTACTGTTCCATTAAGCTCAAGCAATTATTGCATGCAATGTCTGTCGGCACCAACGCGAAAAGAGGTCGACGTTGCCCACGTTCAAGGGAGGTAAGTCTTGAGTGCGCGAGTTTCATGTGTGGCATACACTGATTTCGTATCTTCGTGTCCCCAGGTGGCTCGACATCGGTGTTTTGAGCGTGCGTAATTTGCGTCGAATTAGCCTGAAGCGGGTTATACTCTGGTCTCTTTTAGGTCTCTCTTCGTTGCCTTTGCATTTACTGTAAGTTGAACTACACGAAGACAGTAACAACACCTAATGCTTTCGGATACAATTCCACAGTCTTTATATCGGTTGCGAGTCACAGTTATTCGGTCTGGGCAATTCGTCAATCTTTCGTCGATAGCCCTGCAGCACTAAACGAAGGATTAAGCCAGTTCGAGCGGCTTGAAAACATTGACTACATCAACGCTTACGCCATGATGCTCCAACGGAGTAGAGGCGACGTATATCTAGTCGTAGATGACGTTGATATTCCATGGGGAGCAACCTACATCCCAGGGGCCTACAGAAATGTGGACTTCTTCTGGGGTTTTTCGTTCAGTTACCATGGCAGTGTCGACCCCTGGAACTCATTGTATTACGATTACTACCTGTGGATCTGCTCTACTCTGCCCTACGATACTCAGTGTGATGCGGTAATCGGCCAAATCAAGGCTTCCGCCACGGACTGGACTGTAAGTTCTGGGCCGGCCTATCCAGCCAAATATTGCTTGAGTAAGAAAATCGACTCCCAGTGCAAGGTCAGATGGAATTTCTCAATCGCGGGTTTCGTTACCGCAGTAAATCTTCTCAAGACACTTATAATCTTTTATACAGCCTTTGGTATTACAGAGTCACCGCTGATGACTGTGGGGGATGCTGTGTCATCCTTCTTAGAAAGAGAAGATAAATCAACCACGAATATGTGCCTTACATCAATCGAAGATATCGGAACCACTAGGAGAGGGTTAGGCAGGGTCATGGTTCCGAGAAAGTGGGCTGATAGGAGATTTAAAACAAAAGATGGGCCGAGCAGGTCTCGCCGTTCTGTTACATTTCTGCTGTAAGTTGCCCCGGCCATATCCGAATGTGGGCGGAAGAACGCTCAAATATCTTGTCGATTGAGTTTTTTTTCCGCAGTTTTGCTAACGGCAAACAGGGTGGGTATCTCAATCGCGATAGTAGCTAGCTTTCTCGGTTACGCTCTATCATACTTGACAACAGAACGCAGGTCTCTTCGCATGCTCGCTCAGATGGGCTTTGGGACAGTGGACCCTCGAAATCTGATTTTCTACGATATCAAATCGGTGATTGGGAATGTCCTAGTAGCAAACTCACCGCAAGTCTTTCTGTCTGCTGTGTACTTCTCGTACAACAGCTTGTTTACTTGCATGCTACTAGGCTGGGAGTGGGCGTCATATGCGCATGAACGCAAAGGATTGAGAGTTTCTGCTGAACCGCCCAAAGGAGCTCAGAGATCATCCTACTTCTTATCGCTGCCATATCGGTTTGCACTACCTCTTATGGCAGTAAGCGGTCTGCTACATTGGCTAGTATCGCAGAGTATATTCATCGCTGCGATCGACGTGAGTTGAGAACACAATTCATAAGTAGTCTTTTTTGTTGAGCTGACAAGCTATATTAATTTCACAATGTTGATCCTCCCACTGAGCTGATCACTTGCGGGTACTCCCTTATTGCCATGATATCCGTTATCGCGGTCGCTAGCTTTCTGCTGTTTATCGGGATCGGGGCGGGTTTTTTTCAATATCCATCAGGAACGAACTTAGTCGGAAGCTGCAGTATAGCGATAAGCGCAGCATGTCACCCTTCCGAGAACACCAAAGGCTCTGAAATAGCTATTAAGAGGTTGAAATGGGGTGCTGTTGAGACACTACCAGATGAGATAGGCCACTGTTCGTTCTCTAGTGAAGCGGTAGAGTTACCGAAGAAGGGGAGGTTGTATGCATGATGCCATCCCGATGTAGCCAATTCTTATGCTGTCTAGACAGTGCAAGGCTCTTGAAGTGATATGATCTTCGTATATAAACTCCTCCAAGCAATAAATGCTCTTAAACAAGCTATCTGTACGGTAATTAAAAACAAGGCAGTTCGTCGAAACATACAGCCTCGCACTTCGTTGCCCAAAGCGGTACCTAGATACATTTCAGTCAGGAATATACGGTGTATACGCTCCCTGCCGCTCGCTCTCTGATGGAAGCCTGCCTAGTCGTTGTGGAGGCTACAAAGCCAACGAACTACCTCTTCATTGGAAGACACCTAAACGAGATATCGGTCAACACGAGGATCATCAGATAATTATCCAATCATTCATTTCGCTATAGTGCAAGTCGGAGTTTTCGACCTCGGAAGTAGATATTGCCAGACTTGTAGGCTACCTTGGATGCCTGAAGTTCATGAACAAGATGGGCCTAGATTCAGGCAACAGCACCCACACGACGCGCCTCGTTATTCTACCTCGCGACGCTACATAAGCGCGCAACACTCTCATGGATCTTCAATCACATCTCAATTCTCTCTAAGGCTTCTTTGTCAGCACACAAGGAGATATCAGGACTAAAATGCATGTGGGTATGAACGGGTGCGGAAACTGCGACGACTGTGCTCGAGCACAACGGCAAGCACGAATCAGAGCCGCCAAAGATGCTGCACACGACCCTAAGCCAATCCCTCTGTGCATCTGCTCAGCCGAAGCAATCAACCCAGCATGTCCTGTTTCCAAAGCTGATCAAGAACCGCTTGCTTGGTCCCTCTCCCCCTCAGATATTCTGGACCAAGGCAATTGCCCACTATTCACGCTCATCCCCCGCGAGATCAGAGATATGATCTATACATACGCCCTTACGGATACGACATCATATCCCGTGGACCGCGATCGTCCCGAACACCGGAACCCTTTTGCCCGATTCGACCGCTTTGGTTCGCATCAGAGTCCTGGTGTTAATTTGTACCCCTCTGATATCGCTTTCCCTTTGCTTTTGTCTTGTAAAGCAGTTTACCTGGAGACATATGCCACGCCCTTGAGGATCAATCACTTCATTGTGGGCGAGCTATCCAGACAGATGAAAAAGTATAACTTCTCCGCTTGGCAGCTAGCCCAGATAAACGGGTTAGACATCACGCTCCCACAAGCTGCATTGGAAAACGGGGCGTTGAGAAATGCTTTGCAAGAGTGGGAGCCGGGTCTCAGGCACAACGGGGTTTATGTCGTGCCGACTGAAGTTTTACACTCCAAGCTTGACATAAATCGACATATACGCAACGCTGGCAGGAGTGAATACAGGCTCCTGGAAACTTTCTGCAACAACTATATTATGCCTTCGGTTGGCGAGACGAAGAAAGGCCCCCAGCGCTTGATAGACGTTGCAGATCGTCTTGGAATACCGCAGGAAGCGGTCTTTCCATGTGCTAACAATCTAAGGGTTGAGCGAGCTCATCCGATAACGCATCTCACTCTCCGCCTTACACACAGCGACTGGTGGACATGGGGTAACGCGCCTTCTAAAGATCCTCGTCGACAACTCTGTCTAGATCCAACGTTTGGGCAGTTTCTGGAGGGCCGCCCTTCAAACGAACGTATGCGCTTTCGTGCTTCCGAGCGCCTTGCTGGTCGGCATCCGCGTCTCGACCCACAGTGTTGGGGTTCGCACATCAGCTCCTCGCTTCCAGATCTCAAGACATTGGAGTTAGTATTGGAGACGTGGAAAGTCAAGGAGGAACAATTAGAAAGTGTGATGCAGTGTGCGAAGACGTGGAGGTTCTGTGATGATGGAGGGGAGAAAGAGAAAGAGAGGCGTGCATTGGTATGGGATGGTGAGGTAGTGGGGAAACGATGGGGTAGGGGATTGCGAGGATTGAGATCGCCAAAGGATGCGAACTGGTCTGATCGATGCAAAGACTTTGAGGTGAGGGTTGTACGATATGTGAGAAAGACAGTAGAGGGGTAATTTACGCAACATCATCAGAAAACCAGGCTTCCCATTCGCGTCGTCTCTTGGTGGAATATGCGCAGAGGACCTTTACAGCTTACTCTCTCCTTCTTGCGGTACCTTGACAACGACCTTGCCCCAACTATCACGTCCACCCAACGCCTTTAACGCAGCGGGTACGCTCTCCAAACCTACGTACTCGGTATCGGTAAAAGCAGTGCCCCTGTACTTTCCTTCCTTGACAAGCTGGAAGATGCCGTCCCAGACCTTGTCTTGCATTTCCGGCTCGTTTATTGCGTACGCACCCCAATGCAGCCCCACAACACTGACGTTCTTGAGCAAGATGCGGTTCGTAGCCATCTTCTCGATATCGCCCGCCGCAAATCCAATGACCAACAGTCGGCCGTTCCAGGCCGTGCATTTCATGGACTGAGCGATCAGACCAACAGGATCGTATACGATATCTACGCCACGGCCCTTGGGCGTGAGCTTCTTCACTTGTTCTGGCCAGTCCTTGTCTCGGTAGGAGACAGCGTAGTCTGCGCCGAACGATCGCGCGACGTCGAGCTTGTGCGAAGTGCCAGCTGTGGCTACTACGGTTGCGCCAAAGGCTTTAGCGATTTGCACGGCGGCTAGACCGACACCACCGGCTGCTGCGTGAACGAGTACCCAGTCACCTGTGGGATTATGTTAGTTCCCGGCTGAGAAGATAGAATAGGAGTGGAGAGGGATTAACCAACCCTTCTTGATGCCTGCTCTAACCACCAAACCCGCATAGCTTGTTGGTGCTGTAACGAACACGCCAGCCGCATCTTCGTAACTCCATCCCTCAGGTACTCCCTTGAGTTTCTCCTCTGTGCAGACTATGTGTGTTGCGTAACCGCCTTGAGAAGCTCCAAAGACCTTGTCACCCTCCTTGAACTTTGGTGTCTTGCCTCCTGCGAGGGAGGTCGGCGCTTTGAGCACGACACCGGAGAATTCCGAACCGGCTACCCAGGGAAACGCGGGTTGATGCTGGTATTTGCCGCGAATCTGAAGGAGATCGAAGAAGTTGGTTGCCGAGGCATGGATGGCGATGAGGTATTCGTTGGATTTCGGTGTCGGTGTAGGAAGGTCGAGGACTTTGAGATCTTCTGGTCCCTGTTATGGTCAGTAGTGAAGTTTGTAGGTTACCAGACGAGAGATGTACCTTGACATATTCCTTGATCTGTATGCCTTTCATGTTGAGGGTTGACTGAGGCTTATGATGGATGGAGATAGAAGTGAAATTCGGAAGTAGAATACAAGAAACGATCAGTCGGGAGCTTGAGGATCAATTCGGGTATACAGAAAGGACGTGAACGCCATTGTAGCTTACATGACGGCAGATAGCTACTCTACGCTCAGAAGATACCTCGGCTTGCATCCCCGGTCAACCTCCGCTCCTTCCCCCACCCGGAAGCTTGGCTCACATGCCTTAGTAAGCGGAAGCTGCGCCATCTGCATGGGCGCGCGCTAACGATGGCAGGGTACAAGGTGCGGGTCCAGTGACGTTCCACTGCCTTCCAATCGTATCCAAAGCTAATGACAGCCTCTCTTCCAGTCAACACATCTCTGCTTCTACACGACTCCCTCTCGCCAAGGACACGTATCACTTCGCAGCCTATACTCACAGAATAGACAGCTTTACTTGCTCAAGTGCCTGTAGAGCTTCCTACCGCTACCCCACGTTCGTAGCATAGCCACCATGGCCGACGACGCCGCCACAACCACCGAGGACACGCAGATCACCTTCAATGTCAAGGCTGCAAACGACCAGAAGCATGTACTCACACTACCCAACACCACCACAGTCGCCGACCTCAAGGCCAAGCTCTCGACGTCGGAATACGCAGATGTTCCTGCCGAACGCCAGCGCCTGATATACTCCGGTCGCGTACTGAAAGACCCCGACACACTCGCTAGCGTCAAGATCAAGGACGGCCACACAGTCCATCTGGTCAAGGGCGCCGCTAGCAACGCGAGACAGAACCCCTCGAACCAAGGCACAGCAAGCACAACAAGCGGAGGCAACACGCAGACGCCACAGGTGCCGACCAACATTGCTGCAGGAACAGGCAACAACCCTCTTGCTGGCCTAACAGGTGCGCGCTATGCCGGTTTCCACGGCCTACCAGGAATGGACACTTTCGGTCCAGACGGTGGCGTAAGTTTTGGCAAACCCGGTATTCGACAGGGACATACTAACATGTAGTAGATGGGTGGTCCCCCTACAAACCCTGAGGCGATGCTGGAACAGATGGAAAACCCTATGTTCTTGTCGCAACTTAACGAAGCTATGAACAACCCAGCAGTAGTGGATATGATGCTGCAGAGCCCAATGGTGAGTTCGGACGCTTACTTTACCTTGCCCTGGTCTAACCTAAGATAGATCCGCGACAACCCAATGCTCCAGCAAGTCCTTCGAAACCCCGAGATGCGCCGTATGATGTTCAGCCCAGAGATGATGCGTATGCAACTCCAAATGCAGCGGAATATGGGCAGCAGCGGCCCGAGTTTCCCGGCCCCAGGAGCTACAGACAACACAACACAACCAGGCTCGACTGCAACAGGCGAAGGCACAACCGCGACACCAAACCAGCCTAACACAACCGGGCCCACAGACCCGTTCGCTGCATTTGGTGGAGCTGGCGCCGGTGCCGGAGGAGCTGGTGCCAATCCATTCGCCAGTCTGTTTGCAGGAGGCCAAAATCCTTTTGCTCTACAGCAACAAGGTGCCAACACTGGTGCGGCACCAAACACACAAGATGCTTCAGGCACCTTTCCCAACTTATTTGGCGGTGCTGGTGCACAAGGCGGACAAGCGAACCCATTCGCCGAGGCAGCTCAAAGGATGATGCAGGACCCGGAAGCTATGCGCAACATGATGCAGATGATGGGTGGCGGTGCAGGAGGTGCAGGAGCAAACCCGTTTGCTGCTTTTGGTCAAGGCGCAGGAGCTCCAGGAGGTGACACAGCACAACCGGGCGGCGCCAACCCTTTCGCCGCACTCTTTGGCCCCGGTGGTGGATTCGGAGACGGCTTCGGTGCACCCGCAGCACCAGCAGACAACCGGCCACCTGAGGAAGTATACGAGACCCAGCTCAGGCAGCTAAACGAAATGGGCTTCTACGAGTTCGACCGAAACGTCGCAGCGCTGCGACGAAGTGGCGGCAACGTCCAAGGTGCAATCGAGCACCTCCTTAATGGCGGATCATAGCGTGCTTTCCCCCGGATTTTCTTGCTCCCAGCGCTGCCAGGACCACTGTACTTGACGCAAAATGAATTGTAGGAAATCGAGCGTTACGAAGAGAATAAGCGACGAAGCCTAGCTGAGGAAGACGTTGGTTGTGGCCTTGATGGCATTTCAGATGCTTATGATAGCGATGAGGACTGGTCTTTTGAGTTCGAGGACGATGAGACGCTTGTTGGGTCTAATGGGCCCAAGGAGTCATGTGATAGATGATGATGATGATGATGATGATGATGATCATGGTGATGAGATGGAGGTGGTAATATTAGGTAGGGCGCACAGATGCGTTATGATACATGTCACAGATACCAAGCAGTAGGCAGCAAAATAATGCCCATTCATAGACATGACCATGACACCAGACAATGGTTTGATAATCCACAGAGAAGCATTTCTTGACTTTCAAACTACGTAGGTATACAAAAGCAGAGACCAATGCCCCCTTTGTCTTCAATAAATATGCATTTTTCGCAAGTCAACTTGGAAGGCCGAGAGACCCATTACAAACGTAGATAGAAAAAGGTTGAACGCCTGGCTAAACCTCCGCGGCAGCCTTTATTTCCTCTTCATTCATTCTGTCCCCCCAGGGAGAAAAAAAGACAACGATGTAAAGAACAAAACGCCATAACCATGCAGGCAAAACTTATGAGGATCTAGGCGGACTACTAATGTCGCCCCCCAGGACAGAGGTTTGTATGATAGCAGAATCCAGAACCTAATCTTATGATGGAGAGCCCAGGACCTCCGCGTCGTCGGACGACTAGTCACGCACACTCAATCCGGAGCGATCGGTAAACATGCGAGTAGCAATGTTCATGGCGAGGAGTTCCTGGAAGAGGAGTTTGGCAGCGTATGGGATGTGGATTTGGGAGATGCGGGTCTTGTTGTGGCACGGGCGGCATTCGTAGAGACCCTTTTTGAGTTGTCTGTTTTCTGTATTAGCGGGCTGTGAAGGAGGGGAGGAATAGGTAGGAAACACTTACGCAATAGGACTCATCAGACCACAAATGTCACACACGTGCACCGTGTACGCATCCGAGACGGTAAAGAGACGTTCCTTCAAGAAAGCAGCAGCACCGTGGGCAATCATACAATCACGTTCCATCTCTCCGAAACGCAGACCACCATCCCTAGCACGACCTTCCACCGGCTGGCGAGTGAGAATCTGCAGCGGACCACGGGCACGAGCGTGGATCTTGTCGTCGACCATATGCCTCAGACGCTGGTAGTATGTGGGACCCAAGAAAATTTGCGTTCGCATCTTCTTGCCAGTGTGGCCGTTATACATGATCTCGAAACCACGTTTTTGGTAGCCGGCATCCTCGAGCAGACCGGAGACCTGGTCGACGGTAATGTCGGTGAAAGGTGTAGCGTCACCTTCTTGTCCTGTGATAGCACCGACTTTGGAGAGCAGACACTCGATCAAATGAGCAATTGTCATACGGGATGGAATGGCGTGGGGGTTGATGATCAGATCCGGTGTCAAACCCTCCCTGGAAAACGGCATGTCTTCTTGACGGTACGTGATACCAATGGTTCCCTTCTGACCGTGACGGGAAGCAAACTTGTCACCAATCTGTGGGACCTTGGTAGTTCGCGTACGAACCTTGACGAACCGGAGACCCTCAGTATTAGTGGTGAAGAGTACCTGATCGACAATACCGTTCTCGGTGCTTCGCAGTGGCGTTGAAACATCGCGCTTAGTGTGGAGAGTAGTCTTTTGGCCAAGCTCCTGTGCGTCGGTTGCAATGGGCGCTGTCTTTCCAATGATAATATCATCACCAGAGACACGCACACCAGGCGCAACAACACCGTCGTCGTCAAGCTTGTCGTATGTACCACCCTTCAAACGGAGGGTATCGGCACGTGTCGGTTTCTCGAATTGTTCCAGAACGTTGACACCAATACGCTTCTCTTGCTCGGTGTACGCACGATAGAACAAACTCCTGAAAAGTCCACGATCGATACTGCTCTGGTTCATGATGACGGAATCTTCCTGATTGTAACCACCGTAGGTAGCAATAGCGACGATGGCATTCTGACCGGCAGGTAACTCACGGAACTTGAGGTACTCCATCGATCGAGTAGTTGCCAACGGCTTTTGGGGGTAGTATAGGACGTTCATCATGGTTTCCATACGTAGCGCAAAGTTGGTGAGCGCCACACCCATGGCTTGCTTACCCATGGCAGATTGGTAGGTGTTACGGGGCGACTGGTTATGATCAGGGAAAGGAATGATACTGGCACAGATACCGAGAATCATGGCCGGGTGAATCTCGCAATGAGTGTAGGCATGGATACGGGGATCTGGTAGTGGCTTGAGGCGTCGAAGACGGTGCTCACCCTCGGTAGATCGCTCCGCTGCAGGTAAGCCCAACTTCATCTCTCGCCACTCCTCCAAGTCTTCGGGGGAGAACGTGATCATGGCGGTCTCCTCCTCTTCGGCGTCTAGATATTCCACAACACCATCCTGGATAAGACCTCTCCAGCCGTAAGTGGCTTGTTCTACCTCATCCTGACTCCATCCCTGTCGTGTGCTTGTCTCTTGTTGTTCTTGCTTGAGCTTGTTACTGATCTCTTTGGTGAAGATGAGGTGGTTGCGATTTGGCTTCCGAATGTCGTTCTCGACAACGAACAGTGGTCTCATGACACGGCCGGCATCTGTGAAGATCTTGAACTCTCGGTCACGAATGTCACGGATCAAACTCATCTCGTAAGATAGAGTTCCGTTTCGTCGCAACTCCTGCACGACTGTGACAAGTTGTTGAGCGTTGGAGTGCACACCAACCCAGACACCATTGACAAAGACCTTGGTGGCATCGGGGTTCTGGTTTTGGTCGTACTCCTCCAGAAGTTGCATGTTTCGCTGTGTCATGAAGTCGATGATGGGTGAAGCATCACTACCGACACTGACGTAGCACATCAAAGACAAGTTCTTGACCAAACCACAAGCCTGTCCTTCAGGAGTCTCAGCAGGACAAACAAGACCCCAATGAGAGTTGTGAAGTTGTCGCGGCTTCGCCAATTTACCGTCACGACCAACAGGGGTGTTTGTTCGACGCAAATGGGACAGTGTGGAGGCGTAAGTGTATCGGTTCAACACCTGGGAGACACCAGCTTTTGCGGAAGCGGCCTTCTTTTGGTCACCCCAGTTGCCTGTTGCCAGGGAATATTTCAGACCGTTTGTGATGATGCTGGCCTTGACAGCCATCTGAACGTTGAAATCTTGGTTGTTCTCAACACATCGCTGAAGGTACTTGTATACATCCTTGGTGAGTTTCAGGAAAAGGATACGGAATAAGTTGGCGACCAAGGGTCCGGCAAGATCCAGACGCTTCTTACCAAAGTGATCACGATCGTCCTCGTCGCGGCGGCCCAGCACACACTGCAAAAGGCGGTGGATCATGTAGCCGAAGAAGTATGCTTTGCGTGTGTCTTGGCCCTCCTTCTGGGAAATATGCGGCAAGAATTCTCGCTGCATAATGTCCCTTGCGAACTTGAGACGTCTGTCCTTCGTGCCGGAGTTGGCGCCACGCTTGGCGATGAAGTCCAGAGCAGTCTCCCGGTCTTGAACAACGGAACCCTCCTCGATACTGGGCTTCAACAGCTCCAGCATTTGTGTATCGGTACGGTCGTAAACGATGTGGCTCAGAATCTCCTCGTCCGAAACGATACCGAGCGCGCGGAAGACAATGGCCATGGGCACATCCGCCTTGATGTATGGGAGGGTGGCGTATGCGAAGGGGCCGGGTATACGCTTGCCGGGACCAGCGAGCGAGTTCTCTGCCCACTTGATGTTGAAAGATGAGATCAACCGGGTGCCCTTTTCGACGGCACTTCGAATCTCGGCTATCCATGGAATGGGGCCCTGCTTCTTTCGGAAGACCTGTACAATGTTCGCGGCACTGCGTTCCTGGGCGATGAGCACCTTTTCACTACCGTTGATAACAAAGTATCCACCCTGATCATAGGGGCACTCGTTGAGAGCGAACAAGTCTGCATCTGACTGAGCTCGCAAGTGGCACAGCTCTGACCGCAACATGACGGGCAGCTTTCCGATGAAGACTCTCGCCGCAGCGCCATCATCCATGGGCATGTCCTCACGCTCCCACCGAATCTGCGATGGCCCACCTGTGTAGCCTCCCTCCATCTCCTCGTCGTCGCCCTCTTCTGGTTCACGTCCTTCGCGGGCGACCATGATTCGGTTCTCGATATCAGCCAACATGGCGCCGGAGTAGGTAAGGTTTCGTAGACGCGCCTCGTGAGGATATAGTTGCACCGTGGTGCCGTCGCCTTCTGTGTGTGTTGGCCGCGCAAGGTAAACGCGCCCAAACTTGATTTCATAGCGACGCTTGATGATAGGGTTCTCCTCCTCATCGGGGTTGTAGGGAGTATTCTGCTCGAGGATGACACTGCCGTTTTCTTTTACAATATCCTGGATTGTGTTGCGCGTGAATTCATCGTAAGAGTCGAGCTGCTGCGAAACCAGACCCTTTGTGTCGAAGAAGGAGCTGATGACCGCCCAGCAGTCCTCGGGCAAGACGCGGTTTTCCTCATCCTCGTATTCGTCGTCCATGGGGTCATACTCGTACTGGTCCGCCATGGTCGCGACTGGATGTATTAGGCGCGGGGGTGTGAAGGGTGGTGGGTGAAGGCGGACGTGTAGAGTCCTTGACCGTTCTTCATGCGACGGCGGCGACTGCCTCTCAAAGGACGCTCGGAGCTAACGTTACCAGTCTTAGCGCCACCACGTATCACGTGATAGACGACTAGTGCCTTTCGATCTGACTCTCACAAACACTAATTACAAAGCATGCGTTCCATCTTCTTCTGTTCGCGTTCGTTTGGTGACAATCTGATTGTAATTACTTTGAGTTGGACTTTAGGTTAGTTAGTTATGTGATAGCGCTGATTTGGTGGCCGCATACTCACCAATCTGTTATCGCAATATGTCCTCATCGATTTCATACTGCTAAACTAAACCCTGATTCTACAGCATTTGGGCGGCAGTATTCTCCAGATTCGTTTGCAACCACACTTCGGCCGTGGTTCCTACTCATACAAGTGGCACATCGCCTCTTCCAGCTTTATAAGCCGCCAATGACTTCTGTTGATTCTACTAGGACTCAATCTATCATTAGATACAAGGAAGGTACATAAAAAGGTCCTTGGATGAGAGTGCCGTCACCAAAATATCCATCTCTAGTATCGATGGCAGTCATTGCTTTCATTCCAGCACAGCCCTTATCAACGGCCCTCAAACTCGCAATGCAACTTCTTCCCTCGCACCTCCAATACCTCAATCTCCAGCTGTCTCTGCTTTAAGGAAGGCCTCGCCGATCATACCCGGCAGCGCATACTTGCGAGTTGGCCAACCACCAGCCTGCTTCGACCAGGCTATATCATGAACGCACCGACCCTCGCTCAGTCGAATCCGCCGTAAGCTCCGCAATTGAAGCAACGCCAGTATCCAGCCGAATACCCGTAGACTCTCGTGCTCAGACAACTCTTGGAATTGTCGCATGTACGACCCACTCGTAGTGAATGTACCTGAAAAGTACTTCAATCCCAACTCCAGTTCCCGTAAGTTTGGGGGTAAGAGATGTGTTATATCGCTCCTATCCTTAAAGCACGCCCTATCAAGATGATCTTTCCACCCGATACACCACAGTCCTTGGAATAATGCTGGAGTAGGTGCACGCAAGATCTCCAAAGCAGTGAAAGAGCTGAAATCCGCTTTGTACCAACCTCGCATACGTCCGCCGGATATTGTATCGGGCAGTATAGTAAATTCCCTCGGCATGTGTCGAATTTGGTAAAAGTTCTTGATACATCCATTGGAATACTCAAACCCGTCACCGTCAAAATATGTGAACCCTAGTTTCTCCAATTTTGTAGCATTGCAGAGTCTTCCCACTGCAACGGGTTCTAAGTTGGACCTATAGTCAACGGTTGTCAAATACTGAAAGTCCACGTTCTTCATCCGTCTGAGTAAATCCGCTAACCAATCTATGTTCCTCATATGTGGGAAGATATCTCGTACAAATAGTGTTGTGGCCGATTGGAGGATGAAGAGCCCGGTGGCCATGGATAAGCGGCACTCGGGAATGTTGATGGTGATTGTTTTGAAGGTTGCTTGGTCTCGCAGCCTTTGGGTAAGGTCAGTTCCTTATACAAGACATGTTATGGGCGGCAAGCTTACATTTCAGCAATTTCTAAAGTGCAAATCCGGTAGTGAATCAGAATGTGAAGACCACCACGATTGCAGTCACGTACGTTAAAGCTCAGAGAATATCAACCAGCTTGCCATTCAAGCAACCCACATATCTTCACGATTCCCCTTCCTCTCCTCCCAAAGCTCCCCCTTCATAATGCCATGGACATAAGCATCGCCAACAAACTCCCACGTAGTGATCGTGCCTCCACCCTTCTCCCGCAGTATGAGCGGTGTCATAACACCCCCAACCAGCACCACATGGTCCCCAAGCCGACATGTACCCGGCACCAGCGCATGATAAGCTATTTCGGAATCTTCAACATCGACCATCTGTGCGCCCTTGCGATTCGTCACATGACCTACCATATTCCTAAACTGTACTTCAGGATTGACCCAGCCAAATCGACGAAGGACACGCTCAACCAATATTACCACAATATAGCAAATTAGGAAGCCGTGAACGTGAAATATGTTAAACAGACGTAGGATACGCTGCCGTCTTTCAAATGCTACGGAAGCGCTGAGCTTGATTTCTGGGGCATTTTGCGTGTCGCCAGCCATGAACGTCTCGTACATGGCCCGCGTTGCAAGTTCGCCTGTCGCGGGATAGATTTGTGTGGCATTTCGAGGGCGGAAGAGAAACTCCCATTCATGGACTTGGTGCATACCGAATTGCAGTGATTTTGCTTGTTCCAGCAGGGATTGGCGAAGTGAGGTTTTCCGCGATATCCACGGGCGCGGTGTGAGCTGTGTAATTTTCGCTACTGTAACTCCGTACAACCTAAGCATTTTGGGCAAGGGCGACTGCTTCAAATTTTGTATGGAGGTTGATGGTGTATTATACGCCTCGACGTCAAAGCCGGGTTCGAAATCGGAGTCCTTCGAGGCATGGTAGTCTAGCACTACGCCGGCGTCATTACCGGACAGCTCGGTGAAGACGAGCGACATAGGTGTTGCTTCCGTCCAGCGCCAGTCCGGTACCCAGGATGGAAGTGTGAGTCGTTTGAAGTTTGGGTCGCTCTCTTCATGAGAGGTTGTAACAAGACGAGGCACATGGAGAACTGCTACTTGTGCTTTGTGAAGCGCGCGGGCAGCCAGCCGAATGTACACGACCTCCGTAGTGGTTTTTGGGTCGTAATCTGGCTCGACTCCTAGCATTTCTAGTGACTTCTTACATCTCATACCATAAAAAGCGTACACTTTGTCCCTAGGGTCACCAGATAAACACATCCGATGCCTCAGCAGCATGCCAAACCAATCAGTATCGGCGCCGCTTATCCATTCCATCTCACTGAGCTTCATGAGAGCGGGTATATGGATCCGATTACCGTGGTAAAACTCCCATATCCACAGCGGACTCGTAATCAGATACAGATACGCAACTAGCAGCACATCCCATTTTATCGTAGCGCTTCCACACATGAACCACACGTTGCTGGAAACAACGACTTCTTGCATGATCCAAGCCCGCTCGAAGTAAGGCCGTTCGAGAAGGCCTATCAGTGTTTCAAGCGCCGGATCGCCCAGCTTGACCTTGACGCGTACATCTTTCTCTTTCTCCTGTTCGGGTGTCAGGACGATTTGTTTTTGTTCAGCCATCTCTCGTATGTAGTTTGTGCACAGTTGAGAAGCATAGCTGAACGCTGCTGCAATCCCCTCCACTGCCGGCCCCAGCCAACTTATAGTGAGAGTAGCCTTCATGTACACCTCCCGCATCCTCGGTACGTTCGCGGTCTTCTCATCATCATCCAGCTGGTTCAAACACACGCTGTCGATCCATAAAGTGCGTGCTCTCAGCAAATACCACCCGCGTATCTGGTATAGCAATGGTATCAACGTGGCGGGTATCTCGAGAGTATTATCATTCTCCAGGTCATAAGGGGGTGCTGAGTTTGTGATGTGAATGGTACCTTTGTGTGCCGGCGGCCCCCAGCAGTACGAGACGGTATAGAACTTCGGAGCTTTTGATAACAACGTTGTGTACAGTCGACCGGTAATGGGACCACTCGGAGGACCCTCGTGGAGCTCCAGCAAGCGTATATACACATCTTCTGAGTCTTGGGGAGTTGGCAGCGGTTGATATTGATATGGCATGTTTGCGTGCCAAACGGGGTCGATGAAATTGCATAAATTTTCGAACACATTTAGTCTGGAAAGTGCGCAGGTACCTATTTCTATTATCTATCTGTCTTCGGATATACCTAATATGCGCATGAGTCCAGGCCTTCCTCAAAAGCGCCATATCCTCAGCCTGCTTTCTCGTGTCCGAAAAGAGAGATGCGAGGCCGAATAAAGGTGCGCATTTGCGGCTAAGACACGCAGGGCTGAGCGAGGGACATGCCAGTCGTTCGTTCGGCTTCACGGTCCAACCCTTCAAGCATGTCAGTTGACTTGCAAAAGACACGTTTCGATTTCATTCGAATACATCCTAGCGCGCCAGAAGGGGTTTTTCTTACAGTGATATCGCTACATTGTGGCTGACAGAGCATCTGCACGGTACCGATTGAGTGTCTGTGCGCTGTCGGTAGGCCGAGGCACCGTTAACACAGTCCAATATTGATTGAGCGACATTTCAATGTCCAAGGCCTCCTTCACGCCGTACGTATCTCGATGACAAGTTTAGCACACCTCGGTCAGGTATCTGGCTGGACAAGGCTGGCGCAATCCGGACGCGTGTCGTTGTAAGATGGGAACTTACCTAGGTCCACTATATAAGTTCCCAAGGCTCCGACGTGCATACCAAGAAGTGCGTAACAAGGCGCGTATCGCGAAGCAGACCTCCGATTTACAAGGTTTGCTACCCCACAGTGATGGTTGTCGGTGTGGATCCAAGCGCTTCCCCTCCGTCTCCACCGATCTTAACCGCCTTCACATGTACCGCCTTCTAGTGCCATCATTACACCACGAGCTCTTGATCTGCTGTGGATCGAGTTTAGCAGTTTGTGCAACAGGTTACAAAGCGGGCACCTTGCCAGCTCTAAACTTTGTCGGCCCTTCCAGCTATCGACCCCGCGTCACAAGAGCAAGTCGATGGAAGTTGGTTGGCTAGCTTTGACAACTCTGCGCTTGGCTCGAAAACTGACCATTCTGAGAGGCTCGCAAAATCCAGGGTGGCCAGACCAAGCCCGCATTGACTGTATCGAACTGCATACGCCAACCTTGGGCTTTATCATCATCTGAAGAAGTAGCTACTTTTAAGGTTGGCTCCTCTTCCTTTGTCCTCAAACCCGCCTTCCTCCGAACTGCGCACTCGAGCGTGAACACAAATTCTGGATCAAACTACCTCATAGTCCTCAAGCCATACATACCGTTACTTCCGGGTCACCATATGCAGGCAGTCGGTGATTGCGACACCCATGATATGCCGGCAGCTTGATCGGTCGACACCAGAGAGTCAGCCCGTTGCACATACGCAACACCTGGAAGCACTCTTAACTTTTGGCTCCATCTCTTCTTTTTGGGTGACTGTACACTCCGGTTCATATTATTATGTCGAATAACACCGAGGAGGATGCGCCAACGGGTGCCAAAAGTGGAATCATTATTATCGTCATCATCGTACCCTCGGTATTGATCATTTTACTTCTTACGCTGGTCATCATGTCAGTTTCTATGCTAGTTTCACAGGAAACTTTGTGCATGTCTAAGCTGTCATTAGGAATCGCCGCAGGGGCCTTCGCGATGAATCTCAACACAAAGAGAAGCGCTGGAAGACGCGACAGGACGAACTAGAAAGCCACATCAAATCTCAAAATTTCTATGATTGGCTCGCAAGCCAGAAAGAAAAGTGTCCTGATGCACCGCAACCACACGATCCCTTGTGGTAAGTATGCTAAATGAGCTTTGTTGATTGAGCAAAATGAATTGACTGGGTGCAGTGCCATATGCCTCGACGATTTCGCCGACGATGCGCAGGTTCGGGGCCTTCATTGCTCTCACGCTTTCCACTCGCACTGCCTGGACGAATGGTTCACAAGATATAACGAGTATTGCCCGTTATGCCACCGACCGATAATACCTGGGTCTCGGGCATCCAGGAGAAAAGCTCGCGAAAGACTGGATCCGACAATTCCAGTAGTACTCATGGTATAGATGCTGCGATGAATAAGAAAATGTGCAGTTCCAGCTCCGTTCGGTGTTTGAGTTTCCGGACCGGGACATACAACCCTGCACGAGACATCGTTCTGAACAGATTGACACTGTCTTGTACAATTACCTGTGAGGCAGTTCGTATCGAGCTTGAAACAGATGCGCTCGGAGTTGTGCACAGCCAGAGCTTCGGCAAGGCGGAATCAAGGAGCACAAGGGGATTTTCGACCCTTCGCCTCCGCGAGAGCATCCGCGTAACAGCCACCTACGGCAAACTGCCGGTTCTCCAGCATCTGTCTAGTTGCTTTTGGGAACCATTGCAAGGGTCAGTCGAAAGATTGGGGCGAAAACTATGAGGAGGTGGGTCGATATGGGCCAACCCAAGACATTATGTGTCTTAGCAACGTTCAAGAAGCTCGAATCAGGCGCATGCATATTGCCATATCGATAAGAAGGAACCGTACTACTATGATGCGAGGAAGTGGCGAGAGGTCAAAGTTACAGGATAGTACTGCAGTGGAACTTAGTGGTATCTAGTCGCAGCCCGAAGCGACCTCGTTCAGCCAAAGTAGCACTATCTTGAGATAGCCAAATACATGCTACGTACAAGCCCTGCGTTTTTCCTCGCGCTCTTTATAAGTGAAGTAGAGAACTGCAGAGTTGGGCGTGGTGGTCTAGAGCATGTTCAGGTACTGCTATTCGTGGGGCAGCCGAGGCCGCTAGCGGGAGCGTCATTGGCTCCCGCTTCGACATGGCATCCTCTCCAACACGTTCTTTCTATTCCATGTCACCCGAGTGTGATTTTCAGGCACAAGGACAACAGCTTTCCGAAAATACTACGAGAGAGAGACTGCTGTGGCTAGGGATTGCGATGAGCCGCAAGGTGCGCCATCTTTAGGATGCTTCCGGGCATGGAGCGGGGCTCAGGGAAATGTCACGCCACTCTCAGGTGGTCTGATCAGGAACTAATCTAGAACTGCGCGGAACCTGGCACAGGACAACTTCCGCACAATTGACTGTACCGAGAGTCCCGTTGGAGCGACGAACATTTCCTAGGCTTCTGGCTGTCTTTTGCACCTGCCACTCTCGATTCTGCATCTTCGTACCCCCTGGCCTGTCGGGAGATCATACCCTAGACGAGCCCTACCACGAAACGGTGTGGATTTCGCCTGGATTCACCTGCTGCTACTGCCAAGCTGTTACCTTGAGTCTTACTCACCGTCCTTAAGCAACCGCCGGTCCCGAGTAAAACCCAGAGAATCTTTCTTCAAACGCCTGGCTACATCTTTGCTCGTCGACCCATCCTGAGTGCTGACTACTGGCTCTTGATCTTGACAAAAGCGAAGGAAGTGTCCGCGCTTATATCCTCGACCCCAGCCCAGCCCTGATCCTGCACCTCGCCTGCTAGTCTCACGTGTGCCTTGGCCAGCGCACCTTAGCGATTGTATCTCCTGATCAACGCGTGAGCTCTTCCGTGCAACAACCCACCTGTGGATTACCATCATGGCTCTCAATTGGGACGCATTCCTCAATACTGAGGGTTTCAACCTACCGAACGACCAATGGTCCGATCTTTTACCACCAACGTCTGCCCCTCCCAATTCCCAGATGCCTAAATCTACCACCACCGACACGTCAGGCTCTTCACCTGAAGACGTCACCAGTTTCGACTCTCTTCTCGGAGGAGCATCAGGCGATCCCTACTTTGACGACTCCTTGTTCCTATCCAACGACTACTTTCTCGGCGACCTCGACGTCCTCAGACCCCTGGGCAACAACATCGGTGGCGGTAGATCAACCACTGAGTCGTCGCCCGAGCCTACAGCAGTTACTGGTAACAATCCGCAATCCCATACACCGGCATCGCTGGTGAACGAACTGAGCCAACAATTACCCCACATGTCGCCCGCTCAGAGGCAAGCACTCCAACGTGCCAATACCTTCCCTAACCCTACCTATGAGTCCATGTTTCCCAACAACCTGGACTCCGGCTTCGTTGAGGACTTGACCTTCCCAGATGGCCCGAAAGGACCGTCAACCGCCAATGACCCAGGGCTCGAGAGGACCCAAACCTCAATAGCGGCCAACACTACCTCCAAGCGATCCAAGAACAAGCCAGACATACTCTCTGCCTGCTGGACATCGCCACTGTGCCCCAATCATGATCAAAATGATGGACCACCACCTAACCCATCAACTTGCGGCGGTGGATGTGCTCCTTTCTTGTTCGCCGACCAAGACAATCTTCCAAGTATCAGCAACCTGCTTGCCGACCCGCAAGAAGTTACTGCCGAGGACGGCGTAGTGGAGATTCAGCGACGTCCCAAGAAGCGATCGGAAAGCGATGCGTCAGCAAACGGCTTCTCAACCCGCCATTCCAGAAACGAGGAGACTACCACATCCCCAACGGATGATCGGCAGCGGATGAAGAGCGAGACCACAGAACATGTTTCTACAGAAGAGTCGCCTCAAACCAACGAAGATGACAAGCCAAAGTCACGCCGACGACTACCGCACAACCAAGTCGAACGAAAGTATCGAGAATCACTGAACACTCAGCTAGATTCCCTCAAGCGTGTTGTACCATCCCTTCAACAAAACAACCGAGCATGTGACGGCGCCGACATTGAGGACCTGCCCACGCCCTCGAAGCCTAGCAAAGCAGTCATCCTAGCATCTGCTACTGCCTACATCAAGCAGATGGAAAAGGACAAGAAGAGCCTGGCCGACGAAAACCAACTGCTCCGAACAAGGGTAAAAGCTCTCCAAGCACTTGTCAAGTGTGACGACTGCAGCTTGATGCAGTATGTCATGGACCTAAAAATCAAGCAGGCGAGTTGAGGAAATTTATGGTCTCTCTCTCTTTGTTCTTGGTATACAAGATGCTGGCATCTATACGGCGTTCACTCGGCGTTTATAAGAGTCAGGGATGAAAACGCAAAACGTTCCATGTCAACGGTCACCACTTTTTCAATCTATAAGATGAGTGTTGTGCGATAGCACACTGTTTGCTCGTTCCCTTCACGGCCGATTTGTACTGGATAAATGCAGCATATCGCTGCTATATAATGATAGGCGTTTGGGAATAGGATAAATCTGGTATGCGCTTGGCAACAGCGCTCCATGGCGTTTGTGTAAAGTTTTCTCGCTCTTGTGCGATACTGTAGAGTCTTTACCGTAGTGAAATATACGGTCCTTACACTTGCATTAAACCACTATACGAAGCACCACTATCAGACACTAAATTCTTAAACCTGTTGAGAAGCGCATGCTGTATCATCGTCAAAACATCCATCCCTAGCATCATACCATTACCATTATCTATCAGAGGTCATATCCAACCTCCCAAACACAGTCATACGAGAATAGAGATCCCCAGCATGTATCCACCGCCCAAACGCCATAACACTCAAGAAAGACACCAATTCACGATCCCCCCATCGCCGAAGTTCACTCCGCACTCACCTCTACCACCCTGACTTCCACCCCTTTGACTTTCATCCCATTTGCTTTCTCGAATTTGGGCGCGACGTATCCGTCTTCTTCTGTATGTAGCGAGTCAGCTTTCTAATCTTTATCTTCGGTTGAGGGTGAGAGAAGGAGAGTGTGGGGAAAACTTACGCATCCGACATTGTATGTAGCCGATGGGGTAGATTGGCCCGTCCCACCGATCCCAACCTTCTTCGTAGGATGTTATGGCGGCTTTTTCAAGCTCGAAGGCGAGGTCTGCAGGAGTTGGTGGAAGGGGTGTGGATGTAGTTGACATTTTGTGTAGGTATGTGTTCGTAGTTGTGTTTGTAAACGTATGCAGGTGCTATTATTGTTGCTGCTATTGAATCTTGTTTCTGATGTTCTGTAGTCGTCCCTTCCACAAGCGCGGATTAAGTAGTTGTTATTAGAAGTCACGACTCATGATGATGGGAAGGAAGGTCTAGCACTTGGTGGGGAGACTTCCCAATGTCAACACGGGGGTTAGCAGCACACGCGACATCGTATTCATCGCAGTAAGCGTTCCAGAATACCAATATCACACTATCCCGCGAAGCAACCCATGGCTTCTTTCCACATGGGGTTTTTGTCAAGGGAGTGCCCAGATGCAGGGGTCGAATCGTTGTGGGGATGCATGTCGTGTGGTGGCGAGACCGGCTGCTTCCGTGCCGTCACGCCACTTGTCTTTCCACCCGCGAGCTAATGCTGGAGTGGTCTGCTGCTTTTTGGGTGAATATCTGTCGATCGCAGTTGCCCCTGGAAGTTTTCTTGGTGCTGGATCGCCTGGTTATCACACCATGGTGCTGTCGCGTGTCTAGAAGTAGGAGTTGGGCAGTAGGAGGTTGGCGTATGTTAAATGGCAACGATGTTTCTTGATGAGTTTGGAGTCCCATCACGAACAATTGACTATATCTGCATTATATTACCAGCTGTCGGCGAGCACGAGCTATCATAGCTTCACCAATACCTGGACTACCAAACGACCACTTTACCACTACGAGCACGATCAAACACACAGGGCACAAACCAACCTACATTCAACAACATATGACACTCTACCCGAATATCCTCGACATCTCTGCCTTCAACATCATGCTCGCGCAGCACCAACAACCCCAAATATCCCACCTGCCACCCTCTCCCAGCAAAACCGCGCATCAACAGCAACTACATCACCAAATAACCCCCAACCATGTCTCTGAAGTGTTCCTGGACTTTTTATCACACATGTTCGCACCCGCATCATACCTCGCATGTACATGTTCGACACCCTGCTGGGCCCCGGCACCTGCGAGTAGCGATGCTAACATTGCGAGACACAATGAGAAACTTAAAATCGTTGTGGATGATGATATCGTGGTGATAGAGGACGAACGGGAAGAAGATGGAGGGCCGTTGTGTAGGGAGGCTACTATTGCTTCTTGGAAGGTGGGAGGGAAGAAGGAGAGGAGGAACAGTAGTAGGAGAAGGAGTTTACAGTGGTTGGCAGGTGTGATTGGGAGGGAGGCATAGGAAATATCAGAGCGCTCGAGTGACGGAGAAGAATGAGAAAAGAGTGCAAGAAGAAAGCAAGTCCTGCGGGTTGTTGCGGAGAGAATTGAAGGTTCGGGAACCATTAGTCTAAGACAGCCGATCTGGATCCGGGCGTTGTGCGTCCTAGGTCGCAGAACTCTTATGGTTTTTTGTCTGGAAGTTTCTGCTGTACATAATTAACGTGTAAAAACTACCAAAGTATTGCAGTTTCGTGTATCGTAACCACCGCTCTTTCCTCCTACAACAAGCGAGGTCCAAGCTCAAGCTTTACGACGTCACTGCCTCTTTCCGGACACTGACGCTCACTTATCTCTCACCAATTCTCTAGCCTAGTACGGGCTAACCCAGAAGATCTGACTCACGCGTGCCACGGTCGCATGCATCAACATCTACGACCACCTGGTGAGTCCTTTCCATACTGTCCAAGCTACCATCTTTGTGCATCTGCTGAAAGCCGCCAGTCACACTTGCTGCCATCATACAACTTTCCCAGCAGCTGGGTACTGTCTCTCACCGCAGTCATGTACTTTTCAATTCCAAAACCCGTACGTGGTCGAATCGCGCAAGTTTACTCCCAAACTGATGACCCGAGTGCAGCCTCACTACTCGCCGTTGTGCCCGAACTCCGCAACCAGATCTACGAGTACTTGCTCATAGACTTCTGCCCAATCACAATCAAGAACGAAGTTGGAAACGACAATGACGACACCTTCAGCAAGATCAGTGACTTCTGGGGAAGCTCGGCCATTATTCGTACTTGCCGCCCGTTCTACCATGAGGCCGTGAGTATTCTTTATAGTCGGAACGTCTTGCACTTTCAATACAACGTACGATATCATGGAGGGTACGGCGCTACCTTTACTAGTCCTGCCGAGATGTGCATAGAATGGGTAAAAGACATTGGATCGTGTCTCTCAGGACTGCGCACTGTCATCATAAACATGGACGTACCCGACATACCACGACATTGTGAAGACCTTGGAGTTGAGTTAGACATATGGGATCATGCCCGCACGAAGATGCCTATTCTACCGTTACTCGACCTCTACTGGAACGAAATCGCACATAACATTTCAGTTCAATTCGAGGGCACAATGAACGATTCATGGGATCTGGATGATGAAGAACCAGATAAACTCATCGTCTCATGCATTACAAGCGCCCTGTGTGAGCTGGGAAAGAAGGACGCATTGGGTTTGAAGAGAACACGCCGCTTGCTACAACACATCTACGTATATCCAAGTGGCACCCGAGGCACAGTCATTATTGGTCGACTGGTCAGAGAACCCAAGTCCGCTGCGAATTTCAGTTATCGGTGGAGACACAGAAATACGAATTCGTCTCTTTACCAAAGCCCTTGAGCCTACTCCACTTACCTGCTGAGATCATTCGTGCTATCGCTCGGCTTTCAATCGAGGATGTAGAAGTTACTTACAACTTCCAAACTGGTGTTACGCATGGCAATAGCTTCGGCTTGCTCAACGTTGATAAGCAGTTCCGCGATCTAGTCCACCCAGTCTTTCTTTACAAAGGCCGCTTCACCCTTATCGTGGGCTCTGATTCTTTGCAGCCTGCGAAGGCATTGTATCAAGTACTTGAGCGTCGCATTGCGGAAACTTTCGAAGATTCCAGGTTATACAATTCTCACATGGAGTACTGTACTCCAATTGAAGCGGCCCAAGATTACGAGAACGAGCCAACTATCGTTCTGCAGTTCCAGACTATCGACCACATACAGATCAACGCATGGGATCTCCTACGAGTCACTACAGTCTTCCCACCCAGCACTACCATCGTCGTTCGTGTGTGTGGTCATAGCGGTAGTCTCTACTCTACGACATTGGGCGAGATCCGAAAGTATGCCCTGGTATTCGTGGAGGACCTGAAACTCAAAGCAACCTCGGACAACCGCAGGAGCATCGTCGAAGTTTCGCTTGACGAGCAGTGTCTTCCTGTGCGAGCCATCTTCCGGAAGGGAGACCATGAATTGGAGGATGTTGATTCAAACATGGCAAAGGCCGTGGATGTGATTGACATTGCTTCTTTGCACAAGAAAGTCGGGACGGTGACGTGGAAACACTACAAGCAGATGAACGGGTTCAAGTGTGTCACGCAACCAAAGAGCTGGGATGGCAAGACGGTGTATGGTCTCGTCAAGCGTCTCAGGTCTCTCTGTTAAAGAGCAGAGGACTGGTATACCAACGTAGATTCCACTATAGTGTTCCTGTTCCTGGTAATTGCTTTCATTTCCCCATGACTAAACAACAGTCAGTACATGTCTGCCGGGGCATACCGCATACAATGTACACCTAAACAAGCCACACACGTGTAAAAAAAGTAAAAATTCAACAATCGACCTCATTTACAATTCGTCACAACTCACACGCAGGAGCCGAAGCGACCAAAAGCAACCACTAATCTACAAGCTGTACTAGACCAAAAGCTAGCGGGAGCGAAGATCGACAACTAGGAAAAGGCGGAAAAGGCGGAAATCAAGAATCCAAATGTCAAACCACTATGGCGGAGGACGAACCTAATTCATCTAGAATATCACGTGTTGATCATCGCGTGGAAAAGCATATACTACGGGCAGGTGACGCGTTCTTTTGCAAGCCGGCGTATAACGATGAACTACAACACGGACTGATGTGTACTCAGACCCCGTGAAGGTGCCGACGCTATTGTATAGAACGACGCTCATGAGTCGTATGTGGGTTGAAGAAGGTAGTTGCGCGACAGGTTTTCCACAGACTCATTTGTACGTTGCTACGCGCGTCATGGGAGATTGCGACATTGCGAGACTCCACATGCACTGGTAGTTATGTAGAGTCTACTACGCGCACAGTCGTACGAGGGGGTGGGGGTAAAGGACCTCCTCCAGCATGCTGTGTACTTACCTGAGGCAACCTACCGGCTTCAAAATCCGGGAACAAGAAAAAAACCTCGGCAACTTGTAAAGCCTGCCTATGTTCATGAATCGTGTCGTTTGCCTTGGTACTCGTTAATCTTCCATCTTACCTTCCCGTCTCGTGTGGCAGTGGAGTTTGCACGATTCGAGACCCGTGTTCGCGATCCAAGACCCTCTTGACTAGACCTTACTAAGCTTTCTACTAAAGGCTCATCTAAACTAGAAGAACCGGACTTTTTCGACCCTGACCAATTGTTAGCCTTGGATACATTCCGACAAAAGTGGAACCTAAAGTGTATATGTGATTGTATCGTTGTAATAACAAGATTCAGACAAGGTTGAGAAGATTCTTGGTAGAATATTTGCTGGTGTTTGAAAGCACTGTTCCTGCGATCCATTGCCTTTCAGTGAACTGAAAACAGCGGAGAGGAACTCTTATGGCCCCAGCTTTTGTCATCATTTTAGGAGGATTGTAGAGTGTGGGAACTCGGTGGGGATATGCTGGTGGTGGGGGTGCAAGAGGAGAGACTTACGGGAAAGCGACTCGGCAAGTAGATCGGCTAAGCTAACACGGCGCCATGTGTTTCGCGGCTCGTTTATTCGTTCAAGAAATGTCCAGAGAAAGCGACGAGTACTTTGAGTCGGACTTCAGGGAACAGGTAGTGGGAACTAGTGCAGACAACCTTCGGTCCGCGAACCGAATCGAATCGCCGGCTTGCTGGCTGGCTGGCTGGCTGGCTGGCTAGCTGATCGTGCTTCAACGATGAACCCCCTCATCTAACCTACGGAGGAGGAGGTACACAGGGGCGCCCTTGCTATCGCCTTAGTTCTCCGAGTATACGCAACTTGTCCAGATTGAGTAGTCCATCGTTTGTTTCCTGGGAAAGAATCCGAACGGTTGGTTGCATCCACGCCACCAACATGTCAAAGGACTAGACAAACGGTGTTGCCGCCTACACGCCTACATCGGCAGATGGGCGGCTAGTGTGGTCCGACAACGTGTTGTGTGATGCTGCTAAAAAATTTGACCTGACGATGACGAAAAGATCAACATGGCAGAAGTTTCATTTCCACCAGGTGTGTTAGCACCGGAACGTGGGTGAGCAGCAGCAGAGTAGTCGGCGACTGGCTCGCAGCGGGCGAAGATTATCCGGGAGAGTGGTAAAACTGAGACGGCGTAGTTACAGGCAGAAATAGTGGCGCAGACGGGCTCGCTCACTTGTAAGATGCTGCGCGGCAGAACCTCGCTATCGGTAACGAGGGAAGCGGGTGGGTGGGAGTGGTGCATCATGGAACTCGGCTGGGACCTAAGAGCGCGAATAGAGTTTCATGTGGCTCGCCAGTCACATTGGCGGTGTATAACAGTTCGGATTATGATACGGATCGTGGTAGAAGGTGCATAATGGCGGTCGCGTCGCTCAGAAGGAGGAGGAAATGGGCGATGCCAGAATGGATGGAGAGGAAGGCGGACTGGAAAAGCGTTCTCGACACGTGCGGCGCTCGGTTGCGGGGATGAGATGGAGCAGTAGTAGCAGTAGCAGTAGCAGTAGCAGTAGCAGTCCGGTAGTCTGGCGAGAGGGACGATGCAAAGGTAGATTGTGACGAATTGGCGGTCAGGAATGCAGGTCAGACCGTGGGAATGGTCTGCCGATGTCGACCGACGGCCACGAGCTGTGAAGGCGTTGCCGGACATGTCAGAACATGGGCGTCGATCGCTGGCAAAGGTGTGCGCATTACAGGCTGAGAGGTGTACCGAGAAAGGGCCGTGGTTATCAAAGTGGTGACATGGCGCCCCATCCGTACCCTATATCTCATTAGCAGGTCGCGCGAGCATGACGCGTTATTTGGTGCGCATCAAGATTGCGATGCGTCGTCGGTAAGTAGTAGTGGTGGGCGAACGGAGTACGGAACAAGGCGTGTCCGCTTTGGAAGCCAGGCCGCAGCATACGCGAAGACCGGCCAGGCCGTGCACAAGGACGTGTAGGGAATCCAGATCGTATGCTGCTGTGCTGCTGTGCTGCTCTGCGCCCAATTCCCTAGGCCGGTCGCTGGTCGTTCCTTCTCTCGTTGGGTTCGGCGGAAGGAAGGTACGCGGAATACGGGAGAAGCCTCGGCCGGCCCAAAGCACCGGAACCAGTAACGCACTTGTTTTTGTCGCCCCAGTCCTCCCCCCCCGCATATTCACACCTCGACAAACTTGCTCCTCTCTCTGTAAACGTCGTACGAGTCAGGCCTTGTCGCTTTCCATCATGTATGAGGGTGGGTTGCGCATGTTTGGACGTCGTGCTCGTGCAGTATCTAGTATATTGTGCATGTTCCCGCCTGGCGATATATGACCATGTTGCCCATGTCGTTGCTGCAGCTCGCTTGCTATTATTGCTACAGGATGGATCGGTCCGGCACCCTGGGCCAGCGAACAAGGCAGCGATGCAATACTGAAACATTACGCGCCCACCCTACTGCTGTAGAAGCGCCGGCTGGGTCTGCACCGTTACAGATCTTCGTGATGTGATCCTGGACGAGAGCCCACCACGTCGGAACGGCGACGCGTGGCATCAGCATATATAGCACGGCCAATGCTACTATCACAATGCATATTGCATCCAGTTTTGTTGATAGATTGCATTGCCACCTGTCCAACGTCATGGCTCCTTCCGAGAGGGTAGAAAGTCCCGACAGAGTTTCTTAGAAACGAGTCGCGATAGAGTTTACGAGGAAGTGGGGGTATATTCCAGCTATTATGTACTTCTCGTGCTATCTCAAAAAAGGGGACTTCAAGAGTCCTGATCGCTCCGCTAAAAAAAACAACATGCTTGTGAGGAAGTAGCCAAAAGGCCGCATGCAATCCACCCTCACCCGCGTTGTGTGCTCTGCACCAACGCGGAAAGGAGGACATGTACAACGATGCTGACGCGCTCAGACCGCCATCGTCTCGTGAGAAGATGGTGTAAAAGAAAAATCCCCCGTTTTGTCGCAAGGAAACCGAGGTATCAAGGTATCATATTCCTAACATGCCGTAACGCCAGACTGAGGTAGTCGCCGAAGAAGACCGGATTTTCCCTACCGCAAGGTGCGCCATTAGGTGAATAGCAAAACGACGCGAAGAAGCGCGAAAGATGTGGCGTGACAAAGGCAGAATCCCATGCTCTGCTCAAACTATCTAGCCTGATCGGCAGAAGCGGGGCTGAAAATGGTGTCGCGGAATGCACAACATCCTGGAAGCATATATGGGATCCAGGTGTAACGAGGCCGTCGCGGTGGTTGCTCGATGAAGCGTTGGGGAGGGAGCCAGTTCGGGCTAGGTGGGTACCTGACACAGGCTACTGTGTAGCGGACAGGCAAACCATCCATGAGCAGAGTTGTACAAGGATGGCGCGAGATACTACTGCTGGGGACGGCGGGCAGTCCAGATGTGGCTGTACCTGACGTCAGTAACCGATTGGTGCCATGACACTAAAGAGACCTACATGTTGTTGTACGCATGGATTTTGCGGTTGCAGATTTCCCTGCGAACGCCCTCGAGGACTGGCCTGACATGTGCGTTGAGGTCCCACTGATAGACCCTTGTGAGAGGTGCAAAGGTTAGCGCCTCAAGACCCTCGGTCAGGCCCAGATTGTACCACCTCCCAATATCCTTCTGGTGCGGGTCATTGGGCCATGTGTTGTAGGGGACGCGGATGACCGTCTCTTGGATGTCGATGAAGCCGGCGGCTTGCAGCAGCTGGCGGGTGCGGTGTTCGTAAGCGATTGGGCGCGAAACTCGGTGCGTGGCGTCAGCTAGCCAGCCGTACCACTTGGTGAGCATGCTGTCGGGGGGCAGCGTGTAGTCGTCGCAGCGCGGCTCCATGTCGATTTCAATGTGTTCTATCCAGCCGGTGCCCGGCTTGAGATGTCTGGGGCGTGTTAGCGAGCGAAGCACTAGGGGAGGCGGAGGGGTGGCATACGAGAATATCTTCTGGTAAAGCTCCGGCCAGCTCGTCACGCTGCCGCAGGCCATGCGCAGGTGGATCATGTCCCAGGAGTCCTCGCCCAGCGTCCATGGGCTCTCGTAGTCGCGTGGTACACGGAATCGCAGGTTCGGGGGGATTCTGCGGGGGCTGCATCAGTGTCAGGCCGGACAAGCGACGGGCGGACGGCATACTTCTCAGGCTGTATATTAACGAGATCTAATCCTAGAACCTGCACACAGTCACGTCAGCCGTCTGGCAGCAATGCGTCGTGGGATCATGGTGTGGGCGCACCTCGGCGTTTAGGTATTTGCTGCACAGACACAATTAGCCTTGCGGAGGGTACAGTGCAGGCTGCGTCGCCAACTTACTCGGCCATGTCAATCGCCCAGATGCCCGTCCCACAGCCCACGTCGAGGATGCGGGGCTGCACATTTGGCTGCGTCGGCACGGGCGCCTGGTGCAGCTGGCCTCTCCGTGCTACGGCGAAGAATTGGTGGTAAATGTCCATGCGGTCCTTCTCAGGCTCGTCGCATGGGTACATGTAGAGGCCTCTCCGGTAACCATGATACCAGCGGCCATTTTCCATATAGTTGCTGTTCTGAGCGGGCACGGGCAATCTGGGAGGCGCATGGTCAGTTTGTCTGGCCGGGCCAGAGTTGGGAGTGTCGCACGGAGCGGGGGGCAGCGGTGCACTCACCCATTCGAAGCCATCGTGACCATTGGAGCGAGCAGACGGGGGACCGACGGTCGATCTATGGGCAGCGACTCGATGAGTCCAGTGGTGGTGACTAGGAAAGTCCAGTGACCAGCGAGGGGATGGAGGCCGTCTTGTATGCGCTGACCATGGGACGCAAGTCGGGCGTGGTTGTAGGGTTGTATAGCGTCGTCTTTCGTAGGTATACCAGCAAACCGGTCTCAGTCATTAGAGAGCGATGCGGGAGGTATTTAAAAGCGAAGACGACCCCTGCAGTGCTTCCGTCAAGCGCGACTACGAGGGCTGACGCTGGCTGGGGCTGGTCGACCACAAGCAGGCGTGCCGGCATCAATGCAAGAGGCAGTCCGAGGCGGCTCCACTCATCTTTTGCACGTCTGGGACCCATCGGCAGCGCAGACCATTAACAGAGCTACTATTAATTAGGTGCCCTGCCCATGCCACTACACGCTCGGAGCTGGACCCAACCAAGTCAAGTCTCTTCCGGTTACCATTATGGCGGTAACAGTCTGTCGGAAGGGGATCCGTGCACTGACTGGCTGTCCCTCAAGCGTCCCTCTCCCTGCCCATCTCCCTGTCCGTCACTGGCCCACTAGCCGTCACCCTGAGCATATACCCATCAACTGTTAGGCTTTGGCACACACACACACACACACACACACACCGCTCAGACAAGATATCATGCGCCTCGTTCTCTGGAACCTAATGCATCCTCTCCTTCAGCAGGCCACATTTAATACTACCCCCCACACTCCCCATGACCACTAACTCTCTTCATTTCTCAATCCCGTACCATGCTCCACTCGAGCGAATGAGACGCCTGCATATCGCCGTCATTCATACACGCATACACACACCCTGACAGGCCCTGCCGTTTCTGTGCTTGTGGTCTGCCGCTTCGGGACACCATCAGCCTACACGTACAATCGGCCCAAGCGACGCTTTCGCGTCCAAGACCGAAATGACTAACCAGGTGATAGCATCCAGGCTGGATAATTTCCGCGATCCCCGGCAGCTGCTCAACCACCATGTTGCTTACGCGAGACGAGTACCGAAGAATTGCTTTATCCCAGCGGACCATCATCCTGCATGTCTGCATGTGCGTTTGCCCGTCTGCAGCGTTGCAAGAGCACGTTGCGAGCCTGGCACAAAGGCACTCTGGGACCGGCTCCATAGCCCGGATAGTTGCACCCAGGTTATTGCAAACACCGTCGACACTGCAGACCACGTCTCGACTGCATTGTCGATACAAGTCTTGTTGCAGCGCCGCGCGCCGTTCCGCTGCCGACTGGTGGTTCGGTACAAGAAGGGTTACGCAAGGGGCCAACCCCGCCTGTCTGTCGGTAAGATGCTTTGCTCGCGACAACGAAAACAGCAATAAATGCAATCGATATCTTTTGTGAGCTCTTTGTGACATTAGCTTTTGCCAAGTCGGTAACAAGTGGATCGATTGGGTTGATCAAGCCATGACCATGCAGTCGCCGACACGGCAGGTAACTTTGTCGATACGTGATGCATGCTGGCGAAAGCGCTCCCAGAAGAATGGTCCACCGCCTAGGATCACACAGCTGGTTTCGCTCCCAGTTGCCGTCTAGAGAAGTGCGGCGCAGGGGAAGCTATAGAGTGGCCAAGTGTTTACTGCGCACAGCTAGGGAGCCATCATGGTGCATGTAGCAATGCAGACTCTTCATCATAACCACGTTTTCAAATGGAAGTTACAACGTGCTCAAGGGACTGAGACACGAGAAAGTGGAGAATGACAGTCTCGCCGGTCTGCCAGGAAGATGCTACCAGGGTCTTATGTCAGCTCCATGATCTAGCCTGGTAGCGAGAGACAACCCTGCAGGCACAGAGGGGCAGTTTCAGCTCATCAGCACAACACCAGCATAAAACAGAAACGATGCAACCTCGCAAGGGACGGCTGCAGGGTTGGAGAGGAAGAAACAGGCTGAGGCGATGGCGAGGGCGACAAGAGTGCGGGGATGAGCAGACAGCAAGGCAGAGTGAAACACTGTCGTCGCTAACCTGGCTGAACCGCTCTCCTGGGTCTCTCTCCATAGGGCTGGGAAGGAAAGTGCGACTGGGCGAGCCGCCGGCCGGTCGATGCCGCATGAACACCATTGTTCCCTCGCCCATCAACCCACTCACCCTTCTCCAAACACGACGCCCTACGTCGAACGGCCTTCTAGCGGGACACCCCCCCCCCCTCCTTTTGACAGCCATAAACTAGGTCGATGCTGGTAGAGACTGCCGTTATATGCATGGGTCGAGCCTGGCATACAGCACATCGCGCGACGGCATTCGCCCGCGGCTGCAGAATGAAGCGCGCGTGGGGCTGACATGGACGCCTCTGAGACGACAGAGCAAGTGCCTGGGCCCTGCCAACACCTCAGAAAGGCGTTTCAGGCGCGTGAACGTGTTCCAGACATATTGCACCTGCACAATCGACATCATCGGAACATAGTACATACACAGCCGGGAAGCATAAGCCGTCTGCACGATATCTCTAATCGGTAACTTTTGTCAACGTAGAGTCAGCGTGCGCGCCGGATTACGGTCCTTCTTTACGTCATGAGCCATCGTCTCCAGCAAACGGAATGAATCTCGGCGTCGCTTGCCTGTTCTTTCTCCAGCTCGAGTAAATGTAGGTTTTCCGAGGCAATCGGTTTGGTGTGACTGGGGACACGGCGGTTAGCGAAATTCATCACGATATACTCCTCACCGCGCGGCTTAATACAGACCGACATTTTGGCGCCCGTTATCCATGCACGACATGCCCTTCTCCATACTCTATCGCCGCTATCTCTTTTTCAGAAACTTCTTTCACATGGCAAATTGCATCTGGCTACATTTCAGTCTCGACACGCGCGTGACAATCTTGCGTGCGGAGCGACGAGTCAGCATACATGCCGTGCATACGCCTTGGATCGTCATACATGACAGTATTCGCGTTATCTGTCTTCGCGTATTGCGTATGCCGCAAAGTCTCGAGTCGCAAACCTTTGCATCATCCCGGGCAGTCACCGTGTCATGGACACATTCCAGCATGTACGATAGTACAACTCACAGAGACCGTTGGGAGCGCACCACCCAGCCCAACGGCTACTTGTAACCGTGACCATACGGCAGCCGCCGATACTACCATCAAGTGCCGAATTAGCAGAAACACTCTCTTGCCACGGACCGAACCATTTGCACGACAGACCAGGACTATCTGCGTAACATTGAAACACCAAGGTTGGGGAGCACGAGCACAAAGTGCATTGATCCCATATACGACGTCTTACGGATTAAGTAACTGCCTGGACGTCTCTTCAGTCCAACCACAAACTTTACCACAAGACAAGGCAGTGCGGTGTCTCCTGTAAGGGTTATGATTCATTGTCGCTCTTGCTTGGGTGGTTTCCTAGGTTCCGGAGCCTATCCAAAACACGAGTGAGTGAAGCGCATCAACTTACGCCAAGTAGCACCAAGTAGCCGGTACTCCCAACACGGTCCGTCGCCCTCCTGCTGCGGCACTAGGAACTTAAACCTTTGAATTCGATACCCTAGGGCGATCCCCGATGTAGCGCGTAAATCCGCTACCCCCCAAGGTTCGATGTCAGAGCCGTTTCGGACACCAGCGGCATCTCCTTGCTAGACACTGCTGTACAGACTGCAGCCCGCGCGTCAGCTACCATTGCGTTGCAAAATTGTGCCCTCTTCTGATTCAGATTGTGGGTACAATCATGCACAATCGACGCGTTATTCTGCTACATAAGCCACCGGCTGATATCTTTCCGACTCGATGAGATTGTCTTTTTCTCACCGCCCGCTGGAACACCATCAATCTTGTCCAAATCAAGGACCGGTATTCGGAGCCGAACGTCAAAGACATCTCAATCTGTGGGGTTGCATGTTATACCCTGGCCCACGTTGGTCTGGTAATGGTGGTGGTTGACTAATGATGCTGGTGTATATGCTTAGCGTAAGGAAAGAACTTTGGTACGTCCTCCGATCACGCTAGAAGATGCAGGGTTCTTATATGTCATCGTGAAGTAAAATTACGGCAATGCTTCTTTTCTCTCCCCAATCAGACTACGACATGGCAAGGAACTAAGTTTTGCACCCTACAACGAGACCACTTGTCCAATCTCTCGACTTTGTGGACCCGCGTGGCGACGATGCTGATGGCGACACAGAGCCAGATGTGCCGTCATGGGACAATGTATATCTTTGGGTGTCTAATGGCGACTTTGCGCGACTAGCGCCACTGTCCAGCGCTTTTTGGTACCCTACCGCGATATACCGGACCCGTCGAAAAGCCATGACCCGACCCATAGCTTTAACAGCTCGGGAAACACAGTCTGTCTAACCCATCACAATTGGTTCAAGCTATGTTGGCGTTAGCACCTCATGGAACGTTCTATGCACATGACTGGTTGTTAGATATTAATTATTACGAATGAGATAACCTCGATAGAGCGTATTTCTTGCTGAACCGTCCCGGTGCTCTGTCCCACTAAGGCACATCAACGGCAAGCGTCTGCTCAAAGCAAGGAACATTCCAAATGCATCCTCTCACGCCCGAGTCCTGGGTCCAGTCCAGCAACTATCTCACATCGCGATCGAACATCTCCTTCCCATATCATACACATGGCGTAACGTCTAGAGTTCTAGACCCATTGCCATCTCTTTCGTATCCACTTGAGAACGTATACCAGAAGCACAAGTACGGGGACCTCAATCAACGGACCCACCGTACTCGCCAGCGCCTGCCCACTACCCGCCCCATACACAGCAACCACCACCGCAATAGCCAGCTCAAAGTTATTGCTCGCAGCAGTAAAACTCTGCGTACAACTAACCTTGTAGCTGAACCCCATCTTCCAACAAAACCAAACTGTACTCGTGAAAATAACAATAAAGTAAACCAACAAAGGCGCGCAAACCCTCAGCACATCAGTAATCTGCCTAACAACATGCGCGCCCTGACTAGCAAAAAGAACAATAATCGTATAAAGTAGCCCAATGAGCGAAAACGGCGCGATATACCGGATGAAGCGGCGTTGATATCGTTCCTCTCCTAACATGGATCGCAATGCAAGTCGTGTGAGCACCGCAGCACCCAACGGTAATCCCAAAAAAACGCCAACACTCTGCGCGACCTTTTCATAACTTATATCCGTCTTAGCCCCATGACTCACCACCTGAATATAAAACACGGCAAAGGGTGCAAAAAGCACAATCTGCAAGATACTGTTAAACGCAACGAGAACAGCGCAGTAATCGCCGTCACCGCCCGCTAGATCCGTCCAGATAAGTACCATGGCGATGCAGCGTGCGATGCCAACGAAGATGAGTCCTTCGCGGAGGTCTTGACGGTCAGGCAAAAAGGCCCATGCTAGCGCTACCATGAAGAGCGGGGCGATGATCCAGTTCAACACAAAGGAGACGGCGATTTGGATCCAGAGGGTGCGTTCGCGGAGGAGGAGGTGCAGCGTTTCGTAGCGGACTTTGCAGAGGATGGGGTACATCATTACTAGGAGGCCGATTGCTGTAGAATCGTTAGCAGTTTGGCCTGTGTTGTGCCCGCGAGGTGGATGGGATGAGGATAAATGGGGACAGGATAGGATAACATGCTACGAGGTTGAACGTACCGATTGGTATACTGACACCGACGAATTCTCCTCTTTGTAAGGCGGGACCCACGGAATCAACAGTGTTTCCTAATGCGATTCCAATGGCCATGGCGAGGATGATCCATACTACTAGGAAGCGGTCGAGAAACGATAGACCTTTTAGGGGAGGGAGTTCTTTCTGTGTGGACGGTGTGTCCATCACATCACCACCAATGCCGTCACCAGCTTTCTCGACATCGCGTGTTGCTTCGTTTACTCCATCTCTCAACCTGTTGTGTGCGTCCTTGTCTTTTTCTGCTCTTATCGGTCCACGCTCGACTGTATCCATCTTTCCTGCTTCTGATTCTCTTTCTTCTGCGTCTTTCTCCTTTTGTCTTTTTTGGTGTCGTCTCTCTGAACCGACTTTTGTGGATTTGTGAATAGTTATTCTTGGAGTAGGTCCACAAACGGTCCAGTAGCATGGAACGAGATCCTTAGTTAACAACAATGGCAGGGGAGGCAAGAAAGCCAACAAGAGCCAATCAACGCTAAGCAGTGACTACCTGTTTTGCCGCCAAGGCGCTAGAAATGGCAGAATGCTTGGCGGTGACGGGAATGACGAGCTTGTGGTAGATCTTCGGTTCTTCTTCTGCATGTAATCAACGCATTCTTAAAGATGTTGTGGCACATTTGGTTGGGTCCATGATTGGTGGAGGGACTTGTTAGATTGCTTGCTACGTGAGTATGGTGGCTGGGAATAAGAGTTGCGTCAAGATCGCGAGTTACTTCTCTGGCTATTGCTCTACAGATGTATTGGTGATAGGGCTGTTACCACAACTGCCAAGAAATTACGAGAATACCAAGAAGGTAAAATGTCCATGCTAAGGTGAAGTGACTGGAAGCACTTGCTTCACAGGATGTTTAGATACGACCACGATCCAAGAACTTCTTCGGCAAGTCCACAGTCTTCGCACGCATATACTCCATAGCATCTAGAAATCAGTCAGCAAAGCAACCACCATAACACATTATTTCCCACTTACTCTTCCCCAAAGTATCATATGAAGAACATGTATTGTACCCCCCATCCCTCAAATGATCATGCAACAAGAAATGCACCGAACGAATCCCTGCAATCTCAAAGCGATCAATTGGTTTCCCGCTATACTCATCCTTCCCAAGAAGTTGTTTAACGCGCTCAATTGTCATGAAAGACCGCAACCAATCCCACTCATCGTCATGACGTACGAAGAAGCCGCAGTTGCAATCTGATGCTTTATCTCCAGATCGACCGGCGACAATATAACCCAACGGCGCGCGAACCGTCTCGCCAAAAGAAGAAAGATCGACTGGCGAAGACGTCTCGTATGAGTTTTGTTGCCGGGGATACTCTTTAGTGATCTTGGGTGGGCTGAGATTGGTGACCGTCTTATCGCCGTACATGGTATGAACACGTAGCGGTAATTGTTCTTGAGGGAGAAGTGAGACCCAGTAATCGTAGTACGGCTTCGGTACAATCTGCCGTAAGTCGTTTGATAGTGAGAGGCCAGGGGCTGATTGGAGGAAGACTTCAAGGCACCAGCGGTTGAATCCATTTGGGATGTCTGGACGTACTAACTCGGGATCGGAGGTTTGAGCAAAAATCCGGAAGTCGACTGTTGCTACGTCTTGGTTGCGCGCGTCGATTGGTGATGAGCCGTTTTGATGGAATCTGAGCGTTTTGAAGCGATTTACGTTGTCACCCATAGCTGTCTATTGTTAGTCTGATGTTGCTTTTGTTGCGTCAACGATATGAATGCACCTACCGTATCGGATTTGATCTTCAGTGATCTTGCACTTCTCCTCGATATCGAGCCCGCATACAAACATGTGCCACTCGCATTGCCAACCCGCTGGAGCAGTAATACCGACCTTAGTCGTGGGTGGTGGAGGGAGCCCTTTGACTCCTGTAACACGCACGAGATCCTCGCCTACTTGCTCCATCTTGACGTCTGTAATATCAGCCGTAACATCGCAGTTGTAGTATAGTGGTCCCTGGATCTCATACAGCAGCTGCGAAGTGCATGTGCCGACAGTAACGCAACCTGGGCACGTTAGCCGCATGAAGTCTTGATCTAAAGTTGGCACCTACCTCCGGTGTCCTTCTCCTTCGCAATGTTGAAGCTGCCGTCGTATTCAACTTCTGCAATAGGAAAACCCATATTGATGTGCTTGCCGGTCTTCATGAGATCTTTAAACATTGAGTAGTATCCTCCTGTGACGTAGGCTGAGCATTCGACTAGATGGCCTGCGATGAGTGCTCCGGCGAGTTCATCGAATTGATCGTTCTTCCAGTCATGCCACCACCTAACCATGTTAGCTGACTAACAGGAGATAGTAGTATAGGAACTCACGCTGCAGCACCAATGACTGGCGCAGCATCAGCAACTCTTCCAGCGAGCACTATATCCGCACCTTCTCGGAAGGCTTCTGCTATGCAGAGTCCACCCAAATACGCCTGCGCGCATACTGGTTCCATCCCCCACTCCTCGAGCTTCTTGCCATGCATTAAGCTTTCAAACTTCTCCCCCTTCTTGATCAAACTGTTGACCTGTCCCGTCACATCATCGCCTTCTATCCATGCCACTTTGAGATGACCAGCGCCCTGCTTCTCCAACATGTCCACTACAACTTCGGCGAGAAGTTCAGTGTCTGAAGCGCCGGCATTCACGGCGAGCTTCGTCTTGTTCTTGACCAGGTTTGGTATTGCCGGATCGAAGCACTGGATGAAAGTGTCGGCGTACATGGCGTTCTTCTTCCGTTCTTCCAGACTCATTGTGCCTTTTTGGTTCTTCGTAGGCTTCTGCTTCACTTTTCCACTGCCGTGCACCGTCATGGTCATCTCGGACAACCAATCGCCTAGTTCGGTCAGCATAGAATTATCTTGAGCTACCTGCCAGGGGGAACCTGCCCATTACAACGTCGATTTCTGGATCGCCAGCCATACGTGTGATGGCAGTGGAACGGTCCGTGAAGCCACCAGAGCATCCTGCGATGCGCACAGCGCGCTTGCGATCAGTAGAAGGAGACATTTTCACTCGCTTGTGATTTGACGCCATATATAACTCGTATCAAACTGAGAAAAGATTAATTACTCCATGACGGAAGGCCTCAAAGCTATATACCAGGTCATTTAGAAACGCCCTTCCGAGATAAGGCAAGCCGTCGAAACAGTACCTAGGTAGCAGGGCCGTTGCCCCTGCGTTGCCCAATGACGGCTCGGAATATAGGTAGCGCGATATCCATGTCATGTAATGAAGGATACTTGCGGATAATCTTCAACGAAGGAAGACGATTTCCTGTACGCATATGGCGGGGTTGCGGGGAAAGAGACGGAGGTGAGCGCGGGGAGCTGCTGAAAGCTCAGGAAGCGTTATCGTCGCGACCTGACCAACGTGATATATCCAAGGCTGCACCTTTCCAATTGCAGTGTAGACTTTGTGCAGCCAGTATGAGCATGTTTGACTTCCATGGTTTGGGGAAGAAGAAGAGGAACAGCGACGCGCGATGTTCGCGATTCGGCTAACGACTCATCCTTTCCAGCATCTGAGCCTACATGACTCGATATTTTCCCCCGTGCCAGGAGCTCGCAGACTCCGCGTCACCCAAACTTTGGCATCGCCACCTCAACACAACCTCAATGCCACCACCTAGTACAAGACGAGCGGCCGAAGCTATCCATCTATTAGCTGAAGGCCAACTACATACATCCCGTGGCTGAAGAGTCTATGTGGCGTGCTGCATCCGACGTATTTTGTCTGATCCTTGCGCCCACCCAGTACAACTTCAATCACGAGCGCGATAGATATAGCAACAGTCTGAGCTCATGATACTGACTCTCCGCTAATTTTTTTTGGTTCTCTATACTGCGGTGCATCTCCGCTCGAGACCTCCAATCCACGTTCCTGCCTGTGATCCCAGTCTCCTTTGGGAGCCGTTTACAAATAAACAAGTATCTTGCGAAAGTCGCTTCAGTCACGTCGAGCTCGGTCGTGTGAGAAACAATCTATGTCAGCCCAGTAAAACATCAACGAAGATACAGTTTTGAACGATACAGACCCAGCGTTTGTCTAGTTTCTTATTTGTGTATACGACGATATCAGGTACGCACTATATCATATCTTTACGGAGGAAGTAAAAAAGCACTTTATCGGAGAGCAAACACGTCTTCTAACTCAGTAGTCTGTATACGGAGGCTAGGTATCTTGTACACAATATACGATTGGGCTTCAACTTCGGCTTTCTACCTTCTCTTCTATTGTCATTCACCTTTCCAAGTCAATCATGGATAGAACGCACATGTTTGCCGTCATGGCTGCCTTGACTGCAGGATCGATCGTCACATTCGAGTGCCTATGGTGGTCAAACTCGCGAGAGAAGCTTGAAGCAATGCTTGCTGCTAAGATCACAACAGAGACCACTGAAGCCTTGACTCCGCCAAGCGCGACAAGAGCAGTCAGAAGCCACAAGTTGATATCTCCCCGAAACGACCCTCGACGCTTTTCAGAAACAAAGAAGACGGAAACCTACCCAGGGCGAACCTCATCAAATGAGAGTTTTACGTTCACTGCCCTTGTGATGAGCACGCAAAACAGCTTTACTTCAGTTGGCCATACTCATGCCAGGTCAAACACAGTGAAGCGGATGTCGTCGTTCAAGCTGGTTCAAGACCAACTCTGATTTACGAATCTGAGAACTGTCCATACGTCAAGGCAAGAAGCTGGCAAAAGAACATACGGGATCCATGCTACATGAAATGCTGCACGTGTTCGTGATCCAGTTCGCGTGCGGGCTATGCATACCCTGGGAAAATTGGGTCTCTCATGGGCGAGCTTGGCAACGTATTGCAAAGGCTATCGAGGAACAAAGCCTGCGGCTCCTGGGAGCCAATGAACAGATAAGCCTAAAACTTCTGACGGTAAAACAAAAACGATAGGCATTGGTTGGTGTATGCGTCTACACATGTAATTTAGTCTGGTAGTAACATGAGTTTTTCTAAATTCAATAGGTTCTGCTCGAGCCATATTGATCGTTTAGTGTGAAGTTGCTACATGTTCAGCCTTGCCCCGCTTCATGGTTGGACGTACTTTCCCCTGCCGATGGATCTACCATCTAGATTCCTCACGCAATCAGAATCCTAACAAGGTTCTAGGCTTCATTCCGTCACGGACACGCAATTATGAAGGTGCAAACAGCTACCAACTTTTTTGACGGCAATTGCCGTTCTCTCTTAGGCCACGAGCTCATTTTTATGGTAGCGCCTGACACGATGACGTCGCTGCACTTTGCTCCGCGGTGCCTGCTCGACCAACAAACGAAAGCGGCACACTCGAGGAAGGCGGCAATGTCAACCCCCCTACAGACTTACACACACTTAATGCACCTAAGAAATCTTGTCGCATACTCATCGATACCCCAGACAATATCGTTACATCAATATCACCTACCAATGCAGCCTGCGCACGTTGCGCACGATTAACCGAGGCCCAGCGCTATCATGGATATCAAGAAAGAGCTCATCCAGGTTGACAAGCTGAATATCGGACTCGATCGATCACACATTACTTATCAAGGCCAGATTGAAGTACCTGGAAATCACTCCGAAAGTAGCCATGACGGAATACCTCACTTGCGCGACACAAACACAAGTACGGAAGATATTGCTTCATCAAATTCGTCCTCTACCACCAAGATAGTCAACAAGGTCCGACAGAAGAAGCATAATGCCGGTGTAAAGATCAGGAAAACATTGCACATCACAAACCCGGAAGATGAGATTGAAAAGCCTGATCCAGATTCGGTAGTGCTTGTTGATACCACGGAGGTAAAGGATTCGAAGTCACGCCTGGATCACAAGTCTACAGAGTCAGAGAAGCATACTTTCAAGGATCTCTTGCACAACCCTATCGATACGGTGAAATCTAAGGGATGGAATCAAGGTGAGTGACCCATATTCCACGCGTGAAGGCAAAAGCTATGGGCACTGCGCGTGCTCACAGCGCGGAGCTGATCAGGAGCTCACATTAGACTCAGAAAAGTTACTTTGCTGACTGATTAAATCTAGGAAATCAGGAGATCGCAGCAAACATAGCTGTAAGCGAAGTTCCACATGGCCAGGAGGTGGATTTGGTCAATGCGGCGACTGCCGTGGACCAAGCAGCGACTACAGATGAGAAAGTCCGAGCTCAACAGAGTCTCGCTGAGATGCTCGAGCAAAGACAAAGTACTTTTGTTCGATGGTCACTCGATCGGCATGTTACCAAGATCAGGGTGTTACCGCGGGAGACCGCAGTGCTCAAGCCCATATCAGAGTTCCAAAGGAGAGACGCCGCAGGCCGCACCGTCACCGACTGGAGAGCTTATGGCTCGCACTTACTGGTCTACTACGCTCATCGATACGGTGGACAGTATATTGGCTACGGATCCGACCCGCCAACACCGTCCAAAGAAACAATCATGCCAAACATCGAGCGCCTTATCGTTTCGACATCACCTTTCCAGGAGTTTATCATGACTACCCGACGCGTGTATCGTTGGGAACACCCTGCAGAGACACTCAAGTACCTGATAATCTACTCCCTTCTTTGGTATTTCAATCTGCTATTGCCGGGCATCCTGTCAGCGCTGCTTTATCTCGTTGCAGAACGCCGCATTCATGGTATGTCCATGGAAGACCTTCGCGAAGACATAAAACACATAGAAGACGTGGAGAGAACAGCGCTGTCGCTTACCGAATTCATCGAGAAGCAAGGTGATGAGAACTGGGCACACGACCTCCTCCAAGACATTGGTCCTTGGCTCATGGTCCAACTCGCCGACCTGGCCAATTTCTTCGAGAGCGTGCGAAACTTCTACGAGTGGAGGAAGCCAACACGAACATTGGCTGTGCTTGTAGTTCTTGCTGCCGCCATTCTTGTCACCGTCTTCACACCTCTTTGGCTACTCATCAAGGCTTCCACGTTCGCTGCCGGTTTTACGTTCTTCTGCCTCTTTCCACTCTCAGTCAACTTCCCGGAATACCGCCTCCTCGTCTCGCCCTCGAAGCGCCTGCTTTGGAACATACCCACGCATGCCGAGTGGTCAATCCAGTATGTACAAGCCGAAGGTCTTCGTGTAATCACCGAGAAGCAGAACACCAACATTAAAACAACCACCCTGGCGAATACGACTACCCTCGACAAATCCATCTCTCCCGCAGACCAAGATTTTGCTTCCTACCCTTGCCATTATCACAAAGCGCCAGGAAACCTCATCGTCAGTGTTACAGGAGTACGTTTCGTCGCCAAGCGTCCACCACAGGAAGTCTGTTTCTCTCTTCCGTATGACCGAATTTACCAGCTCGAGAAGCAAGACCGACATCTGGAGAAGATGGTCAAAATCCTCAAAGAGTGTGACAAGGATTTGCGTCTTGTAGATAGAGATGGCCATGAGTGGATCTTGCATGAAATGGAGAAGAGAGACGAGGCGTTTAGTCAGATTGTTGGATTTAGTCGGACAGAGTGGCAGGTTGCTTGGTAGTACAGTATATTTTCACTTGAGAAAAATTTGTCTGCTTATGTGCCTTTTGAAAGAGACTGAACGATACAATGATATTGATGTCAGTCTTCTCTCTCTCTCTCTCTATATATATATATGCATGATGGAAAACCGCCAACTCTTTCACACTTTCTCAGCTATGCTCGCCTCCGTCCCCACAATAGTCGTCTCCCCGTTCCCCAACGTCTCCACCAACCTCCTAGGGCCCACATATCCCCTATTCCTGATCCAGACATACCACCCCCCTAGTAAAATCGTCACACCTCCCACAAGCGCACTCGTATAATTCATCGTCGTAGTATCAAACGGAACCGCAAACGGGAAACAATAAATCGGTATCCATACCACCATATACGCACACGCCAGACTAGCCACCGTGTAGAAAACCGGGTTGGGCATGGTAAAAGGGCCCTTGATAACGTGGCGGCGGCGGGTGAGGATATTGGGCAAGATGAAAGCGAGATAGGACATGCTTGACAAGACGATGAAGGAGCCGACGAAGGCGGAGAAGGCGGTGGAAGAGCCAATATAGATACAGCCTAGGATTGTGTTGATGACACCACAGGCTAGGGTGGCGTTGAACGGGTTTTCCCATTTCTTGTCAATGTGGCCGATCCAGTGGGAAAATGGTGTTGCGTCGTCGCGACCTAGTGTCCATAGCATGCGGCCAGAGGTTATGTAGCAACCAATGTTTGTGCAGAATGTTGGGATGAAAATGACGAGTAAGAGACCCAAGGATCCGCCGTGAGAGTTTGTGGCTTGTCGGTATAGTTCGGCGAGGGGGAAGGGCCAGGGGTTGGAGAAGAGGCTTTCTAGGTCGTTTACGGAGTAGAAGATTGTTACAAGGTAGAGGAGGGCGGTTATGAAACCGACGGTGTATTGGGCGAGGATGGCTTTGGGTATGTTGGTTCGGGGGAGGGGGAGTTCCTCAGCGAGGTGAGAGACACAATCACTAATGACATCTGTTAGTTTGTCTTATACGCTGCATTTGGAAAGTGGAAAAGGGGGGAAAGTAAAACTTACGGCGTTCCTACCGCAAAAGCTCCGTTCAGCATGCCAGCGCAAAACACAAAGCCATCACTACTCCAACCTGCTTGGTTCTGCCAATCGCGCCACACAAACTCATTACTCGCATATCCCTTGCCGCTTCTACTGGGCATGATGGCGCATACCATGATAGTGATGAAGACACCCATGAGGATGAAGAAGAGACCGATATTTGTGAGTTTGGGTAAAGCGCGATTGGCAAACATGACTACGAAGCAGGCAAGCCAGGTGATGATGAGGTAGACGATGAAGACGTGCCAGCGTTCGAAGGCGTAGCCGGGGTGGAAAAGACCGTACATGGAGATGACTTGGTTGGCGAGGATTGAGGATATGGAAGCGGTACCGAAGATCCAACCTAAAGCGTTCCACCTATGCGGTGTTAGTCGTGCCTTTTCTCATTCGATTTTCTCCAAGTCGGTAGGGAAGAGGTAGGGCCAATGGGAATGGTGATTTTGAACGTACCATCCAGCGTAAAAGCCAATAACCTTGCCAAATCTGGCTCCTCCTGTTACGCTTGCCCAGTGATATACACCCGCCGAGGAAGGGATAGCAGAAGCCATCTCTGCGATACAGGCCGCGATCATAAAGTAACAGCACGCGACAGCTATGAATTCGTAAATGACACCTGCTGGGCCACCATTGTAGAGCGCGATAACCTAAGCATGGTGAGCATTCTGTAACGTCTGAATTGGGGGTTGGAAAAGAAAAGGTTACGTACGATAGACCCTCCCAACGCCGCCCACACGTTTCCTGTTGTGATACCAATTGCACAGATGCTCAACAGACTGAAGTTGCGCTCGAGCTCTTGCTTGTGACCCGAAGCATTTAAGACCTCGCCCACGTCACCCATGGCCTGGTCCACATCCTCAGGTCTTGGCTTCTCAGAAGACTTCTTTTCCAGATCCATAGTTGAGACTGGTATAAGCATAGGCAGTGCGCCAGCTACTGCACTGTAGTCGCTGTCGCGTTGCGATGCGTATTACAGAGAGGAGGTCGTCGACGACGAGGATATGCGGATGAGGATGAGAATGTCCTTGATGTCAACAGTCGTCTTTTGCCCAGACACGGGAGGGCAGAGGCTTAGATTACCAGCCAGACGGGGAAAGAATGAGTGGAGTAGTATCGATCGCAGATCAAACAGTCTCGGTTGTCAATCGTACAACAAACGACCGCCCAGAGATAAGAGATCAAGGAACGGGGCGGAGGGAAACAACACAGAAAGCGCGGAACCGTATTCTTAGCAACAACAACAAAGGACGTGGCAAGGAAATGAAATCTTCATACCCATCTTATTCTTATGATGCCCCATTTGGTTTGCGAGAGAGCGGCTTCGGACGCCTCTATCTCTGCTGTGTCAACTACAACACTGTCACTTACACGTAAGTACGTATGCTAAGCGACCACCGACGACGGAGATAAAGCAATGCATCCAGCATTGCCGTCTCTACGCCCGGTCGCGCCAGAAAAGCCCCAGCAAAGCAAATGGGGCAGCAAGGGCCTCTAAAAGTCCGGGCCATATGAATCGTGTAACGGTGCAAGCAGTAGCAGCCATCTCCGCAGAGGAACCGTGGACACGGGTCAGGAAACACTAATCGCGTTATGTCGTGTGTAGAACTGATAAGGACGCTGAGGCGGAGCTGAGTTCCCAGGGTGTAAGATAAGTGATCCCGGGTATATGGTGCAGGAACAGGTTACAATCTAGGCCAATGAGAGATAAGGCTGGTGGATGCAGCCGGAAGATACGCGAATGCTGATTTGGGGATGCGGAGACTTTTGGAGTAACACAGTGGCGTAAGGCGAGATAAGTGATTCTTTGCATGCTGATTTGGAGTGCGGTTAGGCGATAGAGAGGAGACGCTGTCAAGGTGTCTCTGGACTAGTATGAGAGTGGTTGACTTGACGGCCGTTCTCCCCACATTGGAGGGATCTGGAGGGTGGTGCCCAGGTGTTGACAGGACGGAAGACGGGGGCTTGCGAGCCGCTCAAGCGGCTAGGAATGCATGTCTGCGCTATCCCCCACGCGTCCTAAAGGGCCCTGGTAGTCTTTGATTGGCCGTGCGAATTAACAACTTGCGATGCAGTAGCTTTGGAGCGTACAAAAGAGAAGAGGAAATAAGGCGCGGCATCATCATATAATCGACGAAAAAGAAAGTAAATTACCGCATCCGTGCAAGGCGTATGCATCCAGAGGGATGTAGTACTATGCGCTATGCTATGTTCTTAGATACTGTACACAAAGTAAACGCACCTGCAACTCCAAGTCCATGTCGCTCTGCCAGAGGCTCAATGATTACATACGTTTCGTCCTCATGCACGCGTGAGCGATCCCAATTCTAGTGACATTTCCTCGTCCCATGTCGTACCACAAATGAAAGAAAGACGGTAGGCTTACGCGCTGCGCATCTCGGCATCGTCGGCATCGTCGGCATCGTCAACGTCGCCAATCTTCCGCTTGCTAGGCGTAGCGCTGCCCTCGTCGTTGACGTCGTCGCCTTCAGTCCACTCAGTGACTTCCCACTCGACGTGCACGCCGCTCTCCGAGTGTCCACCGCGCTGATGCTTGAAGCGGCCCAAGCGAGTGTTTCTCACAATCTCTTCGAACCAAGGCGCGCCCCGCGATTGTGGTTCTGAGCGAGCGACTGAACGCGAGTGACTCGAGGGTGCGGGTCTAACGGTAGACGCTTCGTCGTCGCTGCTCTCGCTGCTGCTGGGCAGGAAGCCGAGTTCACCCAGCATCTCCTGGTCCTCGTCCAGCAAGCTGCCGACCGTCAGGGAGATGTGGTCGGCCTCATCGCGTGTTCGCTCGTTCCACGACGTGAGCTGTGTACCACAGTATCCGCAGAACTCACGACGGCTATTCGGTGTATACGGCGAGGTGAAGCTGCGCTTGATGCTCAGTGGCGTCTCGTCGAGGAACTGAGCAAACGTGGCCGAGGTATACCATGGCAGAGGTACGCGAAGCCATAGTGTGAGAGGATTTGCTGAGTGGTGTCCTGTTGTATCGTTGTTAGCGACAGCACCTTGGTGGAGAGTAGCGTGCGTGGCAGCCCATGACGTGCCCCATCAAGAGACACCCGGCCGCACAGCAAACACGGCATGTACTTACGCGACGCAGAAGTGTTGTCGTATCTCAACTCGGCCTGTCTAATTTGCTGTTTCGGCATCTCGATAACATAGCGGTTCCTGCCGCAGGCACAACTGCCGTGCAGCGTCTGGGTCGCCATTCCGCGTCTTCGGAAGCTCGCAGTTGCTTGGTTCAACTACGTTCTGGTATGTCGTGTTTCGACCAGACGACGAGGGATTGATGTGTTTCAATGTTCGCGGGGTGGTGTGTCGAAATCAATCGAAATTCGATGTTGCCCGTTGCGACTTCCCCAGCTGCTGTGCGCCTGTGCTGCGATTGGCTAACTTGCAGCCTTATGAGATGACAACCAAGGTTGATCCTCCCACGTCACCTTGACAACGAAGACGACCAAGTTGAGCGTGTGTAATACTAGGTTGATTGATTCTGGTGCTGCGACAGGTATTGACGTATTTATTGCAGAGCATACGTGTAGTGCGTTGTGCGAAACGTCGCAGTCTTCAATCTCCGTGATCCCACCTGGCGTCATGTGTGGGGAAGCTCACGACGGCAAGGAATGTTCGAGCACGCCCTAGCATCTTCGCGAAACCAGACCTCTAAACGAAATCAGACCGCCTTCTCCTTTGTGTCTTTCCTCATCTTAGCAACACTCTCGTTGACTCTTTCAATCGCCTCCCTCGCACCATCCCAGCATTTCCTCTTCCCTGTGCTGAACACGCGATGTATGTGCGGACTCCATATCCCACTCATCAGCAGATTGCAGAACCTCCTCTCCCGGAGCCAGAACAGCCAGCCTTTCCACCCATAACCTAAGTATTCGTTGACACCTGTGCCGGCAAGATGGTCCATGGCCTTGACCCATTCACCTGCCTCGCATTGCCCTGGCGACACGTTGTGAATGCGCTTTGCAAAGTCGGCTAACCATACGTGGTGTTTGTCGACAGCGGCATTCATAGCAGAGAGCGAAGGCAGTGTGGATTTGCCCGCCCAGACCTGGGCTATAGCCATAGATGCCATGTCTGATCGCCGTCAGTATTTCTTTCGCCTGCATATCTTACTCCAAGTTACTTACCAAAGATTGGAAAACCACTGAGTGTTATATGTACGTTCCCCAAGAACGCCAGACTATCTGGCTTCTCAAGTGAAAAGATGTTGTGATAGAGACGGAAGAGTGACTTCCCATTCGAACCGGGAGCGTCAAGCCATGGCTGAGGACGACATGTAGGATCGAACCGAGACTCAATCATACTAAAGTCTGATGTATATCCCGTGCACCAGATTATAGCGTCAACGTCAGGTTTACTCCCGTCTTGGAGTTCTACTTCAGTCGCGCCTAGAATACGTTTTATCCCCGCGACCGATGAGATACTGCCGTTCTCAAGACACGGGATCAGAGTATCGGATACCACAGGTACTTTGCCTGCGGGCTCGAAGCGCCACTCGGAACGAATATCGAAACTCTTGTCTTGCATCTTCTTGAGGAACTTGTCGAATAGACGTTCGCCGAGACGCGGAAGGTACTTCATGATGAGGCTTTGGATGGTGAAGAGACGTAGGCTGTGTGTATGATCTATCGGGACACCTTTGATGCGTCGCGGGAGCTACAGGTCGAGAATCAGTATCAAGACGCTTGTAAGCCCGGTCATACTGTTGAACATACAACGCGCGCCCCGTGCCGATGCGCCATATACACCTTGTCTGCCACACCCACAAGCTGCGTAGCTGTATCCGCTGCACTATTGCTGAAGCCAACGACCATGACTCTTTTGTCTTCGTAATCTCTTGGCCTCTTGAAAGCTTGCGAGTGTACGCTAGACCCGGCAAACTTCTCAATGCCTTCTATGGTTGGAGTACTGGCCTTGCCGACCATACCACCAATCGCTACAACGACCTTGTCATAATATTCTTTGTTCCCACCTTCAATGTCCAAGACCCATTTCTGTCGCTCCTCATCGAAAGTGATCTGCTTGATTGAGGTGCCAAGCCGCATGTACGATTCCAAGTTGAAGTGCTTCGTATAGTCTATTAGGTATCGTTGCACCTGTGCGGCTGCTGGGTGTGATGGGACATCTTCCGGGAAGGGAAAGTCGGTAAAGCACGCTCTCTCTTTCGAGATATTAACAGTAGTCGTCTCCAGTACGGACGTCTGCTCTTTGGCTGAGTACTGCCATAGTCCGCCAATGTAGTCGTTGCGGTCGAAACCTGTGGCATGGTAACCTTCCTCTCTCAGGTTCTTCAATGCCACGAGGCCAGCCGGTCCTAGAGGTTCAGTCGGGGAGTTTCTTATTTTAAATACAAGGAGTCTTACCCAGACCTATGACCGCTACAGTTGTGACTTCTTCCATGATGCCAGCGGTGTAGATGTGTCGTTAGTGCTCTTCACGTACGCCTGTCGCCACCCGTCCTCTCAGAGAAACACAGTAATCGTACCCGTGTCAACAGCATTCATGTTGTTTGGGCTAACAGTAAAATACACCGCGACCAGCTTCACGTTGAACGTGAAATGGCCCGACACCGCGTGTGGGTCTTACGCCCGTGTCATTAGGCGGGCCAGGCGGGACGGAGGAGTAGGGCAATACACCTAACGTCACGCACCGACATCAACACAGTTCTCACCTTCACATGCTTTCTGTAGCGCGTGGTATGCGTCTTCTCAGTTCAGAGATCTGCGTCAACCTAGATGGGCATGCTTCGCGAGAGGTTGGTCTGCTGCAATCGGCTACACCGCCACGAAAGACTAAGAGTTGGTGTGGCGTCGGCCCCACTTCACAGCCCATTTCCGATGTAGGAGTAGTGCATCTTACGCATGTGCTGCTGCCTCCTTCACAACGCGTCATTTCTGACAGGCTGTACTGTTTAACTGGACGACTACCAGGGCTGGGAATAACTTGTAGTTTCGAGTTTGGAGTTGCGATTGGACATCTCCTCGCATAAGGCAGCAGCTTTTCGTTCGTTCAGCTCTACGTGGTTAGTGGAGTATTGACAAGACATATGAGCAAGCCTCCGGTCCTTTACACCTTAAGAAACACTGCTACAGAGGACCACGGCCTCAACCACTCATCCCCATACTGATTCAACATTGACTCCTCGTACCTTTCCAAACCATGGCTGGCCCACCATCATACCCCGCCAATGACGACTTCAGTTCCAGGCCACCTCCCCCATCAACATCATCAAGGCCTAACGTCACTTCTACACCAAGCGCGATGTCAGTCGCGGACTCTTCTGATAACGACTTTGAGCCTACCCCTGTCCACAGCCCCGGAGGTCCACAATATGAAGATTTGCCACCGTCCTACGATGAAGCGCAAGACCAGGCCGTTCACGATACGCGCAACGGCATCGCGCCCGTAGACCCAAGTCAGATTGAAGCCCACCGCATTACGCTCAACGAAGGACCAAATGAGCCCGAAGTATGGGAGTACCGAGTAAGGGGAGAAGAACCAGATCCTGCAAATGAACAGGAGCAAGCACCAAACTATGCGAATCATACAAGCGACAAGGCTACCAGTGTGCCTGTCCAGCATGTTAGCACTAGCGAGAGTATCTCAGTCGGACGCGTGCATAGCGCATCAGCTTCGTCGTCGAGTAAGAAGCCTGATTTGGCCTCTACCATGCTCACTCAAGCCTTGGAATTCACGCGTCAAGAGCCAGATGCTGCCGTGCAGTATGCACCGCATTTGAACCGCATCATTGCGGTACCTGAAGAAGGAGGACCGGGACGACCAGCCAACGAACCTGTAACGTTCTTGTGCGCATACGCCGAAGTGCTAAGTCGGCATTCCATCAGGCCTGCTGAGTTTGCAGACTTCTTATACGGTCTGCAAGTCCTGTGTACAACATCAAACGCAACGGCTGAGGACTTGCTGCAAGCTGGACCAATATATCAGGATGTCTCTTCAAGTATCGTACACGATTACATCCGAGGAGCGAACGAAGCTTTCTTTGCACCGAGAGGGCTGGTAGTGTCATTTCGCAGTGAGACTGCGCTTCTTGAAGTACTGCCTATTCCTGCAGGACATAGGGCTACTGTTCTTGCTAACTTGGCCGATATAACTGGAACGGCTGAATGGCGGGCGCAGCAGTTGTATCCTTGGATTGAAGCCCTGGATGCTGAGAACGTTCCGGTGCCAAGTGAGAGAGTGCTTAAGTTGCATGAGCTGAGTGAGCGTTTCTCTGGTCTGGCCGCTGCTGGTCAGGGATCGTCTGGTAATGGCGGCGATACGTCGAGACGGAATTGGGGCTCTGGGTCGGCTGAAGCGTATGAAGATCCACCGCATTCTATCCCTGGACCTCCAGAAGATTCGCCACATGCACATGGTCCGGGTGCCCGCCATCATCAAGGTCGCGGACGAGGAGGCCACTGGTCGCCCTTCGGTATGCCAGGTCATGGCCCCTTCGGCGCTCCCAGAAACGGTCCTTTTGGCCCTACCGGTCGAGGACCATTCGGTAGACGAGGCTTGCCTTCTCGCGGTTGCGGTCGCGGTTGCGGTCGCGGTCGCGACAATGAGTGGCGTGGAAACGAGTGGGCAGAAGTAGGCAAAGAATTGGGCAAGATTGGTGAGCAATTCGGGAAGCGCATGGGTGATTGGGGTGTCGAATTTGGCAAGCGCGCCAATGCGTTTGGTTTAGATGTAGGCAAGATGGCGAGTGGAAGTGCAAGTGCAAGTGGCGCTGCCTCAGGACAGCAGCACCAACAAACACAAAAGGATGATCTCCCACCTGCTTACCATGCTCCGGCGGGTCAAGAGTCAGGTGTGCTATATGGAGATGAAAAGAGCAAGGTCAACAACACTCCCGGATACTCCATCTCCATGACTACAGACGACAAGGGCAAGAGTAAGGCTAAAGCCAACGACTTGGACAACGACTATGACGACGACGATGATGATGATGATGACGACACATCGTCCCTCTCATCCGACAGCTCAATTTCCTCTGATTCCGACTCGGATTCCGACGACGAAGACTTGCCCTCCACCTCCACCAACGCGGATCTAGCCCGCGCACGCAAGCTCTCCATCCGCGATGCCCGCCGCCAACTCAAACAACGCTCCCGCCAACTCAAATCACAGCACCGTCAGAAGAAACGGGCATTGAAAGCCAAGCACCACGCAGGAGAGAAAGGTAAGGGTAAAGGGAAAGAAAAGTCAAAGATGAAGAAAGACCCAGAGTGGAAGGAAGCGAAGAAAGAGTATAAAGCACAGAGGAAGGAGTTGAGGAAAGAGAGGATGGCTGCGAAGAGGGAGTGGCGTGAGGCTAGGGAGGAGGCGAGGAGGGAGATGAGGAGTGCTAGGAAGGAGGCGAGAAGAGGAGGAGGGAAGATAGGAGGGAATGTAGGGCAGGAAAAGGGAGAGAAGAAACAGGTGGTTTGGTTGGTCGTTGAGAACTTGGCTCCTTGAACGGCTTGTACTAGGTGTGTTTGGGCGTTTCCATGTAGGAAGCGTCTTAGGGGCTCATATGACAATTTGAAATGGAAGACTGCGATGCCATGTTCCCACATTCAAGCACAACACTCATCATCAACCCATGCCCAGAGCAATTTGAAATCTTCTTTGTCAAAATACTCATCGACTAAGTGTACACAAAAGACTACATGCATCTCTGCCGTCTAAAAACGCTCACTATAAACACTTCCCCTTCTCTGTCCTGGTGAAAGAAGAAGCATTTTTATGACAGCATCCTGCTCATATCGTTCCTAATCCTGTTGTAATCCAGCAGACCCTCAATCTGACCGACCGCTGAGACGGCAATATCCTTGTCCCACAGCCTGTTGCGGGCGAATTGCATAACGTCCTTCTCTGTGATGCGGCCGACAACGCGCTCTACCTCCTCGGGTGATAACCGGCGACCAGTGGTAACAATTTGGCGACCAATGTCCTCGGCAACGGCGGTGGTGCCGTCAAGAGCAAGGAGGATGGAGGCCTTGAGTTGGGCCTTGGCACGCTCGACCTCGGCGGAGGTGACGTTCATGGAGAGGCGGGACCACTCGCGGAGGGTGAAGTGGACGAGATCGTCGAGCTGGGTCAGGTTGGAGCTGGTGAGGTAGATACCCCAGAGACTGTCGTTTGTTAGTGGATTTGCCGAGAATTGTAGTGGTGTTGCAGTTGACTCACCCAGTGTCCGAGTAGCTGGTGGAGAAGCTCATGAAGCTGTTAGCCAGGGCATTTTGCGAGACGAAGTTGCTGAGCTTGCTGCCAAGGTAGTCGGAGGTACCCATGGCACGGTCCCAGTTACCGACAATAGCCTGTGTGACGAGTGCGGTGAAGTAGTCGGGGTCGCTCCAGCTAACACCCTCAACAGCAATGGCGATGTTGGCGGTGCCCATGGTGTCGTCTCGGAGACGAACTTCGGAACCGATGAAGTCGGGCTTGGCCTTCTGCTCGGCAGCGGCAGACTTGGAGGTGTAGTCCTGGGGCTCCGAAGGAAGGTTGGCGAAGTACTTCTCGGCGAGGTCGACCAATTGCTCGTGGGGAATGCCACCAGCGCCAACGAGGACCATGCGGTCAGCGGTGTAGTTGGTCTTGATGTAGTTCTCGAGATCGGCGCGCTGGATGCTCTGGATGTTCTCCTTGGGTCCGAGGATGGTGCGGCCGAGGGGCTGGCCCTGGAAAGCGGTGGCGTGTAGGTGGTCGAAAACAACCTCCTCGAGCTGCTTGTCGACCTCTTCCTGTTCGCGGAGGATGACATCACGCTCACGCTCGATGGCCTGGGCCTCGAGCTTGGAGTTTTGGAGGATATCGGAGAGGATGTCGACAGCGGCGGGGACATCGTTGTTGAAGGCCTTGGCGTAGTAGACGGTGTTCTCGCGCTGCAAGTCATTAACATCTGGATCATAGTCACTTTTTCCGTATGACGTACCGAGGTGTAGGCGTTCAGGTGTCCGCCCATGTTTTCTATCTCGAGCTCCAACTGCTGCTGTGTGCGCTTCTGGGTTCCCTGTGCCCTGCATCAGTTTCCAAACCCAGTTGATTGCCATTGTCATGTCCTACCTTGAAGGCAAGGTGCTCCAGGAAGTGGGCAGTGCCGTTGGTCTTGTCCGTCTCTGCGCGGCTTCCGGCGTCGATCCATACACCGACCGTCGACGTCTGGGCCCATGGGGAGTGCTCGGTAGCGATCTGCGCAGTCGGGTCAATTGCAGTCCTGCTTGTTGCTAGAACGTCGGGCATACCGTGAAGCCATTTCCGAGGGTCGTCGACTCGGTCTTCGCGCCGTAGGTAACGGGCGTGGCCAGTCCGCGGGTCAGAGGCGAGGCTCTCGATGATTTGACGGCGTTGATGGCGGAGCGAGAGCGCATGCTCTGCTGCAGGTTGAGGGCGAGCCGGCGGGAAGCCATTGCGTCTGCTCGCGGTGCAGGGGGGATGGGAGTTGATTAGATGGGGTTGGGGTGGATGTATCGACGTCGAGCTGCAGCTTGGCCTAAGTGAGGTGGATGAGTTTCGTCAAATCTGCGATCACGGGATTTCCCGGCCTGCACCGTCAGCCAATGAGCGTATTAGGGACGTCAGCAATCGACATCCGAGGCATTGTCGTCAACATCTGTTCGTCGTTCCGATATTGCATCTTGCGACCTACCACGACCTCCAAGTCTACAGTTGTGAGATACAATGGCCTCCGTCATGCGTCCCAGCCTCCTCAGGCAAGCTATCCCCGCGCCCCAGACGTCGCAGCGCATGCTGTCGACTGCGACCTCGACCATGAACCGCCCGCTCGCCCAGCAACTTCGCCCAGCATTCCAGCGCTCAGCCATCCCCAAGTCGACACGCATCGCCGCCTTCCACGCCACTCAGCGCAACCAGATCCTGCCACCGCTGCCCCAGAAGATCATCGGAACCACCAACGACCCCGTCCCAGTGCCAGACCCCGACTACGCCCACGGCAGTTACCACTGGAGCTTTGAGAGGATCGTCTCCGCTGGTCTTATTCCCTTGACCATTGCGCCCTTCGCTGCTGGATCGCTGAACCCGCTTACCGACTCCATTCTCTGCGCTCTTCTGGTAGTCCACTCGCACATTGGCTTCGAGTATGTTGATTGAAACTGTATATGATGGAGAGGTTGCCGTGGCTAATATAAGACAGGTCTTGCATTATCGACTACTTCCCCGCTAAGCGTGTTCCCTTTGTTCGGAAAGCTTCCATGTGGGCTCTCCGTGCTGGAACTGTCGCATTGGGTCTTGCCCTCTACTCTTTCGAGACAAACGACGTTGGTATCACCGAGGCCGTCGCGAGGTTGTGGCACGCATAGACACATATTTGGACTTGTAATACAATGCAGAGGAAGCCCTCTTTGTTTTCATGACGCACAATAAATATTGCTGCCGACTCCATCTTCCAAAGTCTGTTTCATGTTTGTGTCTTCTGGCTAACCCCATCTCAACTCCCCCTCGTTCGCTTTCCGTTAGTTGCGGTCAATCTTCCACTGCTCCCAGTGTGTCCTGTTTGGGTTGAAGACGATACCAAACACTTCTCTCATCCCATCCTTGTCCACTTCAAGCTTTCCTTCAAAGTCGTCATGCATGTCATGATTCTCGTAGTAAACCCAATCCCACACCCAGTCCATAATATCTGCTTCCTCCACTGCGTCTCTTACTCCCAGAAACACTGTCGCCCTCGGCCCTAACGACATAAGTTGACGCCAGCACTCAGTAACCATACGGCAATATCCTGTCGGGCAGTACGCATTCGTCAGGTCAAACTCGAGGTAATCTAGTCGCTTTGGCGTAGGAGAGCAAAGCACTAGAGTCAGATCGCTGCGTAGTTCTTGGAAATCCTCTCGGAGAAACTCCTCTGCTGCGTCATGAGCAGCTTAGTGACGAGCGGCCGGAGTCATCACATCAAAGTTGTTAAAGGCTTCCCAAAACAAGTGACCGGGAGGATGAAAGCTATCCGAGCGCGGACTGAAGCATACACTAATGTTCTTGATTAGCTGAGGGCCCGAGGCTGAGAATAGCCACCGATCGGGAAATGGTGTATGTGCGCCTTCTGACCCGTGGTCATTAGGTCCGAGTTTTTGTAGAAAGGGCTCCCTCGTTGTGCACTGATCCGGCAGCACAAACAAGTTCTTGCCAAGATAGACTTCCTCAGCCTCGTTGTGAACTTGCTTACTAACCCGCAGGATGGCCAATGATGGAGCCCGGTATGAAGTCCAGTGTTTGAAGCGCTTCTCGTTTGCGACGGCATAGGCATCTGGTGTATAGAAGACCTTGCCGACCACCACCAACTCTTCGTAGACCATGACTCGAAGCTCAGTCGGCAAGTCCATGAAGCGGAAGGAGGTGAATATGGTTGTGCCCTGCGGAGTTGTGGTGATAGTTGTAGTAGTCGTAGTTGTAACCGTCTTTGTTGTTGTGACAACGGTGGTACTGGTAGTCGGGGCCGACAGCAACGAGTTAAGTGAGTCCATGATTGTTGCTTGCGCTTTGCTGACTTGACTGGAAGGCCTCGGTGTTGGTGTGTTGAGTCAAACACAGAGTCGAGTAGTGTATTTGTTTGTTGCGTCGAGACAGAGTGGCAGTGGCAAGAAAGGCGGAGCAAGGTCGACCTTGTATGAGTGTAGGGACCAGTCAGTTGGCCAGGCGCAAATTGGATACTCCCAGGTTGATCGAATACCCAGGAAGAGCATGTTTCACAAGAGGTGCGATAGAGAGAGTTTAATCTTTTGGGAGGGCTTGGTGACGGGCGCAAAATACGAACACCCGCAGAGTGATCAGTGTATGGGACTTGCGAGGGTCAAAATAGAAAGTAAGAGAAGCCTGTAGTCAAGAGCCTGGTACCCTGAGCAGGTACGTGACGTAAGCAGCACAGTGAAGAAGGAGCGTCCAGTCAACAACAACAACACAGTTTACGTCAAGCACGGAATAACCTCCTGCAATGAACCCAATCAACTGTCGAGAAGAGGATATCTTTGATTATAAGTCTTGAAGAGAATGTAGGAACAGCAAAGCCAGGTTGAGCAACAGCCACCAGCCACACTCTAATCGCAAAAAAGGGCATCTTGACATCGAGCTTGGACTTGTAGACTGTAGACAGGGAAAGACGGTGATGGTATGTGGCAAACACCTGGGAAAGGATGTAGACAGGATTGAAAATTTGGAGTCTAAACAAAGCGCACCCGGCCCTGAAGCACCCTAGGATATACCCTTCATGCCACACTAGAAAATGATGAGTCTAGCACCATTGACCATTGTTACCAAGATGCACCATACCACTAACCCTTTCCATTTTTGCGTCTGTTATCGGTTTTTCGGATTTATGCCTTGGAGTCGGCGGGAGCCTCGCTGCTCTCAGCCTTGGGGGCATCGGTGGCGGGTTCACCGGCGGGTGCATCACCGGAGGGCTCGGCCTCGGACGATGTCCAGAGAGTCTGGGAGAATTAGTATACTTGTTTCAAAAAGACCATATATCAAAGCTTACCAAGTTGTCACGGAGAAGCTGCATGATGAGGGTAGAGTCCTTGTAGCTCTCCTCAGACAGGGTGTCGAGCTCTGCATTTCTGTTAGTCTTTTTCAGACATGATTTTATTGATCTTCACATACCAGCAATGGCGTCATCGAAAGCCTGCTTGGCGAGTTGGCAAGCCTGGTCGGGCGAGTTGAGGATCTCGTAGTAGAAAACGGAGAAGTTCAATGCGAGACCGAGACGGATGGGGTGGGTAGGAGCAAGGTTGGAGGCAGCAACATCGGTGGCGGCCTTGTAGGCCTCGAGCGACTTGTCGGCAGAGGTCTTGCGCTTGTCACCAACAGCGAACTCGGCGAGGTAACGGTGGTAGTCGCCCTTCCTGTAGAAGAAAAAGCGGTTAGCAGAGCTTGCTAGTCCAATGCATATAGTTCCTTACATCTTGTGGTAGAAGACCTTGGACTCTCCGCTCTCAGCAGAGGGGATCAGGTGGCCGTCAAGGCACTCGAGGATGTCCTCGCAGATCTTGGCCAACTCGGCCTCGATCTTTTGGCGGTACTCCTTGATAAGAGTAACCTGGGTCTCGTTGCCCTTGGACTCCTCCTTCTGCTCGATCGAGGTGACGATTCTCCAGGAGGCGCGGCGAGCACCGATGACGTTCTTATAGGCAACGGAAAGGAGATTTCGCTCCTCGACGGAGAGCTCCTGGTCTGCAGAGGCAACGGCCTTCATGTTCTCGACCATCTCTGTTGTATGTGGTTAGAACACGATGCTGTGCCTCATTGCAGATGCGCTTACCCTCATAACGCTCGGCCTGCTCGGCCAACTTGGCCAGGTACACGGAGTCTTCGTAACCCATTGTGATGTGCAGTCTGTAGAAATCGCTGTTAGCTGATGTGAACCGAGTTGAAGCGCGCAACAAGTGCGACCAGTGGCTATCGCAGTTGCCAAACAGCACGCAAGCCCCTCAATGTGCGCTATTGCCGCAACCGGAGAAAATGCCGTCTCGCTGCCATTCTCGATTGTTTTGTTGGTTGTGTTGAGCCCTCAGAGAATGCGGCAAGTGGAGCCCAGCAATTGCTTGCGTAGCCTCTACACCGGACAACAGAGGGCGCAAAGAGGGGCGGCTCGAGCTATCACGGGTCTCCGAAAAGAGCGCCGATACACGACACTCACAACAACAGCGACCGAACGAGTTTGGGCGAGCGATTCCGATAGCCGGCTGTACTGATGCTAACAACGGCGGGCGTTGTTTACTGCGGCGGAGGGCGCAAATTGCAGCTGTCCGCGGATTCTTGGGCAGTGACGAAATGCAGTGGAGCACTTACGAAGAGAAAAGTTGGTATGGGGGGAGGGAGTGTGCAGAAGCGTAGGTTGTTGGAGGCGAGGATGTGTTGTTGACAAGAAGCGGAGTGCAAGTGTTTTGGTCGACGGCGGCTTGTGGTTGAGTTATCAGAGGAGGGGACTTGAGAGGGAGAGAACCCGACTCGTCTTGGCGTCGATCACGCCTGCCTATCCTTGGTTTCACACGGCCCAGAACAGGCGCGACCTTCTCTTCTGACAGGCGAACAGCGCCCGTCACCGCCTGAGCGGCCAACGCCTCACTTGCGTAGTGCCTGCTATTACTTTCAGGCTCGTAGAGCCGCCTTGGAGACGTTATCTCGCGGAGTCCCTGAACGGCATGCCCCGCAGTACACCCCTTCCATGACAGCTACAAGGACCAGGCTTCACTACGAGGGTTGGGCATCACGTTTGGTTTTGGAGAGCGTACATTGGTTCTGGCCATGCACTGGATGCGACAACTGCCATGTTTCGAATGTCCCAAACGCTTGTTGAACGAGCAAACATAGTGTGGCTTCCAAAAAAGCGTTGAGATCAAGACCATGTCGTTGCATAAGATGTACTAATACCAACCCCGAAGTCTTTCTCACGTGGTACTTGCTGTTATGCTATGAACAATGAAACAAGATGTACGACACTACACCGCACTGAAAAATCTCATCTACCAACATTATTCATCAGTCTAAACAGACATGTAACAGGAAAAAAGTCCAACTTTCGTACATACGTCTGTCTCTCTCTTATGTACCAAACTACTGAGTGGACCAGGCAACAATGCTGAGACCCTTCAGCATCACGTGAGAACCGAGCGATGACGCACATGGACGTCCAAGCTCCATGTTCTTCAAGCCATCACTCCACCTCAGCACACCAATTGCATATAATCACACAACACCCTCTAAGTACCAAACTTCGCTACTAAACCGCCACAATGCTTCGCACATCCATCATCAAGAGCGCGCGCTCAATTGCCGCTCCCCGTTACTTCTCCGCATCAGCCCTCCGAATGGCAGAGGGTGCTACCGGCTCCGGAGCTTCAAGGCCTACTGGATCCGCTGGCGGGTAAGTCGAGGCTCAGATTCAAATGGTAAATCCACAGTACCCATACTAATTGAAACGTTAGTGACGCCTTCACCAAGCGCGAGGCTGCTAGCGAGGAGCTCTACATCCGCCAAGAAGAGAAGGCCAAGTACGTACACCCACCTTTACCTACTGCGATATCCATCCTGCCACGCTCAGACAGAAGAAAGATCTAGTACACGTTTCTGACATTGTACAGGCTTCTGGCGATCAAGGAGAAGCTCAAGCAGCAAAGGCAGCACATGGAGGACCTGGACAAGCACATGTCAGTACTATTCCAAGCTTGCTTTTATACGAATGAAGAAAACTGACAACACCCCAGCGACGATGTCATTGCCGAGTCTGAGCGCTCAGGTCAGGGCGAGCAAAAGTGAGCGCTTCGCGACCGCTACGGACGAATAACGCGGGCCGACCCATTCATCGTGTTAAACCTGTTATGATAGACAATGAACATGTCAAACAAACCTAGACTTCGCAATTGGCATGACCGATCATACGGCAGGCGCATGTGCTATCTCGTACTCGCTTCTTCATATCGTTCTTGTTCGTGTCAAACAGAGCATGGGTCTGAACAGTTGTAGGGCCTCCCTAGCACTCGATGTGGACGACCCACTTCCATATTCACACCTGGCTCTTTGAGACTTGACACTCACCGTCAGAGGGACATGTCAAAGTAATCATCTTCGCTCAAAGTGCATCTCTACATCACCATCTGTTGTCTATCGAGCGAAGTAGTACCGAATGACCACGGCAACATTCGGTATCTCGCGGAAGTGCGTCATTCTCTGAATAGGTTCTTCCTCGGCCTCTTACAACGTCAGCTCATCGAAGATCTGGAGATCCACTACATGGATACAACCCAGATCAATACAGCCACCGCCCCGCACGAGGCTGGATCACAACTCGATATTTCCCGTTTTTGCTTTTCTGCCGCGAAGGATCTGACGACAACTCACAGCTTCGTATTCCGACTAGCTTCTCCAGCCTCCAGTATCTAGAACAAACAGCGTAGTGCTTACGCAGCCTCACGCAAAGACAGCCATTGCGCATTCGGAGAAAAGAGTACGTACCTCCGTTGCACCAACATGCGGGATAGTTTGCAACCCTGCGACACCCGAGACGTTGGTATTGTCCATGGTGAAATTAGTCATTTCCTCAGGGACGTTCGCGGTGTCGAATAGCACTTCACTCCTTTTGTTCAACAGCTATTGCGAATTGATGAACGCCTGACTGCCTAGGCTTCCAGACCTCCGTCATTGTTAGCCCATTTCAAACGCTCCTCGTGTCCACGCAGCTAGGCGTTTTACTTTTGCTGGCGAAACAGGTACTGGGGTTCGTGATTGTGCGTTGCGGCAGGGATCCCGCTAGCAAGCATACAAGATAACCGATAAACTACCACGAACATCCTGGTTGCGATTACACCTGCAAGCGACTACCTTGCGGACGCTCGAGTAACTTGCAAGATCTTTCAAGATCATGCAGCCTCCTCATTTGCCGGCCATCGCCATCCTTACGAATAACGGCTGGTTTCAACCTCCTGACAAACTCCTGTTTGCCTCTACTGGGCAGTGCATGCTTCTTCTGCAAGATACCCCATGCTACGACTAAGTACATCCCGCCCATTTTTGTATCAAGGGACAGCGAAGAGACGTCATTGTAAGCGTTGCTTTGACCTCGATGAGGAAAACCCTGGATATGGAACCCACCCGTTGCTCCCATCAACGAATGAAGCAAATGCACGGGGTGATATCGCGCCGAGAAGACTATGGACAGACGACACTGGACCAAATTAGGTATGACGAGAGCGGGTGATGGGTCTATTCAGGGTCTTCGCTATTGCCTTGGCCACGAACATATATGGTCTCCTTGACCGCTCAGCATCAACGACGCATAAGTTTAAGCGTTGATCTACACTCTACCAAACCACCACCAAACACAACCACTACCCAATTAGCCACACAAGCGTTTTCACTATTCTAACCGCTCCATCACACCTCTCCATTCGTCAATCTAACACTTCTACGCCTTATCAACATCCCCATCAACCAGTCTAGCAGCTACCATCACCCAATTCGCCTACATGGCGCAAGCAAACAATCCGCATCCTCAGTATTATGGCCAGACACTGCAGGATGGGACGATAATGGAGTCACCCGTCATGCCAAATCACCCGCGTGCATCGAGCGACTCAAGGCAAGAGCTACTACGGCTACCTGCACAACCCCATCCAGCACATCTCGACTTTCACATGGAGTCTGAACAGAATGTGCCTCAGCAACAGGGAGATGCCCTTGGTCTGAGGTCAATGCCCTCCAACGTTCGAAGGATAGGAGGTCAGGCCGACCCCAATGACCAGTGGACACCCACTCGTCCTCGACGACCATCCCAGAATGTTCCTTACACCCCAACTACCCATCGTGGTCCATACATAGAAGACTACTCGGAGGAGGAAGAACAACAAGATCCTCGAATGTACCGTCGTCGCTCCAACAGAAGGCCTCAAGGCCCTCCTGTTTCCTATCGCAACTATGTTGAGCAAAACTCCAGGTATGGACCGATACCGAGGAACAGTGTCGACGCAAACATGCAGCCTCAGTACGCGGATACGCCGGGCAAGCCCAACTATGAAATGTACTACCCTGAGTACACGGATTACCCCCGACGCCCACCCCCTAGACCCGTCCAAGGAGGGAGTAACGGACCGCCAGAGTATCCATCGGCTAAGAGCGTGATGAGACTGCCCTGGGCAGTCTGGATGGGAAGTAATGCGAAGAACCGTAAGTCCTCTCAACAGCTGAAATCCTCTTATCCTTGCTGATGCATCCCGCAACAGACTTCGTCGCCTTTATAGGTGAATTCGTGGGAACAACCATGTTTCTCTTCTTTGCCTTCTCCGGTACACAAGTCGCCAACATCGACTCCTCAGCAAACCCCTCTGACAACACCACAACTAACGAAGCCGCCGGTTTCTCCCCCATTGTTCTCCTCTACATCGCCCTCGTCTTTGCCTTTTCTCTCATGGTCAATGTATGGGTTTTCTTCCGCATTAGCGGTGGCTTGTTCAATCCGGCCGTCACATTCGCCATGTTACTCTGCCGCGCTCTCTCACCAATCCGCGCCTTCTTGTTGATCGCAGCGCAGATTACAGGAAGTATCTTCGCTAGTTTCCTGGTTAGCGTCTTGTTCCCCACAGACTTTAATGTTAGGACTACGTTGGGTGAAGGCACAAGTTTGGCTCAGGGTGTGTTGATCGAAACTATACTCACAGCGGAGTTGGTCTTTACTATCTTCATGTTGGCAAAGGAGAAACATAAAGGTATGCCTTCTATCCCTCCTCCTCCTCCTCCTCCTCCTCCTCCTCCTCCTCCTCCTCCTCCTCCTGCCACCTACCCCTTAACCCACTAAAACACTACTAACTCTCCTACCCAGCCACTTTCATAGCCCCCGTTGGTATCGGTCTTGCCCTCTTCATTGCAGAACTAGTAGGCGTCTACTACACCGGCGGCTCTCTCAATCCCGCACGCTCCTTCGGCCCCTGCGTGATAACTGGCGTCTTCGACACAGAACACTGGATCTACTGGGTTGGTCCCGCAGCGGGTGCCATAATTGCCGTCGTCTTCTACCAGTTTATCAAGATCCTGGAATACGAAGTTGCGAACCCTGGCCAGGATGATGACGACAAGGATCAGGAGGTTAAAGAGGAGATTGAGAAGGTTAGGGAAGGGAGTCAGGAACCTGATTTGGAGAGCGGGAGAGGTGTGAATCCTGTGGCTATTGGGGGTTGACTAGTGCTGATAGGGTGGCTACTGTGCATCAGATTAGGAAGAAGAAGGCGTTGGAGGGGCAGGGGTTCGGGGGAGGGGCGAGAATACTTACTAGGCTTGAGACTGTTGGGGAGGAGAGCGAGGATGGTTGATGGATCAACTTGGCAGGCTGGGGCTTGGAGAGGTGTAATGAGGGATGAGGGACGAAACGATGGGTCATGGGTCATGGTATATGGGTCACGGTAATGTGTTGGTACACTTGAACGACGAACGATGAACGACTCTCCTAAGTTGGGCTTGAGGGTTACGGGTCACTGAGCAATGGTCACGATTAGAATGAATATATAGACAGTATATAGATCCGGGTCGGTTAGTGCGATAATTCTCGCGAACCGAATAGCAACGAATAACAGCTTGTGTCTACTTTATTATCTTCGCAGATCTTTGATTCTCGCCGTCGTCCTGAGGTTCTGATGGAGCAAGTTGAACGATGTCCTACGTGTCTTGCAACACCTATCAATAGTCGCAAAGACACGAGTTTAGGCCTCCCTCTTACGCAGCATAGCTATGACGTCGGAGCCGTCAATAATGACAAAAGAAAGATAGAAACGTTTGGGATGTGCTTGAAGTACCGAAACACCTTACTTTATCTCGAACGACAAATGACGCTACCGCGTCGTTGCCGTTTCATAGGCCCCGGATCAACTCAGTTCTAGCTTCAAGTAACGAAAGAAGAAAAGAAAGTGTAGAGAGAGAGAAAACAGAACCGAAAGCACGTGATTATCACAGTAAACTGGAGTAGTAGCTCTGATATGTAATATACCATGGATTTTGGAAAATACCAAAAAAAAAATGACACGCAATGCTAGAACGCTACAAAAAGTTACGAAGCAAACACCTTCCTGAGCAAAGGAAGTATCAATACTTTTTATACACGACCCCCGCTCAGTGCACTGGCAGGCAACTCGCCACGTCTAATCTCACTCATAGCATACCCCGGCCGCCACGCCGGATGAATCTCACTCAACCCTGCCCTGCTATCCCGCACATTCGTCGTGTTTCTAGGCGCAGCTTCCGTGATATAACTTACGCCGTCTTCTGAGGCGTAGGAAGGGGGACGGGGACCATCTTGTTGTTGCAAATCTCTCAGTGTAGGTGCCGGTTGCGATGATGCAGGCGGCTGGTTCGTAGACAGCGCACTTCCACGTAGACTGGCAGCAGCGAGCGCAGCGGGACCAGACATGGAACCAGAGCGCGAGTGCATAACGCTGGACATGGCACTCCCCCGTGTGACATCGTCGGCGCGCTGCCAGTGTAATAAGTTGGGGTCGACGCGTACACTACTCCGCCAGAGACCATACGCAGGCGGTGGGGGCGGCGGCATGTTTTTCCCCTCAATGTCGTCGTCAATAGCGAGGTCATTCTCCAGCCCCGCATCATCATCCGGTGTTTCCTCGTCCCTTCGCAGATGTACGCGGATAGGTACAATGGGTTGGAAACCCTCGCCCCCACCGCCCATCATATCGGGCATGTGCGCGTGGTGTTCCTGGCGGGGTGGGTTGAGCATGAGCATGCAGAGGCGGATGAGGGAGTGGCAGAAGAAGATTGTTATGGTGAGGAGGACCATGATGAAGAGGATGTGGATTTCTTGGCCGAGAGAGCGGTTTGTGAGGGCGATTGCTAGGTCTTGTGGAGCTGTTAGCGACACACTCTCTTCCCTCAACTCCAAAGAGTAATGATGTAACTTACAGATTGCCAAAATAGTGATTAAAAACGTCCCCGAAATCACACATGCTATCATCTTCCCTCGTGCAGCTGATCCTCGTATGTACACTGCGGTAGTAGTACCTCGCTCATCTCTCCTGCGTACCCATTGGTTGGATCCGGATCGTTCAGTTCGGTGGTGCTTTCTCCTTCTGTGGTGCTTACGTCGTTTGTGTCGGCGGCCGTTTATTTCATCGGCCAGTTGCTGGATCTCGGGGTCGACGAAGCCATCTTGCTGATGGCCCCCGGGTAGTGGGACATCTGCGGGGTGACGAGCAGAGTAGACTGTAGTTGGTTCCTGGGGATCCTGTGATGGTGCAATAGCGCCGATGTATGAACCCGCAGTATGATGCGCATGGAGAGGAGATCTTGAATCGTGAGATTCGCGGTGCGCGTTGCCGAAGGCGGGCAAGCCGTTTGGGTCAGCCGGTTGCTGGCGGTTCCAGAACCCTAGGAAGGGTGTTTTGGGTGTACTGATATTGTTGGTATTGTTGTTAAGAGCTGGCGACTGCGAGTATATCGACGATCCATTGACCATTGTCCGCACATTACTTCGGAATGCGCTGAACCGAGATGGCGAATGTGTAGCAGGTGAGGCCTCGAGGTCCTGGTCCTGATCTGGCCGTGGTGACCAAGCGAAGAGTGGTGACCGAAACATGGTGAGATCCGTATATAGCGCGATTTGCTTGCTCAAGTCCAGAAATATACGGTTACGAGCCCCCAAGTGCTATCTTGGGCGTACGTGGATTCCTTATAGCAAACGCGTCCTCCTGGCTAAAAGCGTCTGTGTTGATTTCCTTCAAGATATTCCAAGGACGAATAAGAGGGCTATACTCTTGTTTATGCAGGAACACCTTGTGGCGGAACCGTAACAGGATAGAAAGTGTGGAGTAGTCGAACAATGAATGGATCTCGCCCTTGCTCACGAGCCTTCTAGCATATGCAGCAGTATCTGGTGGAGAAGCGAACCTTTGGCCAACCTCTTAATTCTTAGAAGAAGAGTCTCGAAACCCCAAGATCCCAGAACGATGACTTGGAAAAAAAGACTTGATAAAAAAGGGCCAACAGGGCTATCCAGAGCGCACCTCGGCCAAACGAGCGCAAAAGAACGAAAAGAAGCGAAACAAGCAGAGCACAGCACCGCTACCTCTATTACCAATGACTTAAAGGAAAAAAGGTAAAGGACAAACAATAACAGAGTTGAAAGGGAAAAGAGGGAACTGTCGCAAGGTCGCACCAGGGGGGTCCAACAAGAGGGACGGTCATAGTCGAGAAAGCATTGAGCGCCATGCGTTTCCGCGACGAGTGGCGTATCAGACTTTGATCGCTGCGAGGGTGAAACACGTCCTTGGCCGCTGCAGCAGCGATCCTAGGCTGTGTCACGGACCGCGTTCGCGTACATCGGTGCATCAGATGTGGACGTCTGGATGTTCTGGGGCTAATTGTGGCCTGTGGTTGTTGACCGGAAGAAGGTGCAGGTAGCAAAATGGTCAGGCTCGATGCGCGCTGGTTGGCTGAGGTAAAAACAACTTGAAACGTCTACCCCAATCGGGAACGATTGAACACCAATTAGCTCACATCCAAGCGGCTACTATTTATGTGCAACGACCATCATATAGCAGCATAAAGATGCATAATACTCGAATTTCATCTTTGTTGGTTTGTTTAACTCTATCGACAGTGATGCCGTCACACTGCCAAAAAAAACTGTAACCCGTTTTCCTCGACGCGTCTTTTCCCGTGGTCCCCTCTCGCTTCCATACAGTTACTGAAGACTGTTACATGCGACTCCTAGCCCTGTCAAATGTCGCACCGGCGTATCCAGTCTATACATAAACAACGCCCTTTGTGACGTACCGTGGGGCCGGAAGTTACTCGGGCCTTTCTCCACAGCCTTTCCCCGGGGATCTTAATCTCGAAGCAAATTTGCGTAGCCAAGTTGCTTCACCTCCACATTTCACTTACCTAGCTCTCCTACCATGAGCTTGCGATCCGAGGATGCGGATACCACTAAAATTGCCAAGTTAGCTTCGTGCTTCGTATTTAGCGTTGAAGGGTGTCGAAACGCTTGTTGGCGAGGTATTAATGCAACGGAATATCCTCCTCGCCGCCTCAAGCGCTGAGAGAAGAAATGGTGAGAAAGCTTGGGAGAACCTCGCCGCCTTGATCGCCATAGGGCTGGAATGGTGAATCGTAGCGTGGGGTCTAGAACAGGTACATGCGCCAAAGCGAAAAAAGGTTTGTGGTACTTACAGATTGGTTCACCGAGCGGGTGGAACCGCACATCGTTGACGGCACCTCGATGGCCAGGGAGCTTATTCAAAAGCTTTCCTGTCCGCGTCTCCCAAATAGCTACACTCTGGTCTCCGCTACCAGCAGCAATCTTCTCTCCCTTGGAATCCCAGCTTGCTTTTAGGAGGTTGCGTTCTTGACCGGTTGGGGCTCCATCGTATGTCTGGATGCGCCTATCCGCAGGCGCAAAAGGTCTCACATCCCATGTCCTGACAGTCGAGTCGTGTGCGTTGGATAGAAGAGTTTGGTTGTCAGGAGACAATTGGAGCGAGGTGACGGTATCCGTGTGGCCAAGCAGCGTATATGTGACGGCCTGTTTCCGCAGATCCCAGACCTTGATGTCATTGTCGATGCCTCCGGTGAAGAGCTCGTTGCCAGCTTCTGCCAAGCATATCGCGGTTATGGGGAAGTCGGTAGGGATGAATGTGACGGCGTCTTTGGTTCTAGTGTCCCAGATCTGTCGAGGGTTAGAAACGCTCCATAATGGAATACCGTTGCACTGACCCCGATGTAGCCATCGTCTGAACCGCTCACAAGCATCTCTTCACCACGCTTGCTCACGTCCATGCAATTGATGACCTCGTCGTGCCCTGGATGTCTTCGTATCCTCTCTCCCGTCTCGACATCCCAACTTGCTAGATGCATATCTGCCGAGGCGGAGAAGAGGACCTTGGAGTCGCGCGACCAGTGCAGATCTAGCACTGCCTGCTTGTGTCCTGTCAGAATACCGTAGTTTTCGCATGACCCAGAGCTGCGCCAGAGTACTGTCTATGATCAGCGCATGTCCCTCGCACATATTCCAAGATGCCTTACATATGGACCGGTCCATGGAGCCCGAAGCTATGTACTGTCCTGTCGGATCGAATCGCGCTGCGAAGACTTCCCCAGAGTGGCCCGTCAACTCCATAACCGGCGACTGCAGCGCGCTGGTACGCGACCCCTACAGCACCTGTCAGCACGTCGATATCTTCAGCTTGGTACTCATTCAAAAGTCCTTTGGTGCTAACATACCGCTTGTATAAGTGCGCCATTTGCGCCAGAGCCATTCACCACGGCTACTGCAGAGCTTCCTAGATTCGCGTCCGACTTTGTGCGCTTAACCAGTTGGCTCGTGCCAAAAGCCTCGTTGGCGGGTCGCTTTTCTCTCGACATGGCGATGGAGGTGTGCTTAATTCGCTATCTTGGTGGGGTATGTGGATTGTCGCGCTGTGGTTGTAGTTGTAGCTGGTAAACTTTCCTCCAAGGCAGATTCGCGCTAGGGCCCGGGCTGACCAGGTACGCTCCTCCGCAGTCCGTATGCTCCCCGACGCCAACAACACAACTTGATATCACGACACCGTATACTGAATATCCGTGACTGTGTATCCTCACAAACTTGACAAAGAACTGTCCTAGAAAGACTTGTACGCAACATGGCTTCATCGACCAAAGCAGCCCGCATGGGCGAGGAGTGAGCTCCAGACGTCTAGTAGTTGCTTCAACATGTGCTAATAGATGTCAGAGTGTGGAAGTAAGTCTCGCATATGACTGCCCCGAACGGCTGGTTCTGACAGTGCAAGAACACGAGTAGACAAGGTCAGCGCGGAACTCGTCACCCTCACATACGGCACCATCGTTGCGCAACTATGCAAAGACTATGAATACAACTACCCCGATGTCAACAAGCAACTCGAGCGCATGGGATACAACATCGGCATACGGCTGATTGAAGACTTCCTGGCCAAGTCAAGCGCGCCTGCCTGTACCAACTTCAGGGAGGTCTCTGAGATGATCTCAAAGGTAGCCCCGCCGAGTCGTCTATACACCCGTCGCAAGCTGATGTCCTGGCTGTAGGTTGGCTTCAAGATCTTTCTCAACATCACACCGACAATCACCAATTGGTCAAGCGACAACAAGCAGTTCTCTCTCATCTTCGAAGAGAACCCGCTTGCCGACTTTGTCGAACTGCCCGACGATGGCCGCGCGCAGGATGAACTGTGGTTCTCCAACATTCTGGTGGGCGTGCTGCGGGGTGCACTAGAAATGGTACGCGTATACCATGTTTTAAGATGGGGGTATGTGGATGGCATACTAACATCGGCCAGGTACACATGCAGGTCGAAGCGCACTTTGTCAGTGACGTCCTCCGAGGTAACGACACGACTGAGATGCGGATAACATTGATCCGTTATATCGACGATGAGATGCCACCAGACGACGAGTAGAAGAAGGCCAGACAACAACAAAACCTGTGAGCAAACAGAGTAGTCGTTGAGCCTAGCTACACGGCGTGAGAGGCTCGATGGACAAATCTGTCACCATAGAGGCAACTATTCGCGGAACGCAGTATCCACCAGGAGTTGCACACCGTCGTTATGTTGTTCAAACATTCATCGAATCGGGATAGACGGACAGACCTAAGACTCAGTGCACAAGACTAGATAGAGCTGCACTATTGGAGATGGCTATTGAAGCCAATGAGAGGGTAATTGCACAATCGCGCAATTGCACTACCACCATTGATGACTGAAGGTTGGCTCTCTCCTTATGTGGTGCATTAGTCTTTCAATTTCCCCTGAAATTAGACATTTGGACAGGATGGTGCGCGCAACGACGGCCACGTACTTGGAGGCTCACGTTGCAATCCTGCTTCGACAAATCTTGTATGATGTTTCTGCTACCTCGTGGTGTCGCAGGATATGACTGTCGAGTTCGCGTTACATGTGCCCCACCAACCTCGTAAGTACGTACTGGAATGCTGTCATGCGATCACGATACACCCTATTTACCATGTCTGACGGCGTGACTTGCTTTGTGTGGGATGAAAAGCAAATCCCAACCACAGTTGTGATGAAGCTTGATGGGGCGCAATGGGAGGCTGGAGGGTATGGAGAGTCTAATAATACCGAAATCACGTGGGCCACTTGGCGCAGCTCACGAGCGGCCGCTCTCTTCCCCTCGATCTGAAGAGCTTCAAACTTCGCACAACCTTGGGACAATCCATCTGTGCGGCTGATCCAGACGCGCCCTCTTGCGCAGCCACATCTCAATCGTTGTTGTTGTCGTGATCCGATCTCTTGGCAGCCTCCGTGCAGCGCGCCGCTGAGGTCCCTCTTTTGAAGTCCTTCCTTCACGCTAACCCCCGACCCATACCGTGCATCAGCCGCCGCCTTTTCATCGCGACACCAGCGTCGCTACCCTTTGTCGGCAATCTTCATCCCACCCGGCGGCCATCTCGCGCGACCTCAGCAGCTCTCGTCGTCCAGCACTGCACGTCCTTGGCACGACGCTCCCGCTCCGACACGGAACCCGTGGCGACGACATCCCATGCTGTTGTAGTCGGCCCATCCAGCACTGAGGTGCACGACACAGCGCGTCTATTGCTACCACCGCGCACCTATCGCTAACACCCCACCCGTCCACCGCGCCTGCCGCATCTACTCAGCACCTTGCGTCGCGATGCAGAACCAGCAGATGGCGCAGATGGCGCAGATGAATGCGAACGGCTCCGTCAACGGCACCCCCGTCATGGGCAACATGGCGCAACCCAAACGCATGGGCACCAACGACCCGGTTGAAAAGCTCAATACGTACATCTACGACTACTTCCTGCGGAACAGACAACACGCCCTTGCGCGCGCCATGCTTGATTGCGACCTGAAGCTGTCGACGGAGAAGCCCAGCCCCAACACCAAGTCCAATGGCGCCAGCGATATCGATATGCCCGATGACATGCCCCTGCCGGCATTGCCCCAGGGCCAGGTCGCTGACAACTCCTTCCTGCTCGACTGGTGGGTCCAGTTCTGGGACATTTACGCCGCCGCCCGAGGATCTGGAGGCGGCCCCAAGAACGCGGTCCAATATATCGGTCACAACCGGGTATGTACTATGGCAAACGTATACACGTGCGGTACTGACCGAGTCTACAGAACCTTGGTCACATGCAGAACGAGCAGCGGAACCAGCGCCTAATGATGGCCAACAACAACATGACCAACGCGCAGTACATGATGGCACGGAACGGTGCCATGGCCAACGGCAACCAGACCGATCTCAAGCGGGCAGCAGCCATGAACAACCGACCGTACGTATTCTGCCCTATGGCTACGTCCTAGGCTAACGCGCAGCAGAGCCGGCAACCCAATGGCAGGCATGCAACCCATGAAGAACCCCAACATGATCCAGATGCAACGCGACGGCTCCAACATGGACATGAATGGCAACCGCCCCAACTCGCCGGGGTCCAACGAAAATGCCCCTTCCCCAAACAAGCGCCCCCGCGTTGATGGTACGTCATCTGTCATACCCATGTGGAGAGTACAAGCTAATCAAGACCGGCCCACAGGTGGTATGAATGCTGGAAACATGCCCAACAACCAATTCAATGAATTCATGCCGCAAGGCCCAGGTGCGCAGCAGAAGAACATCGAGGTATATGCCCAAAGTCTGGCCCATCAACACAGAGTGGCAATGAGTAACACTTCCTCCCCCCAGGGTATGAGCTCTGGCATCCAAGGCTCCCCAATGGCCCAGTCCGGCCTTGACGGTCAAGACCTCACCTTCGCTGGCAACGGCCCGCGGCCCGGCAACATGCCCACCAACCCTCCAGGCGTTCCTCAGCAGGGCAACCATGCGCTGCAGGACTACCAGATGCAGCTCATGCTGCTCGAGCAGCAAAACAAGAAGCGGTTACTTATGGCCCGGCAAGAACAAGACAATCAATCTGGACATCCCCAGCAAGGCGTCATCGGCGCCCCAGGCTTTGGGGCTGCCATGTCGCCTCAAGGTAGCAGAGCGGGCGGCCCATCACCCAACCCTGCCGACCAAATGAAGCGAGGTACACCAAAGCTCGGCCAGCAGAATTTACCCGGCTCACCTATGCCAGAGGGAATCATGGGGCAACAACGTGGATCTCCCGCACCCAACATGAACTTTGACCCCGCTCTAGCACCCCCAGGAATGCCTCCACAGTTCTATCCTCAGAATATGCCCCCGAACGGCAACCCTATGATGCGGCCTCCAAGCTCACACCCACAAGGCGGTCCCAACTTCAGTGGACAACAAATGACACCTGAGCAAATGCAAGCCATTCGCAGCGGTCAGATGCAGCCGAACGGTTGGCGTGGCGGGCCCCAACCAGGCATGATGGGCCCAGGCGGCCAACAGATGGGAGGACCCATGGGCCAAAACCCTCAACAGCGGCAACAAATGCCCCCGCCCCCAGCGCCTACGAACGAACAACCACGACCAGAACCATCCCCATCGGTCTCTAACCAGGCACCACCGACCCCGAACCAAGGGAACAAGGCCAACCCCAAGAAGAAGGTGACCAAGGATAATAAGGTAAAGTCTCGCGCTTCCCCTAAACCCTCGAGCAACGTTGATATTGATTTTAGAAGCCCGCAAACAAAAAGGGGGCGAATGCAGGTGCTACTCCGGCCACGTCAAACGGCGAAGAACCACCGACACCGACATCGTCCACTCCTGTGGCTCCCATCACGCCAGTACACAAGCAATCCTTCAACCAGGGACAAAACGGTCAGCCGCAGCAACCTGTGCAACCTCAACCCCCTTCCGACCAACCCATGGACAACGGGGGTCCGCCATTTGGTAACATTGATGGTGACGTAAGTAGTGCTCTTTTTCTACCTGTCATCGCATGCTAATATACATGGATAGCCTAACAGTTTCGATCTCGGCCTCAACTTTGGCGACGACGCTGGCGCTCTGGAAAACTTCGACTTTGACTCGTTTTTGCATACCGGCAACGACAATGACGCTTTTGGTAACCTAGTCAGCGACTTCGATTTCCCGAATGCCGCGGAAGTATAGCGTCCACCGCGCCACTTCTCGTATAACTGAGGCTTTATATCAAATCGAGCTTTGGTCGGCTTCTATGCTTCGTCGGTCGGTCGGTCGGTCGGTTGACGTTTGACGGTTGATTTCCGAAGGAAAAACAAAAAATCCAGTTTTCATATACCCGTCCTCGAGACCCTTACATCAATCGCTTTCATCGACTCTTCTCTCTTATTGGAGCATAACGGGGCTTCCTTTTTTGGGCTTTGGGGGGGCTATGGAGAAGGGAATTTAGTCTTCGGGCGGCCCCCTTCTCTCTCTCTACTTGTGTATGTTCCTTGGGGCGTTGACTTGTTTTGGCGCTTTCTTTAACGTTGTTCACGCAACTTGACTGTCTTGGCTTATGTTTGTTTTGGTTGTTTTTATTCTCTCAACATTATCGCTACCTTACCATACTTATCTATTTCCTTATTACTTGTTCACCCTTGTTTGCTTGCAACTATACACACACCCACACACACACATAAACACGCACTGTTCTTGCATCCATTCGCTATACAACCTACCTTGTGTGTAGCGGTGGACGTCTCATCTTTTTCTTTTTTGTTGTCTTTTAGTTGTCGTTGACGTTGTTGTTCTTTGCATGTTCATGTTCATGATTATGGACATGTGTGAAGTGGAAAGAGGAGGAGGAGGAGGAGGAGGAGGAGGAGGAGGATGAAGTAGGAAGGAAAACTCAGAAGAAGCAGAGGAGAACTGGGGAGGAAGGTAGGAAGGGGAGTGGAAGAGATGAAGAGGATTTATCCGTTGCTATACCACATTTTTCATACTTTGTTTTTGCTCTACTACGAATGGAAGAGAGAGAGAGAGAGTTTAGGGACAGCTTTGATATCATTCGAGATGACTTAATGCCAGATACAAGTTCTTTTTTTGTTTTTGGGGATTACTTGGAGTGGACTTTGTGTGTGATGTGTGTGAACGTTGTTGTGAGTGTAAAGGCAGCATTATGTCTTATGTAGAGAAGAGTTTAACGAATGCTCATCACGTTGAGAAATACAGTCAAGATGTCGAATTTGTGATGACGTTTGGGTCTGCCTATGTAAACGCTACCTATCTTTGGCTGCCATGTCAATTGCATTTCTATGCATTTTGGTAGGTATCCGAAGAGCAGTCTCTCTTCTCTGCACTCTTCTTTCCCGTTGCTCGGTATCCAAAACTCGGGAGTCTTGGCCATGCAGTCCACTCTTGTCTGGTATAGTCGCTGAGTAGTTCGGAGGTGCAAAGTTTGAAATTTCCGCTTGGACTGGACTTGTCTTCATATCAACCACCCCTAGGACGACGAGTCCGCCAATCAACCCAGTAATCTTCCCGGATCATCGACCAGACCTTGTACAGAGGTTCCAATTGCCGATCGAAGTCGGTTTCAGGAACTCTTTCAGATAGTGTTCCAGCGAAACGGTAACCTCTGAACTCTATCTCATGTACTTTTAGCCTCGCATGCCGATTTACAATACAGATAGCCGGCGTCGTTGATGAGGCAGGATACGGTGCGTTGAGAGGTTTTCCATGCCCGTCCAACCAGATGTCTGGCATTTCAGCGGGAGTAGAGACCTGGCTGGACATGACATCGGACAGAAGCAAGAAAACCTTTCGTGATAAATTTGGTAGAGATATTTCGGCATTCTCTTCTTGTACAATTTGGTCTCCCCCAGGACACTTGAGTCAGATGGAGACGGTCATTTTGTCTTTTCTGTAATGCCTCGTTGCGTACACCAAGTCCTTGATGTTGATGCGTAAATTCCCCAGTGTTGTTGCAGCGACGATCTCGAAATGGAGAGCAATGTTGAGGTCTGTTCGTGATCGACGCCAATTACGAGCAAAGTAACCGAAATCAGAGGACGTTACGAACTGTTTCAGAAACTCGAAATTCTCAAAGCTAGTCGTGTCCTCCGTTCTCTTACTGACGACGGTAACGTGGCTCATATCACCTAACATGAGTCTAAACATAGAACGCGACGTCCTGTTGATCTGGAGAAGGTTCAGATCGAGCCCGTACACTGCATGGCTCTCCAGGTCCAGTATTATACCTCCAGGCGACAACACTGCCATACTTACGATCGTCGACAGTATATGATGTGGAAGGTCCAAAAGGTGATGGTGCGCCTCTGGATGACGCGCTGTGGTGACAACCCTTCCATCGCTTGGGATCGCGTAACGCTTCCAGTGTTCTGCTAGGTCGCTAGAACTTTTGTCGAAACCAATCTTCAGGTCATGTTCTGACAAGTCGATGACTGCTGAGGTGATAAGCCGGTCAGAAAATGCGAATTTTTGCAGACTCAGGTCTCCCTTTCCAATCACGCTCGAAACAATCGCATCGAAATCGTTCACTGCGGTTTTCGCATGATTCATCATATCTTTCTCGAAATGACAGCAAACCCAACGAAGTCTCCTGTCTGTGCACGTAAATGCAACAGGAAACTTTTCTGATTTGTTCCTCCACAGCACTCGTAATAGAGGCAGTATATCGGAACGATAGCGCCATGGTTGGCAAGGGCACAGGGCCTCAGGATCGATATGCACCTTCTTCAGCATCCCAAAGCAATCACTAATACTAGACAACCATTTGGGCGCATAAACGAGCTGATGGTAGGCATTTCTAAGGCGTAAGGTGTTTGTCCGAATTGTGGTCGCGATTGTGGAAAGTCGAAAGAGAAGGACAGAAAGTGAGTGCTGTAGGTATCGCGTGTCAAGGAATGAGCTTTATTTACGCGTGAGGTGCGAAAAAGTGAAGGTAAGTCAGAAATGATCAGCCAGTGAGAGAGGTTCCGTTGGGGAAGGCTGTGAGAAGTTCAGGTTAATGTCCACAGTCGTCGCAAACATCGCCTCTCAGTTCTTGAAGACATGAGATGTAGCCCCCGGGACATATTTCGCGAGTGGTGAGAGTTGTAAACAAGATGAGGTGTTCTTTCCTGCCATGATGCCTTCCCTCCTCAACGGACGCCAAGACATAACGTGACACGATGGCGTCGCACGCATCCATGAATGGAGAAGATATAGAGGTACCGTGCCCTATGTATTCAAGCTAGCAACCACTAAAAGGTTGTCATATCTCACTCATCTACAACAGCTTTGTTCAACGAGATAGATTCTCTGCAACATGCACACCTATGTCTGAAGTAAGGGTAGCAAGACGAATGTGGGGGTGCAAGCGGGAGCTAGGCGGTTCTAACCACGATAGCGAGATGACGAAAGCTGCTGACGCTGTATTCGCTGAAAAGACACAAGCTTCACGAAAGAGTAGAGGATGAATCCGTAGGGTTGTCGAGAAGAAGTGCCAGATCGACGACAAGACCTCGCATGACGCGTTCGGAGGCGCATACAAGCACCAGACTTTTAGCACGAGACGCGAACAGTTCGCATGCCAAGGGGCAAAGATTGTTCGCGAATCTCGCGCAAGCGGAAACACGACCGTACGTATTCTTCTTGCGCACAATGTGGAGTTGCTTCCATGTGGCGCGGTCACACAGCCACAGCTCCAATGATTCGCCATGCTCTAGAGCTCCCCGTGGCTATGCGACAGGCATTCTGACGTAACCTGCAAGCGCCGAAACTCGAGCAGGTTGCAGATGGGCAGTCGACTCCCTGTCACTTGCATTCCATAAAAAGGTCGCTGCTTCTGCACCCGTAGACCAAAATAGAAGATACCCCTCCTGCTTATTTCTCTCCATAGACACCTAATTGCTCTTCTGCCTTTCCTTCCACGTATCAACCTACCTCGATACCCCGCGAAACACATATCGCAAGCATGAGCGGACATGGAGATCCTCGATTGCTCTACACGGTCGGGGGCATCAAGGCCTACCACATTCAGCAGGGAGAGGAGAGCCCCCTCACACCCTCCGGGCCACAGACACTGTCGTTGCTGATGGTCCCTACCAACTCGCCCTTTGCAAACCTCAGCAACACGCGCGGCCAGAACGAAGCGCCCGAAGAAGACTTCTACCTACATCTTAACCTCCCTCCCGAGCTCGATCTCCCCCTCCCCGCGACTACACAGATCTACCACCAGCCACCGCGCAGTTACCTGATACCGCGGTGGGACTTGGGCCCAGAGAGCGGCGCCTTTACACGCATCGAGTTCCCACCAATTGGCAAGGGTTCGACATCGGTCACGCAGGAAGACGTCGATACCTTTGAGACCATCTTGGCACAGTGCACAGCCTTCCTTGAGCGTGCGCAAGCTCCCCAACACGAGAAGGGTAAGGGTGACGTCAAGGCATACAACCCCCAAGACTACCGACCAGGCGAGGGTTACGTAGGGACTGGCAACAATGGTGAGGTCGTTTTGGTCGACGAGGAAAACGGCAGCGTCGTTGGTGAGCTGGCCGAGGGTGCCATGATCCACGCCGATCCAGCGTTGAAGCAAGGATCCAAGAGTATGTCATTTGAACCTTTTTCGCGCGTGCGCCCATCGCTCATGCTAACACAGGCAAAGATCCCGTTGAGATTGTCGTCTCACCAGACGGCAAGCGCATCGACATCCGACCGCTTGAAGAGGACTACCTCGAAATGGCACGCCATCCCGCATACAAAGACTCTGGCCTCGTACAGAACGCTGCCGCCGCATCTCGTCTTGTCGTCACCGGCTCCAGCTACATTAGTAACATGATGGTATCTGGTGCGGAGAACTTCATCAACAAGACGAAGCCAAACGAGAAGCCCATGGTCTTCAAGCCTGCTACCCACGAGCACGTCCGCAAGATCAACACGCTTACAACCAATGTCGCTGGCTACTCGGCTAAGACTGTTGGTCAGCTTACCAAGTACGCTCAGAACGCAGCAGCAGGAATGGCAGGCCACAAGAAGACACACGCCAAGAGTGTGAACCCAGACGGCACACCCAACACAAACTACAAGCCTGGACTGTTGAACAAGAGCTTGATCGCTTTCTCCACGGTCGCTGATGGAATCTCGCACTCGGGCAAACAACTTCTGACCAGCAGCGGTGCTGCTGCCAGTGCCGCCGTCGGCCACAAATACGGTGCCGAAGCAGGACAAATTACTACAAACCTCGCCGGTGGAGTCAAGAACGTCGGTCTCGTCTACATCGACGTCACTGGCGTCAGCAGAAAAGCCATCATCAAGTCCGTAGCCAAGGGCATGGTCGTCGGCAAAGTCAAGGACAAGAAGGGCAACGAGCAGACCGTCCTGGTAGGTGGCGGCGATGGTGGCACCGTCACTCCCGGTGACTTGAACCCCCAGCTTGGTGTTTCGAACAACAACGCTCTTCCCAATCAGTCCGGTTCGGGTGCGCCTGGTGGTCAAGTTTCTTTTGGTGGGCCGCCGCCTAGTTACAGGACGGGTGTAGGTGAGAGCCTCGAGGGACAGCCGGCTTATTATCCACAGGAGAAGAGGTAGAGCAGTGGAAGCGAATGGGTTTATGAGGTATGAAGTATGAGGTTATGATACGGAAGAGCATGCTGTAGTGTTTTCTTTCCTACTTCGTGCGTGCACTGTCTGCTGTTCCTAGCGATATACACTTCCAATGACAACTGTTCACAAGCTCTCTCATATCATTTCAGTCTACTTTCGCTTTGTCCTTTCGCTCTGCTACCTGCCTTTCTCCCGAACAACCTACCGCTGCCCCAGCTCGGCCTTGGCCTTGGTGATACAAAGACACAACAGTGTTGAGACTAGTTACAAGAATCCATCCAAAATTGGAATTTTACCGTCTCAAGAACGTCAAGGCGCTCCTACAAAGTGCCATTTCAATAGTTCCGGGGTAAAGCGGCATCCCGTCCTGTGGTGCTTCCGGAAACTCGAGTGCTGAGAAGGATTAATAAGGTTTGGAAAGGGGAGCGTGACGGTGAAGAAGGAGGCCGGGGCGAGTACTATGATGTGGAAAAGGCGAGTATGTTAAGAACTAGGTGTATATTATAAGCGGATGTTCCCGTAAAGAGGTGGTGGATGATCGTCGGGGCCGTCGACTCTCTACCATGCGAAGAGGTTGCACTCTCCTGGCGCATCGTATCATAAACGTTGTGATATTACTTCGGTATGTTCCGATTTATTGCACTCTTACTATAGCATCCAAGGATGCAAGTATAGAGTGATGGGGGGATTTTTAAAGCGATCATATAGCACATCACACATATTCCGGTGGCTTATAGACGGGATCGTTAGCTCGATATGATACACATGTATTACTCTCTGTCTTTGATACCAGAATAGCTCCATAAGTCTGAGTCGTAACTAGACTTTTCGACTAAAACCGGCTGATGATCGTGATCTGCCGCATGCAGGCGTCACTGAGTCGGCAGTCTGCAACGACAAAAATCCCAACGCTTGTCTATAAGACAGGCTCGGTATGGCCTCATCATGTTGACTCGACTTCAGTACTAAGACCTGTGTAGAAAGTATACGTTTCGTGTTATATAGAGCCCGTGCGTTTCTTACTCGCTTACACAAACTCCCTTGCCGACTCACTATATTGAACCGACTTACTGGCTTGCATACACATGCATCGTTGCACAGCCGGCTTTGTAGGGGTCGTTTTGGGGTGCCCGAGATGCTAATTCTCCGATGCAGTGCCGTTGGGGATCTGCGACACGCACGTTCTAGATGAGGTGGCGGCTATGCGTGTAGTCTTGGCGGGATTCAGGGTGTGGTATACATTGGGTTTTAGGACAAGGATGAGCGTGAGCGTGGGTTCCTCACCGATCGATGAAATTGCGAAGATGGACGGTTGACATCAACGTTTTTCTTTTCGCTTTTTTCTTCTTGCGTGTATGCTGATTGTTGCATACATTGCGTATGTGGCGGCGAGGAGAAGATGAGGGGGAGGGAGCTGTACGGGTTGGGTATGAACTGGGATAGTGGATGTTGTTTTCTTGTTTTTGCGGAAGGTGCAGGCCGAGGAGATAGCCTGAGGGAAGAACAGAAGGAACTACTCAGCGGCAAGGCTGCCGATAGACACAACAATGCTTTTTGATGGCTCTCTGAGGGTGTCGTATACAATATTAGTTTTCTCGTACTCAACATCCTGTTTCCCCGCCGTAACCGAAACGTTCATCGAGGCTGTTGTTATCCCTTGCAGACCGATAAAGTGCAGCCGCGGCAAACCCACTGTGCGGTATTGTGTGCAATACAATCACACCACATCAAGAGCACCGATACTGCACATATGCACGACAAGCGGGATTATTAGGAAAAGCATACACAATCACAATCATCACTTCGATCCGGCCCTACATCCGTCGGCCACCACTCACGCGACACCACCCGCAGTCGTTGTCGTCGTACACACTACGTAGCACATGACACTCTAACCGTCTTCGCTACACCTGCATACCAGCCTCATTTTTTCCACCGCTGATCGTGCATATCGCATGTGACGTACGTCACGCATGCATAGTGTTCCTGCCCAACGATTACAGGCCATAATCGAAACGCTGAATATGCGTCGTTACGTGTAGCTCGACAAGCGCCGTATGCGACAGCTTTTGTTCCGCGAATGTTATCCTGTGATGAAAGGGTGTGGGTGTGGTGATGAATACACAGGGCACGTGAAGGGATGGTTAGCAGTTGAACAGTACCGCCGTTGCACCGAAAAGGGTCTTTGTGGAGATGTTTCTCCACAGCGGGCTGCGATGCGATGGTGAGATCGTATTGTATGGCAGAGGAAAGCGCGGTTCGTAGAGTGGATAGTGTGGAGCAGGAGTAAGCCAGCCAGCGAGCAAGTCATCCCGCTGCCCAACGGACGGCAACGAAAACAAACGGGTTCAGGTTTCTTATTTCAGCTTCGTGTGTGAGGCGAGCAACCACGAGGCGACGCCGTTGTTCGGGAAGCAGAGACCAGGTTAGGTTGCATCTGTGTATAAGAGAAGCAAACATCTTGCTATGTTTCCTTTTCCCTCCCTCCATACCGAGTTGGCTTATCTGTCAGGAAGAAACAAGAATACTTGCTCTCTACCAATCACAACTGCCGTTTCTTACATACACACACATACACCTCTTGATCGATACGAATATCTGTTTCAAGCGAACAGCCATGCTCTTCGAAGCTCTCAGCGTCCTAATCATCAGCGGTTTGAAACTCACAGCTGTTGGTCTGGCTTTCAAATGGATGGCGCGGTACTAGAGTGTCCACGTCTTGACTATCAAGCGAAACAAACATCGAGGCGAGAAGTGAACCGAGTTTAGTCTGGACGTCGCAAGGAACGAGCTCGCACGGTTAGTCAGAAGGGCAAGGGCATATTTGGTGTAATCGCCCCGCTGTATGGTGTGAGGCGGGGTAGTCCGGTGGACCGCGAGAGCGACAACGGAATGGAACCGCGATATACATTTCACGGACAACAACAACAACATCAACGATCACGCTGCACTTCACTAGAAGAACTGCGACCATCTGCAACGCATGCTATTTCCTCGTCTACTTCTTCACCATATACCAAGGAAGATGGCAGACACCTCGCAGACTTTCACAACCTTGCCCATCCTCCCCCTCAGCGCCGCCCTGGACCCCGCTACGAAACCACAGTTCCTACAAGACCTGCGCTCAGCCCTGTTGAACGTGGGGTTCTTGTATCTGAGCGAGACGGGTCTGCCAGAGCAGTTGGTCCAGGATGTGATCAAGGAGTGTGGACAGTTTTTTGAGAAGCTGCCGAGGGAGGAGAAGGAGAGGATCGAGATGAAGAACGAGAAGAGTTTTCTGGGGTGGAGTAGAGTAAGTTTGTGATTCTCTCGTACTTGTTACTGTTTTCGAGTTCTGGGCGATGAATGTGCAGATATGATGATGGTCTTATTAGAAGCTGTCGCTATGCTACGCTATGCATGGTGTAAAAGGAAGGAAAAAGGTCTAGGAAACTATGATACAAGAACTGAAGAAACAAGACGGGAAGAGGAAGAACCGGCCGTAAACCCGTAAAGCGTATGGACAATAAACCTCCAATGCCCTCAAATAACGCCAGTTGCAAAAGAATAATCACCCGGGTATATCCTAAACACGCGACGCCAACAATATGTACTCGAAGGCCGTTAACTCTCGCTCTGCCCCTGCCATTACCTTCCCTTCTCTTCCTCTTTCTGAAAACACTTTTACTTAATTTTTTGTTCCGACTCGTCGTAAATGCATGCTAACAGCAGTAATCCTTCGTAGCTCGACAACGAGACCACGGCATTCAATCCAGACCACAGAGAACAACTCGATCTTTCAACTCCACATCCCATTCCAGGGCCAGACGCGCCGCTCTACCACAATCTTCTTGCACCAAACCAATGGCCTTCGCCGGAGTATCTACCGTCCTTTCGACCAGTGTATGAGGACTACATACGTCGCATGTCGCGCATCTCCACGCTCTTCACGTCGTTGATAGCAGAAGCTATTGGACTTCCGTCTACCGCATTTGAAAAATTCTTCGATCACGACCAGCAGCACAAGCTCAAGATAGTCAAGTACCCAGAGGTCGATGTGCCGGATCTTCCAGCTGGGGCAAGCGAAATGGATCGGAAGAAGTGGGAGATCAAGCGTCAGGGCGTTGGCCCGCATAAAGATAGTATGCTGACCAGCTACCTGCTACAGGCTTCCAATCAACTCGGTCTGCAAGCCCAAAATGCAAAGGGCGAGTGGATAGACTGTGCGCCCATAGCTGGCACTCTTGTCGTGGCTATCGGCCAAGGCATGGAGGCTTTGACAGATGGTGTCTGTGCGTCAACCACACATCGCGTTCTTAGTCCACGCAAAGGCGAAGGTGCACGCTATTCAGTTCCCTTCTTCCAGGGCGTGAGCTACGACGCACAATTCGAAGCCATGGACGTCCCTGAAGAAGTGCTGAAGCTCAGGGACGAGGCGAGGAAGAAGCGCAGGGACGACGTTGAGTTTACGTTTGTCAAAGGCAGATGGGGACATCTCGGCGAGGCTACGCTGATGAACAGGATCAAGAGCCACCCTGACGTTGGCGAACGGTGGTATCCCAAGGAGCTACAGCAGATACGCGCACAACAAGCAGCTGCAGCGAAGGCGTCGTCATGAAGAACAATCACAACTAGGCAAGGGCCTGTAGTCGTAGTGTAGATGACCATCAAACTCTTGTCCCAGCCGCCTCGGGTCCATGTGTGCCATCCGTTCCGTAAGCGTTCATGCGGTGTGACAAACATGCACACACACCATTGTGGTCAAGGATCAAGGTACAATGCGGTGAGCTCATGTCCACTTCGCATGGCTGCGTATCGGCAACGCTTCCCTATGCAGACCCAAGCAAGCGAAGGCGTCCTGCTGCAACAATCTGCAATTGTGATTGGGCGGAAGTGCACCCGAACGCATGTGTCCCATGTGTACGGATCCGCGGGATGCCATGCGACAACTCCACACCTCTAGCTTGGCAACAAAAGGCTCCGCGCAAGGAGAAAGCGCCACGCCGAGAATGTGCTGGCCACGGTGCTTCGGCGTTTCTAAGCCCATCGGAAGAAAACAACCGAGGAAGCACAGTAGGGCCGGCGATAGTCCACGATAGTAGGAACTTTGACGACGACCCGATGCTGCATGCGTAACCAGAGACCGGTGTAGCGTAGTGTAGCTCGCAGCTGGCTCGTAAAGTGTATTTGGCATACCATGTTTCAGCGTTGGTGGAGACTTGACCGCACGAGGAGATTTTTAGCACACTTTCTAGAAGCTAGCCCCACATGCGCCATACATGTTGCCCTTTCGTAAGTTACAAAAGACAAATACCATGACGGGCGGCGGCGGATGGGTTGGTGTGTGTGGTGAATGGGCGAATCGAACGGATGCTCGGATGTCGGGAAATCTCGGTTGCATTACTCCTTCAGGAACGGCTTTGGCACGCCATCGAAACAGCGCCCATCGGAGAAGCTAAGGGGGAAGCGAAGGAAGCGAATTGGAAGCCCAAAACGCCGCTCCCAAATCTCGCGACGAGGCCCCCCATGTCAGGCGCGCAGGAAATGGAGGATCCACGGAATGTTCCATTTACTCATTTCCCTTTTTCCGCTTCCACAATCAGCATCATCAGATCCACCTCTTCACCGTCCATCGTGGTGCTAGCTCTCCAGGGAACGCACTAAGCTGTAGCGTTCCAAGGCTGGTCTTCTGCAGGACGGGCGACTGCAATCTTGATGTGATTCCACATACCGCATGTGGGGCCTTCCGTGTTGATGTTTCATTGCGCTTCATGCGATCGTGGGGGCATGCAGCGGTCCACCCAAACAAAAAACGGTGATGCGAAATTGTCCGAGACCGAGCGCGTTCTTGGAAACGGGTGCGCAACGATGCGGTGAACGTATGGACACGGCTGGCATTGCTGGTTTCTAGCGTGTAAAACTCAAAAGATCGGAAGATCGAGACATGGTCGTCCCTACCAATTCTGCAGGATCGCGTCTTACCGTCATCGACAGAATCGAGCGGCGGCGCAAGATACTGCATTTGGAAGGGCCCTTGCGGAACAATTGTGATATATCACCGAAGAATACAGCCTATCGTGACCGTGCCGCGTGGTGCCGCGTGTCAAAGGCATTTTGTCCCGCGTCGAGAAGATTGCGATTGAGTGGACAACTGGTTCCATGGTGCTTGGTCTGCGTCTAGTAGATTGCTGCAAGTGGACGTTGTGGTAATCGAAAGATCGTCTCCCTGGTACCCCTGCCAACCGTCTGCAGCCATGGAGGATTTGCGAACATGTTTGGACGAGTCGTGGTCATCCTCAATGCTCAACCTTCATGTTGGACTGGTACGGCTGGTAGATGATGTGCTGACCTTGTTCGTTCATCATCTGAGGTTGACCGTGCTGAGCGTGCATCATGGGCATCTCGCTGCCGTGGCTGACTTGAGGAGGGTAGCCTTGCTGAGGACCAACTGGGTAGGAGCCATAAGGCGCAGACGTGTGATGTTGCTGGTGCTGAGGTGGACCTTGGCCTTGGACGGGCTGGTGATGCATAGGAACGCTCATGTGTCGTTGATACTCTGAGGCGTGAGGCGAAGGATGCGAAGTGGGCGTCCCGTATCCGGACATTGGCATAGGCTGCGAGGTGACCATGGAAGCGTTCTCGTGAGGGTAGGATATGGCTCGCGCGTTGCTCTCCATGACATATGGGCTTGAAAATGACATGTTTGGTTGCTCGACCGCATGAACCGACGCATCCTGCACTGGCATGGAAACTTGGTGGTGCTGTTGCTGCTGCGGGTGGCCGGGATGAGGACTCCAACGAACTGCCTCGTGCTGCGGCGCTTGGACTTCACCCATGGCAGGTGGCGTGTCTACATGAGGCGAGGAAACGTGGTGGGCGTACGTATGCTGCGACTGCCAGTGTCCAGGTTGTGACACGGGTGTTGCTATTTCGGGTACTGAATGTGCGCTCCTTGCGGTTCCAGTGGACATCCTCCGAGGTTGGCTGAGCATCTGAACCCGATCACTCGGTGAGGGTGCGCCTGCTGTAGTGATGTCAGCTTCTATGCATTGATGTCACATTGATTGCAGAACAAGAATTGCCGTTCTCGTCTCGCTTGGCCTCGAAAAGGAAATTCGACGTTACAGATACTGCACATCGCTCAATCGAGCCGCAGACTCGGAACGCGGGAAATGATCCAAAAGAAAGATGTGACATGTTGCGAAAAGAGGGTCGGCTGTACCAAAACGGTTGCGGCCCGAGACACCAAAAAGCAATCATGGACGCCCAACCAGCTTGTGAGTCGAACAATTGGACAGTGCTTTTGCAGGAATGAAATCAATGTTACATACCTGCTCCTGATTCTGGGACTCCCAGTGCCGATACGGCGTGTGACAGACGGGCGCGGAGGACTGCGTTCTCTTGTTCGAGCTCCTCGTTTCTTCTGATGAGGTCCATCATCTTGGTCGATGAGTTGTTCTCCAATTGTGCAGTGAGATCGCGAACTTGACGTTCAAGAGTATCGATGTGGTCTTTTGTTCTTTGGCGAATCGCTCGCTGTGCTTCCCGGTCATTTGCTCTCTTTCGCTCCAGTTGTGCGGCGGTGAGGGTAGTGACGCTGCGGGTACCAGCTCTCGATGGTCGCTTCTTCGCGCCAGGAGTGAGCTGCCGCGCTTCTGAGCCCGAAGAATGGCCTTCGTAAGGCGGCGACCTCTTCTGCTGATCCATGTGAGGCGAGTGGTAGCTGGAGGTACTCATGAAGTCACTCCTGTAGGCGATAGGGTCTCGGTAGTGAAGAATTGAAGTCATCGAGGATCCGCGAGAGGCGGTGAGAGTATATGCGATGTCGACGTTGCTATGTCAGCGTGGCCCAAACGAATGCGGTCCAAGCGTTTGGCAATATCAGGTACTGTCTCTACGGGCGAAGGGTGCTCACGGGCTCCCAAGATGGAGAAAAATGACGAGGGGTTGAGGATGGCTGTGTGCCGTGTTCCAGATCCTGTGGAAGGAATGATGTCAGTTGAAGACAAATATTAGAAGCAAAGTCAGAGAAGGCAAGACCAAAAGTGCGAAGCAGAATGTTAGAGAGACAGGATCAATGGTAACAAGACATGGCTGGCATGAGCCTATAACCTGCTATCAGGTCTCTGATGGATAGCGTCCTTTGGGCCCCATGCTCGGCCCTAGACTAGTGTTGGCATTTTGATCCCTGGCCCCTGGTAGGTAGCCACACAACGTGGGTTCTGGGGAAATCGTTTCACTTTAGCTTGTACATTAGCACGAGGCTTGGACGCCGCAGTGTAGCCCACACATTCCTATCAGCTTAGGCTGGTACAGACCCTTCACGCCATATAAACTCTCAACGGTGGTGGCAGGAGGGCCTAGCATAGCCACGCCCTGCATCTGGAAGGGAGGTCGTGGCTGTTCTGGAAAGGTGCTACAGGCTCTAGCTTGGGACATTGCACCCCACTCCTAGTGGCATGGCCGAGTTCCTGCGCAACACCCTTTTGGCCCACCTTACGTCGAGAGCGAGCGCAGAAAAGCGCCCGTGGCTCCACCGCAAAGGGTCTCCAGAAGCGCATAATGTAGACAGACATGGTTCTGATGTCGCCATGACCGCTTGCCAGTCAGGTAGCTGGTCGTGTTTGCGGACCGTAGCGAAGTTTGGATGACAGGTAAGCAGACCCGGACAAAATGTGACGTTTGAGGAGCGTATGGCGTGGGCTCATGCAGCAAGTACGTGAAGCGATGCTAGGATCCAGGGATGACACCGGCCAGGCAAAGGAGCGAGCAGACGAGCAGGCCCCGGCAACGCTAAAAGGGTCAGCACGTGGAAGCCCTGCATAATAAAAATTAGCCCGAGAATGCCAAGGGCCATGATAGGCCAGTCCATGGCCGCTTCAGTCGGAGGGGCGGTCGACCGTGTGTATACTGTGCCAGGGCATCGAGCGTCGAGCCAGCGTGCAATTGCGAGACGCTCGCGGGTCCGCTGTGGATCTCGACATGTATTGAGTCCCAGGGGTGCAACCACGACAACCACGTCGATCATGTCGGGACCCAGGGCCTTCCCATCCTCCGCAATGAACGAGCGCTGATGAAGGATAGTTCCGAAGTAACTCCACGGACCATGTTTCCCACAGGTGACATATCGACTTTTAGCAATCCTGCCGATGTCTATCTACCTGATGTACATGTTCGGCGGAGACAAACTCTATCGCGGCCTCATGGCTATCGATGTGTTTCATGTCGTGTGCTGGTTATGCATACATGGTACGTCTATATTCGGCGCCTTGCAGACCAAGCGCATGGTCGGCACGTGGAAAGATATGGACGAAGGCTCCGTCATTCGCAGGGACTGCATTGCCGACAGTCGGACTTGCAGAAATGAGCTCATGAGCATTGGCCAGAGAGAGTCCGTGATGCGCTCCTGTACGCCGCATGGAGAGAAGCTGCAAAAGGTTGTGGCTGATGCTCGTGCACCAGGCACCGCGACCTGGCGTCCGGTTACGGCGGCCAGTCTTAGTTGCGCGAGCACAACAGAACCGAGGCTACGTGTGAAAGTCGCCACACATCGTAACGAGTTTGAGATGCTGATGAGCAGTGAAAGTGCCCTGAGGGAAGAGTGATCTGCTGCGCTATCCATCACATCCCCCAATATTCAATAAAGCAAGAATCCTCCGAGAAACCTCACCGCTCCATAGACGCAGGCGTACAAGACGAGGCTACAGACACTAGGCCCGGAGCAGAATTGCTAGTGCTCGTACCTTGGAGAGCTCTTCCAGCCACAAAGGATACGCTTGGCGCCGATATTGGACGATAGCGAATTTCGGCAAGTGTTTCGAAGATGACAATGATGCACGTCGGCAGCACTAGGCTAAGGTGCCGCCAGCCGCGAGCCGCGATGAGAGAATGGACCGGAGCGCGCGATCCTGCCCAGTGCATGCTCTTCTCGATGGAGCATCTCGGTAGAAAAAAAATATTGCCAGATGCATGTTCGCGGGCAGAGTCGTGGTGGTTTGGAGGGGCGCAGGTGGGGAGCCACGAAGGATCAGATTACGCCGCACCACCTGCAACGTCCGTCTAATTGAGGTTAGTCGCGACGTTACTTGACGTTCAGCAGGAGGATGCGCGTATATCTGAGACAGCGACAGCTAGATGGCGTCCGAAAACGTGCTTCATTTCCAGCAAACTCCATCTATGGCCTCAGGTTTCGGTGAAGAGTCGAGGGCCATGGTACGCGTACGGGAAGTCACGAGGCTAGCCTCATTTCTCCTTACGTCAATGCTGTCGCCCGCTTCTCGCTTCTCCCTTGCACGCACGAATCTAGTGTCAATACTCTCACCGTCCATGCAAACTTCTAGCGCGCCCGCAGTCACTACTCTACACAGTTAGGTAGTGGCTGAAGCCTGACATGTTGCCACTCGATCCCCTTTGTAATCGACGCGGTTGGGGAAGCTCTTCCGATACGGAAGCTGTACAGCATCTCAACAAGACAGCCCGCAGATATCGTGCCGAACCAACGTTGTCATGACTGACAGTTGGTGAGCATCTGAAATCAGCCGTTACTACAACAATGTTTGGTGAGCCTAACCTGAGGCTTCCCCACATGTAGCTGCCCGAACGTTGATCTTCGCCGTATTCATTGGCGTGCAGTATCAGGATGCAGCTCGCGTCCAGGTATCCTTCGATCTCGACTCTTCATCGTCCATGTAGCGGTGAAATCCATATGCTTCACGCCAACCTTCCGCTTTACGCCGCTTATCCCCGTCGTCGTCCCCTTCGGTGCAGTAGAGTGCAATGCATACATCCGTGCAGTGTGGCCCGGGGCGGCAGATCGGTGCTGCGGTGTAACCACCTCAGCTGTCAGATATCAGCTGTAATGTCACCACCAGGAACCAGTCGCTGGATTTGGTGGGATCCAAAGCGAGGCACCGGTTCGCTCGCTAGACCTGTCTTACTCGTATAGAGCGGTGCGGCTGCAAGCACGCTTAGTTCAACCATTCCCAAGGGCCCTTCACCCAAGCCCAACTCTAGGAAACCTTGTCCTCGACGCGGGCCCGTTCACGATTGCGCAAGCAAACCTGCGTCGGCCGGATCAAATGGCGTCCGAAACATCAGCATAGTATTATCCATCACTAAAGTGCCGGTTCCAAAGTAAGGCCTGCCGCCAAACTGTCACAGACGGACGGTTCGTCATGACTCCATACCTCGCTACCAAACTTAGGATCTCTCATTCCGCGTGTTCCAGATAATCAGCCGAAATTCATCCATTAACCTGCATCCTGAATGACCGCTGCTAAATTCGAACTCTATCACCTCACTCCACAAGACCATGCAATTCACTAGCGGCCACGAGCCCTTGGTGACAACACGACCCCTAGCCTGAAACATGCTTGGTGAAAATTAGAGTTTGCGGGTCTACCCCAACAAGGACGCCCCACTTGCTGTAACCACACCATTTTGATCTCTCCTAGCCTCGCTAACGCTACAATTTCGCGCCCTCCCTCACCGATCACGCTTCAAGATTCGCGCCAAGCGAGCCTGTTACGCCATCAAGAGGTCTCCGAAGCTTCTAGCTTTGAGGCTAGAAGTAGAAGATAGCGATGGCGCAACCATATACTATCAAGGGATTGGTGGGTCCTCGCAATTACAGTTTTCTTTCGCTTTCGTTGCTTTGAAAACACAAGTCCGAATGTATAGTCATTGGGACCTAAACCGCTTTCCCGTTTCCACTCCTTTTGGACGGGTTGTCCTGCGTGAATAAAACGCAATTGTGGGGTGCACTGCTGAGGCTGAAAGTAGCGTACGCTGACGTTGCTGGTTGAAATGGTGTAGAGAACAGGCGAGGAGGGAGGCGCGCCTATTCGGTCATCAGGGACACACCTTCAGCTGTGCATCCTTCTTCCATGCCCAACCGTGACACCATTGTGGATACTCAACCAAATTCTGTACACGCTACCTTCGGGCACCACGGTACCATAGATCTTAGTACGTAGATGGGGAGTTCATTCAAAACGTCGGAATCAATATTGCGAGGCCAACACGGGAGATACACAACCATCATCCCAGTGGTCGTCGCTACCCAGAGCCTAAGATGGCGCAATGATCCGGATCTAAGATACTATCTAGAGATGCAATCCCTCCGAGATCCATGTAGAGAAAAGTGAGGATCGCATTGGTTTCCGCACATGGTAAGCTACAAAGACAGCCCATTAGAGCAATGCATGCCACATTGTCCCACATCCACATCTACATGCCACATACATGACGCTAGAAAATTCCTAGAAGGCCCTGTCTGTAACCCTTGGCCCATCTCGACGTTGATTCGATGGCATGCGTATCCGACCTACAACCCTCGTACGCCACACCCGTTGTCGAACGGAATCTACTCCTTTTTGATGTACTTGTCAAAGATTTTCGAGATTTCGCGCGCGCTCTTCTTAGGATAGCGCTTCTGCCCACCCTTGTAGTCGACATAGGTAACGCCGAAACGTGTCGTGTAGCCCTCGGCCCACTCAAAGTTGCTGCAGGTACACTATGTCAGTGTGTGTCATGACGCCTTTTCCACAGTGTCCGCTGGAGCACCAAGGATCCAGTGTTTGAAGCTAGGAGAGAAAGATGATCTACCTGGGTGCGAACGCGCAACCACAATGCGGACAATAAAGTCTCCACCACTCATTGGAAAAAAAGAAACTCATATATGAGAAGTGGGGTGGGGGGTTGCAGGTGTGAGAAACGTTGAAAGAATGGAATTAACGTACTCCATGAGACTCCATGCTGAATAACCCCTGACGTCGACACCGTCCAAGGTATGAGCGTCCGCCAAGGCTCCGATATATCCCCTGAAGTATTCGCAGCGGAACTCGTCGTCCAGCAGCTGTTCAAGAGGGAGATCGTTCTCTCCTTTGAGACTGGTACCGTTCTCTGTCACGTAGAAGGTCGGGCCGCCATATCTATCACTGAGCCACTTGATTAGCTTTCTGAAACCCAAAGGCATCGGCCTCAGCCAGACTGATTGTGTCTCTGGGCCGATCCATTCGCCCTTCTTGTTCTGGTAAAGAATGTCCAGGTTGCCGACATGATCTTCAGGTTCTGGCTCAGTGTCCTTGTGTCTAATATAATTGGCGCAGTAGTGGTTCATGCCATAGAAGTCATTGCTTCCTTTGACCAGAGCCGCCTCTTCCGGTGTGAATTCAGGTAGGCGATCGCCCAATTGCTTGCGCATCGAGTCGGGGTATTTGCCAAAGTACACTGGGTCGCCGAACCAGCAGATGGCAAACTCAATCTTTCGGTCGCAGGCTTCACGGTCTTTCGGATCCTCTGGATCCCATGGCTCGGTCCAGTCGCCTACACGACATATCAGTACACGTTTTTCATGCTCAGACGTCAGACCGATTGTTACTATCCTCGCACGGGCTTGATATGCGTGGGGTCGGTCCACTGTAATACGGTATACGCGAGCCACGTGCTGGTCACTTACCGTTGAGCGTAATCCCAATCTGGCCTCCATCCTTGGATTTGAAGTCATCACGGTAGGCCTTGACTGCCGCACCATGAGCAATGAGGAGCGAGTGTCCGACGATCCACGGCTCCCTCGAGCTGTCACCTTCTGCGCTCTTGCTCCGATCACTGCAACGACCGGGAGCAAAAAGGCCGGTGCCATATCCGAGAATGGAGCTGCACCACGGCTCGTTGAAGGTGATCCAATATTTTACCTTCGAACCGAAAGCCTTGAAACACACCCTGGCGTAGTTCTCGTAATCCTTCACGAACTCGTCCTTGTTCAGCATGCCCCCATATCGCTTGTGCAGGTTGTCTGGGAGATCCCAATGAAACAGCGTTATCATCGGCTCGATGCCTGCGGCACGGAGATCGTCGACCAACTTGATGTAGTACTGCAGACCCTTCTCGTTTACGGGGTCGTTGCGTCCGCCGAGTGGTATGATGCGGGACCACGAGAGGGAAAAACGGTAAGACTTTGCGCCGATATCCTTCAAGAGAGCAATGTCCTCGTCAGTGCGGTGGTAGGAGTCGCATGCAACATCTCCAGATTCTCCGCCAGCAATCTTGCCCGGGATGCGGCAGAAGGTGTCCCAAATAGAATCGGCACGGCCATCTTCATGCGGTGCGCCTTCGATTTGGTAACTGCAGGTTCAGAAACTCAGTATGCGACAACAAAGCGGCCCCCAAAACGATACATCGTGGCGGGGTACTTAGGTCCTCTTGGGAGTGGAGAAGGTCCTGGGTCAAACGAACCTTGCTGTTGCAAATCCCCACAGGAAATCTTTCGGCAAGTACGACTGCGACATGGCGGTTTTGTAGTTAAGCAGTAAGTATGCTTAAGCTCACAATTTAGAAAAAGAACTGAAAGCTACCCGCAGCAACGGGACACCTATACTTCATATACGTGGACACAGCAATGGCTGCGGAGAACGTCCCGCCGTAACCGTCCTCACGCGTCGACAAGACCTTAACAGACGCGCCGTAAGACATATGAGGAACTTGGTAAGGCTCCGTCAAGCTCAAGCGGGCTGTAGCCGATTTCTCTGTGTCGTCAATGGCTCCTTCGACCATTGACCCCGCTCATAGTTGCGATCACTTGAGTGTTGTAGCTTCATCCCACATGACGAAGCTATACTTTTACGTCGATTCTGCCCGCGAGGGTCTACAATGACCAGGGCGGTCAGTGGGACTACGGGCCGCCGATTCAGCCTGGCTATTAACCTGCTAGGCGTGGCGCGGAATTCGTCTTCGGCTGAGGTGATACTTGGAGGAGTGGGATGGCGGGGTACTGGGCAAGTTGAAGCGGTCGTTTCCCTTCCGACCACTAACAGCTAATATGTTACGCTGAAGAGTATGTTCCTCATCATCTCATTCGTGAGTCTAGAAACTGATGACGATCCAAGATGGAGATGGCGGGAGCCTTGCTCTGCATGTAGTGGTAGTTGCGAAAATGGTGGGCTGCAAGAGCTCGAAAACAGCGCTATACCTAATTGAGAAGAGCTTCCGAATATACAGTATCTTGTCTCAACAGCTTGAACTTCATCACTCTGTCGGAACCACAGTGAAGCCTGTTGCAACCTCGGCGCAAGCAACAGTATATAATGGGTGGCTGCTGGGGATGAACAGGATCATGATACAGCATTGAGTCAATCGAATAGCTATCCAACAACTCCCCACGATGATGCTCTCCGCGCTTCGAACCATCCGATCTCCGACGAGACGCGCCACAACACAACTGCGCACCGCTGCGACACAAGCACAGAAGCGCGCAGGTGACATATCCGATGCTTTCGCATCGCTCTCAGGACAGGAGTTCACACCTCTGACACCCGAATATGCCGACCTCAAAAGCCGTCTGATCCGGGGACACGAAAGCGAAATACGAGAGTCCTGGGAACGCCTCCTTCGGACGCTTCGCGACGAGATTCCGCTCATAGTTGGGCAAGGCAGCAAAGTCATTCCAGAGATTGACTTCAAAGACATCGATAATGCGCCAGAGTCCTTTAGCAGCGAGCTGCGCAAGAGAGGTGTTGCCGTCATAAGGAATGTAGTACCCGAGCAGGAAGCGCTGCAGTGGAAGGAAGACCTGAGGGAATATATTCGCCAGAATCCTCAGACAAAGGGTTCGTCTGCATTCATCTTGGAGAGGTAACCTTGACTGACCATCTGGCAGCTTTTCCAGCCGATAACCCTCAAGTCTTCGAATTGTACTGGTCGCGTACCCAAATGCTCGCACGCGGTAATCCGAACCTCCTCAAAACGCACCGCTTCCTCATGTCATACTGGCATAGCCTCAACCCAAATATCCCGCTCTCCACGAAACATCCGATAAGCTACGCGGATCGCTTGCGCATGCGCTTGCCCGGTGACGCCAAGTTCGCATTGGGGCCTCACGTCGACGGCGGCAGTGTAGAACGTTGGGACGAAGAAGGATACGGGCTTGGAAAAGTCTACGACTCGGTATGGAAAGGACGCTGGGAGGACTTTGACCCTTGGGAAGCCAGCTGCCGTCTTCCGGTCGTCTCAGACCTCCACCAGGGCGTAGGAGCATGCAGCGCGTTCCGCATGTTCCAAGGCTGGTTATCGCTCTCCACAACAGGACCATTCGAAGGCACGCTTTTGGTCAACCCGCTATTAGCCAAAGCCACCGCATATTACCTCCTTCGACCCTTCTTCTCCCCGAAACGAGGCGTCGATCCTGGTGCGCAAACAACTTCCGAAGCCATCACCAACTCAGCAGACTTCCTCGCGTCGGATAATTGGGAAATGGATACAACACAGAACGCATGGGTACATGGCGCAACGCCAGGTCGTGGTCAGGAGCTATCACACCTCCTGCATCCGCATCTTAACCTGCAAAAATCCATGATCCATATGCCCACGGTCAGGCCTGGCGATTATGTCGCATGGCACTGCGATACCATCCATAGTGTCGATAAGACACATGCAGGCAAGTCTGACTCTAGCGTGCTGTATATCCCAGCGTGTCCTATGACTGAAGATAACGCGAATTACCTTGTGCGCCAGCGCCAGAACTTCGTTAATGGAACCCCGAGTCCTGATTTTGGCGGTGGTGTTGGTGAGAGCGAGCATGTTGGGCGTATCAAGGCTGAGGATATGCATGCATTGGTTGGCGACGAGGGTTGTCAGGCTATGGGGTTGCAAGAGTGGGATAGTGCGGCTGCGGGATTAGGGCCTGGTGAGAGGGTTATTCTGGATAGGGCGAACAAGATTCTGGGGTTTTATGATTAATTATGATGATGGGTTAATGAGATCCTGATGAACTTGGATGTTGTCTTGGTATCGTTTCGCATGCTATCCTGTAAGTCCGAGTCTCGAGTACGAAGGGCTTAGATGTCGGTTCGGGCGAGTCGAGTGCGAAAAGAAGTGATCGTGGGCAGGAGTTGTTTGAACTCGATTTGTACGTGCTGCCATGGCACACTATACCACTTGGTACCTGTCGTGACCTTGTGAGCAGGCTTACTCTCACCCTCATTCCGCACGTTCCTTCCATGCTCGGACTGGCTGCCTAGTACTACCCTATCGCCCCTGCCAGCAAAGTTCATCGATCTCCGCTGACCAAATATCAATAACCGATTAACCCACCGACTACATTGGTAATACTGCGATCAGCAAATTGATATCAACATCATACAGAATCCTTAAACTATCCCCCCACAAGCTGACCCAGCCGCTGTGTCGTTCCTTACCACGCTACCCCCGGAAATTCGTAATCACGTGTACCAGCTCTTGTTCAAATACGAAGATTCGGTCCTGCTCCATAACGTGGATGCTTTTCATGCGCCATGTTCGACACGAAGAGAGTATGGAGACTTGGAATACCACAACCACGCCAAGGGTCAACATTCGAACGAATACTGCGACAGATATGAGAATGAACTCGGAAACAACCAAGTATTCCGGCACGGTTTCCACGAGGGGCTCGTTTTGTTGTCATGATATCACTAGGTACATCATGAAGCTTCTGGGATCCTATATGGCGGTAATACGTTCATCTTCTCGAGGGTACTAGAACGTCATGATGTCGACTGCGACAATACGTACAAGTGTGAAGAATACCTGCGACACGTCTGTAATTTGCTCGAAAAACGCGGCCTCTTATAGAGAAAACAGTGGATCTTACTTGTCTACTGTAGGTGTGGATACAGTACTCCGATCGCTGCGTACGAGCGACACAACCTATTCCAGCGTCGCGAGTACTTTCGATTCCATCGCAAACGCCATGACTAACAGATTTCGCTTTCAACACGGCGGCGAGGTCCAACAATTTTCCACAGCTGAGCCCTCGCGCTTGGACTTCGTGCGTGGGAAAGCATGGGAAACAAAAATCTGCGTTTCAATGCGCACAAAGTGGCTGCTCCTTCCCATCTGCCTTACCTTTATCACATTCATCCTCTCTATGTGGACGATCATCACAAACTGGCAACGTCGGCACAGCATACCTATCTGGAAAGAAAGTATCCTACCGCTACTCATTTACGGCCAGGACATCGCACCACGGGATTCTAAAGGTTTGCCGGTACAGCCTTTTGGCAAGGACGCGGGTGAAGACAAGGTGGAAGGGCTCATGGAAGCAAGTACAATGGTTGCTGCTAGTCGCAATATCATGGTGACTTTTCAATGGTATAACAGCGAGAGCACGGGTGGGTTGGATGAACAAGGAACGAGTTCAACTGCGTCGTTGCTGAGGCCTGGGAAGAAGCTAAAGAAACGTGATAGTCGAGATAATTCTGTAGTCCACGATCATTGATGCTCGTCATGACGGTAGCACAGAGTTCGACACAGAGTTGTTGTTATTTGTAAAGTAAGACTGCTTTATTTACTCAGTCTTGTTGTATTGCTTTCTCTTCTCAATTGCCTGTGCACTCTATCACCCCTCCCCTCAGCGACAAAACGCATCAATACTAGCATCAGAAAGCGTATGACTCCCACCCGCACACCTATACCCACTAGCCTGCTTGATCCACATATACCCCATCGGACAAGGCCCCAAAACCTTCAATTTCTTCTGCCTTTCCATCTCTTCCTGTCGCTTCTTCTCAATAGCCGCCAACTCCTCGTCGCGACGCCGTCTCTCCAGTTCAGCTGCGATGCGCGCTTGCTCGCGAATACGTCGCTCCTCTTCATCAGCAGCGGCCCTCTCCGCACGGATGAACTCCTTGATACGCTCTTCATACTGTCGCTTTTCTACTTGCATGCGACGAAATTCGCGCTCCTTGGCGACCATGGCGTGTTTATCACGCTCGAGTTGCTCCCATACTTCGTCGGAAACTCCAGGGTCGCGTTTGGCTTGGAAGATGGAGTCGAGAGGGTCTTCCGGCTCTGCTGCGGGTTCGAATTTCTCCTCAGTCGACTTCGGTTTGTCTTCTTGCTTGTCCGTGTTGAGTACAGCTGGTGGTGGGGCGGTGTTCGTCGCGATCTCTGGGCCTCGCGCAGCTGGTGGCGCAGGGTTCTGCGTCTGTGGCTGTGGCATCGAACGTAGAGGCATTGGTTGGTCGAAACGGCTCGTGCCCACAGCGGCGTTTCGTCGTGAACGCTCCTCCAACATCTTTTCCATGGTTTGGATAACGACCGTCTCCGTCAGCACAAGACTAGTGATCGGAAGCACAGCCGTAGAGACGAGTGCTTGAAACATGCTCTTGGCGAGCGATTTGACGTCGCGAGCGTTACCCCACGATTCCAGTACTGATAAGTTGCCAAAGAGCTGCAGCAGTTGTCGTTGTAGTTCCGGTGTTGGCGTATCAATGACCGAGAGATCAAGTGACACCTTCTTCTTTTTCTTCTGCAGATCTTTGACAAGGAGCTCCAGACATATCTCCGGGTTGAGATGCTTGAACATGACCGTTTCGGGGAAGCGACTGGTAAGACCAGGGTTCATGCTCATCAGTCGATCGATATCCTTGTCATAGCCGGCTAGGATAACTACGAGCTTCTGCGCAAACTTTGGTTTGGTCAGGCAGTCGACGAGCTCGTCCATCGCTTCAGTGGCGAACCCGCCTTCTGCAAGCCGGTATGCCTCATCGATGAAGAGCACTTTACCCATAGCCTTCTCCATCAGCTTCTGCACTTTTGGTCCAGTCTGGCCCACATACTGTCCGATCAAATCGGTAGCGGAACATTCCTCAACCTTCGCCTGACTGAGGAAGCCCATGTCGTAGAAGATCTTGCCCATCTTTGCAGCTGTAGTAGTCTTGCCAGTACCGGGCGGTCCCTTGAAGAGGAAGCTGAAAGGCAGCTGTTCTCTAGCGTCCATCCCGAGAGCCTTCATATTGGCCGCGGTGGTTTGGTAGCCTCGAAATTGTTTGACGAGTTCTCCGCATCCTACTACATCTTGAAATAGGGCCGAAAGTTCAGTAGCTGCACGCTCACCGCGATCAAAATCCGGGTCAAAGTCGATAGCCTCGAACACGCCAAACTGCTTCACTTTGGCGGAAGTGATATGCTTCTGGTGTACTGCTTTCGCACGATCTAAGATGATATCGACTTCGCCTGCGTTGCCGAAGTTTGGACGGTTACGCGCACGCTGTACAACTTCCATAGCGACCTGGAAAGAAATAAGTTAGCGTCAATAAATGTCGCCCGCCACTGATTCTTACCTTCTTGGCTTGGTCTGTCGCATTGAACCCGATTCCCTTGAGTTTAAAGTCAAAGATTTGACGGATCTCAGTGTCGTTGAAGTCTTCAAAGACGAACGCAGACTCCAGCGGGAATCGCCTTGCGAGGCCAGGGTTGACGTCTCGAAACATCTCTTCCATCTGGTCCTTGTATCCCAACAGGAGTACGCACCGGTCTTCACCTGCAGTGCTCTGGACTTCGGCAACGATGGTGTCGATGACTGCGGCTTTGTAGGGATCACCAGCAGCACCACTAGCCAACATGTAAGCCTCATCGATGATGAGAACTTTGCCGACAGTGGACGCCAGGATGGCTTTCGTGTTAGCTTCCGAGCCCCCTAGCACACTGCCGACAAAATCCGCTGGGCTTTTTACAACAACTTCACCGTTGGAAAGAAGCCCAATGTCAGCCAGAATGCGGCCATAGAGCTTGGCTACGGTAGTCTTGCCTGTTCCTGGGGAGCCGATGAAGCAGCGGTTAAGCGAGTATTGGATGATGGGCTTCTCTTGCAGTTCGAGCTGATAGTTCATCTGTATCCCGTCAAGAAGAACTTGTACCGACTCCTTGACGGAGGCCAAGCCGGTAAGCTTCTGCAGCTTTATCCATGTGGCGTTATTCTTGAGCACCGACGAAGGCTCTGGCCCTATCAAATCCTCTTTAGTGAGAATATGATCATTCGGCATCTTGCCGGCTCGTCTCTCTTTCCGCAGTCGCCTGGCTTGGCGCTCAGTAATCTGTGCGATCTTATTCTGGACTTCACGAGCATTACCAAAGCCATCGCGGCCCCGACCCCGGCCGATGCGTCGCGCGGCGATACGCACGTAGAGGCCGTTCATACTGCCTTCAATCTTCATGTGCCCATGATACTTCTTATCTATGTACTGGCAGAAGATCTGTTGCAATTCGCGGTCTTCGTAGTCTTGGAACTCCATTCGGATTGGTATACGGCTCGGGATGCCGGGGTTGTGAGCAAAGAAGGCTTCCATTTGCTTGTGGTAGCCCGCCAGCACAAAGACAACTTTGCCGGTTAGGTTCTCAATTTCGGCAAGCAGATAGTCCAACACTGCTTTGCCACCAGGACTATTCCCAGATACCAGCTGATATGCTTCATCGATGAAGAACACACCACCGCCTTCTTCGAGTATCTTATCGATGTGGGCTTTGCAAGCGGATACGCCATCGTTCGCGAGAGCTGATCCAGAGCTCTCAATGAAATGGTCACCAGGGAGAGCTCCTACCTTCACTAGAAACTTGGAGTAGTGTCTAGCCACTGTCGTTTTCCCTGTTCCAGGATTGCCTAGCAGGGCTGCACCGAAGCGCTCTCCCTTGAGCGATACTCCTTGGCGCACGACTGTATCAACTTTGACTTTGATCGCGAGGAACTGCTGCTTAACAGACTCTAGCCCTATCATAGGTATCAGGCAGTCGAGAGCATCGTTCTCTGCACCCTCGTATCTCTTCTGCCATTCCCAATCATCTCTTGCTTCACTCTTATCCCAATCGGATTGGTCCTGGTCCTGGTTCCGATCTGGCGAAGTTGCTCTGGAGTTGACTGTACTCTTGTCACTGTGATCCGGCGTCAGGTTGGGCGGTGCCTTCTCGCTTTGTCTTCTTGAGGCATCGTTCGGTGGTGTCGTCGTGGTTTGAGTTGTTGAAAATGCTGGAACTGGTGGCTTTCTAGGATTTTGAGTCCTCTCCTGCAGGTTGCGAAGATCCTGCTTCTTCTGCTCGAGCGCTTGCTGTCGGTCTCTGTCCTCAGCCTGCTCTTTTAGAACACGCTTCTGATGCTGGATCTGTTCCTCGATCTCGATTAGTTGCGCGGCGTATGCGTGTTGCTTAGCCTCCCGCTCTTTGTCTAGCTCGTGGTCCCGTTGTCGTTTCTTCTCTCGCGCTCGCACCTCGGCTTCACATTTCCGGCAATATGCCGTGGCCTTATCATGGCACTTTCTTGTGGTCTTATGGTCACTGGGACAGATTGAGGAGATGATGACTTTGCAATTCATCCGCGAGTGGTCCTGCAACTGATGGCATCGATGAGGACAGGAATGGATGCCACAGTTGAGCAGTTTGCCACAAGGCTCAGAACAGCCACCGTCTGGACAAACCGTATCGAAGTGCTCTCTCTCAGTCAAGAGTGCGGTTTTGTCTGGATGCTGCTCGCATTTGACTGGAAAGCCATCGTAAACGTGGCCATCTCGCTTCAACTGGTCCATAAGCGGTATCCATACTTCCTTGCCTTTACGGCTATTCATGAACGTGTCTGCATTGCCAATCATGATCAAACCATTTCGCGCTCGCGAAAGTAATACATTGACACGCTGAGGAGAAGACATGAAACCGATATCTCCACCATCGTTACTTCGTGTAAGGCATGCGATGACGATATCGCTTTCTTCTCCTTGGTAGTTGTCAATAGTTGATATGCGAAGCTTGCGCTTGGAGATATTTGCGCTAGCTGGTGTGATTAAACCCGCTTGGATCAGCTCGTGAGAATCCAAATCATTTAGGATGGGGTCGTTGTCCTTGGACAGAGTATTGACCAGTAGGTACAGCTGACCCAGGTAAGGTGTCAATACCACGATGTCTTCCGTGCCATAGCCCTGCTGACTAAGGTATCGTACGCATTTCAGCACCATCTCAGCCTCATACAAATTCTCCTTACTGGAGTTTGCGCCACCATCACGGCGGTCGGCAATCTGGATTGCGTTGAGCTCAGGGCGCGAATGTGACACGAATATGACGTTGCTTTGAAACCCGCGTAGATCCGGTCGACCTTGAGTCTTTTCAGCATCTTCCAATTCCGGATAGGTAAGTGATCTGACAAGAGATGAGATCTCAGGACGCATACGATGCTGCTTGCTGAGGGTGGTATGGGGAACTCCGCTGAGTACGAGACGCTCAAATAGGGAGACGTTAAGATTGTACCCATCCCCTTTCTCTACAGTCAAGGCATAGTTGTTGACTTTAGGCCGTAGCTGCTTGTGATCGCCAATCAGGATGAGTTGCTTCGTGGTCGGAGTCAGAGCTGTGAGTATATGGCTTTCTAGGATCTCTCCAGCTTCTTCCACTAAAACGATGCCAGGTGATGCCTTCCGAATTTCGTCGGTGTACATGGCTGCCGCCGTGGTAGTGCACCCTATGATGCGTTTCTGACTAAGTACGTGGAAGTTCTTCTCACGGAATAATCGGTCGATCTGGGCACGACACTTGTTGTACTTGTCGGCAAGCGTGCTGATCTCAGTGACTCGTTCTTCGAGGATCGTTCTGTTCCACTGCACTTGAAGTCCAAGGCGGATCTGCGGCTGGACGTTCCAAACGTGAGGGTATGTTTGCATTGCATGATCGGAAAAGACACCCGCATTCTCACCCTTGACCCATCTCTTGACTAGATAGTACTTGTCGACGCGTTTGTTCTTCTTCCCCATTACCGTCATGCCGTCTTCATTGTTGGGTACAACGAACGCATCGAAGTATTCCGAATAATCAGAGAACTCTAAGAAATCGAGAAGCATCTGTTCGCTGAGACGTGTAGAAGCAAATGATGACATTTTTGTGATTAGGGCGTCATGGTAAGATTCCGCTTCTGCCTTTTGTTCTTGGATCATGGCCCATGTTTGTCTAGTCATCTTGTAGTTGTTTGGCTGCTCTCTGATGGTGAGTGCACGGGTATTGGCATTCGACTTTGATCCTAGTCGCACGATCGAACTAGCTGGGATGCCGGCCTTTTGGATGTCGTCCAGAAATTGATCCAGAGCATGATTCGTATATGTGAGGATGAGCATAGTTTCTTTGGTATGATCGTGTAATATCTTTGCGATGAGTGCGCCGATGAAGCTTTTGCCAGTTCCTGGTGGGCCTTGAATGAGGCTGACTCTCTTTAGCAGACCAGTTAGCAGAGAGTCTGCTTGGGCCTGATCAAGTTTGATTGAATGTGTACTTCCAATGATGTTTTGGAGATCTTCTTCCCAACGGTCGCGAATGGCGTTGATGGTCTTGGTCGGCTGGATACCAGACACTGTTTCAGTGGAACTTGGGGTGAGGCTGAGGAGCTGGTCCTCCAGTGGCAGTTCGGTCAAGGACTGAAGACATTTGAGAATAGGCTCATACGCAAATACAGCAGTATCTACTTGCACAAAGCAGAGATCTGCGGCGAGATTGCATGCCATCAACACCTTGCCAAATGAGCTAGCGTCGGCCACTCGCAGCACGACGATGGCAGGTTGCTTAGCAAGCAGGTCTTCATCGCGGTCCACAGTTGCGAATGCGATAATCTTACCGTTGCTCATGAGGCAGCCGAGTGACTGATGCTTTAGTACGTTTTTGTGGTCAGCGAGGTACTTCTTGCGATCAACGGCCCTGACGTTGCGCAGTTGTGGAACATCGTCCGGGCACAGAAGTTTTAGCGAGCAAGGCTTGCGCTTCGTCTCCGGTCCGCAGTCGATACCGGCATACTTCAGATGTTCGAGGATTATCTTTCGTCGTCCTTTCTTCTGACCACTAGCGATCTGGAAATCGTTACGCAGCTCACCCAGAAGATCTTCGCGAAGCAGGCGAAATTGGTTGTCAACATGCGTTAGACCGCGGCTCTCCGGTGCAGCAGATGCGATAGAATCTGCACGTCTGTAGAAAGGATGTTCGGAAGATGCGAATTCGTCTGGCGTCGGTAGGAGCTTGATCTTGTGGATTTGAGCAAAGTCATTGTCGTGTCGCCCGCCCGGACCGTCGGTGGACTCATCGGATGTGCTGTCTAAGACGTGCTTGATCTTGTACCCTAAATTGCGAACATCCAGGGAGTCTGAGTTTATGAAAGATCCGTTGTTAGTGACGCGCTCTGCAATGTCGCGCACGTCTGGAATATCCTCGGAGCGACCGTACAGCAGCTCTAGTAACAGCCACGCGAAAGCACGCGTGGCATCGCTGGAAAGCACACGAGCATTATGTGCCTCAACGAGTGTATTCCAGAATGTAGGAGGTTGCACAATTTGTTCGAGGACGCGTTGCAGGAACTGGCCGCCATAGAGTTGCTTGACAGATGGCTCGGAGAGTCGGAACATGACGGAGGTTGCCAAGCCGTTGAGGAACGTGCTCTCACGTGTCAACCTGAAGGCGACAGAGACCGCTGCTAACCCTGCCGAAGACGTGATCAGACACTCCACACACTTCGATGCGTCTTCCTGTGAACACAATGCTTCCAAAAACCGATTACCATCACCCGCCGTCTTGATATCGCGACGGCCGTGGATGATAGCGTTGAAGAGCTTTGTCAGCCCCGCGGCTCGCTTCGCTGCTGCCTCTTGGTCCGCCATGTGTGAGGTTTGTATAGTGTAAAATATCAATTGTTGATAAAGGCTGAAATCTGCCGATGTTCTATTACGCTACAAAGGAGATCTTTGGCCCTTTTGAGCTTTCAGAGTTGGTAGAAGGAAGGCCACACCAAAGCCCAACTCATGCACGATGATTCTCTGATAACCGGCTGTGGGAATGATTGGAAGACAGTCGCAGTCGCTATGCGGTAAAGCAGCGAGCTTTAGCTGTGTGCATGCTCTGGTGACCTCTGGACGAATTGAGGTCTGCCAGACATGCATTGTGCGACCTGCAGGTTGAGCAAACCACGCCACACGAACTCAGCCTTGTCTCAGGCATCATCACCTACTTGAAGTCGGCGTATCGCTTTCTGTCCGGTGCAACATTCAGCCTTGCGCTTTTTATCGCCTGAAATCATTCAACACTGTGCCGTAACGACTTCCATGGCTTCATTCTTAGGCAGCAGTAGAGGTGGCTTTGCTCCACGGAGAGGGCGAGGCCGCGGCGGAAGAGCTCCGTTCTTCACGAAGACCAGGGAGCCGATGAAACCTGACCTTGAGACATATCCGCTTGGAGACCTTGTCAAGGAGTTTCGCAGCTCGGATCTAAGCTTGAAACCAGCCGACCTCACAGAAATATCTGGTTGTCAATATGTCGCATCGTACAACTGGCTCGACGACGAAGTACCTACCATCGTCATTCCAGGTAATTTCTCTCCAGCAGGTGCGAGTCCGAACTAATAAATTTAGGCAAACCTCCTCAATGGACACCACTTCATGTACCACAGCGCTTGAAGGAAGACAGCGGACAATACTTCCGTGACCCCAACGCCGCTAAATATCCCAACTATCCAATGGCACCTGTCGTGCATGCCATTGTGGAGACCAACCCTGAGTTCGACGCGGCGAGCACCGATCTTTTCGCATGTGGGAGCACTCTCGGTAACCTCCTGCGCTTCACCCGCGGTATCGACAAAGCTTTCCGTTTCAACGTAGAGGTCATCGGTGAAACTGTGTTCTTCGTACGAAAGGAAAATGACCCTAAAGAGGTCATCAAAGACATCAGAGGCTTCGGTCATACTTTTCCAGAGGCATACACCACATGGGAGCACAGTGTTAAAGGTTCTGAAACTCACCAACGCATCATACGATATAAGTTTGGAGGCTTGAATTGCCTTGTACGTTTCGAGAGCGATGGCTACATCCGAGAGACTCCAGCAGTCAACGATACTGCACCTGCGAAGACTGCTGTGAACCAACATGATCTTCTTCAAGCACTCCAAGAAACAGCTATCAGCCAGCCATCCAATACTACAATCAGCAAGCCGGATGCAGTGAAGATCAAACATGGCGGGTCCGCAGTATCACAGCAATCTATATTCGACCTGAAAACGCGCTCAGGCAAGCACAAGAGAGACATCGATATGAGTGACATCTACCCGGCAATATGGATCAAACAGATATCCAACTTTATCGTCGCCTATCACGATGGCGCTGGTCTCTTCGAAGACATACGTGTGCAAGATGTCAAAAACGATGTACAAGCCTGGGCCAGGGATAATAGGGACGCCATTCGCCGCTTTGCCACACTTCTCGACAAGATTGTTGACATCGCCAGGAGCAATGCGAGCAAGTTGCTCGAAGTGTATTGCTCCGGAACGGATCGATTGGAGATCCGAGTCCAGTACGGAGACGGCGTGCACGCGTTGCCTGCGGACTTGGTAGACCGGTGGGAGAAGATTGAGACGAGTATTATCTCTACCCATGATGATGCTTCCGACGAATTCGAATATGATGACGGCGGTATCGGCATCGATGACAGATATGACCCCGACATGGACTCCGACGATGCGGGGACAGAGCCAGACTATACTGCTTGTTCCGCTGACGATTGTGGCTACTGTGGAAAGTGCACATATTGAGGTTTGTATGCGGCATCAATGTGGTTTCACTGCGATGTCACAAGGAACTGAGAAGAACCAGGGAATGAAACAATGAGGAGGAATGACCAGATCAGATTGATAGCAGACTAGTATGAAGAAGCTCATTTTTTAATAAGTTGTACCCTTAGATTCAAAACCATGCCCTAAAGGTATACAACGTAGTCTGTGTTACAACTCTATTGGGAAGGTAATAGCGTATGCCTTTGCAGTCTATTCGGTATTTACCTGAGCAAGATAGAACTCACTAGAAATGAGCTTCTTTTTGTTGTCGCGCTCAAGTTCCCATCTCTTTGCTAACTCATTAAATAGCGGATCTTTTCGAGCTGCCCTGTACGAGAGAAGTTGCATTAAGGCAGGTGGAGTCTACTCAAGTGCTTGAGAATCGCACTTCCAAAACTGAAGCGGATCGAAGTACTATATGACAGCAAGATCCAGATACGCTCAAGTCTAGTCTTTTATTAGTCTTTTCACTTGTGGCGACAATGGCTACATGTTGGACTCTCGGGTTCGTGCAATTTGCTCAAATATGAGTGAAGCACTAGGCAACGCCCTTGACCATGGTCCACTTGCTTGATAGGCAGCTCTTCCCGGCTTGACATAGGAGCACCTCACCCTCTGTCGACCTCTGGAATTACCGATGCCGTACCACCAACTGAAGATCTCGACCGTGCGAAATTCACCCACCTCATTAATTTCGAAGTCTCTTCGCAAAACTCATCCAACGCAGCTACAGTTTCCCATCCATGACGCTACTCACCCTGCCACCAGAATCTCTTAGTAGGATATGTCGCTTCATCAGCTTGGAAGATGCTTAACATCGTGGCGGGCTTCCTTAGGGTTTCAAGTCCCTACGAAGTACTTGCAAGGTTATCTACCAGGAAACCCCATTCAATGCTAGGATTCTCTATGGAGAAATGCTAGACCGTATTGCCATCAAGCTGACGAACAAATCCCCCAATGTTCTGCTTGCAATCAGCAATGCTCCTTATCTCGGGAATCGAGTCCATACTACCACGATCGATTATCTATACTCAAGGTACTGAAATCTATCGTCATAAAGAAAATGCGCGCATTCCATACCTGTATCTTGAGGAGGCGCGTAACTTCGCCAATTCCCCGGAGGCCATCTACATCCTGGCGGAATGCTCGAAGAACTTCGCGAGATGCTCTTCAGTGCGGACTATGTACACGCCGGTGATGGACGAATACCCCACTGTCTTCACCGCACTCGAACTCGCGCAATATCCCCGCCCGCTGGTCAGCGTCGTGACCGAACTAGAGCACGATCGACAGTCCTGGTACGATCGATTCTTGAATCCTTGATCCGAGTCACCGCATCTTATCTCACCAATCGAATACAGAGACTATTACCATACAATCTTGACGCCGGGAATGAGGGAATACGATTTGAAATACAACGAAAATGGTAGCAACTACTCGGACTTCAAGTTCGTCACCCCTGTGCTTTAAAGCCTAGTCAGCAGACATGCCATCAATCAAGTCAATCAATCTGAGGCAGCCGATTGAGCTTGATTGAAGTTTTATAAGGTCGCGATTGAGATTGACTTGATTGAAGCTGTTTTAGAGTCGTAATTGATTAAAGATTAATGCTCTTAATCATGTTTGGTATGCGATCTAGAGCGATCTTATATAGCTACCTCTAGTCATTGTTCTCCCACTCACATATGTTGTAGATACTAATCATCTCCTAGTCAGTAAGACTATCTTCCTAGTTATGAGGAGGCTTAAAACCTGCTCTTCTCCAACTCCAGGTACATTGGATAGCCGCTAGCAGCTAAGATCCGATCTTCCGCCTGCGAGGCTCTAATAGGTCGCCAAGCTCGCTAAACAGGCGCTCACATTGACAGCTGCTAGCTAGTATAGTGAGCAGATCGATGGCCAATCGCGATAGATTTAGATATCGCGATCGCAGGCTGATCCAATACTTAATTAGATTGCCCTCCTGCTCAAACTGCTCTTTTGTCCACGGTAGCTCATATCGCCGCCAGCGATCAAGCTTATCTATCTTTAATATATCCACCTCGTTTGCGGGCTCGACGTTAACGAGCGCAGCAATTGCGTCGTTAATACCGCCTAATCGCGGCGGCCTCAGGCGCGTAATTAGCTGCGATATAGGCTTGTATTGTGCCTACAGTTGCTGCAACTCTGCCTCGTTTAAGACAATCTAGTAAGGCTTGTCACGCTAGCTGTTTGAGCAGTAGTTCTTGTAGTATAGGTAAAGGCAAGTTGCGCTATAGTAGGCGGGCGAGGCATCAAGCTTAGTGTAGTAATCGTTAGCCTTGCGCCAGGCAGCATTAAGGTTAATCGCGAGGTGATCTTCTAGAGCCTCAGGATAAGCGTTAAAGTCAACATGATCGTAGGTCCTAAGTATCGCCTCGTAAGCTCCAATTACGTATTCAAATACTAGGATAACATCATATATAGCTCCAAAGCTTCCTTGTTTGCCGCGCGCCTCAAGGCGTTTTGTGGCCTCCTTAAGCGGCTTCAACACCTCAATATACTCAGTTATCACCGCCCAATCTGCTGCTTTTAGTCCGTCAGATCGCATCCAGGAGGGCGCGTCAGGCAGCTTATTATCGCGCGATTGCGCATATGCGTCATCGCGCGCAATGCAATTAATATAAGTGTTAGCGTATAGGTTAAAGGTTTCTAATAACTAAACTGCGCGCTCAAAGGCGTCGTAATAGCTGTTCTATCGCGTAACAATAGGCTTAATTAGCTCTAGTGTTGTTTCTGTGTACAATCAATCGTTAACTAAGCGCTAAAGCGATGCGAACAGATCGTGTTGCTGAGGCGTTTTAATGTAGTTGATAATATCGACTAGTACTCCTAGCGGGCCGTCTCTTCGCCAGTCTCGCAAGTATCGCGCCTCTGTATCTTGCTCGTCACTGCTATCGCTGTTGTACGCCTCCTTGTTAAGTCCAAACATAATTGTCTAGCCTATAAGATTAAGCGTGTAAGGCGCGCAGCGGAGGCGGCGAAAAGGAGCTTCAAAGTCGTATAACTCGCTAAGCTTAGCGACAGCTCAATTGTTCGAGGATGCGTTATTAAGGACGAAGTAGCCTAGCTTAGAACGATTAATACTGAACTGCTGCAGCGTCTTCGCAACTATATCAGCAATCCTATCACCACTATAAGCGCCTATAAGCTGCGGTAAGGCAATAGGCAGGTCCCTAACGTTACCACAGGCGTCAGCGTAATAAGCAACAATACCAAAGAACCCTCGTTTGCCACCCCTTGTCGTCTACCCGTCAAAGCTAATATAGATTTAACTTATAGATTGCGACAAGTCGTTAACAACCTGCGGCTCAAGGTAGCGATAAAGCCTCATAACAAAGCTCGCGACGCTAGTACGACTTACCCATAAAGCTTCTGCTGCCTCTGGATTAGCGTATGCTATCATCTCACGGAAAGCTAGAGTCTTAAACTCACGGAGAGCGTAGTTGTTATCAACTAACCAGCTAACAGCAGCGTATCAAAAGCCTTGTACATCGAAGTTTCTAATCTTATTAGCGACCTCCTGCGATACAACAACACCGCTATCGCTTAATAATCGCAGGGACGTCTAACCTCGAGGTAGCGTAGCCTTAGCAAGCTAGCCCTAACAGTTAAGGCGGTGGCCAACTCTGTTCTGTGCCATATAAGTTATCGCAGCAGTTGTTGATAGCGTCACCTCTAACGCTTGCTTCCCCTCTAATCTCTAATGTTTATAGCAATACCTGCAGATCTAGAAAGTCCTCTGCGGATCAGCTATTAAGGCGACGCGATAACCGTGCTCAAAGACCCAGCTTTTCCTGCCCTTAAGCGTCCTCAGCGGCTTCATAAAGCGCGATATATAAGCCCAATCAAGGCCATCGTATTTATCCTTAAACCAACTATCAAGCTCGCCTCCATCGTAGCTATCAGACGCCTCGGTTGAAGCCTCTGTAGCAGCTCGTGAGCCCTCAGTTAGCAGATCGATCGCGTTGTCGGGCAGCAGGTCGCGCAGCTGCGATTCGAACGGAGCCTTCTCTGTAGCTTGACTAGCTGCAACCTTAAGGGCTTTGCGTAGTGAGGTTCGTACAGGCAGCTCAGACTGCGATTGAGAGTTGTCGTTGACTTTGACGCGTTTATTTGACGCAGCAGCGCGATCAGCAGCGCGTTTAAAGGCCTTCGGAGGCATAACAGATAGTAATAGCGCGTAAGGAGCCTTAGAGATAACAATAATAGGCGCTAATATAAGATATAGGCTGATGTTAAATGTTAATACTACGTCGCAGAGTAAGCTAGTTAGATCAGAAGGTTGCTTACTAATCAAAACTTAACACCACTAATATGTCACCCTATCAATATTATCTACTGCCTAGCAACCTTATTAACTACCTTAGAAATCGCCCTAGTATTAGTACCTGATCAATCTGATCAATCAATTCAATCAAAAAGAGGGCTTCGATTTGTTCTTAATTGGAAAAACGCTATAGGCGAATTGATCTTGACTTGATTGAGCTTTTGATCAAGAATCAATCAAGTCAATCAAAAAACTTGCTTGTTGGCATGTCTGCTAGTCAGAAATCTCATTGACTTTGAAAAATAACACTACGCGGATGTGACAGCAAACCTTGACTGCGGCTATCTCACGGATGCGAAAATATCTGGGTTAATCTGTTCACGAAGCACACGTATCTCCTTCGTATACATGAATTTGACAGACAGCGGCTGGCGCTCCATGGCCTAAGGCATCCGAAAGTGCCCCTACATCACCTGTCTCGACATGGGGCTTGGGACTAGTAGTACTCGGACCTTTGGTACTCTTTTGCAGAAACACGTCGCACCGCCCCTTACCCACAGCGCAGCGTGCACGCCGCTGCAAAATCAACAGACTTGAATAATGGCGAGTTCTTTTTGGCCGAAAAGAAAAGAGACTGCAGACTGGCTGAACGTCTTTATGAGGTACTTTACTACTAGACCCCATACGAGGAGGCTCAGTCAGATGCCTACACAAGTTACTATGCCAACTTATCACAAGGCGAGAACTTTCTTTTACCACGATATAGCAACGAGTATGGAGAATTCGTTGTATACAAAAACAACAGCAAGCCTCGCTAAGGAGAGGTACTTCAAGGAGATCGAGAAATGTTGAGCAGTGTGAAGGTGCATACCTTTAGGCGAGATTGTGTTAGGTACGACTCGGAAAGTGGGCTGCTCCGCATGTCACAGCACCTAGGGGACGCTGGTAGCATGCCGCATATCGCACTTTCCAAAATCCATAGCTTGACAGGCAACAAGAACATGATCATGATCACGATATTAATCCTTGAAAAAAGATGTGCACTGTACTTTTATTTGTAGACCTGATCAACGAACGTAGACGCAAAATGCCAATGCTAAACTCCACGATGGAAACCTCGTTTCATGTTCCCAATCATCATAGTCGCCCATCAACGTTTCCATACTCAGCAAGTTCCACTTCATTCAAATGACTCCTCGTCCTTACACTGCTCCTTGCGCTATCCGGTGAGACCATACTTTGGCGCACGAGCGCTGCTGTCCTCGAAGTTCGGGTGGGATTCGCCGACGTAGGTTTGAAGACCCGATTGCTTTCATGCCCGTAGTACGAGTACCGGGCGGGCCGCTTTCCTTTAGCAGCAGGCGACGTCGCCCTTGCGTTGATACCTGAATATGATCTCGTTGGAAGGGCTATTGCGGGTATTGGCCAGTCGTCGGTATCTGAGTTTTCGTACTTGACCGAGGATTCAGGCGACTCGTTTTGTAAGTCCCACTCTTCGTGCTCCCAGATGGGATTAGAGTAAGCTGACGAGGAACTAGATGGTTCGTCGATATATACTGACGAGAAAGACGTCGTTGCCGATGTTCGCCTTGGTGCGTATGGACGCGGGTGCATCATCTTCTCCATCTGCGGGTCGAACATGTGACTTGATGCAGTATCCCGGTGTTGCTGCCGTGGCAAGCTACGACGAAGCGACAGCATGCGTGCTGGGTTCCTTGGTGGCGGTGTTCGCTTCTCGAGGTCAAGCATCTCGTAACAGGCTTTGCCAACCCAAAGCATCTGCTCGTGCTCCCGCAGGTAGCGCTCTCCACCAAAAGATTTCTGAACGATATTGCGTGCCATCATCCCCAATTTTCGTCGATGCTCAGACTTCTCGTACATACGACGTGTGATGATCTCCACGTCCCTGGGTGTAGGTTTATGAGGCAAGATTGGCGCCGCTACTCCAGACCCATCATCAGCATATTGTGCCCACTCGTCCAGCATGGCCAGTAAATTGATTTGTGCGCGTGCCATACCGTATGCATCGTTGGGTGCCACAACTTCGCTATAGCGTTTTCCGTCATCGGGATCAGTAAGCACGCGTAGCGACGCACCAACGTCAGTACAGACAACTGGCGCTCCAGTCAACGCCGCTTCTCCCAGTGCAAGCGGCAATCCTTCCGAGACGGAGGAGTTGAGGAATAGCCAAGTGTTCGCGAGGACCATCGCTGGGTCCGCAGTGCCGCGCATCGCTACGTTTTGTCCAAGACCTTTGCAAGCCAGGATCTCCTGGCATTCAGAAGAGTAAACGGGTGATTTGTTGAGAGCGCCATAAATGTCGAGCTTGTAGTCCTTGAAACCCCACTCATTTGTGATGATGTCCGCCGCAAGTAGGGCGGTCTTGATGTCTTTCGCAAACCAAACATGAGACAGCATAGTCACAGTTGGCGTCTTCGTCTTGATCTCAGTCACCGGAGAGAACTTCGTCATATCGGTGATACCATTGACGATGGGGTCGACCTTTCGACGGAATACGTTGCGATGTATAAGCTGACCCTTGGCGCTGCCGATCTCTACTTCCCAGCCTGGATTGAAGAAATCTTGCATATCAAGTCAGCTACCATCTGCGAAATCTAGTAAGGCGTACGTACCTGCACAAGGAAGGATCTGATCGGCATGGTGCAAGATGAGGCAAGATGTCAGCTTCATCAGACCTAGCAGTGAGTTTCGAATAAACGGCGGCAACGTGCACATCGCAGATGAGAGGTAGAGGTTGGTCTCGCGCCAGGAGATTGCATGATCCCAGATCTGAAGCGTGCAGTTGCGCTTCAGCTTGCAAACAATTCCGTACGACGCTGAGACGCTGTGGTGCGAGGCTTGGAATACGTGCGGGATCTTCTCCGGGATGGGAATCGAAAAGATGAACAGGTCTAGGAAAGTCAGCATAACGATCATCTCTGAATTTTTTTTACTTGCATCGAAACCACAACTCCAGCGCCGTGTCGAAATGTCCAAGAGTTGGAAGTTCAGTACGAAACCATTCTGAAGGTGGTTGTGCGTTTGGCATGTCGTCAGCAAGCCATAGATTCCTCCAAGTATCTTTGACAATGTCGCTCGTCCAGACCTCTTTCCAGTGACGCGAGTCTTGAAAGTACGTATTCAAGTTGACCAAAGCACGTGTCGCTTGCTTGACGTCTGCTGATGTCATCGTCGTAGCACGTGCGCCGCGGACGAGAGCAGTCAAGGTAGGGATGAAGTTCATTTCGATGTCGGATATCGTAGCTGCTTTGACCAAATGATCGACCTCGCTATCTAACTTGTTGGTGAACATTCCGTGATTCGGATGCATAAAGTCCAAACCCCATAATGGTATGACCTTTAGAGATTCGACGTTTTCTTCAGTCTGGTGCTTAGGCAAGCCAAAGTCATTGGCCGATTCGACAACCATGTGCCATTTGATCGTGCGTAAGTTGTTAATGAGGTCTCGACGGCATGCCGAAACGCCGCCGCCTTCGTTTGGCCATGTACCAGTATCGACAGCGATGACGTGTAGGTTACTGTCGGTATCACGCTGTAATGCTTTGGTCCTTGTGAAAATGACTGCGTCCCCACCCTGACCAAAACTGAACAAGTCGCTCATTCGTATCGCAAGAGGTGTCCATGCACTGATGTCACTTGTCAGATCTGAGCTGGCCATGATAGCGTCTGCATGCAACGCCAGATAGTCTTCAGCCTTCATAAGGCTACCACGATCTCTTCGTCTCCAGTATGGCCGCAGGAGATCCTCTCTTCGAATTAACTCCTCGTCGACCCATCGGATCACGACACCATCTAGATCGTTCCGCTTTTTCCAAGCTTTCCAAAGTTGAGATCGGGCTCTGGATGTGGAGATCTCTTGTTGTTTGATATTTGTCCGAAGGAGCCGACTAAAGAAGCCTGAAGTTGGAGATTTGAATGCAAGTAGAGGGTTCTCGTCTGCGAAGGTACACCGTGTGGGCTTCTTGAGTACACCAAGCCAATCGTAACGGATCATATCCGGGGTATCGACCGGCCCACCATTAAGCTTCGTGGTAATGGTTGGATGGAATTTATGATCATATAGCCATGAGCATTCGTACACATCGGCTCCCTGAACGAATGTCGCTTCATGGACATGAGGAGTGGGTATCCAGCGTTCCATCTTTTCAACATGACGAACTGGAGGTGCGCACCAGCTGACATTGGCCGACATGTGTGGAAGCACGAATTCGGCGCGAAGAAGTTCGTCATCATATTTGGCGTTCTTTCGGTAATGGTACTTGAAGCGGACCAAGTTGTCATGGCTAATGTAGCTTCCAGACTCAATGTGACCTTTGCGATTGTATATAACCTTGGCACCTTTGTCCTGGCCGCTGCGGCAAGTTCTTCCTAGCGGTATCTTGCTTCTCTTGACTTTTGAGATTTTCGTCTTGTGTTGTGTATGATTCGATGCATATTCGTAGACGAATTCATTGGTCACTACACCATTCTTGTACTCCTCACGCAACGTGATGCGCATCTCTTCGTCATAATGTGTGACCCGGAGATGACCCCATGTTGGCTCCAGCTCCAAATCACCCTGGTAAAACATCAGTTTGACTCCACCTTCTTGAACAGGGTGAATGAAGGCTGTCTCTGTATCTCCGTAACTTCGGACGACCAAGCGATTCTTCTTCTGGGTTATCAGACTACCCTTTACGGTTCCGGCAAGGCCTGCAATGTCCTTGCGGCGATGGTACAAGAAGAAAGGTAGAGCGACGGACATCGCGACCCGACTGTATATCCACAAGCCCGTGAGGACGAAGGTGGCGGACTTGGCTATCGGGCGCGGTGCACGTAATAGGGCTCCGTTCAGCTCACGCTGATATTCGGGGTCGGCCATACACGCGAGGAAAAAGAATTTAACCCAGGTTCCAGCAGAGTGGTAAACATACGCAATTGGCAGACGGACGTATTCGGTAAATATGCTCAGGATTGAGACCGCCGAGCGATTCAGAACTGGATGATAAGCTTCCTGGATATCCGCCGTCATTTGACGATACTCTTTCTCGGTAAGAGTCTGATCGCCTCGGTTCTTGAAGAAGCTGTGTTTAACTATCGCCAGGTATGCACCAAGATCATATCGTGCGATACACGACAGAATTGTACACGAGCTTTCCACTGGAACATTGGCGTTAATCCATGCCATTTCCGTATTTGTGTAGGGTGCGCGGATGCCAACGCATCGTCGAAGGAACAGACGGCGAATCTCCAATGGAAAGTCGTCCCATTGGGTTTCGCAATCGAATCCAAGGCATAGATTCCGCAGGAGGTCTTTCCGAAATCCGATTTCGAAATTCAGAGCTTTTGGTCCTACGATCAACTCTGGCATTGACCGCTTGTTGCATTCTGATACGGCATAGAAGCCACAATCGCTTTCTCGGCAAGCAAGCATAGATTCTGTAAGCTCAGCTTGGTAATGCGGCATGCCGAACATGGTCTCTGAGCAAGCATGTAGCAATGTTTCGGCAATAATAGCACAGTTGCTGCTCACGTTCATCTGCCTAGAGCCAGAACCTTTTGCATCCGAAGCTATGTAAAGCGTTAAACGTCCGCCTGCATAATGCGAAATTGCCCGAAGATCGCTATCGACTTTAGCCACAGCCTGCATCGGGACGATGAAAATTCTGATGCAGTCGTTCTTCCAGGCCAGAATGATCCGCTGTATCAGAAAGGGCATAGTCGGAAATGCTTGTAAGGCAAGCCTGGAGAGATTTTCGTGGGTACATGATAGTAGTATAGCGCAAATTTGGTCGCCAGGCTGTCCAGTAGGGCACACACGAAACCTGTTTTCCTTAGGTGCGGCTCGCAGCTTGCTGCAGTAGGCGTGGAGCTCGCTCTGGCTGAGCTCAGCGTCACCATCAGTGCCGTTGTAGGCATGGTATCTTTCATCAATGGTCAAAGGATCCTCACCTCGAGATGCGACGCAGCTCAAGCTGGACATCTGGGTCGAGCTAAAGGGCTGCTTGCTCTGCCCAGGTTTCGGCAGTAGACCAGAGATCCAGGTGCGCGCATGACGCAGTTCAGGCATGCCTAACTTCGCAGTGCGAAATGAGAGAAAGGCTGCCGTCCAGGTCGACACAGCAAGAGCAATGATTTTGTTGTACATGAACTCTGGCAACACTGTGATGAGTATGTTGCCAGTTATGAAACCGAGAACGACAGCTGCTAGGAGTGGCATTAGTGCATGTGGACCGGAGAAAATCTTGTTGTACTGGTAGAGGAGTAGACCACTGTAGGCGCCGACATAAGCTAGGAATATGACGAGACCAACTGGTGAGCCGTTGAATATCCAGACTAGAGCAGTACATAACGCCAGTGCCCAAACATGGACACCAATGAAATGACATAGAGTGTTGAGATACAGATGTCGCCTGAATTTCAGATCGTTGGCTTTGGCCTTTTTGATCTGGCGTGCATCCTTGATCGAGACTGGGGACATCTGCTCAGACAACGTGTGAAGATGTTGGGCTTTGTAATCGAGTAGGACTGCTCCGATGAGGTAATATGCAAGACTAAAGCCCACCGATAATCGGAGTGTCTTGTCAAGTGTCTCGTCATCGATGGAACCTAACAATCCTGCGAATCCGCCACCAGGTTGTTGGACGCCACGTACAAGATCGAGCCATCGGTCCATGAGTGCGACAAGAAAGTAGAGAACTCCACAGTAGATCTCATCTCCAGCAGTCCGCCAATGTATGAAGGAGTTATGAAGTCGAATGCCTTTTTGCGACTGCTGCATGCTTTCAAGAGCCACCTGCGTTTCGAGATTCCAGGTCGAACTATACGGAATCGGTCTTTTAGTGTCCGTGATGCGAGCATACCAGTCCAGTAAGAAGAGTGTTGAGTCCCAACAGCCTGCAAGTTGTCTAACGAAGGTATCCTGCGTAGGCTTTTGCCAAACGTGACGTCCCTTTTCCTTCAACACCGCGTCGTGTAAGGCGGTGCGACAAAGCCCCAAGATCGCTGGCTCACTCATGCCATAGAACATTTCTTGGTCGCCGATAGATGTCTCCGAAGAAGGAGCATCGGAATTGCGGACATTTGATGCAATATTGGGCTCTTTGCTTGATCGATCTGCCGGCGCCTGATTAGCGTCTGTGACTGAAGCATCGTTGGTGCACATACCACCAGATTGTACAGCGTTTGTGACACGCTGCTCCTTGACTGACCGCTTCATATACCAATCCTTGATATCAGCATCGTTGAGTGTCTTGATGTTGTGATACCAGGTCACCCATTTAGTCGCTACGTGTCGGGTGCCGAGAACGAGCAAAGTGACGAATATGTACAGGACCGCAGGATAAATGTACATGTCATGGTCCCAAATGAATATAGTTAACAAAGGAGAGACGACCAATGTTGGAACCACGATGATGATGACTTTCCGACCGTTTAGGAAGCTGGATCCCGGAACCTGATAAGTGGAGAGGACAGCGAGCACAGTCAGGTACGTTGTAAGTCCAAAAAGGTAAAAGACGAACACCGCTCCAAGCCCTGGGCCTGCGACAGCCGAGATGACGATGAAGCCGAGGAGACAGCCGGCAAGAGTAAATGCGAGACCACCGACTAAACGTGTGAGCACAAACATATTGGCGGCTGAGAACGCCATTGAGATGAGGTAGTAGGTGCCTCCAATGGAGATCCAGGTTCCGATCGCGCCAGAGAGAAGTAACGAACACATAAGTGCGAGAGTAGCATAGTATCGTTGCTCCTTCTCCATGCGCATGCTCAGATATAGTCCATGGCCGGTTGTTGATAGTAAGATGATGTCTATTGTTGTAAGTAGGCGGTTTAAAAGATCATAACATCGGTTGCTTACCAACGAGTGCCGGAATTGCAAAAACGCTGAGGAAAGTGAAGCGTCGGTATGCAGGCATCACGGAAGGCTTCTGCTCTGGGTCGATATCGGTTTGAGCTGCAGCGTAAGCAGAAGCGAACGATGGCGCATTGAAAAGCCACATTGGGGGTTGATGTTCCTCCTGATTGTAGTAATCCCTATGCTTTTGTGATAAGAGTATGCCGATGTCGCTGGGCTTGATGTCAAAGTATGCTTCGCATCTTGATCCAAGCGCAAACAGCTCTGCAAAAGCTGCGCTTTGGTCCGAATACTGATTGAAGAGCGGGTTCCGGTCCGATACCTCGATATATACTTCCTCAAATCCAGCTTTTCTCGCTGCACAGAAGATGCAGAAAAGTACGAAGTCAGCCGCTGAATCTAAGTTTTCCCTACGTGTAAGGTTGATTATGGCAGAAGTAATGATGTCTAGTTTTTCATAATCTCGCGACCACAGTATACCACCAAGTACCTCGGTGACTTCTCTGAACAGCTCCAGCGCATCGCGTCTATCGAGCGTGGGTAGCCGAGATAGCCGGTACCATTTGAGTTTTGCGTTAACTAGTTGTTCGTCCGTGATGTCGCCGCTGATGTAATCCATGTTGCTGAGCTTCTTGAACTGATGGTACGTAGGTATGTCAATTAGCAACTCTTCGCATCGTTCGCGAACGGCTGAAAGCAAAGAGCAGTCCTCGTCCCACTCCGAATACTGCAAGTGCTGCAAGTAGAGAAGTAGATCCGAAGAGGAGAGGAGATCCAGGTCTTGTTGTAACCTCTCAGGTAGTCGTTCTGGTGAGAATGACCCAGCCGTGAATTCCGTCAAGCCATACTCAGCGAGGAAGCACTGGTATCTGGAGAAACCTAGCGTGCTTAGATGTGTATGGAGCAGAACCGCGGTGATGTCCTGGACCGACTTAGACATATATATGATCATAGATTGGGTCCTCGGCTCGAGTTCCCAAACCGCCCAAAACTGAGCACCACTTGGTGTGTGGAAGCCAGAGTCGAGCGCAGAGTATACCTGCAATTGATAGGCGTCGTCTGCATCGTTGTTTGTGCGGGCCAATGCTTCTACAAGTTTGGAGATGGCATCTCTGGAAGTTGGTAGAAATTCCAGAAAGTGACTACTGCTATGACAATAGCCACGGAGAACTTCGGCGGCAGAATGCAGTTGTGCGGTAGATAGTCGACTGAGCAGCTTCAGATCCCGTAAACGTCGTTGTGAGCTGAGGACGCGAGAGAAGTCTCCCTTTGATGCATCTAGTCCAATCGGAAAGCACCCCAAGGAATCATACGGTGACCCGTTGTACGAGCAAGACAGTGGGTTGCTGTTGTGCTTCTCCCTGACCGTGGCCCATTCGAATCCCGATGATACTGGTGATTTAGGTGTTCGTGAGAGCATTACTCCGTTCTCGTCAATCTCGGGGTAATGTACGGTATCCGTAGATGTGCTGGAAGCGTCGTCGGCATCAGACTCTGCTCCGTCGAGCCCGGCCAGCGTATCCGCGAGGAGCGGAAAGATCTTCTGCAATGGGATATAATCGTCAATAATGCTCGAAAAGCCAGGGGAAAGCTATTCAGAGTTAGCAAGAAGTTCGCAAGGCCTAGGAGAATCAGACTTACTACTCGTGCGGCTCGGTATTTCTCGTGAACGTCCATAACACTTCGCTGCTTGAGCCACTGGAAAGCTGCCAAAGGCTCTTGACAGTACGCGATGGCGTCAATGGTGGTTAGAGCTCGTCGACGTGGGAAATACGGGATGGCGCCATGGTAATTACACCACATATGCGCCCTTCTAACGACGGCGTGCGAGAGCTCGGCATCGTCTTCGATTGTATCCCACATCATCGTTACAAAAGGCCGTTGACATGCCTGGGAAACGAACGACTTTGTCGTAGTCTTCATTTTGTCCATGTCAAAGAAGTCTCGACGCTCTCCATTCGACTTGATGGTACCGTTGCGGACTACGAAACCAGCGAACAATCCAACATCAAGCTTCTCGGTACCACTGAGAAAATCTGGGGCCCCGACTTCCAAGTAGACGTCTAGACCGTAGGCAATGAGAAGCTTCGTTAAGCCGTTGAGTAAAGGTACAGAGATGCGCTCTTGCCATCCGCAGACAAGAACACCAGTGAAGTATCTTCCTTGGTCTGGCTGTCGCAAAGTCCGCCGAAGAGTCCAGGAAAGAACGTATACTGCTCGTGACATGTCCAGCTCACTATCCGTCGTCGCAAATGTGATGATCTGAGCCAGATCAAGCCGCGCGATGATGTGAGGTCCCATAGGAACGCTATCGTCGCCAACAGCCTCTAAGATTCCAGGCTCGCAGTAGTCCAACACTATAATATCCCATTGCGACAGTATCTGTGCTTCCTCTTGTGTGATCGGAGTGTTCAAAAGGCCCAAATATACGCCAAACTTCGAAGGCTTTGCGGGAAGGGTATGGGTTTTACGGACGACGCTCAAACTGTCCGATAGGAGGTGGATTCGTTCTTGCACCGATCGCGGTAAGCCATGCTCACTGTCGCTGCCCTGTAGAGTTATAAGCCTTGAGGATGTATAGCATGTTTCTTGATCGTACCTTCAACAGCGACCGAATGGAACGGTAAGAGTACCAGAGGAAAGCAATAACCCCTACGAGTCCACTCGCAATGATAATAGCGACGAGCGCCCATTCCCACCACTCATGTAGTATCGAACCCGTTTCGAAGGCTTCTATGCCCAAAATGTCTGGCTTAGGCATTGTTCCTGAATATGATTCGACTGAGGATAGCTCAGATGTCCTTGACAAAAGCTCCACGTCCTACAGAGTAGAGCAACAACTGTACGTTGACAGAGACCAGCTATTGAGCGATACGCGCAAAAACCGTAGAGTGATCCATAACAAGGGCTATAAAAGTAAGGCGGATGTAATATTCTACCGAGAAAATCAGTGATTAGGGGAATGAAGCGCTTTACTTGCACATGAGCCAGCTCATCGGCTATCAAAAGCCAGTTTGGAAACTACAGAGAGTTTCTAGATATCCTACGTCCATACAGTCATGTGTTAGCTGGTGATCTGCGGATCGCGTTAGCATACATGGTAGGTGGTTAGCCGGTGCAAAATATCCACCGCTGCAACACGAGCGGCAGTGAACAAGCACGGTCATCATTCGAGAATCCTGCAATACAGCTCTTGGCCGCCACGAATGGCATTGGAGCGGCAGTCGTCAGTGACCGACTTGCAGCGCGAAGCCTTCTGACCGGGCATTGGCAGAAGCGATGACAGGGAACGTTGGCGATGTCTAGGAGCCAGTGCCCATCTATCCCGAACAGCGAACTATGACTGTATCGAGACTAGACCAAGGATTATTTAGATCTCAACGATGAGGCGATGTCAACATAGGAGGGTGTCGTGATGACGCGACAAGAGTGGTGGACGAGGGAAGACGTGACGAGGCTGGAATCTCGGGGTTGGGTAGTACATGTCCGTGCGCGCTCATCATAGCTCTTTTAATCACGTTCGTCCGGCATAGTTTTTAGCCTGACTTCCTCTACACTGCGAATTTAATATCAAACCTCATCTATCACGGCACCTTCTTCGGTCTTGTCTCCGAGGCTCATGCAATGCAATGCACCTGCCGCAGATGAAGTCTGGGGTAGTAATTGCTTGCGCAATATGGGCAGACTGCGGGCAGACGCGTGCTTGCGTAGAGCCAGGCTAGAAGACACCTGGCACGTCGCCTACGATATTCTTACACACACTCATGTATTTGTGGCCTCGGAAAATGATTGCCATAGACTCTAGCCGTGCGCAGCATGAGCTTGCAGCGGTCCTGTCCTTCGGCTCTACTCAAGTCGGATACGCCCAGTGGCTGTGTAGGTAAAAGGCGTGGTCAAAGTCACGAGTCCAGTGATACTCTGAGATCTTTGCGATACATTGTTCTCACGTGGCAAAAGTCAAAACGCCACGGCTGTTCAGCTACAAGGAACAGCCAAGACCCTTGCTGACTATATGGCTATAAGGACATGTTACGTATGCGAAGTCATCCAGGAGTACGGCAATAAGTATTCGAAGCCTCTGATCGAGCTACGCGCCGCGTCATGCTCTGCAGCAAGTTGAGCTACAGGTAGAATTCTGACAGCTGAGGCTAGTAAGGGAGAAAATCGATAGTCCCTTGATCATTTACTGCATCCGGACCAATATCCTCCAAGTGGCCTATGAAATGATATCTGCCGAGCCTTCTTTATTAAGTCGTCCAGGTTCCTCAAAGAAAAGTCTCGTCAGCACGTTGTTCACTTCGCGTCTCACTATGGCGTCCTCCAGTCTATCATCACTGCGAGCATGCGCACTCACATGCTTCTGTCTTTTCCTGCAGCATGTTTCGGCCTACGTGGGAAGTGCCACGGTATCTAGCACGATCCTGGTCATTGCACGCGATTCGACTGCCGCTACCAATAGCGCTACACTTGGCCTTCAAGGTTACGGCATCCCCTATGAGATCGTCACTGTTCCTCAGGCTGGCATCACAAATCTTCCTTTGCTCAACTCCTCAGCGAATCATGGCAACTACGGTGGCATTGTTACCGTAAGCGAAGTGGGATATAACTATGGAGATCAGTATTACAGCGCGCTTACCAGGAGGCAATGGAACGATCTGTATGCGTATCAGACCAACTTCGGTGTGCGAATGGTCCGTCTCGATGTTTTTCCCACTGCCGACTTTGGGGTTTCCAGCAATGGTGGTAATTTGAACGATGAGCCGGTATCCTTCACAAACACGACCGGATTTACCGCGGCTAACCTGAAACCGTAAGTTTTGAAGCTCATCGTGTTCGGATCGTTACTGACGATAACGATAGTAACGTAAATGTGAGCATCGCGAACATCTACCACTCTCCTGCAACGATTGTAAACTCTTCAATGGCATGGGAATTCGCCAAGTTTTCGGGCAGTGGAACTGCTGCAGTCATCAACCAGATAGGCCCTCGCCAGCAAATGGTATGGTTTTTGCCTTTTGCCCTAGATTGGGCACCCTCAAGCAACATCCTCCAACACGCATGGATTACCTGGATTACAAGAGGCCTTTTCGTCGGTTTCAGGAGAATCTATCTTAGCACACAAGTGGACGATATGTTCTTGGAGACGCCCATGTACCGACCAGCAGGCCAGAACTATCGCGCTAAGCCGGATGACCTTTCGATGCATGTCACCTGGCAGACCAACCTGAATTCAAAGATGCCTGCAGGGTCCGAATTCTTTATAGAGATCGGGCACAACGGTAATGGCGATATAGAGGCCTCTACGGACACGAATGAGGGCGCGTCGCTTTGTAGTCCTTCATACGCAATCGAGTACCCTGATCAAAAGGACGGTAGCCCGGAATACCAGAAGCCTCCTGGTACTGGCACTAACATCTGGCCTGCTACGCCTTCCCAGTATACATGGAGTCTTGAGTGTGCGGAACTCGATGAACTAGAGAACTGGTTCGCTGATGAGGAGCAACGCGACGCCTTCGCGCACATCTCGCATACCTTGTACGTGTCTTGTATCTCCCAGCCTTGCACTACTGACAAGAAACCAGTTCACATGCTGATTTAACCAACGCAACATACTCGGACGCGTCGAAGGAGATCTCGTTCAACCAAGCTTGGCTGAAACAGGTCGGACTTGATGCTGCTCAACGCTGGAGTGGAAAGGGCATCATCCCGCCCGCTATCACAGGTCTGCACAACGCAGATGCTATCAAGGGCTGGATGGACAATGGTATCGTCAACGTGGTGGGAGACAACACGCGTCCAGTCCTTCGCAATCAACAAAATACCTTCTGGTCATTGACGACCAATGTGCAGAACAACGGTTATGCAGGACTCAACGTCATGCCACGTTGGGCTACACTCATTTACTACAATTGCGATCTCCCAGCTTGCACGTTGCAGGAGTGGATTGATACCTCGGCAGGCAAGGGGACATTTGACGATCTCATGATCAATTCTCGAGACACTGCAATGCGCAATCTCTTCGGCTTGCACTGGGACCCGTAAGCGAAGCACATTCTCTGCATCATGAAGCGATACTGATTTGTGACTAGGTACATGTTCCACCAGGCCAATATGCGCGTCAACGACGTTCCAACTACCACCGTGAACGGCAAGAGTGGGCAGTACTCACTACTTATGACATGGATCGAAGTCATTTCGGCAGAGATGATGCGCCTGTATGTATAATTTGCTTCGCTGGAGGAACCAGCAACTAAAGCTTCGCAGCACCACCTGGCCGTTCAAAACCCTCAAGCACGACGACCTTGCGCAACAGTTCATCAACCGACAAACTCGCGACCTATGCCGACCCAGCTTGACCTGGACAACATCCACCAACGGCGCCAACATCGAGTCTGTTAATGTGTACACTGCAGGCGGCAACAAATGTGGAACGACGATACCCATCACCGTCCCGGGAGCTGTGGCAAGCACAACCGGTGCAACAAAAGAACAGCTAGGCAGTGACCCGCTCACATTATGGGTGACAATGAGTGGCGCGAGCAGGCAGTACAAGTTCTCAAAGTCTATTCCGTTGTAAACCTAAGCACCTGTTTTGAAAGCGCAGCATCACTCGTCGCATTTTTCATCTTCAATGTACATCCTTCAGCAATACTCTGAGCCGAAGCTCAGTCAATCGTGTCAGCTCTATAGATTTTCCTTCTCTCTCTGTGGCTTTCACCCTGCATACAGGCTCACCGCTGAGAGACTGCGGAGTTTAAGCGGTCATCTCTAATCCCTGAACCAGCCCCACACTTACACAGCCACAGCACCAATATGGGTGAATAAGAGAACCAAGCTGCTGGAACGACTGTGCCTCAACTTGCAATGCGTACATCCACCGACCTTTGCATTACTACAGTCACAGTGTAATCTCTCTCCAACCATTCACGCGTTCAAATCGTCTGCTGCTACCACTACGCTTTCTAGTTATGCCACTTTGTAGCATATTCTTGTCAACATTTGCCTTCCGTTTACCTTCCGTTGCAAAATCTTCCGGCCGGGAACGCATTCCTACTGCGCGCCACAGCCGCAATATCACTACATGAGCGCTACTCCCTTTGCAGTTACTATCCGTCTTACATATAACAGCTTTATATTAACTACATATGCAACACGGTACGCAGCACTGCGCCGCTCGCGACGCGTCTTCTCGTGAGAATTCTGAACTATTGGATTTTGGATGGATCTGGGGACTGTTGCGTATGAGTTGTGATTGCGCTCAGGTCTTCTGCTTAGACGCGCTCGTATAGACATATGTTTTCCTGCTTAAATCAGCACGTTCAAGGTGCGACAGACAGCAACTTTCGTGGGTGGGAGTTCTAGCAAGATTCATCTTTACTCCTCAAGCAACCAACAGCACAAACACGCAATGGACGCGAACCTCAAACCGCGCCAACCATGGTCTTTACGACGCAAACTTCTTCTCCTAATCCTCATCGCGACCCTAATTCTCGCGCTCGGCCTGGGATTAGGTCTAGGTCTCACCTTAGGAGGCGGTAACGACGACGACAACGACAATTCCTCTCCACCAACACCTCTCCCCACACCAAACACCACACTACCATGGGTACCATCCGTATCTGATACCTGGCAAATAATCCTCTCCCATCCACCCATTTTATCTCCCTCAGACACCAGCACAACACCTAACGTCAGCATCTTCGACATCGACCTCTTCGACACACCAACCGAGACCATTAAACGTCTGCAAACTATGGGCAAGAAAGTGATATGCTACTTCAGTGCTGGAAGCTACGAAGACTGGCGACCTGACGCCTCAGAATTCGCGAAAGAAGATCTAGGACGTGATTTGGACGGGTGGCCAGGCGAGAAATGGTTGAGTTTGGGAAGTAAGAACGTGCGGAGGATTATGGAAAGCAGAGTAGATTTGGCGAAGAGCAAAGGGTGCGATGGTGTTGATCCTGATAACATTGATGGTTATGTGAGTATCCATTCGAGTTAATCCACTCCTATGCTGGTAGCGATGAGATGGAATTTAGTAGTGCTAATAGACGATATCAGCAAAACGAAAACGGTCTTTCCCTCACCCAAAACGATTCAATCGCATACATGGAGTATCTTTCTGATATAACCGCCCCTCTGAACCTCACACTTGGTCTCAAGAACGCGGGGGATATTATACCCGCCGTTCTACCCATCGTACACTTTAGTGTCAATGAAGAATGTGTAAAGTATGGTGAGTGCACGACTTTTGCTCCGTTTATCGCAGCGGGGAAGCCTGTGTTTCACATCGAATATCCAGATGGCGCGGGTGCGGAACAAGGATTACGAGATGATGCTGTAGGGCGGTATTGTGATAGAGGTGGAAAGGGGGAGGGTAGTGAGGGGTTTAGTACAGTTTTGAAGAAGATGGAGTTGGATGGGTGGGTGGAATATTGTGATAGGCAGGTTGAGGTTACGGATGTGGATGATAGTCTAGGGAATCATGATTAAGAGAGGGACGGAGAAAACGTGTATCGGCTCGCCTCCACAAAAGACTTCCATAAAAAAGATCATTGCTCAGCAGATTTTTTATGTGTTAGCTATCAGCTCAGTATGCGATCAAGTCCTCTCTAGTAGTGAAGCCTCTACCGACGGCAAATACGACACTGAGATATGAGAAAGAGTACGCACGTTCTACGGGCGATATGCCAACGCGGTATGGCTCATAATCTTCTCGGGTGAAGTTTATGGTTGGATACCACTCCCGGTCTTGACGAGTTTCTCAGGTTGGGATATGACTGTGATCGTCTGCATGCGAACATGTGTAGCAATCATAAGCCTCACGCCGTATCCATGCCTTCTCAGCTATGTCTAACAAAACCCATCCTCAAGGTAATACGGTGTTGTGTCTTCTGCAGCTACCAAGGCGAGCGGTTGAGGTAGTAGTCAAGGATATGACCAACGACATTGCCGAAATAGCACTGCTCCTGCAGCGATATTCTCTGATGGTTATCCAAGGCTGTGTCAGCATCAAAATGGTCCCGAGGTTCTCCAGACGCTGGACTTTCTGGCATTCCTAACGAGCTGAACTCCAACGTTCGGCTTCATTCTTCCACATCTCCGTTACCCCAGCTTCGAACCCCTAACTCTAAACTCACTGTGCAGTATGCAGTATACGTAACCTCGGATTACGTGGCTTGGCATTTAGCCGCCGCAAAGCCGGAGAAACCTTGCTTTTACACCGGCTCTTTTGCCTACGGAAGGGTATCGCATGGCCGGTAATCTGAATAGGTGGCGCGTGTGCGAGTATGACCAGCTCAGTGGCGGAATATGGTGTTACCAGCTTTTACATACTTGATGCGTAAAGCAGAAGGTATGCACTCAATCTCGGCACGGGTCCGGTTCGCCAAGATGTAGCTACCGACCGGTTGAATGTGGTCCAATATCCGATGCAGGTGGAGTGGAAAATCTGGGGCGGTTGCGGTAGCTGTGCTCGGCATTGAGCTTACTTATTCTTTTGGCCCCAATTGATATTGGAAGTTTTTTAGTCGGGTAAGTGTACAGTTCTACTCGAACAATTCTCCCGTCGGGCTGACGTGGCATCGAAGAATGTTGTGTTCTGCTAACTCAAGACTTCGATATTCTCCGCCGCTTTCGATACGGAGCGGCCCGTTAGTCTTTACATCCACATCGCGACATTCAAGGCAGGTGCTTAAGCTCCTGGCCCATGGAAAACCCACCCTCTAGCCGAAGATTTGCAAGGTGGCTGGGATCACAATATAAATGTTGCATACGATGCGAAGTACGTAAATTTTCCAACGATCGCGATCTTGAGAGGGCCGCCTGAGCCGATATTGAAGATAGTCAAGTTTGTTGCCGACCTTTTCGAATCAACGAACCCGAATATGCGTCACCCGAATCCTTCCCTTTCCACAAGCCACAATAGGCGGCCGATCCATGGTATCGGCATGCGATATGAACTTGCAAGAGTATAGAGAGAATTGTGTGTATGCGATCATGCACGTTTTCATTGCCTCTTCGGTAGTCGGATTGTAGTACACATATTGGGATCCGCTTTGTGTAACTGAAACATTAGCACGAGGTCAAACAGACTTTGCAGTCTACTAAGAGCGTTCGTCTAACGCCCTGTTTGCTCATATGCGTCATTGAGTCGAAAACTCGTACCAACAAGGGCATGTAGGTTCGTAGGCCGATGGCGTCAATTAGCGAGACCGATCACATCCAATGGCGCGGTCTCCTCGTGTCTAGCTGTGTAGCTGTAAGACCTCGACTAACCGACATCATGAATGGTCGCAAGTAACGATGCGTGTCAAAATTCGTATGATCAAGCGGGCCATTCGCTTCAGTGACCTCTCATCATTGGTGGTGTAATTTCGAGGCTGACATCTCACTTTCGGACCCGACCGATCGGAAGCGCAACGGATGGATCCTTGCAGTACAGCTAGAGCCAGATGGCGTGAGACAAGACTCTGGCATACAATTCTGCAAGCGAAGGATCGATAGGTAACATGGAGAAATTGGCGCTCGGCCAAGCACCAGTGAAGGCGGCACTACTTCGGACTTCTGGACCTTGTCGATGCAACATGTATGTCGTATGCCAACGCAGAGCCGCCGGCACTTAGCCTGGATTGCATCGCGAAACGATCGCGTCATTTTTCCAAAAATGAGATACCTCAGAAGAATGCCTCCAATCTCGAAGCCTGGAGCATCGCTTAGGAAGAGGCGGAGAAAGACATGGGTCCAAGGGATACCCAGCAGAGGTTGCATATCGAAATGGAGGCCAAGGTTGAAATAGAGTGTGCATGCAGCTCTAGTGCAGGAAGAAAAGCTTATCAGTTCGATACGCTGTAAAGCGCAGGGGTTGAGTGAGCTAGATCTGCCGCCTAAAGCGGCAAACAGGGAACATATTAGGGCAATGTTAAAGTCAGCCGTATATGGACTTTTCGCGGTTCTAGTTTCCAGGTCAGGTTTGATGGTGATCGTTGCTTGTTTGGAGGCGGCATTGTTTAGTTGCGTAAATTTCTCCTGGGCTTTCCTTGGATTCAACCGACGGCGTGGCGGACCGCTTGTGTCACAGAAGGACTTTGTACATCGCGGGCTGCCTCTAGTAGTCTCCATCCAGGCGCATCGATCAGCTCCCTCTCGAGGAATCCACAGTGGCGCATATCAGCTAGGGCTTGGAGATCGTTTCCAGCCTCAAACCAACTCCATTTACAAGGTCAAGTTTGATCGCTCGCAGGCAGTCGACTAAAGTGATCAGGACTTGCCGCGTAAGCGTTTGTGAGCCATGAATGAGTTTGTATTTTTCTAGGAAGGACGAGTATCAAAGACATGTGTATTTAGCGCAGATCAGGCGATCGATCACCTGTCCTCCGCTGTCTTCAGTTCCAAGGCTGTGATCCTCACCCCAATAACGCAGCCAAGCCCTTGATGAGCGCAGACATAACGCCATCAAGCTCGCTATAGTCTGAGCTAGCTGTTAACCAAATGCTACGGCCTACAGCCAAAAGTTGCAGTAGCGTGCCAGTCGTCTCAACAATTGTCAGATCTGGTACAGAATGCACAAGCAGCGCAAGCTTTTCTCGCTCGTATAAGACCGTCGCCTCAAGAAGTTCGGTATGCATGATCGTCCAATTGGAAAATGAGTTCTCGAAAACAACGGTCAAGTCTGGTACTCTGAGTGATGCTTCATCGAAATAAAGAGGCTCCGGAAGGGCGCCAGGATTGTGGACTGAAGCGCAATGTCAGCCTTACGCTCATGCAACTGCCGGGATTGGATGTGGGGTTTCCTTCGATGCGCGCAAGCTACTCGGGAACTCATGGTAGAGTGGATGGCACTACAGCAAGGATCCGAAAAAGCCGATTCCCGCGATCTTTTGCGTTACCAATACAAAGGAAGGTGGGCTGAGCTTACCAATATAACTGTCCTTTAGTCCGGAGCTGTCTTCAACTGCTTGAGAGATGCTGTCGAGATACGCAGCATAGTCTGAAGAGTACTGTGTGGGCGTTTCGTCGACGAAGATGCCGCTCAACGCTAGTGAAGGATCGTACTCTCCCCAGAACGAGAAGGCAGCGATATCGTCATGTACAGAACTCAAATCCCTGGTACACCACGTGGTTGCCACATAACCGATAGTGCGTACGTTGCTGAGCAAGTTGAGCGCCTCAATGGCTGTTGAGTACTCTGCATTCGGTAATGCGCCTTCACCGGGTCCGTTATGTACGTTGATCACGACCGTGAATTGTATTCGTGGAAACGATGATGCCCTTGAGATGTGGGAAATCATTAGCCATGATATGATAAACTACCACAACAGTAGAGGTACATATCATACACATCGTGAAAGTTATCCCATGCGCCTGCTGAGGGGTATACGTAGAGCGGAACAATCACCGAGCCAGGCCCATCCATAGCTCTGCTTTGAGCGCGGCTAGCTACAAGCTGATGAAGAAGTATTGATTCCAGCGGAGATGTGTTGATGGGGAGTAGACCTAGGAGACACAGCGAATGGGTAGTGACGAACGTAGATGTGTAACAGGTACTCTTATGGTGTGTTTGGGCACCAAGAAGAACGTTGACAATTACCGGGATTGGGTTGTCGAAAGAAGTCTTGCCGCATGCCCACGTTCGATTTCTTGCGGCCCAGATTATGGTATTTTGAGAGAATAGAGGACGCGGCAATGCAACCCACACGGGTACGTATAGCACACTCGGCCATGCAAATTGGACAGGGATCGTTAGCGATGCGAGAGTATATTTTGAGAGTACTAGACCTGAGGAGACTCCGAAAATGATGACTCGGGATGAAGAAGCCGCATCGTGCCAAGCAACGTAAACAATATTGACGGGCGGAGGAAAAGTCTAACTTTGATGTCTTCTGCCTAATTGATCGTGAGTTGAGGCTGTTGTTGAACGTGGTGCCACGTATAAAGAATTTCGGACGTATCGAGAAAGATAGCGCCGTAACGACCAACGAATTCACTCTTCTTCATCCATTCGTTTATTCGCTAAGTCAGCATATTTGCGCAGGATGTCGTCATTCTCTTCGATTTATTCGTTGTCGCCTTCCGTAACACCAGAAGAAGTCAACACTCCAGGCACACAGCAATCTATACTATTCGATGACGATGTGGTAGCGGATCCTCTAGACATAGATGGATCCGACTCTATCTTCATCATGGTCGTTGGCGGATTGGGATACATCGGCTCGCATACGGTATTGGAATTGCTCAAGGAAGGCTATAACGTCTTGGTCATCGACGATTTAAGCAATTCGTACGAGAACGTCCTGAGCAGAGTGCGAGCTCTTGCAGTCGAGTTCTGCGCAGCGCAAGGCCGTCGGATGCCAGCATTGCACTTCCGTCAGCTGGACTACAGAAGCGCACAGATGAAAACTGTATTGGTCAGCTATTCATCGTACTCAATTGTTAGCAAGCCAGCACCCGCCCTAGCACGGTTCCCATACTCGACCCTTCAAAGGACGGATTCCGGCATCGATATGGATATGGACGAAGCGCATGAGCCTATCGTTGAGCGACGATCCAGAATATCTGGTGTAATCCATTTCGCAGCATACAAGTCGGTTGAGGAGAGCATCCGCATGCCCTTGAGGTATTACAGCAACAACGTTTGCGGACTCGTCGACTTCCTCGCTCTGCTGGACGAGTTCCGCATAAAAAACTTTGTGTTTTCATCCTCCGCAACGGTCTATGGCGAGGGTGCTAACTGTGGATTACCCTTGCGTGAAGAATTGTGTGTGCACCACCCCGAGTCGTTCGTGGATGCCGACGGAACCGAACGCCGAGTTTTGCCAGGTGTTCTAGGTCTTACATCGCCGTATGGACGGTCAAAGTTCATGTGCGAATCCATTTTGGCAGACCTGGCTCTATCTGACCCCACATGGTCCATAACTGCCCTGCGGTACTTCAACCCGGTAATTACAATCAATATTCAAAATGGGAGCAAGACATAGCTGACAACTGCAGGTTGGTTGTCATGAGTCTGGTATCTTGGGTGAAGATCCTCGGCAGAAACCAAGCAACCTAATTCCGGTTATTGCGACGGTCTTAACGGGTACCAAGCCAGTGCTAGACATCTTCGGTACCGACTGGGACACCCCAGATGGAACAGCTGTTCGAGATTTCATCCATGTAGTCGATTTGGCTCGGGGTCATATTGCAGCTTTGGCGGCTTCGACGGCTGGTCGCACTGTGGCACCATTCCGGACATACAATCTCGGTAAGTTGAAGCTTCAAACAAAAGCATACGCCATTGCAAGGCCTCATACTGACCGATGTATAGGTACGGGGCGAGGACACACCGTTCGCGAAGTACTCCAGAGTTTGGAAGAAGCATCTCAACGGAAGATTCCTGCCCGAGAGGTTGGCCGTAGGGCAGGAGACGTTGGCTTCTGCGTGGCGGAGGTGAAGCGTGCAGAGACTGAGCTGCAGTGGAAGGCAGAGAGGTCCCTGAACGACTGTTCTGGAGACGTTTGGAACTTTACAAAGGCCCGATGCTCCGATTTGTAGCGTTCTTCTAGTGTTATTTCCAGCATAGTCTAGCATCGGCGGCATTCCTTCTCTTGTGAGTACAGCAAGATAGACAACGGCCTGAATCTGATACCCATCATCATTAACCAATCGATTAATGCGACTCGCGTCGACTTCGTGCTCTCATTTGCCGCCGTCGAAAGTTGCCATGAAGCTAATGGTGTTCAGGAAGTCGCAGCCATGTCCAGGGAGTGACGAGACCAATGTCGAGCGTTAACAAGCCTTGGAAGCTATGAGCAGGCCTGCCTCCTTTCAAATCCGTCCAACCCGTCCTTACGGCCAATCGAGACTGCACTTGAATTGCTTTTCGGCCTCATGTGGGTGGGTTCATCGCTGGTATCAGATAAGACAAAGTCGGCATAGAGAGCCAAGGCCACTTTGCATCGAGCCGAAATGCCAGACGCAACACTCGGTTACTAGGCCGCGACCGCGGTAGCATTTCCTTGACTAAAGACAGTCCAATCGCATCAGTCAGATCATGTGGCAAGCCCACTACTTCAGCTGGGTCGCTACACTCAACCCTTTCCGCCGAACGCGAGCAACGACCACTGACCCCACGATAAACTGCCAAAGCGAAGGGCGGATTGGAGCTAGCAACACGGCGGTGACGGGAATGTGCGCAGACGGCCCAGTAATCGACGACGGCATCTCCGTGTAGGCAGTTCGCGGGTCCCGATTCGCCAATCCCGCGTTTCAAACCCGACGGGCTTGGGATGGATCGTACAAGCGAAGTACAGGTGACGGCAGGATCCAACGGTGCGTCAAAGGCAACGGGGTTGTCCGGCAATGTTTGACGGTGCAATGGAGCTGCACAATACCACCGGTACATGTTGTTATGAGCTGAGTGGGGGCTGTCGCAGAGGGGCCAACAGAGAGGCTGAGTGCTCCCTTGCTTTGTGTGTCTTGCATTGGGCGGAGACGTCCGATTGGGTGAAAGGCGGTTCGGAAGCTTTTTGGCGATTCCTCTCAGCGCTAAGCTATGGGCGTCACGTGCCGGTTCAACAGTACTAGCAGCCCGCAGCCGTTGGAACCTCAACGTCTCTACCTACGCACAGTCGCAAAGCCTCGCGCGACCTGGATACCGTGGATTCTTGAAACATTGCGATTAGAGCAGTCTCAATTCAGATGCCTCCCTCCGCAATGGCGATGCCTGGCCAGCACATGACAGGCGCTCCTTCCAACATCTCGGCTGGCGTAGATCCCGCTTTCTGGGGCGGCCACCAGGACTTCCAGTCATCGGACTCCACATCGCCATTATCGCCCTCACTAGGGCTCCATCTGTCGCCAACGGCAAGCATCACCACCCGGAGCAGCATCAGTGGAAGCACTCCGCCGGCGCAAACTCCCCAATCCGACGGCGGTAGCAAAAGAACGGGCGGGAAGAACAGTCAGAAGCAGTCGCCTAACGACCAAACCAGAGCATCGGTTGCTGTCGCATGCGTCCCATGTCGCAGTAGACATTTGAAATGCGACGGCGGTGTACGATGTTCCCGATGTAGGACCGACAACGTGGAATGCACCTACATCAAGTCGCGAAGAGGCTGGAAGGGAAAGCGGAAAACCAAGGAGGACAACGCGTCGACGACTCCAAATGGTGGGTGTGCTGTCGCAACCATATTTTGATCCATCTAACACGGTCAGGTGAAGCCCCAGTCAGCAATGGCCACATCTCATCACCTGAGTATTCCTATAATGGCGATGCTGGCTTGAACCAGCTCAGCCCAACTCACGGTCTTGGCGTCCGACCTGTGGCCCCACCAGTTGCTCAGCTCAACCTAAATGGATCCGCACGTCTGAATCGCTTTGGTCATCTGGGACCGGAGACTGCTGTTCAAGCATTCTACCACTTCTTCTACAACTCACATCCCTTCTGTCTCCCGGAGCCCAGGTTACTAGAACTCTTCAAAGAACGACATGCCCCGCTTCTGGAATATGCCGTCCAATACATCGGATCTAGTTACATACCTGCTGTACCTACGGCCATGTTTAAAGAAGCTCTAGATCGACAGATCGACAGCAATAACTACCCGAGAGATGCGTGGTCGGTACAAGCACTACTGGTCTTTGCTATCGGTCTCCATGCCCATAACGAGGTTCCACGAGCAGCACAGATCTTCACCATAGCTCAAAACCTCACCCTGGAAATTGGCCTTAACCGGATGGAGTTTGCGTTGGTGCACGGAGAAAACGACCCACAGCTTGAAGAAAGTTGGCGGAGAACATGGTGGTCCATGTTCACAGCCAACGGCATGATGACAGCCGTCAACCCAGGCGTGCAATTCAGACTGAAAGACGTAGTAACCGACGTCCCGCTACCATGCGAGCAAGACCAGTACCTTTCAGGTGTAAGTACCAAACCTGTGACATCATATTCTGACATGTGTCAAATCGGCTTGGCAATGTTTCCCTCTTTGGTGCGATCGCATGCCCGTGCCGCTCAGGTGTGAGATCGTCTGACTTGCATGTCATAAACTTTTTCTCTTCACTCCGCGGACTGTATTGCATACACACCCCATCAGCCAAAAGAGAAAAAAGAATTCAAACTAACACTCCACACGCAGCAAATACCCTACCCGCCTACTCTCCAAGATTACGACGACTCGTCCTTCCTCCCCACCGCCTTCACCTTTTCCTCCTTCACCTACCTAATAGACGCCATCCGCATCCTGGGAAAAGTTTTCGAAACCGCGCGTCTCGACAGCACCTTTGAATACCATGCCGTTGACGTCGTCGATCAATACCTCTGCAACTGGCGCTTACACCTCCCCACCTCCAAAATGGAACTCATATCCAACGACGGCGTAATCGACGAAGTCCTGTTCCAAGCGCACATGGTGAATGCCGGGTCGACAATCATGTTGCATCGACCGAGATCAAATCTGGGTTTCGGAAGGGTCGAAGGAGTGAATATTTGTGTGCAGCCCGGTCAGGTGTTACTTCCTACGCAGACACGGGAAATCCACACGGCGAAATGCCTCACCTCTGCTGAGAACATCAGCTCTTTGATCCGTCTACCCGGGAACCTCCTCTACCATACACCCTTCTTCACCTGCGTCGTAGTAATGGCGTCGGTAGTCCACCTCTCATACTGGTCCTTTCTCGTTCCCGACGGCCAGGACGACATTATCAAACAGTCGATACGACTCGATGTGGGGACTTTGCAGCAGTATAGCAACACGTGGCCGATTGCTAATGTGGTGCTCGGACAGGTGAGGGGCGTGGCGCATACGTTGTTTAATAGTAAGAAGGCGATGAGCATACATCTTTGGAGTAATTTACACCAGGGAGATGTGATTAGGGGGGTTATTGAGGATGGGGAGAGAGTGCCGACGCAGCAGTATGCCCAGTTGATTGCGCCGTAAGTTAATCCCTCCCCTTGTCGAATTTGTTCATCATGGGTATGAAGACTGACTTGCTTATAGGATGTTGAAGTCGTAGGCATCCTTGTCGTCTCGTCGTCGGGCTTTCTTTTTTTCTTTTTGCTTGTCCTTGCTTAGTTTGTCGTTTTTCTTTTCTTTTTGCTTCGCTTTCGCGCCGACATGATTTGTTGTTTTGATGATTTCGCCGCGCCTGTCAAAAATGATCGCTTTTCAACTACAGCGAGCGAACCTTGCGTCAACGCTTTTCCCATCGCAGCGATATCTCCCACACGCTTCTCTGTTCGCTTTCCTGCGACTCTTTTTTCGTATCATGAGTACATCGGATATCACCTATCTCTTCTTTCTTTCGGGGTCGGGGCGGCGCATTTAACAAAATTTCCTAGCAGCGAGCAAGCGTTGTCGGAATAATACGGCGGTATTGGAGAGAAGGCTTGGAACTAATGAGGATATGAAATGCTGTCGTAGTAGTCGCAACGCCCTTGTGCGTGTTAATAGTAGAATCGAAGAGTCTTCTTGATCGTCAATCGTGTCTTGAGTCATTGAGAACAGTCTAGTTTGTTCATTCGTCGAAACGCCGGCTAGTCCAGCGCTTCATGTCGGATACTTCTGCCATTCCTCATCGGCATGCCCAATTTTCGCTAGAAATACCCTCAGCTGATATCCGTTTCCCATTCCAACTAAATCTCATCCCATGTCGTATACCCATTAGAGCCCTAGCCGTGGCCTAGAGCAAAGCTCATGACCGTTATCTACAAATCGGCGTCGTCCTCATCGGGCAGAGGCATCTGGGCGGCGTTCTCCATCTCCTGTCGGTACTGTTCGAGAACGGCCTGGTCGACCTGGACCTCGGGAGGCGCAAGAGCGGGGGCAGCGACAAAGTCGAGAGTCTGGTTGCCGACAAGTTTCCGGGCGAGCCAGAGGAAGGGCTTCTCGAAGTTGTAGTTGGACTTGGCGGAGATGTCGTAGTATTGGAGGTTCTTCTTTCGGTGGAAGGTGATGGACTTTGCCTTGACCTTGCGCTCCTTGACGTCGACCTTGTTACCGGTGAGGACGATGGGGATGTTCTCGCAGACACGGACCAAGTCGCCTGGGTTTGTTAGCTACTATATATAAAGTAATGACGGGTCACAACGTACGGTGCCAGTTGGGGACGTTCTTGTATGTGATACGCGAGGTAACGTCGAACATGATGATACCGCACTGTCCGTTGATGTAGTATCCATCACGGAGACCACCGAACTTCTCCTGACCAGCGGTGTCCCAGACGTCGAACTGGATGGGTCCGAGGTTCTGTTGTCTCGTCAGTATGCATATCGCGCGAGTGAATATCGATCAGATAACGTACGGTGGTGAAGCCGAGAGGGTGAACCTCGACTCCGAGCGTCGCAATGTACTTCTTCTCGAACTCTCCGGTCAAATGGCGCTTGACGAAGGTAGTCTGTAGTGGGGCTGTTAGCAATCTTCTACCGCCGCGGTTGCTTGCCATGTCTCTCAATCGCGCAGGCCGTCTCAATAGACGGGCTGCATCGCAGGACGACGCTTCTTACCTTTCCGGTACCACCGTCACCGACAAGCACGAGCTTGAAGGTTGGGATTGCGTTTTGTGCGGCAGTCTCGGCCATGTTGAAGATTGTTGTGGCGGGGTGATGTGTGTGTGAGAAGGGGGGTAGTGCGCAGAAGCTGGAGCAAAAAAGGTGTTAGTTGGGGTCGCACAGTATTATTGAGTAAAAGGCGGTGGTGCAGACTTACAGTTGATAAAGAGTGGGGAATGTTGCGGGCGTGAAGTGGGCAAGAAGAGGTTTTGTTGTGCTGAAGTGTTGGCGCCCGGGCGGTGTAAATCTCTTGGCGCCTTCCGCAATTTTGACCTCACAGGCAGAGGCAGCCCTTTAGGCAGCGACAGGCTTCCCTGTCTTTGAAATCAAGACACCACAATCACGATGAATGGTTAGTCATGGATTGCCATCACTAGCAACATCCGAAAGTCTTTCGTCTGTTTCATTTGGTCCCAAAGCAAACAACGCCGGATATCATGCTATGCTTGCTGGCCCAAACCAGTGCGCCACCCATCTGCTCGCCCACCAGCCTTGCCTGCCAGCTACCTGCTTGTAGCCCTAGGACACGTCGAGGCTAGATGATTTCTAATACACATATCTACATGGGCAGCAGGTGGCAGCCCAATAGCCCTCTTCCGCCCCAATTCCTCCGTGGTGTGAGTTGCATCTGAATTGTCTCTGCCGGGCCGCCCGATGGGCTGGGTCGCAGTGCCTTCACGGTAATAGGAATCTGCAACTCTGTAAGCCTTCTGCACGCCAACTGAAAGACGGTGTCTTTTGCAGCTGTGCAGCGTGATGCGACGTACCCCTTCATTCTGCGACACTGCCTCTGCCACGCGCGACAGCCTCTCGTGGTTGGTCCAGTCCACCCAGCCAAACTTGGTTATGGTGTCGCCCACTTGCAGACCTGCCGTGGCTGCCGGGCTGTCCGCCACGACACTGTTGACCTTTGCGAAAGGCGCTTCGATTGCGGCAGGCGGTGCGCCGACTTCTGCCTGTGCACCGTTGGCTGTCGCTGGGTTGTTCGCCTGCTCTGCCAGTCGCGCGTGGTGCTCGTGGAGGCCCTTCTCGATGCGCGACATGAGCTCCTTGTAGTCATTCTTCAGCCGTATGATGCGCGCGCGCGTTGTCCGTACTGCGAAGGGTCAGCGACGACCCTTTGGGATGATGCAGGCTCCTTCAGCGCTTACTCTGAGGGACGTCAATGTCACTGCGTGGGAAGCCGTCAAAGGTGGTCAAGCCGGTATTCATGTGGACGCCATGCTACAACAAGACGTTAATTGCTTATCACGCTCATAGCCTTGATCTGCGTACCGAATCCAGGACCTGGCCTAATGCTTTCAACTCTGTCTCTACTCGGTCCTTTTCAGCAATGAGCTCTTGGAGCGTTAGCTGCTCTTTTGGTATGCCATTCGAGTAGCCTGATGACGTGGGCCCGGAAGAGACGGTTGGCGCGTGTATGTCGTCCATCTTGTGTAGATGTTGTCGCAGGGTTATTGCAAGACTCTTGGATTGCTGACTACAGCTTGAGCTTAGATGTGGGGGAAGGGGAGCTTGAGCTGCCTCAGAGTGGCGCGGGGCAAAATCCGCCGGAATGGTCCACCTTGCTTCTTTCATCCCCTCACTTCTCTACCAAACTCAACAATCATCAAGACATGCGCGTGACATGTGTGCATCGCGAATAAGCTTGGAAGATAGACACAATCGACCCAGCTACCTCGCTACCACTCATCAGTATGGCTCATGTGCTCATAGTCCTGTGCAATACTCCGGTCGCTCCCACCGTCATAGTGAGTCGCGACTACCAAATATGTCTCAAGCAACGCGGCCGCCATGTTAGCTGCTCTTCATCGATGGTTCACCACTCGCCCCTAACGAAACTCCGCCCATGGCTCCCGGTAGCTTGCGCTTTACAATGCGCCGTCTGTACCCTCCCTCTAAATGCCGCCATTACCTTCTTGAAGAATTCTGCGCCTCTGCACTTTCCTTTGACCCTTCTCTTGGCCTGCCTACCCAGTAGTCATATCCAACATGCCTCATCGGGCTTCCTTGTTGCTCTACAGTTCACTTGTCTCTCCTTAAGCCATCGTCGTTGGATGCAGTAGTATTTATCTCATGCCGCAAGAAGCCTTCGTACACGTTCCTAGCATAGTGTCGACCCCTCGACCCAACTGGCATGGCATATGTATTGTCGCTCCGGCCTCAGAGCCCACTCAAGCGTTCCTTCAGCGACAATCCATACCTCAATTCCTGCTCCCCACAGAAAGACACACTACTTGCACCGCTGAGCGACATCACCGCTCGTAATGGCTCCCCGTGCTCGTTGTATTCCCTTGGCGCGACTAGAGCCGACTGGTCTCGAAGTAATGAAAACATACCACCATTAACCTCTCAGTCGCTGCTGGATCTTGTGCCTGAAAACCCCGGCTTTCCTTTCAATACCAGACATGTCGTCGAAGAACCACGCAAGCGGAACTGTGGGCCTGATAGACCACCACCGTCTTTCTCACGACTTACAGCCCTTCCGAAGCTATACCCGAGGGGGTACCACAAATCGCAGCAGATGGCGGAGTCTTCCTCTGATAGTGACAGCTCAACTGAATACATGGACGCTGATGATAACAGTTTCGAGGAAACACGCCTGTTCAACTTCTACGAAGCCATCCATGTACCGTTGCCAGAAGGTCGCTTTACCGACGATGACGGCAACGAGCCGCGTGAAGAGTACGAGGAAGTGCCCGTCGCCATTCACGTCCCTTCACAACCCTTTCGCCGGTGGATGAGTACTTTGCGACGTCGACATGCTCAGCGGTGGAGAGATAACCTCCCTGAGATATTACGGCTATCCTTCGACACTACTGATGGCATGTCTGTTCTTTCTCGACCACCTGGAAGGCTCTCTGAGTCGGCACGCAGGACTCCGGAATCGTTGACGTCTTCAATGGGTTACGTAACAGCCATGAAGTCGGCTTCGATAACCATTGGGAGCACAAGTATTGCGCCTCGTTCGGATGCGGGGCTACAGGGTAGGGTTCGCTTGGGCAACAGAAGCAGCAACTACTCCGAAGCGCGCAGGTCACTCGAAAGCCATCGCGGTGCACTGGGACCTGTGCTCGATGAGAGCGCATGGCTTCGATCACTACAGCGTCGGAAAGTCGTTGAAGAATTAATATCCTCGGAAGAGAGCTACATCGCAGACCTTAAGGTCTTGATCAACGTATGTCCTCTTTACAACATGTCAACTCTGACTGACACTGATACAGGACTATTTCATGATCCTTACTGCCCTCCCTACTCTATCGGGTCAAACACGATCATCCATACAGCAAAATATCTCCCAGATTCTACAGCTTCACGAAGACTTGCTCGCCGAACTTCACCAGGTTGTGCCTCAGGCAGATTTCACCAAAAGCGCGTACCAAGAGACGTATCCCGTGACGAAAGCCAAACACATACGTTTCCATAGCGCAGACATCGTCCCGGGGCGCTTTACTGAACACAAAACAGCCAGAAGGCTCCGACATTCTTTAGAGATCGGACGGTCACCGGATCGCAGACCCCGAGGCCTGGTGACCGACACGCAAACGGCAGGTAACATTGCCACGATCTTCAATAAACACGTACGTAAACGTGACTCCTCGATGTCCGCTACTAATGCATTCTAGATGAAGCGCTTCTTCACATACGAGGAATACGGTGCGCATTGGACGACAATGTCCCAGGACCTTACTATCATGTGCAAGGGACTGCATGGCTGGGAAGAATACGAGCGAGGTGTCGAAGCGCTGCAGAAGGTGGTGGCATCGGAAAATAACCGTGAGGCGGGTAGCAAGAAAGCACTCAGCTTTCCTGATTTGCTCATCAAGCCAATTCAGCGGGTCTGCAAGTACCCTCTACTGTTCGACGATTTGTGCCGCCACACACCCGTCTACGACGACCCGGAAGCGCACGCCGAACTTGAAAAAGCTCTTTTCCGTCTGCAAGAGACCATTCGCGAAGTCAACAAAGCGAAAGATGACCCTCAGACCCGGCGCCTCATTGAAGTCACATGGCAGTTACAAGATCGCCTAGCTTTCTCGGAGCAGAAGATATCTCGAGCTCTTGTCTTCCGCCTTCTCGGGCATGTGCTCCTCTGCGGCGCTCTACATGTAACCTACCAGACACCTGATCGTATTAAAGGCTCATACATGGTATGCGTACTTTATAAGTCCTGTCTGGTACTTGCAACGGCAAGTCGGTTCCATACACCCTACACCGTTGTGGCTTCAATTGGACTTGCCAATGCCAGCATCGAGGAATCTGATAATGGCCGCGGTATCCAGTGTCACACAGCCCCACATACATGGAAGTTCGTCTTCGAACACAGCCATCGCTTACACGAACTCATCTTCAGCGCCTGTACCTCCCAGGAGGAGGAGGTATGGAAGAAGCAGCTGCGCGAGCGTATTGTTTATGAGACACACGATTTCGTCGAAGGCCAGTCTACCATGCAGGACATGTATACGTCCTTATCACTTGAACTCAAATCTCTTGGTCCTATTTTCGGTCATGCAAACACGATAGTACGACGCATGTCAGTTCACCGAGCGGCGACTCTGGGCGCAAAAACCAACATGAGCCAAGTCATCATAAAGAACACTCAGGCGCAGAAGTTACCCGACATGCCTCCGACATTCTCGCCAAGTATACTAACCCGATCGCAATCGCACCTCTCCGCAAATCACATCTCTACACTTGCTCCACGACGAGCTGAGCGCATTCGTCTGGAGACTACATTGGAAGACGTATGGACGAAAGACATGTTGCCTTTTCCGGGTATGTCGAATCGGAGGATGGAAACTCAGATCCGAGCTTCGGCTAACTCAGTCATGCGAAAACTGAGCATGGCAAGCATTGCTAGCAATTTCTCGCGTCGCTCGCCTAGCCTTTCTAACGCGAGCAATACACGATCAGAAGACTCCTTCGGAAGCCGGGTCCATAAGATGTCAAACGGAAACCTGCGAGCTCAATCGGCGACAGACCGAAGACCTGCACCGGCAGTTGTGGACTTCCATTCCGCACCCGCCGCATTCTTGCCCACGGATTTCGAAGTAGAGGACACGCGGCCCTCGAGCAGACGCCGACATCTTGCCAGCCGTGCTATAGGCGTGAAACTTCCACTCGACAAGCCTCTACAGAGCAAGCCAAAGAAACTCCGCCGTCTTTCCACGCATTTGATTAGCCTCCCACGATCTGAGTCCAGCGCTCGAGTGACTGAAAGAACCGCCTCTCACGCCTCAACAGCAACTACGTTACGTGTACCACCTCCTTGCGTGGAGGTGACAAAGAACATGGAAAACCGGAGACAGCGTCGACAAGAAGACTACACCGCCGACTCTCGACCTGCATCTGCTGGTTTAGCGTCTTCCACCTCGAACAAGTTTTCCAAGAGCAAGAGTCGGATCTTTAATTTCTTCCGATGAGTTGAACATGCAGTACCGTACCTCCGTTGTGTCGACTCAAATATTACATATTGCGCTCTCTTTCAAACAAGTATTGAAGTGTCGGGAGAACAAGAGCAGGGCAAAGCGAAACCGGACTTTAAATTTTCTTCACACTTCACGACTGTAACGACCACGACTATCCTTGCGATCAACAGCAAGTTGATGAGATTATGATCTTGATGACTGGACACGACGACGACGACGACGACGACGACGACGACGACGACGACGACGACGACGACGACGACGACGACGACGTCCGCGACGATGATGACGATGGCAAATGTATACTAGTGATGGCTGTGCGATCAGCAGGGTTACTGCAAGGTACTCCCGCCCCCATCTGGACTACGTTGACGATTCTATGGGGGATGATCGGATCGAGCGGGAGAACGGCATGACGTCATTTGGCTATGTGTCTTTTAGCATATCGGCAGGGGCACGCGATGGATCGCGTGATGGTGGGGTTAAAGTCGGTTGCAAAAGAACACGTATATTTGGATAGTAAGAAAATCGGACTATGTTTAAAGCGTCATTGTGTCCTGTGCTTGAGCGGAGGTGTTGTTGGTGCTGTCGTGATTGAGGTGCCATCTCAGCGGCATCGCATGGTCAAACAGAGGCAATCCAGCAACGAGGCAAGGCGTAACCGTGCTCGATTCGTTTCTGCAAGAGCCGCAATGCAGCCTTATGAAACCAAGAGGCTTACGTAGCTACTTGCTTTACCTTGCCCTGCCACCTGCCAGCTTCAAGGTGAAGGGGCTTGGCAATGACGTAGCCTATTGGCCAAAGCTCATGAGCTCTAAATAAGCCCCTCCAGAGCTTCCCCTCTATTTCCCCCCAATTCCAATACAAACAGACTCCCACACACTTTACAGTTCTCCCTCACTCGAATTAAATACTCCGCTCGAGATCACACTCAAACAGCCCACATACACTAGAAAAGTTAACGAAAAGCACGACACAATGGCCCGCGGAAACTCCCCCCAGACCCAAGTCTTCTACAAGGGCAGCTCAGGCGACCAATTCTGCATCTTCGTTGAGAGCGCAGAGGCGGTGCAGAAGTGGAAGGCTGACAGCACGATTCCCATGGTTGATGTTGTTGCTGGGTGGAAGGTGCTCGTCCCCGAGCACGGCAAGCAGGGTGTGCTCAACACTGCTTCCAAGCAGCAGCTTGAGAATGAGTTTGGCGAGGGCGCCAAGGAGGACGACATCTTCAAGAAGATTCTCCAGGAGGGTGATATTCAGTCAAGCGAGGTGAGTTTTATCATCCACACATGCCTTCCCTCTTTCCGTTTTACCCTACGACCCTTTCCACCTCTTACCCTCGCGCGTATTATCAAAGGTTTATTTGCTGATCCGTTATCTCACACAGAACTCCGAGCGCCTTGGCATCACCAACGAGTCCCAGGGCGGACGTCAAGCCCACTAAACGTTGTACCTTCGTCAACACAACGACGGGCGGACGATCTTAGTCTTTCTTACGACTTTCGATATGATATCATGACTTAGGAAGGGGTGAATGGGGTTTAGCTAGCGAGTAAGATCTGCTGGCTTGTAAGGAGGGATTGAGATGACTGCTTTTGCTAGAAAGCGAGGCTGCTCTACTTTGTCCTGCATCCTGCATGTTCGATAGGCTTCTTTAATTAATGAGATACCTACAATGAGTTCGCGTTTCATCACGAGGGCGATATGCGTGGAGTGTGCAATGTGACTGCGTCTGTGCCTTTGAAATGTGTTTATAACGTTGGTGGCCGACAGCCGGAGTCTTGACATGCAAGATCAGTTTCATTTCTACCGCTGGGTGACGGAAGTTACCCTGTACAAGCTGAAAATTATCATTTCAGCATCGCGTGTCTCTTTCTCCCTTCTATCGAGATATTCTTCCTAGAAACCTCTCCATGAGCGACCTTCTTGATATCGACTGCGCCGCTGAGAAAGATAGATACAGCCTGGTCACTGCAATGATACCCCACTACTAATCTCGCTAAGGAACGCCCCGCGTGAAAGGCAACGTCGCTCCCGTCTTGCCGTCCTGCCGTCCGTCCCATCGTCCAAAGATTTGACTCCATTGACATCCAATATCAGCCACCAACGCAGTACTTGATCCTGAGAACCAAACCACGTTAGCGTAGGAATACGGCACAGTCAAAACATCATAGACTAGCATCAACTCCCTGCTACTTCTTCCTGGCCTCGACCCTTAGCACGAAACTTATTTACATACATATAGCGTGTAGTCCGAAATACTCCGTTGTCCGTCCAATTAACCATAACCAACACCCTCACATACACCCCCGACCATTTAGTGTCTGTTTCAACCCCAAAGGCTTCAGTTGGTTGCTCGATTCTGATACCTTGTTACGCCCGTGTTCTTCTGAACCACACCCACCCCAGACCCGCATCCTTGCTACGTACCTGCATGAACATGCGCGTCACATTCAAACTGTGTATTGCGGCTCTGTTCGCCCTGCCCCTCGTTTCCGCTCAAGACAATGACAGCGCCTCAATCGCATCCTTCGGTGCGGGCAAAGGCTGCCCCAAGATCGCCCCCGGGCCGGTGAGCTTCAATTATCTGGCGGGGCAATTCACCCCTCAAGCTCTTCCGGACCCAATTGCGACGGAGTCTATTCGTCAGACCCTGGCGCTCTACGCCCTTGCCATCGATGGCCGCAACTACGAAGTCCTGAGGAAGGTCTTTACTAATAACGCCCGTGCCAATTACTCTGATCCCATCGGTGAGTTGAATGGTGTACAAGCCATCATTGATACCCTGGCACCCAGTCTCAGCACCTTCGTGTCTACCCAGCATCACCTCGGCACACAATTGATTCACATCTGCGGTCTTACCAGCGCTGTGTCTGTCACGTACTTTCAGGCTACGCACTACTTCACCCCTTACACTGGCGTTGGGAACCCTGTGGACAATAGCAAGGTCTTGATTGATAAGGCTCAGTATCAGGATACGTGGGCCAGACAGGGGGATGGAAGCTGGAAGATCACCAATCGTAACTTGGTGCGAATGGTACGTTCTGTGCTTTGTGTTCGCGACAACTTTGCATTCGCTAACTACGTGACAAACAGGGTCCTGCTACATTAGACGGTGGCTTTCCTACTTCGTAATCTGTATTAGCATATGTAGGTCAAGATGTCAAAGTCTTCATGTAGAATATAGTACACTTAACCTCTATAGGTTATATGATTTCGAACTGCGTTTGTCAAGTTAGTACTAACGCTTTTGTGCTAGATTAAGTAAGAAGAATAAACGAATCAAGACTTAGACGTTGAATACATAGATCCCAGATGCTCTTACAGGAGCATCTACGCACAATGCGCCATCTTTTGCAATGAGAAAAAAAGTCCTAGAACGGGAGGTACAGGTGACGGAGATAACAGATAGAGTAATTGGCGAGGAGCATCCTTCCACACTGATCAGCGTGGCTTGTTGTGGCTACACGACTGATAGCTTCAAACCGCCTCGTCCTCCAGTTGCTGGGGAACAATATTTCGCTACACTCATATGATCTGCCCATGCTCGCGATAATGCAAGCTCAACCCAGAACGCCAATGATAGACGGACAGTAGCCAATTTAGGCTTCTCATAGATCACCTCAAGGTCATCCGGCCAGTGCTGGATTCCGAACTCCAATGCCCTATCGAACAATCGAGAGTCCGAATCATTGTCGGGTTCAGAGTGCGTATCGTTATCGGTAAAGTTGCTCAACTTGGCTGGTAGGTGGTAGTAATCGAATCCAGCTTTATTCGAGCTCACACAAAAGGCTAGAACCCAACCCTTAGGCATATAACTATGACAGATCGAGCTTACCAGAACAAAGTATCACGTCGTGTAGGGAGCTTTCTGCTTTTTGTCGAGAAACGCTTTATTCGTTTGAGTCAATCTGGAGATGTCGAGTAGAATAGGGTCTGCAAAGAAGATAAAACCCCCCCTCTGGGTAACATCCTCGGTCCAAACTTCTGCGTGAACCGTTTGCAAGAATTCAAAGCTCAATGTTCGCCGGTCGATACTCCATGGTTTGTTGTTGGGACGGAACAATGCCCGGATCACGATCGCCATTGAGCAAAAGGAGAAGGTGCAGCAGTTGCATATCCTCCACAGTATTTCCTCCACGGATGCTTCGTAATCGACTCTGAGATCCGAGCCCTCACTGCATAGCGCTAGTAGCGAGAAAACACGATCGCGCGGAATTTCGCATTGCAGCTCTATAAAAGTGTCGAGAAGATATATTAGGCTCCCGCCGGTGAAGCGTTCTGGATTTCCATTCAGGTATGTTAGTTGTCGTAAAAGATGACTGTGACTTGGAACGGCGAAGGCGAGCAATCTCGGGAACTGTTTCATTGGTAGCTCTTCTTGCTCTGCCATCATAGTGAGTTTACGCGCAAGAATGACTTCCTGAGTAATCCATGCCCGGCTCCAGTATTTGTGGTTAAAGAATATTCGTACGTTTCGCTGTTTACGATCCACAGAAGAACCATTCGAGATTTGGCGAAAGAGGCCTACTATATCGAGACTCCTCCCTAGCCAAGACACGACTCTCTCCGCACGGGAGTATATGAGACCCATCTGCTGCACCTGATGCATTTTCTTCACAAGATTCTCCTGATGGATACATAACGCATCAATCCACAGCCAACCGAACGCCTTCTTTCTGGCTTGCTGCAAGAAGTCCGATAGGTTCGACCGAACGTGGTGCAGTTGCTCGTTGATCATGACGGGATAGCCGTTGTCAGGCTGGCCCCATACGTAGGACAGGCAAGTGTAGACATTGTCCACAGTCGCGTCGCGTATTTCGCATCAAACGAGCCCGGTAGGCGACAAGTCTGGATGAATTCGAAGCAGTCGGATGGACCACGGAGAAAGATCGAGAGAAGTGTAGGTAAGAAGTTCAGCCTCGAGGTCGGTGCCTGGAGCGGACAAGCTCATGCTGCTACCAAGGCCGGACAAAGCCGTCTTCTTCTCAATAGTATTTTGCGAAGTCAAGCACGTAATATGCTGTGAGGTGCAAGAAGAGCTCGAATGATGGATAGACGTGCTGTAGACGAGCCCAGAATTAAAGCGCCCGCTGGAGTCATTTCCTCAGCTGCCAAGATTGTGCGCCGCCTGAGATGCGAGGCCGGTATAGCTTCGAGACCTCGCACACGTGACAGCCGTCCCCGCTACTTACCTACCTACATCCTGTCTCATATCATGTTCAATTTTACGCAGATATACCGCTACGGGCTCATTTGCTGCTGTTTTACCATGGAGAACTTCGCTTCTGCACTTGGTGCGCATGATTCTGCGTATGTAGATGTCGCACATGTCGAAGAACTCACCTCAGTACTACCAAGTTTGCGATTCTCTAGAACAGCGTGCTATATCTCTCGGAAATGACGAATGGAATTTATGTTCTCGCGTTGTGTTGTTTGGAAATTAAAGAGGTTATGTCCTTGACAGTGATGGTAAGAAGGCGGTACGTGGTATCGATTGGCTGTCTGAGGGTGGCGGCCTCGGAAGAGTTGACGGCTATTCGTACAAGAGCTATTTTCCCATGAGAGGCGTTTGTGGGTACACGGTGATGGTGTACTATGGGTAGCGTGAGACTGTTTCTTGTTTGGACGTAGGGTTCGTTGCTCATGGTCCTTCTCTTCGTCTCGATCCATATTTCGGCGATCTGATGGTTGTAGTTACGGTAGTATACTGCAAGAATAGTGAATATCTGTAAAACTCGCGATAACAATTTACTATAGATTAAGAGATTTACTGTTGTTTGGAACAAAGAGGAGTTGGTGCCTCTAATACAAGCTGCTGCCGGGTAGTTGTATTCGCATCCAGTGTTGAAGTTCTACTTTGTGTGCAAGTGCGTGAGAACAACTCATGGCTTTGACATCAAAGTCCATGATGCTCGTAACCTATCTCGAACCGCATAGATGCGGTTTCTGGTAAATGAATTGTACAATAGCGGTCATGACTCAAATGTGGGTTGCCACACGAGTGCCTAGCGTATCATCGCGGTTAAGGGTCGTTTCCATATTCGACCGAATACGGGAGGCGATGGTCTTGGTGAAGTTGCACGCCGAAGTTGCAGCCCTAAGGACTCGTCTAATGGAAGCCTAAGCAGAAATCCGTACGAAGGACCGATGGAAGGATGAGTCGTGCCGAGGCTGAGCCTAAGGGTTCTCTTGATGCTTTGCGACTTTTCGATGGACCAAATGAAGTGTCTGACATGTAAGCTGCCGTGAAACCTGTCAGGCGCAAGGCGCAGTGCTTGTGCTCGTGCTCTACGTATGCGCAGTGGTACCAACACTTCACAGCGACACAAACTCCCTTTCGCAACAACAGTGCAACCCCCAGGAGAAAGATTATTATGCGGCCCGGTAGATCGACAACCACCTGCATACCGTCATGAAGCCAATGGTGGAGCACCGGAGATTCCGATATAAAATATCCATCCTAGCATGTGCAAAAATACGAAGTCACGTAGAAGCTGCCAAAAAGAAAAGCGGGTGTGCATAAAGTCGCAGTCCTGACGCAGGGCAAAAGACGCCGTCTGTAGAACGGCGTTGCGAGGCTGATAGACCTTTTTGGCGTGACGGGGCACCCACAATTAGAATTCTTCCAAGCTTCGGCCTTCTTCGCTTGTAACCTCGAACTTCTCCGTACGCGGACAACGTCATTTGCATCGCTGCTCAAACTCCGTCGCCCTCTGTTAGCCGTGATACGAAACGGTCATTACCGATGGCGATCCCTGCATGCATCGCTGGCATAGAGGCGAAAGGCGACGAGGGAAGTGGGATAGCAGCCGCGGAGTGAGTAGTGATGCGACAGTTTGGCTTACTTCTGAAGCGAGACATGGCAATTGGTACACATGCGCATGCTACATACGACATATGTTAATATAAGAGACGGATAACCGCATGGATGAAAGACACCTGCCAGTTGTAGCGCACTGCTGTGAAAGCCGGTTTTCCCCTCGAATCATGCTCTTCAACTCGCCCGCGACGGGGGCGTCGATCGCTCGTATCGCGGCATGTCACTTGAGCGCAGTGCGGGAGCATGTATTCATTCTGCGCCTCCAACAACTTCAAAATGGTGTGTATTCCGCGCGCCGTCAAGCGTCGACCACGTTGGTTTCAGGATGCGTGGCTTTGCGCAAGCCACAGTGCGTGACAATGGGGCCTTTCATCGCAACCTTGAGAGCGATACGGAGGAACTAGTGCAGGGGACCGCTAAATACGATGACCTCACCGTGACCCGCCAATCCTTCGGTAACTAAACGAACGGATTGTGCGCAGCCGAGGGGGCGTATGCATTGTGGAGATGAGAGTTTAATCTGACGAATGAGGTGGATCTTGCGTGGACTGGTGCTTCGTTTGGTGTATACCCAGGATGGGAGGACAGGGCTTGGATGGCGCCCGAGAGGCTTCCGCACAGAGTCGTGTGTGCGATCATCGTGCAGTGCCTTTGCCTTGTCTTTGACCTCGCTGGCCTTCTCCACGATCTTGTTCATTCTTACACCTTTCTCGCTCGTGTTTCGGGACTTTCACGCTTGCTTTGGCTCTCACTTCACTATTTCTGAGCGTGCTCCACTCACGACACCTGCCTTGTGATTCACGACCTCAACTGCAAGGATTTAATTGAGGCGTCAAGGTACCGCTTTTCACCGAGCCAGGGACCCATTCTGGAAAAGGCGCATCATGCCTACTCTCATGTGGTTGCGCGCTGCTGCTGTCGCTGCTCTCGCGACACACGCTACTGCCCAGAAATGCTGTAGGTGTACTTGATCTCACTGATGAGCAATGGCTAATTGAACAGACTATCCCAATGGCGTAGAAGCTGCAGATACAGAGAAGCCATGCTCGTCAGCAGAAGGTTCTGCCTGCTGTCCGGACAACTGGGAGTGTCTCGACAATGGTCTTTGTCACTATCCGGCGAACAACCTGTACGGCCGATACAGCTGTACGGATCAGAGCTGGGAATCTGAAGGCTGTGCCTCAAACATGTGTACTTACAGTAAGGACATTGTTCTGCTACGGAGGGCGTCGCTAAACGTGAGCAGATATGAACGCTGTCGGCGGCGAGTCGATAACACAGTGCTCCGATCACGACAACCAATGGTGCTGCAACGCAGACGCCCAACATGTTAATTGCTGTAAAGAATCACCGTCACCACGTCCTTTCTTTGCGCTACAAGACGGAAAGGCGTATGCGACGATTGGTGGCAGCACAGCGACAACCGTACCCAACATCGCTAGTATTACCGGTCTGGCTGAGAGCGGTAGTGGCTCGGGAGGTGGAAATTCCGCATCGCAGACGTCAGCGCAACGGTCCTCAGCTGCTCCATCCACGACTGACGATTCGAATTCGCAAACTGCAACGCCAGACTCTGTCTCGACTACGCCTACGCCCTTTAGTTCTGTCGCGACGAGCTTTTCTACTGGTAGTGCGGGAGTAGTCACCATCGAAAACACCGTTCTTGTTACCCCAGCAGCGACGGCCGGTTCAAACAACGGTAATGCTAGTAGCAGTGGAGACGGGGACTCTAACGGTGGATCAAGCTCGAACCTCGGTCTTATCATCGGTTGCGCCGTCGGCATTCCCCTCGCACTCGCTTTAATCGGTATCATCTTCTGGCTGCTACGAAAGCGCCGCCAGCAGAAAGCCAACCCCTACAAAGAAGCAAGCGAAGTAGAAGGCGACAGCCCAATTGTCGGCGGTGCAGCAGGAAAACTCAGTAAGAAAGAGACATACCGAAACTCGAGGCCCGCCACCGCAGAGATTGACGGCAACCCCGTTGGAGCTGGACGGCCGAACCGAGTCTCCGAGCTCCCATCTGGAAACGGCTTTGAACCCGGGCAAGGCGCGCCATACGGACCTGATGCAGTTGGTATTGGTGGTGGAAACGGCAATCGTGCAACCTGGGAGAGCCACCCACCCCAATACTCACCAGCACAAGCAGCTTTCAGCCATCCCGATGCTGCTGAGCTGCCCGACACGAGTGTGCATCCAGCTCTTAATGAAAAAGGGCAACCATACCAACCGTATAGGCCACCGCAACCTGTTGCAGAGCTGCCATCGGTTACGACTCCGCCCGAGGATCTGGAAAAGCAGATGCAACGGTAAACAGTCTCTTTGTAGGCGGGCGTTTTTTGGGAGCACACATAGACGCATGATATGGCTATTGCAACAACTTCTTTTTTTCAAAACGTAGGGAAGATACCACGCACGAGATTTGTGTATAATGAGTGGGGTTTCGATACCTTCAGATCTAGATAGGAAGATACCATTCTAATCTTGTAATGCGGAATTCATATGACTTTGTTAAGGACATCCTTAGTAACCGGTGGCAATCCGTTACGTGAAAGAATTATGTTCAGTTTGTTTGGAGATATCAGCCTCTCGGAAAAGGGAGAGTGCGAATGGGGGAAGGCGGTGTGTGGGGAAAGGGTAGCGAGTCATGTCTCTCAGCGGCATGTCGTCAGCCCTTGTGCCCTTGAATCCGGAGCTACGGGGGGCTCCAAGATACTCAAGATAACCGCGTCGCATCCACCATTGCTACCAACACATAGATTATAATACTCGGCCATACCTTTCTGCTTCCTCCTACAGTGTTCAGCCTTGTTCAACAGCCATGAAACACCTCCCAGACGAGCTCATCCTCCACATCATCTCATGTAGGTACCCGTCCCTGTTACGCGCACCCCCCACCCTAACCAAACCGCGCCCCCAGACCTCGAACCCTCGGAACTCGTCAACCTCCAACACGTCTCACGCCACTTCCTCAACCTCTCCCGTGACAACAATCTCTGGAAGTCCCTCTGCTTCTCCCACTCGGCCGCCGAGCGCCGTCGCCGCCGTCTGGAAATCTCCCCTCCCGATATCGATCCCCGCCTCGCCGAGCTCATACGCGCCGCCGATACCCTTTCCAACACCTTCGATACCTCTGTACACGATGAGAATGCTCCGAGTGCTGAGTCACAAGTTGAGCGCAATCAGGAGAAGCGGAGGCAGGCGTTGATCGCGAATTGGGATCCTAGTTATCCTGATGAGACGGTTAATTGGTACCAGGATTTCATACAGCGGCATGCGGAGCAGAAGATTAGTTGGTTCCAGGATGCTGGGAGTGACAAGGAGAATGATGAGGGGAGTCTAAGAAGGGAGGCTACCGGTGCAGGCATATTGTTCGACAACGATGGCTTGGCAGATAAACTTGTCGCTCCTCTCGACGACGGCAGTATAAGCATATGGGACGCCTCAGCCAGCAGCGATCGACAAGGAAAATTGATAGCGAGAAGCGACATTGGATTGCTTCCTGGCAGAGGCTCAGATTTAGACTACGACACGCGCCTCACGCAAAGCCATGCCATCATGACAGAAACAGGTGCCGTGGAATGCGTGAGCATCGACAGCAAGCTCCACAAAGGCTTCTTCGCTGTGCAAAACACTCTGAACGAAGTCGATCTCAACACCCTTCAGATCGTGTCAAGGACACCGTACCCCTTCCCCATAACCGCCCTGAGCGAAGCACACCACAACACCCCCTTGACAATCGGAACGAACTGGACTCTGCATCTCCACGACTCCCGAAAACCCCCTCTTGCGCCTTCCTCAGTACATTGCGAGCTCATCGGCGGTGCTACTCCTTCCATCTCCTCGCGCCTCGACACGGGTGACCTCCACGGCCACGTCTCACTCTCCCAGCCGGGCGCGCTATCCATCCTGCACCTCCCCACCACACGCGACTGGGATGGAAACGGCGATATCTGGGTCGCGGGCCGCTTCACATCGATGTTGAACTTCGATCGTAGATACTTCCCCCGTCTCCGTGGTACCGTTCACTCCGGCGCAAGACTATCTTGTTTAACAGCGATTCCGCATCCCTTTGTGCCCATGAGTTTGAGGCTGGGAAAACCATACTCGAACGCTGCGCTACTCCGAGAAACAAAGAGCTTACCAGGGTACACTTTGATCGCCGCGGGTGAATACAAGGGTAAAGGGTCATTGGAACTCTACGGTTCATCAACGGAACCCACACGCAGTATTAATTCAAGCGATAGCCGCACAACGACCGGTAGTAATTCGAATAGTCGTTATTATCAGAATCGACAGACGGCTAGTAGTTCGAAATTACTTTCCGTTGCGCCTCAAGGTACACGACTGGTTTTTGCCGACGGGGATGGAAATTTGAAATGGGTGGAACGAGATGGGTCGACGCCGGTTCGCCAGTTTAACATTAATGACTTTCAACGCTGTTCCAACTCTTCGGATATGGATATGGCGACGTCGACTCATCAACACCACCACCACCACCATCACCATGGCAACCTGGTAAACGCGACTCCGGACTCGGAAGCTAGCTGGGGCGATATTGTGCAGAAAATTCTGCCCACGACGAATCCTTCTTTACTTGCACCTTACGCCCCTTTGTCTACTACCGAGGGGCTTGGTTTGAATAACCTTGTTCTGTGGACTGGAGATGGGAAGTTGGGCTTGTTGGGCTTTGGCAGGGAACCACCCATGGCGAGGGATGTTTTTGAAGATGCGCTGGAGAGGCAGGGTGATGATGGTGGAGGGGAGAAGCTGAGGGAGAGACAGTATGGAGTGGAGATGAGGAGGGCGCTTGAGTTGCAGGCTAGGGAGCTAAGGTGGTTGAGGGGCTATGGACTTTAGGGGGTTAGGAGGGTGTGGACTTTGTGGCTATGGTGTAGAGAGGAGCTAATATTTAATTTAGAGTTCTGTTGACCCTCGTTCGAGTATACGAATCTTTTTAGACTGCTGATCGGGATGAGGTCCATTCTTGACGAAACAGGATTCGATATCATGTGGTGTCCGAGAGGTGCAGTTTCTCGTACATGCCGTAATACACGCACACTCGAATGACATCGCTCAGTGCAAGAAGCATGCGCCATCCACGCGACAGGTGCCTGGCGGACTCTACAGAGCCATATAGAACCACCGCTCCCCTTCAAGTTATAACTGCCATCGCCGCCTCAACCACCTCCCACATCATCACCAAAAATTTCAACTGACTGCACATCCACCTCCGCGATGGCCACCCGAAAGACCGTTCCACCTTTTACTGTCAATGACTCGAAGCCCGCTGACCCGAACAAGCCGTTTATTCTTCGCGATCTGCCAGCGGAAATTCGGAATCAGATCTACGGTTACTTGGTCGAGCATCCGACGCCACTTCGTATACACTGCAACAGCAGTGGTTGTTATTGCATTAGTGATATACGTCTTCGAATCGACCCGGAAGTACAGATTTCTGTGGGCCTCTTTGCTTCGTGTCGGACACTATATCGCGATGCAGCTTCCGCCTTCTATTCTAACAACAACTTCACCATACAGAACGAACAACTCTGGCCTCGCACACGCGATCATTGCGATCCCATGGAACTACTTATTTCAGTGTGGCGTCGGCCTTCTATGCGAATAACACGTTTCTTATCACCCTGAAAAGCAAGATCCGGCGGCTTACGGTCCCTGACCTCCCACATATTTTTATCCAATTTCTCAAGAGATTGGGATCCCAAGCACACTGGATTCGCAAGGTCACTATTGATCTTGAAAGGCTGTCTTTAACGGACTACTATGACTTCGTTGATGGCCGGGCTCCACGCAAATATTGCGGCTTCGATATTTGGCCCCTATTATGTATCCTATGGGACCATGACCTTGCTGTGGATATCACTTACATCAATCACGAGTTCACCCCCGGGCTAGCTTTCAAGGCTTCAGCAATCGCTCTCACCACCCATTGTCTTCTCGAAGGTCAACTGATGATGCTTAAGGCATCTCACATCCTGACGGGTGCAGTATTCATCGACTACAATGGTTCTGGTGGCGATATCGTCCTGAATAGAGTTGCGAATCGTTGTGATCATCGGCGGTTCGAGCCCGATCCCAATCAATACCATAGCTTCGTCGCTGAAGATGGCGGACGACGGCTTGCTCTAGTACGGCCAACACCTGGTACCTGACTTAGCCTGCCCAAGGATGTACTCCACAACATCGTTTGGAAAGTGGTTGAACATCCAGGAGAACTTCAAATCGATCTTGATGTCGATACCAAGCTTCCACTCAGTCTTCCCCATGCCAACAAGGAGCTCTATAGAACTCGTTGGCGTGACTTGCTAGAAAACACAGAGTACACCTTGCGCCTACGCTCGACAGATAAGCGAGGTAGATTTTCCAACTTCCGCAAACTCGCACGTCTTCTACGTCACCAATTCACTTTGCCCATAGACCCAGGCTTCCCTACGGACCTTGCCTGGAGAGAGCGGTCGGTTCCGAGAGAAACGTGGATGCTGAAGGATGTATCGAAGCTCAATATTGTGCTAGACTTCAATCTAGTAGAACCAACCGCCTTGGAGGACTTGCGCATCAGTGTTATACCCTTGCTCTTGGAAACATCCTCGACTCCGGGAGTTAGCAAATTCACTATCCGTTCATTCGCTGCTGATTTAGGTGGCCAATCACTCGTTGCGGAACGCGCCATCACCCTCCAGAAACTCCGTATGAACATCGTTATGACAATGATGGTTGACGTTTTAGAGTATGACCATCCCATCGAGACCTTGATCTGGATTAATGGACTAGGAGATGTTGTCGAGAAAGAGATTATACCCATTCGCGCAGGCACGCGAGATTTTGATTACGAAATCGACACCGCATCCACGATAAGCTGGCATAATAGATGGTATCAGGTAGCTTCCATGCACCCAAAAGACCGTCGATACCGCGGAGAAGTGCATTCATGTACATGCAAGTTCGAAGACTGCATGCAGTTTTTCCCATTCAATCATTCTGCGTCGCAAGTATTGCGCTATCTCACGTGGGTGTTGGACGTGTACAGCCCTACATCATATATACGACGAGAGGTGTACGTGTGCGAGCTCTCCCATGAACAAAGATACCCGCTGACAAGTAGAAGGGTTTTCGATAAGTCCTTGCTGAGGTGTGCATGCTATGAGGACGAGTGCCACCTCGCTCAGATGATGAGTGACTTGTGAGGACTAGGACAGGAAGATACCGTAGTTCGACATGATGAGTGCGAATAGTGGCACTATCACCAAGCAGACCATAGGGGTTGAGGAACAACTTCAGAACAATGAGGCTGTGCCGATGTGTTGCGCATGGGGTAAACGACTTCACCGTCCGATTAGACATGTACAGTTGCGCGGAACATGATGAATTCTGTACACTACATCTTGGATGCCTGGAGAACACTTTAGCGAGCTGATTCATGTTGTTCAGCATGTGCGGCCAGTAATAACACCCTGACGCCAACACTGGGTGAACATACATATACATCTTGCGGCACCTATCAAGGCTCGACATCAAGCTCATCCCCTCTAGACTCAATCCTTCTTGACGCTCTCATCCTTAGACTCGCCCTTCTTCTCTTCTTCCTTGTCGCCGGATCCGCTGCCACTACCCTTGTAATGACTGCCCTCTTTTCCTGGCTCAAAAACTGTGTTACCTGACGCTAGTTCAGAATGCATGTCTACAACGTCAAGCGCGTATCACGTACAGGAAGCGCAATGCGCCCAAGCACCGTCTTTCGTCAAATCAGCCCCTGCGTCACACTCTGGACACCGAACCATGGCAAATCCTTCAGGAAGAATCTTGGTGGATGGAGAAAGATAGAGTTTAGAAGGTGGTTGATAATCAATGTTCGGATTGCCATGTTGCGATAGAGTTTCAATGCAAGTTGTGCAGCTGCGCTAGGGTGAGGGGCATGATGTCATAGACCAATGAGATTTCGCGGAGCCTCTTCCTACTCAACGGACTTCAAGCCGCTGTATTCTTCTCAAGAGTATGAGGTTCGCGGGAGAAGGCCCGAAGTCGGGCTTCTATTATTCCATCTGGTGATTTCTCATACGGTGGCTGAACTGGCGTGTAACAGACAACACGTAGCGTGAACGCCAGCGGACCTGCAGTATGCAAGAAGAATGGCGCGTATGGGACTTTGGTTCTACATTCAGAACTTGTGGATGTTACCAGATTTTGAATCCTATCTTCGTACCAACGGTTTGCCTGAGCTATCGATACGAGTCATTTAGCACCCAAACTCTCCTCCACCGTGCTGTTCCGCCCGTCGTTTCGTCCAATCCCCAGATCCTGCATTCCAAGGTTCCCAACAACCACGTACATCCCTCTTGCGCAATACGATCACCCCACATCATTGACTTGCACTAGGACTCTCCGTCCTCCAGGATGCTATCACGACTCAGACCCTTATTCCGCGCTTAATAATTGCGCTCAGCCGCAAATCCTCAGATCATACCACGGCCGCGTGCGGACACGGCAAGCACGTACTGCCGCTGAACTAGGACCAGACGGCAATGCTGCCTTGGACCGATTGGCTGGAAGTGCGAAGCGAAGTGAAATGTTGAGTGGCAAATCTCTCGTTTACGAGACATGCACCTTATTGCAGTTGCAGTATACACACAGTAGCCGGGTGTGGCTGTGGCAATGCATTATGTTCGCGTTTTGTTTTTCCCGCTCATGTGGCCCCTGAATTCGTTGTAACATAGCAAAATCTGGGGTAAGGCTCTGTAACATTCACAGTTAACGTGCAGCGAGAGCATTAATTCGCTCGTGGAGCGGGACAGGTTCAGGGGCAATCCATCTAGCGGAACGAAGCCATTGCTTCAGCTGCCCCGGGTTCGTGAATCATGCCACGCGACTACCCGCTTTGCGATAGCTTCACTATACCCAGCCGAGCAGTGTCTAGACCCAACACAGCCTAAGACTCGCGTGGATAACGGCTCATCCGCAAGGGCACTTGGAGACGGATGCTCGAGAGGCCTTTTACGTGTCAAAGCAACGGTTCCCTCCCCACTGAATCTGCACTCGTCTCCGCGCCAAAGGATCGAAGGTTTGGAAATTCGAACCTTACGTACCTGCAGGTAGTAATGTTACCTTCAAGGGACATACGGCCGGGCGCCTCACCAGTCCATGGCCAGCCTGTCAGATAGCGGGAAATATGGTACTTGCAGCGGTCCGTATATAGCGTCGATGGGCCGGATCCCGAGGTGATTAAGTTCGAGTTCTTCATTACTCCAAGCCCAGGGCGTCGAAAATTTATCTTCTCCCCGTTCATCTTCTTGTTTCGTCAGTCCGCGGAGTACGTCTACAGTTAGTTGACGGGTGCGTCGTTTTAGTACATATGAGCCGTACGAGGAATCCTTGAGTATCCCCCAAAGCCCATGACAACTAGCCACACGTAGTGTGAAAACGATTAGAATACCCCGGACATCCACATTACTCTTTCTTCCCGCCTCGAGTTGTCAACACAAACGACGCAACCCGTGGTCTGACTCAATGGCCGCCCCGGCTTACTCCAACAAAGCCGCCATCTACCTTGGACCCGTTGTTTCCTTTGGAGTTGTCGCATTCTTCCTGGTCGTCGCGCGTATCTACACACGGATAAAGAGGACTGGAAGACTGTATCTCGATGACTGGATCATCGTTGTCGCGGAGCCACTTTCGTTGATCGGTATATGTCTGGCTATCGCATCGACTGCATACGGATGGGGTAAACCAGCGGCATCCTTCACACCCGAGACTCTCAAACAGACACTGAGGCTACAGTTCGCTCTTCAAACTGTGTGGCTCCTTACACTATGGCTCGTACGCCTGTCTGTTGCCTGCTCGCTGCTGCGTTTCGGTACTGAGAGGCTTTGGCGATGGCCATTGTACTTACTCATGGGTTTACAGACGGTCATCTCCTGGGGCTATTTCGTCATTCAGTTTGCGCAATGTACGCCTATCAGCTCCAACTGGGACACTGGCATCTCTTCCAAATGCTGGAATCTGGATCCCATCATCCTCTTGGGATGGGTTGTAGCTGGTAAGACTCCCTTTTGTGTTACCGAGGCTGAGCCTAACTAACTGTTTTGTTAGGTGTCTACATCGCTATGGATCTTACTCTTTCGCTCATGCCAATCCGCTTGATCCGTACCTTGAACCGCTCTGAATCAGAGAAGATGCTCATCGGCGTCCTCATGGCCCTCGGTCTCCTCGCAACCGCCATCACCTGCGCTAAGCTGACAACATTCACATCTTTCGGCCAAGGCGATGTGATGCAAGCTACCATCATGCCTTCGCTCTGGGCCAAGCTCGAAGAGGAGATAGGTATCATCGCTACTTCGCTTCCCTGGCTCAAGAGCCCAGCTGAGAATTGGTTGAAGAAGATGGGCATATTGAAAGAGCATCAGCTTACCAAGCCGAGCTTCGTGGCTGACATGAGCTTGCCGACCGTGAAGGATAACGTGGAGGACATGAGCAATGATGATGCGGATAGTGCGAAAGTAAAGGGAAACGTCAGGGTGGATTCAGTAGCTACCGCACTCGGTGCCAAGGGCTCCAACTCAAGCCTACTAAAGGATCCGAACAGTAATACCTGGCAGGCAGTCTAATCGCGGCGACGATGTTTACGACTTTCATCTGGGATGCATGCCAAATATTTGGGCTTTAGCGTGGCGCTGTGGTGTTGTTGAGAGTTGTTATTACAACTCTACGGATTTGACGAACATACATAGGCATAGACTGCCTCTTTGCATCTTGCGACGGCATACATACACCTTAATATCATCAACCTTGAACCGAACATTGACTTTCGCAGGTGTAAGACGTAAGGACTTGGTGATGCCGCACTTCGGCGATTTTCGTGCGAAGCTCTGCGGAAACTCGGCATGTTAGGTAAGGAAAACCCTTAGCGTACCCTCTCTCCGCATTTTGCGAATCATCGTCAGTACCTTGCAGAAGCTTCCATTTGCGCGTCGCTATGCAATTTCTTATCTTCGCCGTCATATCGAGCTTCGTCCTCAGGAAGACCATAGAGGGTTGAGTTTTCGATGTCACGCTTGTCTGCACATCGGCGTATACGGAGAGTATGTTAGAGGTCACAAAAGCTTCAGACATCGAAAAGATGCCGCGGCCATTAGTAGCACTAAAACGGCACGCGCCATTAGTCCGGGGTGCATGATCCAGGCTCGATCTGTGATGGTGGTGACGTCCTACCGGTCGTTATTCCCTTCGCTGAGTTTGATGTTTACCGCGTCCATGCTTTCACCAAGCTTTCTTCACTCCCGCATCTTCGTTTCTTAACATTACCACCGCCACCACATCTCAATTCTGACCATAGCCTGTTATCGATTTGGCAGTCCTCGCTCATACATATCTCCTTTGTCGCTGTCGTGGTCACCGCTCCGTGTGTGTACTAGACTTGTTCCCCCTCCACGATGCCGATATGGGATCCTCTCATTCCAGTTGAGCGTGTTATACAGCGCGGCCTCTCACGCCTTCCAGTACCTGTTAGCCACTGGCTCGGTTACCGGCACAAGACCGCACCACCATCTCGTACATGGATTGTCTGTCTTTGGGGGTTTATAGGCGCCTTCTGCGGGCTTAGCGTCATTCTCGCCATCTTTGGCCATACAGACTACATGAGGAGTCGCGCTGTACCACCGATTATTGCTTCGTTCGTAAGTTCCTTTGCTTTCGAAAGATATGATGTTGAGGAAAACTAACAACGCCCAGGGTGCTTCAGCAATCCTCTGTTACGGCGCTATCGACGTGCCTTTCTCGCAACCACGCTCCCTAGTTTTCGGTCATTTCTTCAGTGGCCTAGTTGGCGTCATCATAGCAACTATCTTCCAGTTCGACCTAGAAAAAGATCCTTATCCACGACTGCAATGGCTCGCAGCTGCCTTGGCCACAGCCATCGCTCTCGTTGTCATGCATCTGACCAAGACGACACACCCACCTGCTGGAGCAACAGCGCTTATGCCATGTATTGACCAGCACATCTGGGCACTGCGGTGGTACTTCTTGCCGGTCTTGCTGTTGTCCTCGACGGTTGTGCTTGTTACGGCAGTGATGGGGAACAACATCCAACGGCAATATCCGAAGTTTTGGGTTGCACAAGTCCCGCCACCACCGCCACCACCGCCGGCACCGAAGGTCGAGGAGAAGAAGATCGTAAAGGAGAGCTCCTCCGATGGAAGTGTGCGAGATACGCTAGGGGACTTGGAACGAGGACCTCTTTAGCTTTTCTTCATCGAGGTACAAACCACAACTGTTGTTATATTTTCTAGTTAGCGAGTGACCAAATTAGCGAGCGACATGTTAACTGTTAACACTGAGTGTTGCTCTGTCAAATTCGTTCTAATCCATGCTCGTTACCATCCAGCGCAATCCCTGTTTCCATAGGAGAAAGTCACGCTTGAACACAACACCGATCGGACTCCTGCTATTCAGTGGAAACCTCATATCTTGTTAATCAGCTATGATCAAGATTCCCTAACTATCCTGACCCCAATAACGTCTATCTATAAGAAGCTAAATATTTACATGCATCCGAAGTGTTATGGGCGTACAAACGTTGCTGCGTCATTACCACCACCATCTAACCCAATCTTACCAAACTCCTGGAAAAACCATCCCAATACCATTGAAAATAAGTAGCATCCTGGCTTAAACTTGCTCAACCCATACAGTCCTAGCCACACTGGGCACGCCCTCCGCGCTGACAGCAAACAGATACCAAGCTCCCGGTAACACCACACCCGAGTCGTTCATAATAGGCAAGACGACCTCATCTCCTTCGATCCTCGGTTGAAGTGGCACTCGCCTCTGATCGCTGTTGACGTTGTGTGTAACACTTCCAATTCTGATGAAAGAGAACGTTACACCATCAGCCGAGCCTTCCATCTTGACTCTCAGCTCACCGCCCGGCGCGACAATGCTGGAAGCGACATCCTGGATGACTGGGCGAGGGGTGCCAGTAAGAAGGTATGGTGGGGTGAAGATCTGGCCGTTGGGGTGATCGACCGTGTCGCGGCAGTGATAGGATGGTCCGCCAGTTCCGTCATCCCAGCAGAGACCTCCTCCTCCACTGAAGACGGTACCATCAGGTAGCAAGATGGAAACGGAGTGGTAGTTTCGGGGAATCCATTCGGCGGCCAACTCCGTGAAAGTCTTGGTAACCGGGTCGAAGATTTCGGGTGTAAAGACGGGATCAATATCAGTGAAGCCCTTCGCCCAGCGCTGTCCACCAGTAACCAAGATCTTGCCATCGGGAAGAACCACTACGTTTGCAAAAGCGCGTTGCTGGTGCATGTCGGCGATTCTCTCAGCTGTCACTGGCGCGCCCACGTCGTTGATCTCCATCAAATGCGCAATGGAGAGTCCGGGCGCCTCATCGTAGTACTGCGCTCCACCAGCAGTGAAGATCTTGCCAACATCGTACATGACATGAACACCACACATGGCATCGTTGACATCATCACGGATGCCTGCTGGGCTGACACCGCCTTCGCCATCGGTATAGTACCAGTTCATTGCCTTGCTAGGCCCAGCCTGGAAGACAGTGCCGTTGCGCCAAGGGAAGAGCCAGGCGTGGTTGTCCTCGCGGTAGATGCCCTCGTGGTCGTATGTCAACATAGGTTCCACGGCAGCACCAGGGAGAAGTGTCCAAGAGTTCTGCGCAGGGTCGTAAACCTCTCCTGGCTTTCCACCTCGTGGGCCACTCCAAGACCCACCAATTATGAAGACCTTTCCATTAGATAACACAGCACTGCTTTGGTATCCCCGAGGCACCTTCATATCCGGTCCGGGGATGAACGTGTTGGTATCCGGCTGGTATATGGTCGTCTTCTCTGCGTTGCTTCCTCCGGTAATGATCAGTCTTCCATCGCCTAACTGGCTCATTCCAGGGCAGAACATGTCGTGGTTGGTTTCGGAAACCTGGCGAGTGGACATTTGCCCAGAGACCAGGTTGTATTCTGCGAACTGAGTGACACCTCGTTCACCCCCGAAGGAGTTTGGCGAGAAAGCCGAATAGACCATCATTCGAGTTGGTGAAGGCCATTCCGGGACTATGTAGGCCGCAACGGGAATGATAGGGAAGTCGATGACTGGACCCCATGATCCTTGGTTCTGAGCGAACGTGATTGAGTAGAAAAACGGCAGAATTGCAGCCGCTACCTTTGAGTGAGAAACCATTATGAATTAAATAATTAACGCACACTGTAGGTGCAAGAAGACGAAGGCGAAAGCGACTGTAAATAAGTAGCGGTCGTATCTGAAGATGCCCGCGGAGTGTTTGTTTTATACATATCCGGTAGTATGGTGGCAGGCACATTGGTTTTCCCGCACCTCCATCTCCGAATCACGATTGGAAATTGTTGTCGCCAATGCTGTTAAGCACGTCCAATTGGTAGCCGGTCCCAACGAATACTGAGCCGTTGCCGGATCGAGAACCTAAGAGCTACATCACTACCTGGGCGCGTGCTCTTGAGTAGTGCTATACCCATAATGTCACACCAGGCAACACTACACGCGAACACGAACACGCGATCACATCTCGGCATCTGCAAGAGTGGTAGTCTTGTGTCTGCAAGAGAACGTCGTAAACGCATTCTCGCATCCGTGTGTGTCTTGTGAGATGGTTTAGTTCGATCCATCGTGTGAGCTTTACGAGAAGAAGTTCGCGTGAGATGGGGCTGAGAAGCTGAACAGCCGCCATCCGTCTTGGTCGCACAGAGACGCGACTTGGCCTGAGCGCGGCGCAGAAATAGTTTATCGATTGCTGTTGGCCATTGCGGGGTGATACGAACATCTCACGTTGACGACTTCTGTCCGGTCAGGGATGATTAGAGGCAGATCTGACAATGTGCGTGTTGAACTTTGCGCGCGAGGATAGACTTTCGCATAGTGAACTGGCAGCTTGGTACAGATGATGTTCAGCACTGATAAGCATGCGAGTCAGTGCACAAACAAGCTCCATAGCAACCACTCTTTGTCTGATTCAAGCACAGAACATCTCACATGCTGACACCGAACTGATGCATTTGCAGTCTCTTATCAACTCTTTATCGGCGTCCCATACTTGTGGAATACCCATGGTGTTGTGCTTTCAGCATGACAACAGAAACGCTCCCTGTTACCTCAATAACAAAGCATACCGCCTTCCCAATCTCATCTACCATTCGCTACACATAATGATGTCATCTACACCGCCGCTTCACTACGGCTTCAACCACTCCGCGATCTTTGCCTTCAACACCTCTTCTGCCGCTGGCCACCCATGTCCTGGCCTCCGGCAAAACGCGTTCACATCGATATGCCTAAACTCCGGAATCTCGTGCAGCAGCGTCTCAACAACATCAATACACTGAGCATCCTTATCCAGTGCAGCCAACACCAGTTGATACATCGACAACTTGCGCGTGTACCTTGCGTCCAGAGACTTGCAGAACTCATCCATAGCTTGGGCGTACAATTCCCAGTAGTGATCAAGAGCCCAGGACATGTGTGGTAGCCGCGCTATCCTGAAATCTGGGAGCCAGTCGCGTCGGAGAAATGTAGGCATGGAGGTGTAGCCAAGACAGCGTGGCACGGCTGCGCAATCGCCCCAGTCGATTATTCCAGTTACTTTGCCATCGTAATTCACTAGAATGTTCTAGGGATCGAGATCGTCGTGCCGAAGGACGAATGTTTCGTGTGTTGGTACGCCATTGCTAACAGCTTCGTTTGGAGTTTGCTTACTATGCGATGAGTCTGTTGTTGCGAATGGAGCAGAGGACATCACGATGTTCATCACCATCCAAACGCCAATCGTCGCCATATCGTGAGTACCAGCAGATTTGTCGCGCTCCGCTCTATACACCTTGTCTGTGCCAGCGGCAAAGAAGGCTTTGCTAGTATCAAATATCTTTCGAGTCATGGAAGACGGAAACCCGGTATACTTGAACTCCAGTGGCGTGAGTTCGCGCACAGCGAGCGCAGAAATGTAATGCGTTTCTGCTCTAATTCGGGCAAAGGATCGTCGGCGTTGAGGTGTAGTCCTGTGTCCTTCATCGTCTTGTAGGATTTACCGACCCACATGTCCATTGCTGAGACACCGTCCAGCTTCTTCATGAGGATGTATGGTGCGCCTTCCGCATTTTTGACATCTCCATCGTATGCAATAACCTCGGGTACAGGGCATCCCGTATGATGGAAAATGTGTTGCATCAGTTGAGCTTCACTCTTCAACGCCATATTATCGTTGATATGCCATTTTTCTTGCGTACCATGTGCGGGAATCTTGAGTACATACTCTTGCGCGATTTGGTCTTCGCGCTCGATCTTGAAGAATACTGCATGATGAAACGACCCTTTTTCTCGCTGCGTAACGTGACAGCTGCCAAGGAGTAGGTTTTCTTTCGGGTTGAAAAGATGGTGCACCAAGCATTCAAGAGCGATGCCAGATATGCTTCGAATGTCGTCAAACTTCCGACGGTCATGATTATTACTTGAGGATTCACCGTAGTGGCAATAAGTATCCTCACTTACTTCCGCCACTGTACTACTCCTCGCTCCAGAATCTAGATGGGGTGGTCTGAAATCGTAGTTGATGAACAGATGGTGAGGACGTGCGGAGGGCGCGGCGGTATACGATGTTGACCGTCTTGAAAATACTTGTGATGCTGTCGACATTGCCGTCTCCGCTGCGTTGTAGGCGATCTCGTTGGCCAATGGCGAACACAAGGAGGTAGTCGAAGCCTTTGGATTCGTCCCGAACTGTGAACTTAGCATTCATCTGATCCCCGTTCTCGACGATCGAGTGAATCTACTGTTAGAAGAGGGCTTAGTTCCAGTAGGTCTTAGGAATCTCATAGACCATCGATTGGGTTGCAACATCTTCTACATTGATGGCCTCCTCGATACAGCCGGTGTAGCATTGGTGAAGACATGGTATAGGTGTGCGCGTTGGCACGATTGTGGCGTTGACGTGGTTGAGAACTGAGAAATACTTTAGCCAGGTGCGTCACGAAGAACAGGTAGCGCCTTTTGCTTAGGTGGATGAGTAGGCACACGTGTTTGTTACCAAGGTCACACCTTTCAGATAGAAGGGTCATGACCGCCTTGCGTTCATTCGTTGGAGTGCTAGTGAATTACCGTAGGATTGTGCCCTGATGCAACTCCCCTTGTACAAGGCAACTAAATAGATCCGCTATCTAACGAAGTAGAAGAGGTTAAGGGTTGTAAGGGGTTTGCCTAATGTTTACCCCTACGCTTAATCGTATATTACCACGCGCCGACCTACTGGTACGTAACTGGAATACTGTGGTGGCTGATAAACAGTGTGAAGTGATCGCTAAAACCCTAGGGTCTGACTAAGGTGGTAATGTCTCGCAGCGCGAGGCTGCTAAACCACGTATATGTCGGCCTCAGTACCAGTGGAGACAATTCATTCGTACTGCGCATGTGCCGTTTGTCCCAGCAATCGCAGTCTCGTGCACTCTGGCACAAACATGGGCAAGTATACATTTGACTTTGCGATCGCCTGTTCTACAGCAGCTCTATCTCCTCCACCTCTGTTTCGATAGGTTTAATTATCGTTTATGGATCTTATCCGTCTCCCTATTGAAGTACTTAGTAGGATCTGTAGATTCATCGGCCTGAATCATGAAACCTTGAGATACGAGAACAAAGATTTCCAGTCCCTACGCCTTACTTGCAGGGAAATCTACGAGAAAACGACATTCGATGCTGCCGTTCGATACGGACCAACTCTTCATAAGCTAGTCATCCCTCTCAACCACCGTTCCCTGTGTCAACTCTTACACATCGTCAAGATTGAGTCGTTTCGCGATCGAATCGTCTCATTGACTCTGGATCCGTACTGGTATCGTCGCAGGCCGGACGATTTCGTCGATCGGTCACGGCATATTCACGTGCGCGGTGAGGAGTCGGGATTCTACATTAGCTCAAGTGAACCAGTCCATCTTCTCGCAGAATGCTTCCGATGGCTGGCTAAGGCTAAACGGCTTACAGAACTACAACATGAAACCAAGGACTCGCTACATGTCTCGTTAGCGGCTTTAGCAGAGGATCGCTTTCCGATAAAGATGAATTCCATCGTCATATCCCTGGTTGGCCTCGTGGATCAGATCTACGGAGACTTCGGACGATCGCCTGCTACATACACTCCCTACATCGAATGTCTCTTAATTGACAGCTGTACTCTTACGCAGATGGGATTTTACGAAAAATTGAAAGAGGCACTGGTGACGAATGAATTAGGTGTCCATGTTCGGGACTTCAGCATTCGCCACCCAGCTATCGCTTCTTTCTTCTTTGGGGCATGTGATATTGCGCAGCTCTATGTTTCAGGCTGTACAGAGGGTGAGCCTGTTTTGCGATTCTGCAACGCCTGCAATGACCTGTTCACCCATAACATCGCCAAGGTCGCCTTTACTAATTTAACAATGTTTTGCTTATCTGAAATCTACGTTAGCGGTGGTCGCCTTGCAAAGTTTCTCAGAAATCGAGATCACACGCTCACTCGTTTGAAGATCTCAGAGACTGCCTTGACTGATGGTTCGTGGTTAACCATCGCGCAAGGTCTGCTGAAGCTACCTCGCCTGCGCCAACTGGAACTAGGCAATAATCTTTGCCAGAAAGGTGCTGTCCCAAGGTCTCCAAATCAACCAACGACATATCAACCTGAGGCTTCTGGAGACGATGATATCTTGAGCGTTGACAAAGTTTGCCACTACCTTGAATTTCTTATCGAACACTTCTCAACTTCTAGATACGTACACCTGCTAAAGGATCATTGGCCTTTGCCGCATTATCATAGGGTGAATCTCTATGATTACCCGAGGATCGGGTATCGAAGCATCAACAATAGTTCAGCTCGTCGGGCGCTGGAGAAGTACATCATTGAGGTTGAGGGGAAGTGAGACTTTATGGGAAGCACAGTACAGTAGGTCTAAGGATAGTCGGAGTATGTCGAAGGTTATCATATAGACTTCTGTCTCAGCTCTTGCTCCTCAACCACAAGCGTTCGTCACGAAGAGCATATAGTCACTCAAAAACTATCAAAGCATTGAAAGCACCAGTTGCATTGATCACAGACCAAAGCTGCCTAGGTAACGAAGAACAATATATACAAGCACAAAAGATAACATATGCACAGAAGAAGAACCACCTCTCAAACCCAATCACCTTGCCGAAATTTTACAACGCGTATGTTGGATACACACCGCATCTACTGACACTGCGAGTACCACTGGTTGGACTCGACACACTTTCCGCTCGCACAAGTCGTAGGGCCAGAGTACCCCTGACCACCACACTGTCCGTAAAGCTGAACGCTACCGCTGCTGCTACCACTGTCGCTGCTGACATCTCTAGAAGGGGGAAAATCGGGTCAATCGATGGTGTCCTCGTAGGTGGTAACCTCGGAAGGCGCCGTAATGGATGGGTGGGTAAATAGCTTACTTGGTCGCAGTCGCCTTAGCGGAAGAAGTCTTCGTCTTGGTGACAAGTGTGGAAGTAACCTTCTTGGTGGAAGTGGGCTTAGCAGTGGTGCTGGCCTTGGGGGGAGCAGCAGAGTCGGCACCGCAAACAGGCAGCTTCTCGAGCTTACCCTGGGTACCGGTGCAGCTAGCATTGGTGTCGAGCTTCTGGCTGCTACCGTTACCCTTGTCAACACCCTTGTACTCGCGGCAGACGGCCTTTGTAGTTCCGCAGGAGCCGCTGATGCTGGCTGTGTCGCCAAAGTTTGAGTTGATGCCGATGAGGTCGGAGGTTAGACCGAAGGCGCGGACATTCTCGACGATGACTTTGCGGGGCGACTTCTTGGAGTTGTCGGTGCAGTCACCGCAGGAGCGGTAGAGTTTGCCAGCGTTGACAATGGTGTAGTCTTTGATGGTCACGGTACCCGCACCGCTGGGTTGATGTCAGCTGGGGGTGTGTTGATGGGGGAATGAAATGGTACGTACTTGTGTTGGATGACCTTGTCCTTGGCCTCTTGAGCACCTCCTCCCTGGATCAGGGCATTGCCGGGACCAAGGACAGAGACGGCGTCCTCGCAGACATCACGGAACCAGACGTTGGTCAGGGTGCAAGAGCCTAGGCAGTGGACACCCTCGAGCGCGTCAGCACCGATAATGACGTTGGAGATGGACGCGCCATCCTGGAGGATGAAAACAGCGCTGTCGCTGCCAGTGTCCGCGTCAGAGTCACATGGCTGGCCACGGTCAAACTCCTTGTTCGCAAAGTCGACCTTGCCAGTGATGGTGCTGGGCTCAGGAAGCGACACAATGTTACCGGAGCGAGTAGGAATGTTGAGAGTCTGCGCAGCCGCCATGCTGGCGACGAGCGAGAGGAGTGCGACTTGAGAAATCATGGTGAAAGATGATGGAGCGTGAGGTGAGTAATTTAGCAAAGATGGGTAGATGAATTGAAAGAGTTGATGGATCTCCTGGATCTTTGCAAGTATTGAAGGAAGGAATGAGTGAGCTGGTGGGCTGTAACACTCGGGACGCCCATCGTCTTTATACACATGTTCGATACCCCCCCTATCGGAGATGGCTGCATCACCAACAGATCTGGATACCAAGGCAGCCCTCCGAGGATGCAATGGAAATTGCTACAGGATGGAAAAAACCCCTGGTATGTGGACTCTAGTCTGACAAGCCGAGGCGCCATGTGGTAATTGTGGAGAATTGTTTTCCGCCCGCTGTATGCTGTGCTGGGCGTTGAACTGTGGCTGTTGTCAACTTAGTGGTGGCTAGAATGGTCATGCTCACCACAACAACCTCACCATTTCGATCTGCATTGCATGACGGCAGACGATCCGGATCTTATTGTGATTCGCGGGATTTATATGGAGACGTTTCTCCGCACGCCATGTATCGAAAGAGGTGGAGTTTGGCGTTGTCGTACAGTTTCTTTTAGACCGATGATGTGGTTTTGGCGTTGCTGCATATTGGGAGACCTGGGGTACATTAGTACACAGCCACATTTCGGTACTCAATTCTCCGCGGTGTTTGGCAGGATTCCTGGGCATCGTTTTGACATTGACTTGGCGTTTCAGTCAAGATATGGGGAATCGTTCTTGCAGTGCAGCGCCTTCCGGGCGCGATGTCGCTCCCGATTTGGAAAAGTTGCGGTCATATTGGGTTTAGACAGCTCTGACAGAAGGTTGCCCAGTTGAAGACCCGCTGTTGTCCTAAACATGCCTTTGCGTCGAGAGGAATGGAATTTGCACTCTTTCGGCATTGTCATGTATCCTTGTGCGGTGCGACTCAGGGTATTGTCGAGAATCACTTGGCTGAGATCTACATATGGGTGTACCTGGTTCTGCTGTCAATGCCAGGATTAGTTGTCTCGCTGTGTCTCATTTCCGCGCCTCTCATATAGTACCATGACCGTACTGCTCATTGATGATTGGTTTCAATCGATCGGGGAACAACGCATGTCAGCGGGAATACCCACTGGAGAGCCTAGAGCGCATTGTGTATGGCGGCTAGAAGTAAGTACCCGATCCGACGGCCTTTGAAGACAGTATAACCCGAGCGACTCGCCGACTATATGCAAGGCGTGGCAACATATTGGATCAACACGATTGCGTTGGGTACTTCCACCAACCGGCTCTAGCCCAAACGACCAGAATTTTGTCGCATGAAGCTTGAATAGGCAATATAAGTGCGGTACATGTCTTGTGACTTCTTTCATAAACAAATGCGGTAACTGCTTGGAGATCACAGCGCCAGGCTCAAAGTTAGCGGCGCAATAATTCCGACACTGAGAAATACCCTGCAATGAGTAATTCCGCCATCCTGGAAGAGGCCTCCGAAATTAGATTGGGGACATACCGAAGTGCTGTCGTGATGAATAATCACGTAGATGGCGAAGCAGCTGGGACGAAGTGGAACGGGTTCGTCCAGGCGGACAGCGACTTGCGCTAGCAGATAAGTGGGTCAAACTCTTGGCAACAGAGACCCACCGAAAAGTTTCCAGCAACTCTACACCTCTGCACAACGAACGCGAAGCACTTGATACCGCCCAACATGTCGTCCATGCGAAATGCCGTTCAACGGCGCAACCATAAAGAGCGCGCGCAACCCGTCGAGCGTGAAAAATGGGGTCTTCTCGAGAAACGGAAAGATTACAAGCTGCGCGCAGCAGACCACAAGCAGAAGAAGGCTAAACTCAAGATCCTGAGCGAAAAAGCTCGCGACCGTAATCCCGATGAGTTTTCTTTCAAGATGATGTCGTCCCAGGTGGACAAGTCGGGGAAAAGGGTGGCGGATCGAGGCAACAAGGCTTTGAGCATGGAGGTGGTGAAGCTGTTGAAGACGCAGGATGCGGGATATATTCGCACTATGCTGCAGCAGACGCGCAAGGAGAGAGAGGAGGTGGAGCAGAGGCTCATCATGGAGGAGCAGGGCGAGGTACGCGCTGTGAGAGACGGAGAGAGAGCGAGGCACGGCAAGCACAGAGTTTTTGTGGACAACGAAGAAGAACAAGAAGAGTTCGAGCCGGACACTTGGTTTGGGCGCGGGGAGGATATCCCCGCGCGCAACGAGTCGCCTACTTTCGGAGACCTGCAAGACGAGTCTTCGGAAGACAACGAGCAACCTGTCCAGCGACCGAGCACACTATCCAAGAAGCAGATGGAGGCACAAGAACAGGCACGGAAAGAAGCGAGGAAGTTCAGGAAAGACAGAGAGCGTGCACAAGAACGGCACATGTCAAGGTTACGAGCCCTCAAGAAACGGGAGAGCGAACTCGTAGCCGCAGAAGAAGAGCTAGAGCTCCAGCGCGCAAAGATGAACAACACAGTCGGAGGCGTCAACAAGAACGGCGTCAAATTCAAGGTCCGAGAGCGCAAGCGCTGAGGCGTCTTCCTTCCATATTACGCTCATAGAATACAACTACAGCCTCGCCGGCATCCTCATCGCGCCATCCAATCGCAAAACCGTCCCATTCAACATCTCATTGCCTACACACTCGACCACCAACCTCGCAAACTCCTCCGGCAGTCCCGCCCTCTTCGGAAACTCCATACTCTTCTCCAAACTGCTTCTCACCTTGTCGCTCATCATCTTCGTCATTGCGCTATCAAACATACTCGGCGCTATCGTCACAGCGCGGATACCATACTTTGACAGATCGCGCGCGAGCGGAAGCGTGAGGCTGGCAACAGCACCTTTACTCGCAGCATAAGCAACCTGACCCATTTGTCCGTCAAAAGCAGCAGAAGACGCAATCATGATGATAACACCACGGGAGCCATCGGGGCTGGATGGGGTGGTAGTCGTCATGTACGGCAAAGTTTGACGTATCAAATCCAACGTCCCTCGCAGATTGATATTCAGTACGAAATCAATACTTTCAATGCTCAACGGCTCGTTCTTCTTGTCGATTATCAAGCCTGGCATTCCTACTCCTGCTCCTGCTACTACGCCTCCGATGTCTTTTCCTGTTTCTTTGGCCCAGGATACCGTGCCTGATACTGCTGCTGCAATGGCGGATGTGTCTGTTACGTCGGTTTCGAAGAATTTTGCGCGCGAGCCGAGCTCAGAGGCGACTTTCGAGCCATTGTCCGCGTTGAGGTCGAGAAGGGAGACGTATGCGCCTTGTGCGTGGAGGGCGCGTGCTGTCGCGAGACCGAGGCCTGAGACGCCGCCGCTGATCAGGAAGGTTCTGTCTGCGATCTTCATCGTGTAGATTGGATGGCGGAAAAGAGGATTTGATTTGAGGTGGATTACTAGCTTCACGAAAACACCGTTGCTCTTTTCGATTATATTTGTTCGTGCGTGATGTGTAGTAGAAAGCGCAGTATAAGAAGCGCAGTGTAGAAAGCGCATGTGAAGTTCAATTCACTAAAAGCCACTCGTTCATCTCATGCCTCGGCCCATCGACATCGGCAAATTATTCCTAGAACCTCCGACATACCCACTCCGTATCCTCACCACCAGCACACTAACCAAAGTATCCCCACTCCCGATAACATCCATCTTGCGCATCGAATCTCGAACCACTTCACCACCGGGGAGTCCGCGAAAAAAAAACCCCCCACCTACAATACCCCGTTTCTGACGCCGTCACTCGCTATCCAAAAGTCCTCCAGCTCGCGCATATCGTATACCAGCCAACCACATCCCCCACGCGCACCTCGAAGCCACCGCACTCCTCACACAGGCCTACATGGGCAACAGCAGCGGCGAGCAGCCCACGCACACACCCACATTCGACATCCAACAATCTTCCACAAAATGACGGACCGCATGATAATCGGGACCAACAAGTCCCCCACCAACCCCACACCGCTCTCCGCGCCCCAAGAACAACAAGTAAAAGACCTGTACTACAAAAACGTCCGCGCGAAATGCGCAAAGGAAATCGAAACGTTTGCTCAATGCGCCCTGGGCCGTACATTTACCATGATATATGCGTGTCGGCAGCCGAGACTGGCGATGAATAGTTGTATGCTGCAGTACCAGAATCAGGATGAGTTGGATAAGGCGAGGTTGGAGTGGTTTGCGTTGGCTGAGGAGAGGAGACAGGTATGTGATAGTTCTTTTTTTTGCTCACTGTGTTTGGAGGTGGAGAGCCAATGCTAACAGTGCTGGTACAGGCGAGGATAGACCATCAGAGGAGGTTGGAGGATGCAAGGGAGAAACACAAGGAGTGGTGGAATTTGGATGAGTCGGGGCGCACGGTTGGGAAGGCGGCGGAGACGGTTAATGAGGCGGGGTTGAGGAGACGGGAGGAGAATAGGGTGGATGATAGAGGAGTCACAAGAGGAGGTGTGTACAGAGGGACATGAGAGAGAAGGAGACCCGCGAGGTATGGTGTGGGGAGGAGGCAAAGGGCATATCTGAACCAAGGATTGCTGCAATGTTGTAGCGGACGTATACTGTATTATAACTTTGTAAATACTCGCCCATTATGAAGCGCAAGGCGGAAAGCTTTATCCAGCTCTGGTATAAACTCCCCCCTTTCCCTAACTCGAGCTCCAGCCCCAATCCATAACGCCGTTGCAAATGCCCGAAACCGACCAACGCCTTTTCCATTCGTTGCTGGGCCCCAACCACCAGCTCAAGGGTTGTTCTCCTGGTTAATACCCATGGCCTCTTCAAACTCATCGTCGTCTTGCTCCTCATCTTCCTCATCCATGCCCCCCATGGCTGTATCCCTGGCCTCCGTTTCAGCATTCGCGTTGTCTGCCACAATTGTCCCGTTGACCTGATTAACAGGCCCTCCCGAAAACCCATCGTCCACTTCCATTTCCTCGTCTGCATCCCCGCCTTCCTCAATCTCCTCACTCCACGCCCCTTTAATACCCCAGCCCACGCCCGTAAAACAATACCTCTCTGGCGGTAACCTAACCCCAAACTCCCTCTCCACCCTCGGCAGCGCAATCCGATTCCTCTCCTGCGCAACCTCACTCATAAACTCCTTGCCTAGGTTTGGTTGAAATGCCCCCGCCGCCCTTGCCCCCACAGCAGTTCTTAATGCCGCTAGACTCACCCCTTCCCCATCTCCTTCACCGCCTGCACCTGCGCCGCCGGAGCGTTTCTTTGACGCAGAGGTTGTGGGCAGGGGTGGCTCGTAGGATAGAGCGTCTGACAAGATGGACGACGTGTATCGGTAGGCGAAATCGAGGAGTTGGAGGGGCACGCGCTCGGTGTAGGCGTGGACGCCCATGTTGGCGAGGATGAGGTGGATGAGGCGGGCGTCGCGGGGGCGTTTTGAGGTTCCTGGGTCGGAGAGAGATGTTGGTGGGAAGGCGGGGTTCATTGCGCCAGCAGCGGTGTTATTTGTTGGTATGCCGTTGGGTTGTGATTGTGATTGAGCTGTTGGCTGCAACTGTTGGGGTTGTTGTGTTGGTGGGCTGAGTGTTGGCGCATTTGCCGTCGCAGGCGGTGTCGATATACCATTCTGCATGTTTTCTGCAGCTGGCGAGGCCATGTTGTGTGGTTGTGTGGAGGTTGCGCGCGCGTGGTTGTAGTTGAGGAAGTCAAGGTAGCGGCGGGCGCGTTGGAGTTGCGACGGACGCGACCCCAAGAAAGCTTGGCATGCGGCTCTACGTTGCGACGATTAAGGAAACGCACAAAGCATGCATACATTTTAGCTAGGAACACAGTAGACAAGGTAGCTAACATCACTACATAGCTTATCGCAACGTCTACTACTATCCCTATGTCTGCTCCAACCCAAACTCACCTCAACACCTTACTATACAGGCCATCCGTTCTCTTCAATCCGAAATTGCTTGCAGAAATACTATAATTAAAACCTATCACTACACAACTACTTACGCCCTCATCCCCTCAGTAAACCCATCCCTATCATCCTCATCTCCCGTCGCTTCACTAGCAATACTCTCATGTAAGCTAGGCGTTTTATCCTTCCTACTCCCAATCTTCTTGATACTCCCCCAAACACTCGCCTTATCCTTGGGTGTCCCAATAGAAGGGCTATTGCCAACGCTTTCCGTCGACTTGCCTAGGCCAAAAAATCCACCCGAACTTTCAATCTCTTCCGCCTCGTCTGGGGTGCCAGGCACGTCGCCGGCGGCACTCTTCTTGGAAGAGAACAAAGCGCCCTTCTTGCCAAACGTCAGGAACTGGTTCGTACTTCCTTTCCGCGTAAGTTTCTGCATAAAGGATTCTTTGCCAATGGAACCAGCGGCGTCCGAGGCAGTGTGCGAAACACTCCTCTCGAGACTCTCTCTCGGGCTCGCTTCCGAGGCGTCGGCGGTGGAAATGATGGACGGAGTATCGCGTGACATGCGGGAGTCTGTGTGAGGGGAAGTTGCGTCTCGAGCGTCGCCAGCCTCGGACGGTGTATGTTTATCTTTCCGTGCAGCCTTCTCCGCTTTGACGCGCTTCTCCTTCTCCTCCTTCTTCTCTGCCTTCTCCGCTTTCCTAGCTTCTTTCTCCGCAGCCCGCTTCGCTTTGTCTTCTTCGGTTTTCTTGCCAAGTTGGAACATGGTGAAACTCGCCGCCGCCGGATTCAGCTGTTTAGGCGGAGTAGGCGGGATAGGGGGCAAGGAAGAAGTAGATGGCTGGGCTGGCATGTGGGAGGCTGAGGACTGCGGCCGGGTACCGATTGGGGCTTGGGTGGGGGAACGGGTATTCGACGGGAAGTCCAGGACATCATCGTGGCCATCGTCGTTGATTAGATTCGCACTCGACGTGTGCTGCATCGAGGGTCGACGGGATCCTAGGCGAGACCAGGACGTAGTGTTGGTGTTGTTGACGCTCCAGTCTACACCCAGAGGGCTGGCCCGAGCACCAAAGGCGTCCACGTTCCAACCAAACCGCGTTTGGCTTTCAGTTGAGGGACGGGGTAACGCCATGCCTTCTCCCGAGTTTGTGGAGCCCTGACGTGGGGATGTTGGGCGCTGCATGCCGAGGATGTTACGCAGCCAGGGGTCTTCGCCACCTTTTGCGCTGCTGAACATGTTGAATGGGCGTTTGCGAGTAGCCACGTGCTTTGGGCTACTGAGTGACTCAACAGGCTGGGTTTTAGTGCGTATGAACGTGTCGTACCATGCACCTTCAGAATGGCTGCCGCGGCGGCGCGTGTTGCCCAGGGCATCGACACCGTGTTCCTGACGAGGTAGCGACTGGCTTTGCGATGGCTTCAAAGAGCCCAAAGCCGGGCCCTCATCAGAAAACGTCTTACCACGAGCTCGATTCAGTCCAAAGAGTCCACCGAAACGACTGGCTTGGGGATTGATCTGGAAGGAGCTGGATGTGGAGTGTATGGAGCGCCTATCGTTATCCATGTTATTGTCGTTGCTTGGATAGAACTGTAGTTCGCCCGCACTATCCCTTGGGCTTGCGAGAGCACTAGGCGAACCACTCTGTGGCGAAGCTGGTGAACTGGAATTGTGTGTTGGATGCATTGTGCCAGGGGCTCCAAGGCCAGGTAGAACGTTCCTCATGTTAGGTGAAGGGTCTTGGGAAGGGGCTTGGGGTGGACCTGGGTCGTCGTCCTCGTCTTCTGTCAAGCCTAGATCATCCCCAAACAAACCTGCTGGGAGTAATGCGCCGGCTGTCGGGCTCATGGGTGCACCACCAGTTAAACTCTCAAAGTCGGCTTGCGAGAAGGAGGTATTGTATGTACGAGGGGGTAGTGCCATGCCGTTGACTGGGTTAAAGTAGGGCGTTGCGGTCGCAAAGGACGGTGATGCGGTCGTTGGGATACTGTTGAACGGAGCTGATGAAGTGTGCACGAAACCGCCAGTAGCTTGAGAGAGAAGCCCTTCGCGCATGCTGAGAGGACGGGCACGTTGGCTGTTCCTTCTGACTGGCCCCATCTCCGGAACAGGTGGGCCGGAGAAGAGCTGAGGTTGGCTCAAGCGACGTTGCTGCATGTAGGTCAATCTGCCCGTGGCGTCTTGGTGAGCTCTTTCGGCTTCGGCGTACAGCGACCAAGCTTGAGCATACTGCTGTTGCAGGAGACCTAGAGTCATTCTCCAGCGATTGTCCTCTTCCTTCTCCGCGTTGTCAGGACCATCTGTGGCTTCCGCACCTTCTTGACCTTCTTCCAACCTCTGTCTTTCCTCTTCCAGAGCCTTGATGTGAATACCCTTCTCACGAATCGCGTCCTCCAAAACCTTGTTCGCCTGTGTCTCGTCGGCATACTTGTCTTTCAGGTCCTGAACGCGCTTCTCGGAGGCTGACTGGTACTCGGTCTGTTCCTTCTTGATCTTCTCGGCAGTGTCGCGAAGTTCGCCAGCCTCTCTGGTCCACTTTGCAACATCGTCTTTAAGCTTCTTCCGCTCCGCTTCCTTTTGACGTAGAACCCTTTCTTGCTGAGCGCGCCTGGTCTGCGCGGCGGCGTTTTGTCGTTCAAGGCTGGCCACCTCTTTCCGTAGGTCGCGACTGGCATCTTCCTTCTCTTTCAACGCAGCCTTCTTTTCGTCGCGCTTGTCTACCAAGATAGCCTTCTGAGTCACAAACTCCTGGTCCTCTTCCTGGATCTGACGCTCCATGTCGTCCAACTCGCGTCGGAGAGCATCCAACTTCTCAGTCAGCTGACGGATAGAGTCTGGGCCTTCTGCCTCTTGCGCCGACCTTGCCTGGTCTTGCGGTTGCGATGCTGGCGAGATCTTCCTTCCGATATCTGGGCGCCTCATGCGGGAGGTGCTGTTGCTGTGTTCGCGGGTCATGGGCGGCGCGGCGACGGATGTGACAACGTCGGCGAGGGTCTTGTTCGGTCGAATAACAGGCGTGGGAGTGTAGTCATTGTCATCACTGGCGATGAGCGCGTCTTTGGGCGGGTGGGGGCCGTAGAAGTCATCAGAGTTGGCGGGGAGGGTTCGGAGGCGGATGGGCACGCTGGGTGCTTGGAAGCTCGACGAGTTCAGCGTGACTATGCGGATGGTGTAGTGGTGGTCGGGCTGGAGGTTCTCGATAGTAATAGAGGATTCCTGGGGCGAGATGTCGCCAACTGTGGCCTGTCAGATGTGATTGCGTGTTTGACCGAGTCACGTACTGTCTATGCCGTTGATTCGGATAACGTATTTCAGGACAGAGGTGCGCTGGTCGGGCGGTTTCCAGTGTAGCAAAACCCCATCTGCCTTTATTCCAGCAAGCGAAACGAGGGGCGCGACGGGGACTTCAAGGCCGAGCACCTGCACCAGCTTCTCGACAGGCTGCGTGAGGACCTGGTAGGCGCGGAAGGCGACCCTGCATGGGACATCAGTACTTGTGCGTCTATTTCTTCTGGCCTGTAATTCCTACCAGAACAGCGCCGAGACGATGCATGCAGTCCTAAGCAACCCGGACGACGAGAACAAGAGGGCTTCCATGTCGTAGCGCGCGACATCCGGCGGCCAGTAGAGCGACGAGGACGGTTCAGACAACATTTTGACAGACATGCCAGGCGTCTCCCACCTGCTCGTCGTGAAGTTTGCAGAGTCGACGTGGGCATCATGTGCAGCCACGGCCGCAAATGGCCGAAGCTACAAACCATTTCGACGTCTTGGCTGCTCCACACCTGCAGCTCCTCCGCATTCATCTTGCTGATAGGAGCTAGCGGGGCAGGTGGCTTTCAGAAGTGCAACTCAAGCGTGGTGTAGTTGAGAAAAATGTCTAAAATATCTTCCCCTATAGCAGATTTCATCAAGTAGTGCACTTGTCCATCACCCACGCGTTTCCCCCGCGGCCACGATATGGTTGAGCCAGTAGCTGTCCCAACATATGCGCAGGACTCGAATTGTCTCCAATCTGCTTGCTCCCTTGCAGCATGTGAAAGATAACCTCCCGACTCTGCATCTAGCACATGCTCGATTTTGCAAGTTGTTGCCGCTTACTCCGGAAGAGCGCATCCCATGATCTCGGCATGACGCCCTCGGGCCCGTGATGCGCTCGGTGACGGCGTAGCTTACCACATGCCTAGGCACCTCGACGCAAAAGTACCTTCACTCCTGATCTCCCTTTCTTGCACTCCCAACGCTTGCGCCGCCAGCTCATTCCCTCGGTGAAAATTGCCAGGGCCCACTGACATGTGAAGAAAGACTGCAAATTCGCCTGACATATTCCCACGCTTCATCGCTCCAGCTGTAAAACACTTCTGACGTACATGCCCGACGCTCGCTACCAACCCCGTCCACCCGCGAGCTCGTAGACAGCAACCATGAATTACGTGCGGTCCATCACGGGCAGCGTCTCCAAGGGCTGGAATTCCATCAACCCCGCAACCCTCAGCGGCGCCATTGACACCATCGTCGTAGAGCACGAAGACGGCAGCCTAGCATGTTCGCCCTTCCATGTCCGCTTCGGCAAGTACCAGATACTGCGGCCCTCGGACAAGAAGGTCGAGTTCAGAGTCAATGGCGAGCTGCAGGACTACTCGATGAAGCTGGGCGAGGGCGGCGAGGCCTTTTTCGTATTCGAGACGACGCGCTCCATCCCCGCTGAAATGCAGACGTCGCCCATAGCATCGCCCGCCGCCAGTCCCGAGCAGAAACCTGTAGAGCTGCCCTCGGAGCGCGCCTTCGACGAGCCCGAACCCCTCGATCTAGACAATAGCGGCATGGCAAGGAGAAGAGGGCGCATGTCCATGTCGGTCCCCACCTCAGATAGCATACACGCCGAGGCTGAGTTCGGGCGGCCAAAGTCGGGAGACTGGTCTGGTTTTCATATGCAAAGGGCAAGCACGGATGAGACGGTTCCCTCTGTGAAAGACGGCTTCGCCAAGACGTTCGAGTCATCGCAACCACAGGAGAAAGGGCCAGAGAGGGGGCCGCTGCAGATAAGCAAGGAGGATGCGACGGCTTGGAATAGGTCAACTCGCTCAGCGAGTCCGCCACCTGTGTCAGCCAGTGAAGCCCTTGCCCGCGCCATCAAGCTGTCCAAGAAACTCTTTACCTCCAACATCCCGAATAAAGTCACCGAGACTGGCGACCTCGAACTAGACATGACAGGGTACAAGAGTAGCGAGGAAGATGCCTTGCGCGCTGAAGTCATCGCCCGGCGCATTCTGTCAGACGAGCTCGCAGGAGACTATGATATTGGTGCACTCATCGGCGCCGACGAAAATGGCAATCTCTGGATCTACAGCAGTGAGGAAGCCAAAGCCGCAGCCATGGCAAAAACATCCATGAACGTCTTGAATGAAGCAGCTCTGCAGTCGAGCGACGCGTTATCAGACCCCGGCTACCAAAGTGACAGCGGCCGCAGCGACTCCACAGCCCAATTTCCTCTACGCAGAGACTCAGATAGTGCTCTAGGCTCCTCCGCGCCACACTCTCCCTCTGCCCAAAACACCAAATCCGAAACCAAGACTTACGCAAAGACGCTCCGCCTCACCAGCGAGCAACTCCGCGCTCTCAACCTGAAGCCAGGCGCCAATACCATGTCCTTCACCGTCAACCGCTCAAAGTGCGAAGCTTACATGTTCTACTGGAAACATGACGTCCCCATCGTCATCTCGGATATCGACGGCACAATTACAAAATCCGACGCCCTGGGCCACGTCCTCAACATGATCGGCCGCGACTGGACACATCAGGGTGTCGCAAAACTCTACACTGATATTGTAAACAATGGCTACAACATCTTCTACCTAACCAGTCGGTCAGTTGGTCAAGCAGACACCACACGCGCGTATTTGAACGGCGTCGTGCAAGATAATTACAGACTGCCCAAGGGGCCCGTCATAATGAGCCCGGATAGGACTATCGCGGCGCTGCGGCGAGAGATTTATCTGCGCAAGCCCGAAGTGTTCAAAATGGCTTGTTTGAGGGATATCATGCAGCTTTTTGACAAGCCGCCGCATCAGACGCCTTTCTACGCCGGATTTGGGAATAGGTTTACCGACGCGCTGTCGTATCGATCTGTTAATATCCCGTCTACGCGCATTTTCACAATCAACTCCAACGCCGAGGTCAGTCTGGATGTCCTGAGTCTGAGCTATAAAACGGGGTATGCGAGCATGCGCGAGATTGTCGACCACTTCTTCCCTCCCGTCGGTTTACTCGTGCCTGCGGGTGGAGAAGCATATACGGATTTTAATTATTGGAGGGAGAAACCGCTTGATATTGCAGACTTTACCGACAGCGAAGATGACGATGATGACGACGATGACGATGAGCAAACCGAGGCGGCTAGTATCAGGAGTGAAGATGAGATGGGTTCGGAAATAGGAGAGGATCTAGAGGCGAGTTATATGTCGAGGGAGAGTTTGGATCAGGACGAGACGGGTTTGGAGGATTCGATTATCGAGAGTGTGGAAGGGGGGGATTATGTCGAGGGCGAGGAGTACTTGGAAATGGCGGGTGAGGATGAAGAGGAGGAGGAGGAGGAGAAGGAGGATGAAGATGTGACGGAGATTGAGGGTGTTGTGCCGACGATAGAGGGTGTAGATACTGGTGTGGATACGACAGTGGAGCAGATGAGGATGTTGGATGTCAGGGAAAGGAGTCCTACTCCGCGGGCTAGTCCAAGACGGTAATTCTTCGCAGTCTAGAGGTTGTTTCTGTCTTTGTGTTTCTGCATAGCATGGCATGGGGTGGCGTTGAGGGTTTGATGCCAAGGGCATCTTATTGCGAGGTCTATAGAGTGTTGTCGTTTTATTGATAATCCACTACATGTGTTCTGGATTCTACATTGGCGGGTTTCTTGATCACTTGCTCCTATCCGAGAAGACGGGTTACGACTTTGATTTCAGATGGTAGAGGTTTCTGCTCTCAATAGATGTGTTCTCAAGTTAACTTCATCTTAGTAGTCTCATCCACGGGTCGGCAATTGCCATGATGAAGGCTCCCGACCAGACATAGTATTCGTGTTGCAAGCATTCGTTGTTTACCTTGGTACTGCGTTTGCTTTCGTAGTCTCACTCTTCCAAGCGTTTAAGCCGCATTCACACTGGTTCAGGCCGCAAGTTCTAGACTTATCAGAGCAGACCATGCGGCCATTTTGCGACCGCGTTCAGACCGTACAAGATCTGCTCTCTCTCTCTCTTATATACATACAAAACAACTGCCCTACTCTCGACACCCCCTCTACTCGATACATCGCAACCGATACCCTCCACTGATTGCACAACCAAACTCTTCTCTCGACTCTCAACCAAACAAGTTCAACCTTGCAGCAAGATGAAGTCCTTCACCTGCATCATCGCCCTCTTAGGCCTCTTCACCATCGCCCTCGGCACTGCTATCCCTCACGACGACGCTTCCGGTTCCGTCGAAAATGCAAGCTCTCCCCATCTTCCACACCCGCTATCTCTACTCTATTCCAGGACTGACGAAGATCAGGACGTCCACACCGAGGCTACCACCTGCGAGAAGTGCAGCCAAGTCTACAACAACTGCGCCAAGGTAAGTTTGCTTGCTGGTATACTTGTTTTCCGTGCTAATGGTATCGATTCATCGTAGGGCTGCCGTCATACCTCCCAGTGCGAACGTGTCTGCTATGGCGTTCTTGTCGGTGGCAAGCAGTGCAAGCAGATTTGTGATTGGTCTTAGACGCTCGCTAGACAGAGCGGTAAAAGACTCCGAGAAGGCTGAAGATGACTGGTGGAGGCTGAATATGACAAGTTTCATGGTGCAGGTTTCAGTTTACCTATAGAGAGATGATGCAAGCTTTCGCATCTTGCTGAAGCTTGGCCATGACGTTGGTGTCTTATCGATGGCCCTGCCTTATGATAGTATTCACGACGACTTCGATCTCCTATGTATAGTTGCTGTGTAAACGTCGTGTGTTGAGTTTCGAGACTCCATTGCTCCGCGTTAGTGGCTGTATCCTCGGGTACCTGACCTTTTTATCAGCTTTGTCTACCAAAGAACAATAAACCATAACATCGATATCTCGTTTGGTAGTCTCCATCATTTCATTCGTCGAAGGGCTGCCTTGCACCAAGATTCGTAGCAGTCTTTCACTGCTACGGGTCTTGGACCGCCTTTTATACCGATACAGACTGCAAGGTCAGTTGACTCAATCCACGACCTTGCTTAGACTGTACGTTATCCCATACACTCTCACTAATATATATACACCACTCAGCAAGTCCTAACAGACCACCACGATCGAATCTTCTACATCAATCGTACAATCAACCTCAACCAAACAAGTCTAACAATTCCATCAAGATGGAGTCTTTCATCTCCCTCATCTCCCTCGCGGTCCTCTCCGCCATCACTATCGGTGTCTCCATCCCCCGGGATGACACCTCCTACATCAACTCCTTGGAAACCTCTCCCGAAGATGTAAAGACTTCACCTCCTCCATCTCTTCCCTACCCCCTATCCTTCCTTAACCCCAGGGCTAACGCATCCCAGGCCGAAAACGTTCACAGCGAGTCCACCACCGCTACCACCTGCCAACAGTGCTCTCAAGTCTACAAAGATTGCCGCAACGTAAGTGCACTTTTTCCAAAACATGTCAGGCGAACAGCTGGAGAAAGGTGGTTGCAATGCTAGGATATACTTCAAGCCGAGCGAAGGTATGAAAAGAGCGAGATGTTCGAGATGTCGGGTTAGATCATCAGAGCATTTACCTCGATGATAGGCCGTGAGAAGAACCAGGCAGGCTAACTACTCTTCTTGTAAAGAAACGTTCGGTTTGAGCATGTCTGGTTCGAAATAATACGGATTGATTGCTGACGGTTGGATTGGTTCGAATATAGCGTTGCCATACTTCGCAAAACGGCCAGGACTGCGGGATTGTCTGCATGGATATAGCTTGCAATGCGTTTATCAACGGCGACTACTGCCATCATACTTGTCTTTGGAAGACTTGCTAGACAGGGTAGTAGAGCAAGATTGGAGATGGTTGTTGGGTGGGAGATATGAGTGTTTTCATGGTGTACATCTCTGGGTTTACAGATACGCGGGTACGTGGGATACCTAGGAGAATACTTGGGGAGACGGATCGTGCGGGCTTTTCACGATTTGCTGTATAGCAGATCTAGCTATGAGATTTGGTAGTGATGATATAGCCGCACCTTGATGATGGTAGAATTATGACTTGCATCTCCCATGTCTGCCCAACGACTAGCGGTTGTGTCAAGTGTTACCCTGCCCCTGTAACTTCTTTTCAGCAATGCTCCCAAACCTCGTAAAGACACACTTTGCAATATTTATATTTCTTCATAGCAAATAAAAGTAGCTGGTTTTGGTTCCAACTGCGACCTGGGCTCTCTTTCGCGCTTATCGGAAAAATTGTACTTTGAACTCGGACCTACTCCAATCTGCTTCTCACGATATTCGCGACGCTAACCCAACTTAATCTAGCCCAAACAAACGATCGACAGGGTCCACACGTGCACACGCAACCCATGAAGCGACTCGGAAGGCCCAGATGTCCGCTCTCCAAGCCGTCTCATGATCATCACGGTATTTCCCACCTGAACTTTTGCAACATGTAGGCTCCTTCGTTTCGAGGCTTTTTGCCTTCCTTTTGCTTCCTCACATTCTACAACATTGCGCGACAACTATGACGACGTTGTCGCCTCGCTCGACAAGCTCATCGACAAGCTCGACGAGCTCCTACCCCGCCCCTTCTTCGATACACTCACCAGAGCGACGATCACCCCGCCCCCTCCTCTACAAACTCTACACCTCACACATACTGTCTACATGGAATGCGCGCACCTTTGAATTCGGTGCGGTAATCTTCCTTGCGAAAATCTTCCCTGGGACGCTCTTCTTCGCAAGTTGCTATGCGCTTTTCCGGTCGCTTGCCGCTGCTCTCTTGGGGTCGTGGATAGGCGGGCAGGTCGATGCGAAGGACAGATTGCATGTTGTGAGACAGAGTATTGTATGGCAGAGGCTTTCTGTTGCGGGGAGTTGCGTGGTTTTGGTGGGTATGTTGGGTTTGGGCGGAGAAGAGAAGGATGCCGGGATAGTAATGTACGCGCTGTTTGTGGCTAGCGTGGTACTCGCCTGTGTTGAGAAACTGGCTTTCGTTGCTAATACGGTCTCTGTGGAGAGAGATTGGATTGTCGTGGTTTCTGAGAGTCTGGGTACAGACCGTCAAGAGCTGAATAGCGCTATGCGCAGGATTGATTTGGTGTGCAAGCTCATTGCGCCTGTGGGCATAGGGCTCGTGGATGGGTACTCGACGAGAATCGCTATATGGGTTGTTTTCGCGCAAAACGCAGTCAGCGTACTGGTGGAATACTTTGCTATCGCGAATGTGTATGCCGCGGTACCAGAACTCGGTGTTGGAAAAGGCAAGCAATCTGAAACGGACACTGCCACGGAATTACAACCGCAACACTCTTCCCACCGGGATACCGTATCAAACGCCCCTGGCCGACGTCCCACTCTCCTCGCCAACATAACCTCACACCTCCAACCCTATCGCGCCTACGTCGAAAACCCCGCCTTCCTCGCCTCCTTCTCCCTCTCCCTCCTCTACCTCACAGTCCTAAGCTTCGCATCGCAAATGACAACCTACCTACTCACTCTCGGCTTCACCAGCACGCACGTCTCCATCATGCACCTCGTGTCCGTTATTCTCGAACTCAGCGCCACCGTCGCAGCACCATGGCTGATGAGCAAGATCGGCGCTGTAAGAGCCGGCCTCTGGTTTATCAACGAACAAGTCCTCGCCATCGGTCTCGCAATAGGTCTATTCCACGTTTTCCCCACGAGCACTGCCCCGATGCTGGCTGGCGCCGCCCTCGTCCTCGGCGTCTGTCTCTCCCGCCTCGGTCTCTGGGGTTTCGATCTTAGCGTCCAGTATCTCGTGCAGGAAGATGCGCCGCCTGCGTCCCGCGGCTCCTTCTCCGCTATTGAGATGAGCCTGCAGAATCTCTTCGAACTGCTTTCCTTTGCGACGACAATGGTGTGGTATAGACCGCAGGATTTCACCATACCGATACTTATTAGTGCCGGCGCGATTGTGTCAAGCGCGGCGTGTTTTGCGGGATTTGTGAGGCAGAAGCGGGGGCATTTGCTGCATACGGATCGGTGCTTGAAGAGGATGGGTGGAAAGAAGAGGATGTATCAGGTGCTGCCGACTATTGAGGAGGAGGGGGATGTTGAGATGGATGAGAGGGATAGGCGATGAAAGAGAGGCCATATATCCCTGGAAGACCAGAATGAACAAGAGTTATGCAGCATTGTTTATTGCCAATGCAAGAAGAACTGCACGTGAACACGATTGCAATTCATTAGGCGGATATGAGAGTTGAACCTTATGGTTCCATCACCATTATAGCTAAGTCATCGCTCGTCTGTCGAACCTCGTAGCCGCATAAACTTAAACACTCCTAAGGTATATAGTGGCGGGCTTCAGGTAGTGAGAGAGCCGGGACGATATACTGCTATGTGATGCATGGCTACGTACGGTAAGTTTAGGGTTGAAAATATCATCAGCTTATCATTAGTTGTGAACTTTGTTATGCAAGTGTAATGTCAATATTTGCAGAAAACCCTCTCGCCCTTCCAGGAAACCCAGTGTGCTTTACGGCTCCATCCCATAGCTCGCTTTGGGTATCAAACAAAACGCCAATTCCGATACGCAGATATGCATCTCCAGCGGTGTTCTTTGTACAGGCAAGGATGGGGACCGTTGCTTCTCTCATCTCTTTGACATTGTCTTCTTCCCAATCTCGCTAATCCCCACTTCCATCATCATCACTGTCTTCTCACCTCTCGTCCCCTTCTTGTTCTCTATTCAATCCCACCGAATTTGCTATTTTGATTGAAGCGTTATTCTCGTCCTCTTCGTCACCACTCCCATACTTCAGCCCCTTGGAGGAGCAACCGAAGCAGTTGGCAGAACCTACAACCATTGGCGAGATTGTACAATGCTAGTCTTTTGAACTTCCTATGGGAACGCAAGACTCTTCTTGGGCAGAAAAGTTTCTCTATAGACAAGCTCAGGCAAAACTCACACAGCTGATCAGATGTGGTCAAACCGAGGGGTTGTGGCATGTGTTAAGGTGGCGGGCTTGAAGGTCGAGTCATCGCCCTGTAGTTGTAATTTGGTGAAGACTGAGCGCATTGTAGGGACGGTGTTGAACGTATCGAGGCTAGACTTTCAATATGTGCATCTGCTAGCGAAAAAGCAGAGTATGGCGGCAGAGATATATACACGGAATCCTCTATTATGTCACCCGTGGGATACTGCCTCAAGTCCGTAAGCACACAAGGTTGGAATCGATTTTCTCAGCCTTATGCGCTTTGTGAAGAGCGGATATGGTTCATGTACGACTATTGCGGCTGATGCCTGTGAATAGATATAGTTGGCTGCGATTTCTGAGACAATTATAAGTTCTAGGATAGGTCAGATAAGAATTGGCGTGGCATCGTGAGATTGTTCGGGGGTGTTTTCGAAGCTAGGAATGGGTCGCGGCAATGATAGGCTAGCGCAAGCCCTGGATCTTGGAATGACGCACTACCAGAGGCGTCGCATCCTCCCTCAAGATCCATTCATTGAGAAGCTCAATTTTCTCATAATGACGCCTGCTCTAGCCACAGAGGAACGACTCTACATGTCGTTCTCTTGCATGGCGAAGATGCCCGGCTATACGGCACCGCGTCAAACGCTTGGCCAAGACGTGCTCGTGCTTCGACCTACATGACGCGTAACCTTGTTGAACACACGCTCATCGGTTCATTTCTTGTACAGAACGAATGAGGCGCTCTATAACACGTGCTAGAAGAGGTAGGCCATCCTAATTCACCCTAAGGTTGTCGCACGACTAACAAGCGCAGGATGGCTCGTCCTACCCCTCGGCAGACACCCCGCTCGCTTTCGACCCACGCCCTTCCTCCAACAGACTTCGAACAACAACTCTCAATCAGCAAACACGGGGGGAAGTAACTCACACGATGGAGACAAGCAGGAGCGAAGCAAGTTTGCACGGAGTGTTCTCGAAGGAAGCACGGTAGCTCTGATTTCACTCTTCGGACTGGGCCTGGGTGGCTATGCCTATAGTCTATTCTACAAAAGGACTGTTGCGAAGAAGATAGAGAATGCCTTTGCGACAGGATACAGCTCGCAAGAGCGCGTTGTGTTGGGTCGCATCTCATACGGCACCGAGCCAGACAAGATCCAAGAGATTGTGGAGAGAGAATACTGGGTTCCACGAGCAGAGCAGGAAGACATCGACAATGTTGTCAGTGGAAGGGCTAGAGGGAGGTACTATCTTGTCATCGGTGAGCGAGGTACCGGCAAGCGAGCACTGCTCTTGGAGGCCATGAGGAAGGTCAATGGTGACGGCATTGCTATGCTAGAAGCGCATAATGATCTGGAGGTCTTTCGAACACGGCTTGGCAAGGCTATCGATTACGAATTTCACGAAGACTATATTGGTGGGCTGTTCAGTATTCGGGGTCCGAGAGATAGCTCACCGCTATTGGATATCGAGAGAGCGCTTAATCAGATGGAGAAGGTAGCCTTGTCGCTGAGGAAGCGGCGAGGCAAGCCTCTTCTTATGATCATCAACAATATCCACCTGTTCAAAGACGACGAAGCAGGAAAACATCTCCTAGAGATCTTGCAGCAGCGCGCAGAGATATGGGCGGGCAACGAACTCGTCACAACCGTCTTTACCTCTGATGAATTCTGGACGCTCGAACGCTTGACACCACATGCAACTAACATGCACGTCATAAGCGTCAGAGACGTACGCAAAAACGTAGTCACAACAGCACTAAAACAATACCGAGCGCGCTACCACAACGAAGACGTACCACAGAGTATCCTAGACGAGGTCTTCGCCAAGGTCGGCGGACGACTAATCTTCTTGAACCAAGTCGCTAAATCCAAAGACATGCTAGAAACCTGCAAGCAAATCAATCGAAGAGAGAAAACGTGGTTCCTCAACAACTGCTGGATCCTCGGCGACTCCATGGACGATGACGTGGAAGAACAGCAGAAATACTGCGCTGCCGCCATCGTCCTAGCTCGTGCCCTTGTTCTTCGCGAAAAAGAGACGATGGATTCGGACCAGTTTACGCTTCCTGAGATTCCACTACACGAGGCTCGTCAAATTATCACGAGAGCTGACTTTGTGCACCCGTTTGATCATATCAATGTTGTCCACATTGATGCTCATGGTATGGTAAGAGCGGATTCTGTGCCGATGCAGAATGCGTTTCGCGAAGTTGTACAACAACCTGGGTTTGAGGAACATTTGAAAGCTACTTTGAACAGATTGGATGAGTTGGAGAGTTTGGCGAGGACGAGAGAGGTTGCGATGAGGGATCCACCTGATAGAAGTGGGGGAATTGTGCCGGTGCAGACGTATTGTGCAAAGCTCTGAAAGGGTGATACGGGAGCCGGGTTGGACGATGCGCGTGATGAGTGAGGGCTTTCCCTGTTCTCGAAGATGAGCAAGTTCCTTACGTTTGCGATGGTTCTTATCCTAGAGTATTTATTGAAAAGACGCGCAAATCTGTCGTCACATAGTTTGTGTATGTTTTTGACAGATATAAGGCCGCGGTAGTTCTTCTACGAGACTCCAAATTCTCTACGAGCGCGTGCATGTCAAGAGCGAAGTCCTGGTTGCGGCACGGTGAGCTTCGGGCATGCTGACGTCAACAGCTTCGCAAGCGAACTCCGTCCTCAAGCTACCCCGAAGCTGCTTTGCTCACCCTCGTAAGACCTCAACACCAGCTCTTGGCCCTTGTCTCCGGAGACACGACGACCTATCTTAAGTCGGATTGAATGCTCGATTTAGTAGCGTTACCGTAAAGCATGCCTGCTGCGGCGTCCCCTCACTATTGGCAGCCAGCTCAAAGTCTTGGTTTTTCCGACAGCCGAATCGACCAAACCAAAATGCGGTAGCGGCGTCATCCTAAAACCTGGAGAAATGTGACGATCGCGGAAGCGAAGCGGTGCGGAGCCCCGCAAGAAGATATCCAGGGCTTAGGTTCCTGAAAATTCGGGTGAAATGACTCCGGAGCTGCTTGGCTGGTAAACATCCATGCTTTTGCAACCGGCTATATGAGGTCTGCAGCGATCGACCAAAAAATGTTTGTCACCCCAGCTCGCCTTCGCATCACATCGCAATGGGTTTCAACACGCTTTCATGTCAGCTTTTGCTAGCTGCGGCGACTGCCTCCGCCAAGTGGATCGTTCCAGGAGCGCGATGGAGAGCTACTGACGGCACCCTTGTGAATGCGCACGCGGGCGGTATCACTGTGGACCAAGAGTCGGGCAAGTTCTTCTGGTTCGGCGAGTACAAGATTGAGGGCCAGGAAGAGGGTGGTGGTGTTAGCGTATACAGCTCTGATGATCTTGCGACATGGGAGCCTCACGGTTTGGCCCTGGAGCCGATTGAGGGCCATCCCTACATCTCCACGGAAGACATCATCCAAAGACCAAAGGTTGTATACAGTGAAGGCACCGGCCAATACCATGTAAGTAATCATCATAGTCAAAGTTCTTGCTTTCACTAACCATGAATAGATGTGGTGGCACGCCGATAACTCCACCTACGGAGAGCTTCTTCAGGGTCTCGCTGTCTCAGACAACATCACCGGCCCTTACAGCTTCGTCGATGCTACGGCACCACTTGGCAACTGGTCACAAGATTTTGGCCTTTTCGTAGACCAGAAAGACGGTCGAGCATATTCGCTATACTCCAATGGCGACCGTAGAGAAGGACGCGATGTATACTTGACCTCGTTCAACGAAAACATCACTGCTCTTGATGAAGTCGTTCATCGTTTTGACAAGTACGATTTGGAGGCACCAACAATTGTGCAGACCGACAAGAGCTACTTCGCGCTGATGTCGCACAAGACGGGATATCGCCCAAACAGTGAGCAGATATGCTGAACAGATACGTGTGTCATATACTAACTGGTGTCAGACGTTGTTGCTTTCCGTGCCGACTCGCTTGCAGGCCCCTGGTCTCAACCTTTCATCATCGCACCCTTGAACACCCGCACCTTCAACTCCCAATCTGGCTTGAACCTTCGGATCAACGGTACAAAGAAGACGACCTTTATTTACATGGGTGACCAATGGGACTCCAACAGCCTTTGGGAAAGCAGATACATCTGGCTGCCGCTTGAAGTTGACGAAGAGAAGAAGTCTGTTGAGCTCAAGTGGTACGATGTCTGGGATCTCGATGTTAAGACTGGAGAAGTCACAGCTATCAACGGTACCACCTACTACGGCAAGAACGCTACTACCACTGGTGATGCGTACCACCAAGAAGCCAATTTTGGCAGCGACGGCGTCATCGTTACTGGAATCTATGGCAACGACAGCAAAGTCACTTTCTCCAACATCGAGGGCGCGGGCAAGCCCCAGTGGGTCTCGTTCTACTACCAGAACACTGATGACATGGGCTTTGGTGACCAACCCGGAGGCACACCTGACCGTATCAACGGAACATGGCAGCTTCGCCGTATCTCGAGTGTCATTGTTAATAACAAGACCGAGGAGGTTGAGTCGCTGTACCAGAGGGATACCCACAAGGGTATCATCCTGAGTACGCCACTCATGCTGAACTTGGAGAAGGGTAACCACAACACTATTACTATTGGTGGTTTGGACAATGGTAAGGATGTGAAGGGTGCGGATATTGACCGCATTGTGGTGTTCCCGCCTGAGGAGTAGTTGTGTGGAAGCATTGTAAGATATTTCTGACAGATACACCAATATCAACATTGCAGATCATTGAAGGTTGGTGTGATGTTCCGTGTGATCCATATGTGCACAGACTTTACAGCATATTCAGGTCCTGTGCTTTGTTTCAGTTCTGCGCTTTGTTGGGTAGTTGAAGTGAGACCGTGAATGTTTGTACTAGGTGCACTATTATTCTACGTTGATATGGTACATGATTTAATATAATGTACACCCTTAGGGTATATTCTGATTATTAAGTACAACTCATGAGATGTTCGCTGCTTAGCAACCAGCATTGACGCATCCCTTGTCGCGTCAATCGATGACACACATCTCTGCCACATCCAATCTAACCTAATTTCCAGCCCTCAAGTTCAGAAATGTTTGTATATGACTTCAAGTCCACGTATTGGGGGAAGCGGCTCCCACCGCTACCAAACTCATTTGCAGTAAGGTTGAGAATAGTAGAAGATGTAGACATATTTGACTGCAAAAGACCAGGGAAAGCATCGTCAAATGTGTTGAAAATCTCGGCAGGAGTGTAGAAATCGATGCCCTTTGCCTCAATCTCTGACTGGAAGAGCTGAAGGTACTTCTTGGAATACTCCAGGTCGCGTGTGGCACAGAAGCCTCTAGTGTTTATCGCGTGGCCAGGAATGATCACCTTGGGCGCAAGATTCTCGATGAAGTCGAGGGTTGAAAGCCATGCTGCTGTCAGGGCAGGAGTGAGAAGGTCTGCGAGCCAGACGTGGATGGAGTCTCCGTAAACTGCGTCTCCCGCGATCAGTGTCGATATTGAAGGGATCCAAAAGAGAGTCTCGTCAACTGTATCGCCAGTCATGAGGCTGATAAGATGGACCGGGGAGGCTTCATCGCCAGGTAGTGTAAAGATGCTGTAGTTGTAAGGCTCGGGGAGAGTAGGCTTCTGTACAATGTTCTCTCGACCGTTCACGCCCGACCAGATCTCAAGCTAATTAACAATTAGACAGGTTGGAATCGCGATATGAACCATGTCATGTCAACTTACCGTGCGAGGGAGTCCTGTTTTCATATGGCCGATAGTTTTCGAATTCGCGTAGTATGGTACGTCGGGGAACTGCTCGAGAAATGCAGCACCGCTAAGATAGTGGTCAGGATGGAAATGGGTACTAAAGGCGGCCACCAAAGGTTTGTCAGTCGTGTTCTTGACCCAGTCGGCCAAGGCGCGTGCTTGTGGTATGGCGAGCGGAAGGTCAATGATGACTGCTGATTTCGAACCAATAATGAGGGACGAAACCACATCGAAAGATGGGCCAACGTTGATATGGGATTTGACCATCAACTGACTGTTGCTTCTAGCAACGAAGGGTGCGGTGTCGGTAGCGCTGAAGGCGACGGCTGCCCAAAGCAGAATCTGATGCAGCATATTGAAGATGGATTGCGAAAGATTGGAACAAAGATAAACTGTCAAGATGTGGATGTTGGAAGCTAGTATTGGGAGCTGCCATCGTGAGGTAGTATCTGTCAAACGCTAGATATCCAGCAAAGTCCTTATATACCTCCAGTATACGCTGCATGGTTACTCCCTGACTTGGTTGAGCGCCTAACTTTCAATATCCGGATGTACTGCTGTCTTGGCCGCCGACATCATTTGAAGCATATTTCCACGCCTTCCTGGGAAAGGAGTATAGCTGACTGCATCCTTTGCGACATTATTGATTGTCATAGCTGACATAGTCCTCTTGTTGCTGGGTTCAAAAGCTAGTGTTGATGACTTATCCTATCGGGATGTAAAACCCGCCAAGTCGGTATCACTGCCGGCCAAATAATCTCCTCAATGGCTTAGGAACGGATTTATCATCGTAGTGACAAGGTTTTGTCTGTTTAACTATCATGCTTCAATTCTGATGCATTGGAATGTCTGATCAATCATTGTGGGCCTGGGTAACTAGCGCTGTCGCGTCTCTTGTAGCACCATACGAGGACGCACATCTTCGCCCCGATTGCCTCTATCATGGACCAAACCTCACGCATCGCAATCAACTGACGCTTGCTTGAACAGTGGAAACGCTGAGTACACCGTGAACACATATCGTGTTCTTCCGGCTTTCGCCGCCTGCTAATCTTACTGAGCGTCGTTCGCCATGAACAACTGTAGGGTCTAACATGTCCTTCGCAGCATCATTGTTGATCCCGCAAAGCTCTCTTCCTCTACATTTGGCTCACAAGTGCTGTTGTGGATTTTAATACTTCTGCTGCAGCGCTTCTGTAGAAGTCTTGTCCTGTTGGCTGTGTGTGAAGCGATGACCCGCAGCTGACGAGCCACTCACAATGACTACAATCCAAATGACACCAAGGCGAGAAGACTATATGAATTTAGAAATATTTTTAATGGATGAGACAACTGGAACGGTCGTATCCACGCTTGAGCATGGTAGCGAAGTCGTTTTTGGAACTGCCTGCTCTTTCAAAAGTCTTTTCGTAGCATGCTTGGGGATTCGCTCAACTACACACTCAGCGATCTTTAGACTTTTATAATCTGGCCATAGGTAGCCATATCACTTCCAGTTCAGTCCATTGGCGCGCTCAGTCACTTAGCCTGGGTTCAAGCAGCTTTACTATCATGGAGCCTCCGCAAGCACCTTTCTTCTTCGGACTACTGACAAAGGTAGGAGATTCCATCTAGGAGTTACTATTCAAGCGCGAAGGCCTTACCCTACTACACAACGCCAATGCATTCTTCCCCCGAGGGCCGGATCTAAAGGATTACGAGGACAGTGATGTGGGAATGTGTGGGTGTTATAGGTGCGGCTACGATAGAGTTTCACATTGAGAGTACGACCATTGAGTGTGGGCAGTATCGATGTGCGATGGTGAGCAGGAGATGAAGAAGCTCAAGAAAGACTTCTCCTACGGCTTTTGGAAGGACTGAGCATTCTCAACTGCTGCCGCCAGATTTATTAAGAAGCAAGCGGAGTCTTCTGCGGGCATAACCTATTTGCTTTCAGTCGTTCGACATCAAGACACGATATCCTTCTCCTTCTTCGCATAATATGGATGAAGCAACCGACTCGGATCTCAACGCCGTCCTAAACACTATTAAGCAGGGAGATGTGCTATTATTAAGACCTGTTTCGCGGCCCATGTAAAATATCGCCGTCCCCCCTAAAGCCATGAATCCGCGCCATTACATTATCTACAAACGCTCGGGAGCGAGACAGTTCATAGTCCTGGACAAAGGAGCAAGACTCATGTGGGAGCCTCAGGAGTGGACACCGTTACTGTTGGGCCTACCCAAGTTGATGAAAGAGAAGATCTGTCGATACGCAGCCCTTGCGCCTGAAGGCATAACCATAGATATCACTGCCGGTAAGACGTATGGAATAGACCTTGCATAGTTTCATTTTTTCAGGGTTGTTTAAGCAGGCTATCTGTTGACTCTCGCGATAACAAGTTGCAATGTCTCGACTGACTTCAAGAGGTTTTGTGGACTCAACTACCTGCTGTACCCGGACGCTATGAACAACGGTATCATCAGCAATATTGCAGGAGGAAACTATGGGTGCACCTGCGATCAGAGTCTCAATCTCAACTTCATGTTGGGCCGACGAAAAGACCATGAGGATATCCAGATCAACATCAAGGGCCTCGTGCGCTTTCTGAGCAGCTTGCCTTTACTTAAATCCAATACTCGGTCGATCATCAACATCAAACTATACGAAAAGCAGGGACCTTATAGAGCAAAGATTGAATTGCCAATCAAGAAGCAGAGAAAGGCCATCTTCCTCTTCTTTACCGACTTCCTCTGAAAGGAGGAAAGCCAACATACTACACCTTTGTATACACCCAACATCTGGATCAACGGCTACGGCGATATCGTCCAATGCATCAATAAGCCAAGAAAGTTCCGTTGTGCAGGAACGACCAGCTAGCAATTCGATCTGGATAGTAATGGTCGTTACGTTTTCGAGGCGCATGAAGAATCGCAGCTTGCTTTCGTGGCTTACAGAATCGGGTGGCATGCTCAGGCAATGAACAGAGACTGCCCGATTGAAAAGCGCAACGAATGTCTTGTACATGCTTGGGACGATCTTAGTCGGTGCATGGAGGTTGAGTAGCAGTCTTCCTCCTGCTATGCATAGAGGTGCCTTTGAGTAGGGCCCGATATTGTCGCAAGAGGACGCTTAATCTGAGGGGTGGGGGGGGGCACTGCGCTCATAGAAACGTAGATGAGATACGAGATCAATATACAAATAAAGTGAGAGATGAAGTTGTGAAGCATGAGTGCGATTACTGCGGGGTTTCACCGCGTGTTTTTCGTGTTTCGCCGCTAACTAACAACGGCATAGTTTGATCGCCCTGCTCCATCCCAGGCAACAGCCAACTTCGTCGAGCCTCTTAGCCTCTCTCCTCCATCAACATCACATATCTTCTTACACTGCCATGGACATTTCGAAAGTGCGCTCTGCTCCGTTGGATCTAACAACTCCTTCGTTCCTGACGTTGCCAGCAGAAATCCGCAACAGGATTAGCGAACTCGTCTTCGTGCAATCAGAACCAATACTGATACATAATGCCGAATACTACTACAACCGAGGGACGTATGGGCCCGATACAAAGAGTAGCACTTCATTTGACGAACGCGCGGGATACAACAATGGCATGGAGTGCGACTACCAGTCTAAGATCAAGCACTATGATGAAGCGCGGAAGCGTTGGGAGATGAGACTAGACGCCGAAAAAGAGGATGCGCAGCTCTTCAGGCACGAGGCGTCTCTCGGACTTGGCCTACTAAGGTCATGTCGCCAAATTTACCACGAAACGGCTAGTATCTTATACTCTGAGAATACATTCGTCGTCTCCCGGGTCCGTTATGAATACAGCCGAACAGGAACAGTAATGGAAGCGTGTAAGGGCAAGGAATGTCATGACTACCACCAACTCCGTTACGCCCCGATATGGCTCGCATCTCTTGGCTCACAAATGAAGCGGATAAAGAAGGTAGTCATAGACATCTCAGCTGTATGTGATCATCGGTATGCTTACTGCGACAATTTCTACCTACTGCCGTTATTAAGAATCATCTGGAACGGACATTTGTCTTGCTGTGAGATTACCTTTGCTCACACTGGTAGGAGAACGGGAGGCCGCCCGTGGGTCAAGACTCCTCAGATGCTCAGGGCGACCGCTACCCGATTGAACAAAGCACTGGTATCTCTTACCAAAGACGATACTTTAGAGCGTCGTTGTCTCTCGGCCTCAAGGTCGTTTCTGTCATCTCTCAGCATGAATAGTAACGGTACCGGCGGCTCCGTACAATACTACACAGCACTGCAGAGCATTGTTCGCGATTTCGGAATCGATCGAGCTTCCGGAAAAATAGTGTGGTACACCGCCAAGCCAATCACGTCACCTACAGATCTTCCTTTGCATGTGCAAGACGTGATCTGTCGCCATGTGTTCACGCCTGAACAAAGCCTTCGAGTTGTGTTGAACAGCTCCAACCCTCTCAGTTGCGAACGGAGCGTTTTCGATGTTTCTCGGACCTTCCGAAAGTGTTTTATTCGAGCAGTCAGGGCATGCATACCAGCCACTATCGAGCTTAAGACTGCAGAAGAAGATACCGACTACAACGTTTTAGACCCTTCAAGAAGATTTTCCCTGGATACAGGTGCTTTGCGGAGCTGCGATTGTTGGGACTGGGGTTTCTCTCCATGTATTCGTCTCCCCCCGTGTAGTGGTCTCATCAACCAGGTCATCAATGCAAGCGTCGAAATCCCCCATGGCGAAGAGCAACAGACTACAGAAACCACTCTGTTGGTTCGTATCTCACTCGACCGCCCCACCCAGCCTACAGACATTCGCATTCATATCAACGGTTTGCTCTATTGGCTTGGAACCGTTGGACACGAATCCATCAAAGACAAGGTATTTCTTACGATTCAGCTCGAATATAGCGAAGAGGGGAAGCTACACTGCGAGAATAATACCATTGCAATCGGGAAATTAAGGATGGGGCTATTTCTATATCTTACGGATATTCTTGATCAACATTCACAGGGTGGTGATGGTGGACCAGAACGACCAGAATTGTGGATTGATGGACGTGGAAACCTCGTGGATTTGAGTTCACTATCGACAGGATTCCGGTTCAATCATACGAATTTGACGACGTCTGAAGGAGGCAAAGAAAACATCAGGAGCGTTTTAGAAGACATCGGAGCTCGCCATGACATTGACAGGGCTGACTGCGCTCTGTACGGCTCTAATCCATGCGCGTGCAATGTATGGAGATCTCTACGGCCATGGGCAGAGTCTGTTTGGAAGAACGAGCAGTCACACCACGGGAAGAATGAGCAGGGTTGTGATTAGTATAGAATTGTGACAGCCCGGCTACAAAGACGTTCGTCTCTCAGCAATTCTGCACACCCAGAATCAGATTTTTGACACCTTCACCCCTTGATGTCTTCTCCCATGCGTCGGTCGCCTTCTCAAACGGTGTTACCGAACTAATCAAAGGCCTCACATCGACCAAGCCCTTCTCCAAAAACCTCATAGCAAGCTCATAATCTCCAGCACCATACCTAAAACACCCCCTCACCATAAGCTCTTTTTGACCCATAGCCACAATCGGAAACTCAATCTTCGGCTTTCCAAGCCCAGTCTGAACATACTTGCCACCCGGTCGTACAATGTTTATACCCATATCGATGCTAGATGTTGCACCGGAAGCTTCGATGACGGTATCTATTATACCACCGGTTGTATCGATGCCGTACTCCGCAAGGTCGAACTTCTTAAGTAGTTCTTCGGCGTTGCCTTCTGGACTTGCGTCGGTCGACGAGCGGAAAGTCTCACACTTCAAGTAACTGGCTGCAAACTCAAGCTTTTTCTCCAGGATATCCACAACGATGATGCGATGTGCGCCAAATTGACGCGCAACCGCCGCGCAGAATAGTCCAATCGTCCCACTCCCCATCACCACGACTGTTTCGCCAGGTTTCACATCGGCCAGCTTGACCGCATGCACAGCGACCGCGAGCGGCTCCACAAGAACTGCCTCGTCCAAACCCATATCATCCGGAATCTTATACACGAAGTCCTCTGCGCTGCGAAAGTACTTCGATAGTGTGCCTTGCGTGTCAGGCGGACCGGGGGCGGCAGCGAAGCGTATGTCACGACACATGTTGTAAACTCCAGACTTGCACGCTTTGCATATACGACATGGTATGCCTGGCTCGATGGCTACGCGATCACCTGGCTTGACGCTTTTCACAGATGATCCGACAGAGTAGATGGTACCTGAGGCTTCGTGGCCCATCACGATGCCGGTAGAGGGATCGACCATCTTGCCGATACCGCCATGGTGCCAAAAATGGACCTTGGTATTGAATTAGTCTTTTTTTTTTGGTTCGTATAATGGGAATTATTGCCGCGAATGAGACAGGTGATGGTGGTGGCGGTGGTCTTACATCGCTTCCACAAACTCCTACATAGTTGATGCGAACGATCACATCGTGAGGGTCGACCACCTCTGGTATCGCGATGTCTTCGATCTTCGCATTCTTCGGTCCGTACAATACTACAGATGGATTTTGCATAGTGCGGCTACTGGTAGCGATATCGATGTTTGGTGTATAGCTTGAGGAACCACTATTTTGTTCAAGATACGCAAGAAGGTATGCCTATTTATGTAAAGAGAGCAAAAAATAGCACCTGTTACATGTTTGCTGTTCTGGTATCAGTGCTGCTATTGTAATCGTTATCGACTGTAAGCGACGCCCCAAAGTGGGGACAAGGGACGTAGACGCGTGTAGCTTCCCCGCATCCTAGTTACCACCGTCTATCCCCGCACATCTTGCGGCGTGTAAGGAGGGCGTTCGGTGCTGGCTGCAGGTCCGTTTTTGGTCGTGATGGTCACAATGTGTGAGATGACATCATCATGGGTGGGGATTGACTGTTTGACTCCGGAAAGATGAGAGGGAGTGCGTTCACGCCGATGAGGCGGATTCCGGAGCGGCGACTTCCTCGTTGCGAACTAGTTGCTGAAAACTCCAAGAGAGAGATAGACCAGAGGTCCTGGATACGTTGCGTCATCGCACTCGTGAAACCTCGCTTTCACTTTACAATTGACATTTTCTAGCAAGCGCACCTAATCGTAAGGCCCACCCATCCTTTCATGATGACTGACAGCTTCCTAACACGCCGTGTTGTACTTAGGTTTTCTTCGGATAACCTTCCATACATCATCAACAGAAGTCATCATCACTAAGGGTGAATCCGAGCCCAAATGTGCCGCATGCGATAGGACAGCCACTGAATGCGGTCTGGCAACGCTCCATCGATGCATTCCAGATGCGCTTGGAAGACGACATGAAACTTAAGAACAATTGTACGCCGAACAGCATCTACACCGGCAGACCTTCAAGCATCGGGCCCTTCAGGAAGTTTCTTGGCCATGCAGCTACAAGGAGTGGTTTGCCGCCTCCTTGGTGGAACTTCGAACACCAGAGCAAGTGCGAGAGCTGCGCTGAGAATGGAACGATGTGCGAAATAAGGTTACGAAGCCCCCGATGATTGCGCATTATGGTGACGATAAGGTGCCGATGCAACTGAGGATGCTGGCCAAAGCAGTATACGGTGTAAGATCGATAGGGCAGAACGGCGCCGGGATGCACAAGGTGATGCATCAAATGGAATCGGGTGGTCCTAGAAATGGTAACGTCTTGAGCATGATGGATATCAGCAAGCTTATGGGTGGTGGTGGACGCTAGCATAGTTGAGCAAGATTATCCCCCAGCTATCACGACTGATTCATGTTGCACTAGATACATATGACAACTCCGAGCTGACGTTGATACACATTCTCATTGTCAATTCTATATGGTCAGATGAATGTCCTATTTGCGCTTAACAAAAGCCAATCAGTGTAGCCACCTACGGTCTCCCACCTTGACGCCGCCCTGATTGGACAAGTCAAGCCAGCGTCATCTCTGAGATGGCCATCGCATATACGGAAAAAAAAGCAGCGTTGGAGCACAAATATTGCGCGTTGAATCCGCACTTGGGACAAGGCGAGTCTTTGAGCATCTGAAGAATACAAGTAACGGAGGAGCACTCACTTCCGCCTATGACGAGTCCTTCCCTTCCTAGCCTCTTCTTCGGCTTTCTTGGCTTTCTGTGCGTCTTTTACGGCCTTCTCAAGAGCCTCTTCAGCTTGTTGCGTTGTCTCTTTCTCACGGACTTTCTTTCGTTCGGTCGCCGCACGCGCCTGCCTCCATTCCTTGGCTTGCTTGCCCTTCAGCCCTGAGGGAAGCCATGTCGGGGTTTGTGAGGTCTTGCCTGTGCGAGTAACTCGAGGGGTCGCGAAAGATGGCTGAGCCTGAAGTTTGGAAGTAGCTTCGGTTACTACGGCGGTTTCGGAAGGGCCTAATCCCGGAATGACTGCACCGTTCGTGGTGGATTCAGTATGCGAGTCAGCTTCAACGACAGGAGGAAAATCATCTTCCTGAAAGCCATCGTCAGTGAAGCTAGCAACTTCCGCAGCGATAGAGACAGTCTCTTCGATATTGTTGGCCTTTCCATGCGCCTGGATATTGTGGGCAAAGTTCAGTGACGGAATGGCTGCCATATTCTCGAGCTGAGCTTGCGTGGAGTTGACGCAGCGAAGGAAGCCATACCGATCGTTCTCCTCCAAGAGGACGTCGAGCATGAAGGGTGGAATAACATCCGTGAAGCTTTCTGTGACGTAGTCGTCCGAGATACTGCCACCTTCTGCAAGGAGTTTCTCGATCGCTGCATCTGGCCAGTGGTCACGTACCGCCTTGAATACGACGTTGTATCCCAGGCTGTAAGGGTGTTTGGCGCAACCCTTTCGGGCCCAGACTCCGAATCGCTCGCCGCATTCGTCACAGAAAGCTGTAGATTCTCTTAGTATACTTGATTGGAATGACCTTGGCTGTACTTACCAAAGTGCAGTTGTAGAAAGCATTTCTTCTGTGGAGGCGCCTATAGCAATCATCAGTCAGGCTTCTCTTAAGTGGCAAAGGTGGTGCATTCATAGTATGCGAAGAGAGGTGCCTTGCCTTGCAATCTGGACAATGGTGTGTCAGGCTCAAGACCTTGAGGGTATTCTTGTTGGAAATTTTGGGGTTGAAGTCGCCTTTAAACATATCTCCATACTTCTCGTTGAGATTGATCCAGCCTCCAATGAGTTTTACCATATCTTCCAGTCTTGAATAGTATAATAAGTCAAAGTTGAAGTTCGTTTTTATGTTTACAAGCCGTTGATAAGTGTACCCAAGGTATATAAATACTGGAGTTGCCTGCGTGAAGGTATTTCCCTGCAGCAGTGCTACCTTGTCGTGTAGTAGCTCTGTCCTGTCTGGGAATATTCACGCATTGGTTTGACCTACGGTTACTATTCATTCCCGAGCGTGGCGAGTTTTATCGCCGCGACAACTGTCTTAGCATTCCTCTATGACCACAGTAACTTCACTGTGACTGCATCCACTCGAAAAGAAATTGAATCTTTAGCCCTTCAGCCAAATTCAATCAACGTTTGAGCCGCTTGAATAGCTAGCCATTATTAATACGTTGAATCACCCATGCAGCGGAAGCTACATCATGTCAAATCTTGGCTTTCAGCGGATACATTATTCACAAAGGCGAACCTTTCACGGAAGCTCGGGCCCTATTTTGGTACCAGATCTGGTCTCTGGTGTTTGTCTGTACGGCGCCTTCTCCCCTAGTGCTCTATATGTTCTCCCCACCCCTAATTCTGCCTGGCTGCAGCCAACCTGACTGCCAGTTGACTTGATATCATACCCTCGCCCGTCGATAATCCACATCAAGTATTCCATCCATCATGCCTCCAAACTTCAGTCTCACATCTTTGTTCTCGGCATTTGGCCCCAGCTCCAATAGCACTCAGAAGAATACTCCGGCCAAGCTGCGAAAGACGCCACCAATACCCAATATCTTGAGCCACACCAGAATTCGCGGCTACCTGGGTACGCAAAATTCTGGCCTTTCTACAGTATTCGCGAGCTCCTACGAGAAGTGCAGGGCTCGATTTGCGCGCCAGAAGAAGAGCAAAGTTCCCGAGCCGGTACAAACGTCGCGCGATATCATCCCATCACAAGCGACCGCCTATCCGGAATCGAACTTGAATGTAATTACGGAGATTCACACTGTTCTTGACACACCGCCTCAGCCGACATACACGCCCGGCAATACATCTAATTGTTCGGGTCACGGGCTCGAGGTAGCTGAGCACACACACACCACCATCAGTGATGCATCGACGGACCTTATCGGCGATGATACCACTCCGACTACTATTTTTTTCACAGCCAACATCGACACCCAGCCCGATAAGGCCACCTCACCAAGCAGCAAAATATCTGACGAAGAGGTCGACGGTGGTAAATCATCAACAAACCAGTCGTGTGGTTCGGCATCAACCACTGGGACAAGTGAATCATCTGACAGTTATCTCAATCGCTCTGATTGGGAGCCTCTCCGTGCACTTCCCCACTCGAACTTTCACAAGATTCTTTCACAACATGTTGGCGGCTCCATCGAGACCGCAGAAAATGACTACCAGTACTGCGAGGAGTTTGAAGGCGGTTACAACTACGTCCGGATCTATAATGTTCTCACCGGCTCCAATGCCGGTGCATATGTTGTCAAGATCCCTTCCGTTGGTACTGCACTTCGTTGGCAGAAGCAGGATGGTTACATGCTACGATCGGAGTTTGGGACCATCAACTTCATCCGCGAGCGCACCAAGTGTCCTGTTCCTGAAGTCATTGCCTACGCAGATACCTTAAATAACGATCTAGGTGCACCTTACATCTTGATGAAAGTATGCACGGGTGTACGAGCCGTTGAGATTTGGCATGGCGCTGATGCCGACGGTCGCTGGGATCCTGACGAAGTCGATTTTCCCTCTGCTACATTGTTCGCCAAGCGTTCGCGCATGCTTCGTTCACTGGCTGAAGCTATGGCCGAGCTGCGGAACCTCGAGTTCGATAAGATTGGTGCTCTGGACTTTGATAACGTTGATACGAACGGAATGCCCGCCGTTGGTCCTGTCTGGTTGTGGGAGATCGATCCATATTGCACCGCAGATATGTTCACAGAAAAGGCTCTTTCAGAGAAGCCAGTGTACAACTCAAGTCTGGAACTCCTCATGGATGGACTGGAGGAGGTCTGGCCGCACCAGGGAAAGGAAGGCCGGCTCATGGTCATACATCAAATCTTAGACACCATTTACCGAAGCGACGCTTTCTCGAAGCCAACCAAACCCGGTTGTAGCAAGGAGACCTTCGTTCTCCGCCACGACGACCTCAACCTTCAGAACGTCTTCTGCGATCCTGACACTGGCGAAGTGACCGCTATTATCGACTGGGAGCGCGCTTCCACCGCCTCTCACTGTCTTGGCTATTCTTCCCTCCCGCTCTTCCTGACATCTGACTGGGGGCCGGGATACGACGTATACGATGCCTCGCACTCGCCATTGTCGCTACAAGCGTATCGCGAGATCTACGCTGACGCGATGATCAAGGCGACTGGGGCAGACGGTGATGGCAGGTACACATACAAGTCTGCAATGTATCAGGCCGCATACGCAGCATTGTTTGGAAGCCACGTTGGCGGTAATGTTGGTGACTTTGTTCGAAAGCTATTACACGAGGTCCCTGGCTTACATCATACGGATCTTGAGTTGTACCTGACGTGGTTAGGCGAGCACTGGGAGGCGGTTGGTAGCTCTGTCAAGCAGGCTATACGAAAAGTTGCGAAGCCGGTAGCTTGCACGATTGACTACGACCACGAGACGTAGTAACTGCGGGATCGACAGCGATATTACGATCGAATCATCGAGGTGAAGGCACCATCACCTGTCATATGAGAAGGGCGGTGGCTCGCCGCTCCAGTCTGTTTCCACCGCGACTTGGAAGAATGTGGCCTGGACAAGTACTGAGAGCCACCTTCACCTTGATACCTGAGAGTTTATTTAAGCTACCCTCTCTTCTAATTTCCTCCATTTTGCTTACACTACACTCGACTCCCTTGCATACCGGTTGCAAAACCCCGCTACCAACGGCAATAGGCGGTCATCGGTTACAAAGCTTAGACGATGTACAGTTCACTCGCAGTGCGACCGCGATATGAAGCGACGGAACAGTACCACGTAAAAGAAAGCTCAGAAGTCTACACAAAAGATCAGTTGCTCGCAGTACTCCAGCAAATGTGCCCGGATGCGCTGGCCAAGTTCCCTCCCCCTGGTACGTTTGAGGTCCGATAGCACCATCCCGGCCAATACGCGCTCAAGGTCGGCTACACAATGACAAAGAAATCCAGAAAGGTTGGCGACTTGCTATGGCTTGACGAGCGACAACAACCCTCGGTTCCATCCTACGACGAGTTCAGCTATACAGAATGAGCCTACGATAGAACAATTCGAGAGAACAAGATTCGAAGAAACGAAATCGGACTCTACTATACAACAACTGAGGACGCTTATCGTAACAGATACGTCAAGAACGCGAAAAACATCAAAGGCGACAATGTCTTCAGCAAGCTCACGAACGACGGCACAACCTCACCTTTCCCTCTTACCATGAAAGCACTCCTGCGCTTCGTGCTTCTATATTGCGATCGTGCAACAGACTACAGAACCTTCGAGAATAAAGGTGGAAACAAGGCAGGACTTGAGCCACTTGTTCGCGCGCTGAGAAAGGTCGCCAAGCGTACAGCAACTGCAGAAGAGGAAGGTAGCGGAACCGCGTTGGAGGAGATCGATGCAGGAGCAGCTGCAACTGAAGAAGAAGGCGACCCCTCAGCGATGGAAGATGGCACTGGAGCACTGGTCAGTCGCGAGGACAAGAAGAGGAAGGGCGCCGTAGACGGAGAGCTCGTCGAGCGCACACCCGCAAAGAGCCGCGCTTGCATGGATGAGCTCGATTGTGAGCGAAAACAAAAGTTAGTTATTATATCTCCGGCCGTTGATGGCTTGCTTGTCGGGTTGCTGAGCGAAGCTGGACACATCACATCCTGTCGAAAGGGTCTCGTGCCTGCTAAAGGTTGCAGTAGTGGTTCATGAGTTCGAACTAGGAACAAATAAAAGTCATTTCTGATACTGCTGCTGCCATATGTGATGAGCCCGATTACTGTGAAAAGCTCTGTGTCTAGTCGCGTTCGTTGCGCGTGCCAAAGTTCAAGATTATCAATGGCACATGAAATGCAGCTAGTCCAGTTCTGGATGGCGTATCGTTCCCCACCTCTTCAGCCGATTCGGAATCCACAATCGACCTCATAACGAAGCATAGTAAGCGTCTTTGACTCAGCCTGCTACACGAATTCTACTCCGCGCTTGCAGTCGAATAGCCTAAACTCAACATCACCTCTCCGAATCCGAGCACACCCTCTACACCACCTGCGTACTGCATGCCTCAAACTCACACAAGGATCAGACTTCTAGTAAACAAAAGAGACTCGGCCCCTTTATACAGCAAGAATGGTACCAAAGCTCATGCAATTGGTACCTTGTCTCTTTCCCAACGTCACTCGTATCTGCTGAACAGGACTTCGCAATCGCGCGAACCAACATATCATAATATCTCACACCCGCAGCCATCCGAGAAATTTGGTCGATGAGATGACAGCCAAGACTCACCACGATCAACGCAGACTGTGAGTTTGCTATTCTCAGCATGTCATCAGCATATCAGTAAGCTACAGATAGTTAAGAGTTTGTTTGATTGGGGCTTACTGAACGCGCGGACATGTGCGGAGGGAAGTCTGGGGTGCACCGTGCGTAGCATGTAGATCCGTTCCGAGGTCTCTCGGTCACGACTAATCATACTTGATCGCCCCCGTCGCGTCCCTTTTACGCACGTAGCCGTTACTGTCTATGCGAAACCGACGGACCGAAGTCGTTAACATATTTGAGGGACTATTTAAACATACTAATGATGGAGATTACATACATCACGAGCCGGACGCTGCAGTATTCCGAGGTTGCCATTCATTCCAGTCATCGCTCTAACAATGCCAATCGAGTCGCCCCATCCCTCCGTTACCATCCCTGCACTTGATATATGGTCGCTTTTCGTCGAACGGCCAGATCGCCCGTACCCCGACAATCATGGTCTGTCCCCACAGATGTCCCTTGAACGGCGCCTGACACGATCACAGTGCTATTCGTAGACGTTGCCACCAACCGAAAGCTTACGTACTCCCAATTCCGGTGGAGTGCTGAACGATTCGGGAACGGCCTTCAGGAAAAATGGGGTTGGCGCAAAGGCGACGTTTTGGCCATGATGACGCCAAACCATATCGATGTCGCGCCCGCTACTTTCGGGGTACAACTAGTAGGAGGAGTTGTGTGTCCTCTGAACTTCCTATACACGGTCGAAGAGCTGGTGTCTCAACTGACATCTTCGAAAGCCAAAGGGTTGTTGACAAACACAGCATGCCTTGACGTGGCCTGCAAAGCAGCATCGAAGGTTGGCCTTCCTCTGGATCGTATACTTCTGGTTGGAGACGACAAGACGACGACGAACGGCGTCCGGCACTTTTCAGCCCTGGATGGCTTGTCGAAGAGTGTGCAGCGGGTCAAGATTGATCCCAAGGAAGATCTGGCATATCTGGTGTACTCATCTGGAACCACTGGCGTTCCAAAGGGTGTTATGTTGACGCATGAAAACATTGTTGCAAACATTACTCAAGGAACTACAGCAGGCCATAGCCAGGATTGGAAAACGGACAAGAGTGTTGGCTTCCTACCCATGTATCACATTTACGGTAGGTCTGATGTTCTCTCCGTCAGACGCTCGCTAACGTACGTATACAGGCATCGCTGCCCTCTTGCTGACACCCATCTACTATGGTGCGACAGCATACGTCATGCAAGGTTTTGATCTTCAGAAATTCTGCGAGACGGTGGATCACGAGAAAATCACAATTGCATGGATCGTTCCGCCTGTTGCACTCGCGTTAGCGAAGGCCCCTATAGTCGACCAGTATAGCTTCAAGTCGCTGCGCGACATACAGTCCGCCGCTGCTCCAACACCTGTGGAAATCATCACCGCGGTGCACAGACGCCTAGGTGCTCCAATACGTCAGGCCTATGGGCTCTCCGAAGCCGCGCCCGCTGTGTGCTTGCAACGCATTGAAGATTGGAACAACCCGATTGGCACATGCGGACGCTTAATACCCAACATGTCGGCGAAGATTATCGCTGATGGAAAAGAAGTAGCAGCAGGCGGCGGAGACGGCGAATTATGTCTCAAAGGCCCCAACATCTTCAAGGGGTACTACAACAACGCCGAAGCTACGGCTGGAGCTTTCGACGCAGACGGATGGTATCACACGGGTGATGTTGGAAGGTTCGATGAGCACGGCAATTTATACATTACCGATCGCCTCAAGGAACTCATCAAGTATAATGGCTTTCAGGTTGCGCCTGCGGAGCTCGAAGCTCTCTTGATCGGTCATCCGGCGGTCGCTGATGTTGCCGTCATCGGCGTGTATGCTGAATCGAGGGTGACCGAGTTACCGAGAGCGTACATCGTTGGTGCGCCGGGGTATGAGTGTGATGATAAGCTGGCGGAAGAGCTTCATAAGTGGTTAAATGAGCGGGTAGCGCCACACAAAAAGCTTAGAGGTGGTATTCGATTCGTGGATGCGGTGCCGAAGAGCAATGCTGGCAAGATACTCAGGAGGGTACTTGTCGAGCGAGCAAAGGCAGAGGAGGCAGAAAAGCCTGTCAAAGCTCGCTTATGAGACTTGAGCAAACAGCGTCGTGTTTTCAATATCAACTTCTGTAGTGTGTTCAATGAAGTGTTTGGAACAAGCATAATACACATTGCTGATTGACCTACTATTCACGACTATCTCTGACACCACCTACTACTTATCAATCTACAGCTTCGTGAACAGCGTCTCCTTCATCGCCCTAACATCCAATTCCTGCGTCCACGTACTTCTCGGCTGCGTATGCAAAAACCAATACGTATGCGCCAGATCCCTCGGTTGAACAAGATGGGCTTCCACATCCGCCGCTTTGTCAGTCTGCCCCGTGCGCTCCCACTGCCTCTTCATCACGCCCCCAATCAGCTTTCCATCGACCGGTCCATCCACGATGATATTCACGGCATGAATCCCCTTAGCTTGGTACTCGCGCGTTATGATCTGGCACAAGGAGCGCAGTCCGAACTTGCCAGGGGAGAAGGACGCCAAACCCGGCATTCCGCGCAATGCGCCCGTCGCGCTGGTAAAGAGAATAGTGCCTTTGCCTGCGGCAAGCATATCCGGGATGACGAGCTTGCTGGCCCAGAAGGCGCCGAAGAGATTGATCTTGGTGAAGTTTTCGAATTCCTCCGTCGTCGTGTCGATGAGCGAGCGCCCGTTTACGCGGCGCGCGCCAGCATTGTACACGAGCACGTTGACGGGACCGAGCTCTTCGCGGATGCGCTTGAAAGATGAGGTTACGGTATCTTCGATACGTAGATCTGTGATGTAGTAGTGGGCTGTGCCGGTGCCGACGTCGCTGTTGATGTTCTGGGCCATCGTTTGTAGTGCTTCTTCTGTTCGCGCGAGAAGAGCGACGACGAAGCCTTCTGCTGCGAAGCGGTGGGCTACTGCTTCACCGATTCCTGGTCCTGCGCCTACGACGGCGATGACGGGTTTGTTGGCAGTGTTTTTGGACATGGTGGTTGGAGTCGTCTGGGCGAATGAGGAAGATTAAGGAATCAAGGTAGAGTTGTGGCCGTGCCTCGTTTTGAGTGCAATGTTGAGTTGCTTGTTTTTACATCTTGACGTGGAAATGAGTAGCAGTATATTCGCGACCGAAAGGTTGCTGTGCATGGGTTGTAAAGCTAGCGTTCCATGATTAGCATCGAGGCGGGGGCGATGTTCCTCGGAACCTCGGAAGGGGTTTAGTAATCGGTCTACCGTACGTATCGGCCTCACTGTCTCCGTTAGCGCAATGCCTCCCGCACCATGTGCTTGTCCACTTATACAGTGAAACTTCCACAGTTTGCTTCGCACAATTCGTGAAGCAGACTGTTTGTCGCACACGCGCACGTAGAGATGATTATTGTGGTGTTTCTATTGTGATAGCTAACAAGCATCAGTGTCGTAGATTACGCTAACAGCGTACAGATCTAGTACAGTATAGAATCATGTAGTGATCCGGTCATATCGCAGCAATAGGGTATCAACACTGATCCGCCAGCGTACAGCCATCTTGGAAAATAGCCTTGTCATGACTTCTAATTTCGTCATGTCATGCTCTCTCTCCCCCATAAACCCATATGTTCTCTTCAAGGCATATTGCCGCAGGTCTAGCAAGGTTCAGGTCCATGTGCGCGCACTCGGACACTAATCGATTACAACCATCACCTTGGCCTTCTTATTTGGACGTCCGCGATCTTCGTCCACAACCGTTGTGTGCTGTCGGATCTCGTCATCGATGTCGCCTTCTTCTTCCTCACCATCGAAGCCATCGCCTTCGTCTTCGTCCCCCATGTCGACCATGTGCGTGCGCTTTCGAGGAGGTTCGCCCTGGCTTGCTGTAGAAGAGGTGCTTCCCTCTTCACTCGATAATGTAAGCGAGCTCGTTCCTGACGGCAATGCTGGCGCCAAGAAGCCACGTAATCCCCTGCTACTGAGTAGTGCATACTGCTCCGCGTACTTCGCGCCTTCGTTCGCTATTCCATCGAGGACGTGGAGATTCCGGCGGAGGTCTTTGACGTCGCGGTCTGAATCGAATCTCGAGACCTCACAGCCATTGATCGTGCGCAAATTCAGAGCATCAGCTCGATCATCGCCCCAGTACCATGTGGCGTCGGGCTCTTGGGCTATCCGCGAATCGTGTTTCCGTGAAGCGGAGCGCGCATATACTACAGCTTCTCGGCCAGCGTCGAGGTTCGGAAGATGGCCAAGTTGGGCTCGGAGGAAGTAAGTCATCGCGTCACGCTCATACAGGCGGCCAAGGACGCGAGAATAGGGTATAGCAAGCTCCTTGTCAGCAGGGTGTAACGGAAACCATTGCGCATAACCGTTTGCTACACGGGGAGCTTCGACGTTCTGCTCTGTAACCCAGAGCTTGTTGCAGCGTGAACTATCGCTGGTATATGCTGAGCCGTATATCCAGATCTCCGAGTTGTAAGGTCGGCCCTCATCGTAATCGTTGTTCGAGGCCTATACAAAGGCGAAGATACGAAGTCAGTACATGTCTCACATACATGTCATACATTAAGACTTACCTTGTCCAAGTTGGTCCACTTCAGTCGGATAGACTTGATGCTCATGACATCAGTGCATCTAGACTGGCTAGACTGTGTGTTGGGGAGTAGGCGAACGGTATCACCCACTGCTAGTAGTTCAGACCCGACATAAATGCCATGACAATAGACGCTCGCATTAGGCCAGGTTCCACGGAAGCGATGCTTACCTAAAAGGGAGAGGGTGGACATGAGGGTTAGAGCGTTTAGGATGGTAGCGTGCCAGTCGTCGTGAGGGATGTGGCGTAACAGGTCTCTCCAAAGAACGAACGGACGTGTCTGTCGCAAGAAGACGTACTTGTGTTTCTTGGATAGAGACTTGTCTGAACCGTTTGGGTTTGGGATTGGTTCAACACGCAAGCCGGAGGTAGACACACCCTTGTCCTTGACAGGATCGACGAGGTCGACGACCGTGATGCCAGTAGCCGTCTCTGTCACTATACCAGCTTCCCATAGTGGGGTACCGAGATATTGATCGCGCTGCGCATCATATACTTGAATCTCGCCGCTGCCTCGTGGTCGAACTAAGTCAAGATTCTCCGTCAGGCTTCGTGTATATAAGATAATGTCGCCAGTCCGGGGAACCCATTGCTCTTGGGTCTTGATGTCATGCAGCAATCTGGGAAGAAGCTCTTGCTCAGCTCGCCAGTCTGGACTCAATGGCTCTTCGATAGCTTGATCTACTTGCTGATGGCGGCGGAGCTTGTCGATAAGATTCCTGTATACATCTGGCGTGCCCTCACTATCGACGTTAGTCCTGTCAAGACCCGCAGTAATCTTCTTCGGACGGCCTTTGTATTGCGTTGAGCTGGGTATTGATGCGAGCGGCAATCCTTGAGCACTATGGGCGCTGGAATGGCGGCTCTGGGTTGGAGCGGAAGAGTTGGGCTTTCGAGAAGACGCTACGCTCGAGGTTTGCGTGCGAGAGCTGTTTGGCGTAGTCGTGGCCCTTGAGAGCGCGCCTGAACTGCCACTGCAGAGAGTGCATGGACAACCCATACTGTTGCCATCATTGTTCATGAGGTGCTCGAAGTGAGGATAGAAGCGATTCGGTGAGTCGAATGGCTTCTTTCCAGGGTGGCCGTACAAGTACCTGTCAACATGACTTGGATTTGACGGTCGAGGACGCTGCCACAAAGTGTACCCGAATGGGAGAGCTTCGAGTATGTAATGTACGCGTGGCCTAGCCTCACCTCGACTCTGCATCCACTGTTGTCCGATCTTTTCCAGATAGAGTGTCGGAGGATTGACCTGGGTGTGCACTCCAGGCGCGGGGACGTGGAGGGGATCACCGTCGGAGCAACCTGGAACAAGACGCACTTTGACTCGATTGGAAGACATGCTGGAGCGTGGAGTGTACTTGGTGGATTGGGTGGTGGGATTGTTCGCAATGCAGGTGGAGCCGTGTTAGACGTAGGAAGGCCTGAATATTTAAGTCCTGGTGGGGGATTTTTTTTATATAGAGTGAATTGCATCTGCAGACGTCACGAAGAAAGGGTAGGCGAGAGCACTTGAGCATAGTTAAGGCAGTCGCGTTTGCAGCTTGTGCTTGTGCTTGTGCTTGTGACGTGCGAGGAAAGCGCGTAATGAGTGAGTGAGCGCGCGATGAAAGCGCGTTTGACAGTTAGCGTGACTCCATAGCAATCAGATATCACACTCTCGCAACACCAAGTACTGTCTTTCTCACGTGGTGAGTGAGCATTCCAAAGTTACCTGGACAGATCCGCACGTGAAAGAGATTCGAGAATGAAGGTGAAGTTGAGAGGTCGGCTTGGCAGCAAAATCCCGCGGAGCGCATCCTTGCAGCCGGAATGCAGGAACGCGGAATTTAGCGTCACGCCCCTGATTCTCCATCAGCTCGCGAAACAACGCCACGAACAAAGTTCCCTCGTGACATACAATGTTGAGAAGACAACATGGTCTCTAAGAGTGAGAGCAGACGGATCAGACCCAAGGATTACGTCCCACTCAACAACCTCAGGCATCAAGCACGCCACCACCCTGTCTCTCTGCAGAAAAGCTCCCGCCGCGTCGAGCTTCCATGATCACCGACTACTGTATCCATGGCGTACCCGTTCCCGACACAGCACCGTGCGGCTCCACCGATGACCAGCGACATGAGTGATGGTCAGGAAAGTGGAATGATTCTCTAACCACTTGCAGTTTACTTCGATACTATAACGGTCACTAGCGCGTGATAGAGCGCAGGCGCCAGGTGCTCGAGGCCTCAGTAGGAACATGTCAACAAGAATTGCCCCGTACAAGCTTTCGCTAGCTATCATGGTTCAAGCGGGTGCTTCACGCTTCATAGCTGGGGAGAGAGTAGCTCCTGTCATCTTCCACTCTTCAGTCGTCCCGACTCCTGCTCGTCATCTCCATCGCACGCTCCCAGGCTATAGTGCGCAATATAGCGGCAAGCCACCCGCACGAGCGACACTAACCAGCAGGACATCGACGGTTTCTTTTCAAACAACGACGATAGCCAGTACAGCTCTTGATTCACAAGCAATATAGGCGTCTAGCCTCACCGACCCAATGAACTTCATTCGCTCCAAGCGCGCGAAATCACACTACCCTATCGAAGATGACCGGCCGGCGAAACGCATCTCGACACCTGCTGGTCAGCGTCTCTCCATAGTCCTCGAGGCCAAACGGGGCAAGTCACCTTCGGCCGCAGGAGCAGCCAAGATCAGCGTTACCACCGAAAGTACATTCTGCAACGACCCTTCGCATCAGCATGTTGGACCAGTACAACATGGACATGCGCACAGGAGCGAGAAGAAGGGCGGCCTCATATCAGTCTTGACGGGCGGCAGACTGAACACGCCAAGGGAGAGCAGCGAGGACGGCCCACACAACGGAAGCAATCTTAGTGTTAGCGTGTGGAGCGATAGAGATGAAGAGAAGTTTGGGCATGTCCGACAACAAAGACAACGAAGAGGGTTTGGTGCCTGGGGATGGAAGAGGATTGCTGTCGTCGCCGCTATCATCATTGCGTTGATCGTGGCGCTGGGCGTTGGGCTGGCGATGGGGCTGAAGAAGGACTCGAAGAGGTATGTCAATATGTTTCATCATCTACCAAGACACATTGGGCTAACAACGTATATAGCAGCTCGCCCGCAGCTTCGACAGGTGGCTCGACGCCCGCAGGCAGCAATAGCAAACCCGACTCCGACTCCGACTCTCCCACCGCAACTGACGCTCCTTCAACTCCGTCCTCCACGTCCACCCCCTCCGCTGTCCCTTCGAACTTCCCCGTCGGCACTTGGTCGCTCGTTCTGTTCCTCGATACTGTCACAACCGGTTGTACCTCAGACCCCGATACCTGGACATGCCCGCCAAACACAAACTACTACGATGACCCACAAAAGGCTCTCACAATACTCAACTGGGACATTAGCGGATCATCAGGGTCCTACAAGATATCATCCGGTGCACAGGACGACACGTTCGACACAACCTTCCAGAATGAGGACCTTGAGTTGCTAGATTCAGGGAAGGACACGGAGCGATACCGCTTCCAAATCTCCCGGTCGAAGACTGTTAACGTGACTGGAACCCTTGGGAATAAGAGGGGTGACTTTGAGTGCGACTACGGCGCGACGAACATGCAGGGATATCTGTATACCAAGATGCAGCAGACGTACCCAGATGACACGATCGCTGTGGGAAAGGTCGCCAACAACGCGTGGCCATATGGTAAGCATCACTAGCACCTCTCATTTCGCGTACAACAACTAACTCAGAATAGCTGTACGCATTGAACAAGCCGTAGCAGGCGGGCAAGGAATACCAGCTTGCACGAGTTCATCTGGCGACGACGTCCAGCTCAAGGCTCAAGATGCGAGCACATTATGTTCCTGTCTCTACAAGAACTGGACACCTCAACCAAAGTCATAAAACCAATTCAAAGTTTCTTTGTGTCTTGTCAACTAGCGTTTCCTTGCATCATATCATCACTCTACATTTACTTATTGGGCTAGGCGTCACATAGCGTAGCGGGGTTTCACTCTACACAGAGGTAATGATGGTGTTTTCTCCTCGAATGAGGTTTGGGATGTCTTGCTGCATTTCATTTATTCTTACTCATCAACTAGACCACTGAGATTAATGCATCTACCCTTGCCAGCCGCACCCGAAGAACATAATGACCCTCCATCAGGTCAACGATACATCCGTTGTCGCATAGTGCAGCAATCATTCTGCCATACAGTCCTTGGTGTCTTTGTTTCTCTCACGCAGAACAAGCGTTTTCAGCTTACCCGCCAAACCCACCCCAGTCAAGAAATGCAATCATACAGATATGTCTGCTACTCGTTCGGCTGAGAAGAGGAAGAGAGGAACATATGACCCGAAGGAATATCAGAATGCCGTTTATGGTGGAGCTGAGACTGTGATTTACACTGACGACGAGCAGGACGAGGACGAGGGGGAAGGAGCAAGTGGATGGAGAAGTGGAAATCGACTGGTCGACTGAAGAGCATCTCGCTTCACCTGCAACTCCTCGATATCGTCCTTGTAGGAGTTATGAAGAACCTACCAGCACCATAATAAAAGCTTCCCAAGTCAAACACACTCCCGTTCCCAAACAAACCAGACCGCGGACCATCACCATCAAGCCAGCACCAACACCAGCTCAACCCGCCGCCGCATACAACACAGAAACAAGCACCACAGCCACTGCGTCTACCTTCATCGCTGCCCTACCCAAGGATATAACCTATAACCCTGCCACGCAACTGGCGCACAATGACATCTTCGCAAAAAAATGGTCAACTGATCCCAATCTGCGCGCCCGCGAGCTAAATTCCAACCCATACCCCTTCCGCACCTCACTACTACCACACGAACCAGAATACGCCTTCCGCGACGGACTCGCGTCTTTCATATCTAGTATCGAATCTTTCGCCAAGAAGACCTTTCCTCACGGTGCTGCTCATGCTAGCTAGGGCACCAAGGATTCCAACAGCGATATTGTGGTGCACAAGCAGTTTTACGGGAGCTTGGCGCCGGAGACGGCTAGGGGCATTGCTTGTGTGGCTTCTGGTGGGCTGGGAGGAAATCGTGACGAAGATGCTGGGAGGAGGGTACATGGGGATGCTTGGAGGGAGGGTGGATTTGTGAATTTTGCGGATGTTGATGGGGTCGTGGACTGGTTGAAGATAGAACGAGAGGAGAGGGGGAAAGAAGCGAACGAGCGGGCTTTAAAGGTGCTGGAAATGCTTGATGTGAAGGAAAGGAGACAGAGATGGTACCTGTTATCGAGCCTACTTCTCTGGAGTCGCTCGGCGATCCGGATCTTTGAGTCGAGGTATCAGCTCGCCATCACTAGTATCTTAAGATGGAGAAGGAAGAATCGCTGAAGCGAATATGGAAGCTGACATTATAAGAAGACGAAGTTGAAAGACGTGCGCCAGGGTATGCATGTTTTGAGAAGCGAAACACATGTCACAATATCGAAAGCATCCTTCCAGATATCGTTGGTGTGAGCGTATCTTCGTAGTATTCTTCCGTCGCTTCTATACCTACGTATCCAGTGGGCGCTCTAGTCGTGAGATGGTTTCCCCGAAGTTGTGAGTATAGCTCAAATGGCTTGTACGATATCCTTCGATGGAAGCAGGCGAGAGGCGGTCAAGCAGTACGGGCATCCATCCATGCGTGCCTCATCATGTCGGTCATACTCCGTATCTATCGAGTGAAGGAAAGAAGAGTAGCAAAATGGCACTACTCAGTCCAAACGATACCGACGATCGGTTGATGTCAGGTCACTGGATCCATATAGTATGCTATTCACAAAGCGCACCCCACCGGGTAAGCCTTGCCCGACCTGCTATGTTAGGCCTGGACGATCGTCAAGTCCGATTACAAGCGTAACCGTTAGGGAAGGTCGGTCCATCTTGACTATGATGTTCAATGTAATTGCGGTTCCGACAAGAGCATCGGGTAATGAGATACCACATCTTTCGTCACACACGTCTAGGGTCTGGCGGGATGACGGATGCCATGCCGCGAGTATGCATACTGGTGACGCGCGGTTTCGCACATCACTCTCTGGATGTAGTTATCCCGAAAGCGTTTTGAGGTTAGAGTTAGCATATTGCAGATCTGCTAGATAAGGTCGGCTATCGTCTCGATCTCATCGCATCTCTAACAACCATCGCTGAGCAGTTCGCACAAGTCTACTTTCTGGTTCAAGAGAAGAACGATTCATCATGTCGTGGTTGACGTCACAGGGCTGATCGTGCGCTCGTGTTATCCATGGATGTAGGGCCGAAGACACCTTCTATTCGACCGAGGTTATAACATCACCAACTCGTCTCAGCCTGTCCAGGTTTGAAATCCTTCGATGGCATGTGTAGTCGGAAAGGCTGGAATCGGTATTCCGTTTTACCAATCCATGTTGCACATCGGTCAAGTCAACCTTGATCTCTCTGGCAGTTGCCGGTGCGGTCTTTGCGTGTATGCTTAGCGGCCCGATAACGTGACCCAAGAAAGGACCGAGCCCGCACTAGTGATTCTAGCGTTGAAGCTTGAAATCATGCATGTCGCTCGAAGTGGAGAGTGGGGATACTCACGAATAGAGCGTATTAGACGGTGGAGAGTGGGTTCGCGAGTCCATCGTGAGGCGCCACAAGCGATCGTGTTTCGGACAATTTCAAGAAAAATGAAACTCAAGACCCACGGCAAATGATTTATCCCGGCTGGAGTCGCATTGTCGAGAAGGTGATAGCGAGACCTGAGCCGTTAAGCGAGATCAATCAGACTACTGACGTTAGATGTAGTCGTGCGAGTTTGCGATTCGTCCCTCTGGGTAGGCGTGCCTGACGCCAAAAGGAATGACGCGCAGATGTGAACATCATAAAGGGCCGTTTTGACCACGTAGTGCAATCGTTGCAGCATTGGAAGAACGATGGACCTGGTAGTAGGGGCGTTTGGAGCGTCCCGGCATGCGGTGCGCTGGCTCCATGCTCGACTTTCTTGGAGCCGACTCGGAAATCGGTACAGAAAGCTCACTTGTTGTCTCTCAGTACCAGGATAGTTTTCTACCCCGCAATTGGCATGAGAGCGTTTCTCGTCTGGAGGTGCAAAACTTTATAACCCCAGAGTCTCTTCCCATGGTACGGTAAACCGGCGGAAGAGAGCTGGCTATATTCCGGGTTCAATGTCGATAAGATGGGAAGACGCAATGCATCTTGAAGCAGTCTAGGTGTTGATGCACGTCCTGCGCTACCGAATAGTAAACGTCGTTATACTGGGTACGTCACGGCGGCAGTTGGCGGTGAAGCATGCTAGCCGGGATTGGTGCTGGAATCCTAATGTAATGTTGGGGGTTTGTAAATCTGACGATGCCTCGCTCGCCACACTTGCTGCAAGAGTTGCACCAAGAAGCGGCTGCGTACCGTGTCGGGAGCGACGATTCAGCTGAAGGTACCGTGCGTGGCGAGAGAATATCAGGTTTGGACTGCTGGCTGGCAGGAGAGCTGAGACGAGCTGGACCTCAGCCTTGGGGTAATGTGGCGATGAATAGGCAAAGCGAGTGACGTCGCCACCCAGCCAGGTCTCTCTGGCTTGCAAGTCGGAAGATGCACCGGTTGGGCCTTCCGCGTGTGTCACTTGGCGGCGTTGAGGAACAAGCGACAGCGGGAGAGCCGCGCCCCAACGAATTCCGCCCTCGCCGAGGACCGCAGTCAACATGACGGGTGATAGCGCGTACTTTGCAGCAATGTTGGAGTCGTCGTAATGCATCAAAAGACGTCTTTCGTAAGTGTTTCGACGGGGCGGTGATGAGGTGTCTAAAGTGACACACGCAAGTGGGATGCAATGGGACTGTGTGCAGGGCGGGATCCCTCATTCAGCACGACGTGGGAGAATGAGCTGCTGCAGGGTCCAATGAGACGAGCGCTCAAGACGTGAAGCGAACTGGGCGTGATGTTTGCAAGGATGGCTGGACTTGTGTAGGGCAGACTTACATACGGTATGCGAAGACTCCGGTGCTCGGATGGTCGTCACGGGGACAGATTGCATGTTTCGAATATGCGCAACTGAGATCACCAGGAGGTGAATGAGGCCTGTGAGGCGGCCGTGGGGGGTTTGGCACTTTGTGACTGTCCTGGTTGGTGGATGAGCACGACATTTCGGGTCGTCGGTACCTCAATTATAGCAGTGGCAGTGTTGTACATGGTATGCCACAACTGATGCACGTCAGCAAGCGACAGGTTGTTACCCCAGAATGGAAGACCATGGGGTAAAAAGTAACTTTGAGACCTGCCGAGTATCTCAGCGATGGCTGTTGAACTTGGCACTAGAGTGCGTAGTTGGATTACCATTATCGAGCATCGATACACGATCGATTGCTTTTCGTCGTCCCAACACTGCGAAGAGTACGTACCGCATATAGCGCAGGCTAATAGCAGCGGCGGCTGGTTAGTTGAGTGCTTGTGTAAGAGAGCCCAAGGCAGTCAAACAGCCGAGAGCAGTCCGGGCCAAGGCAGATGCATTCTGCCGATATGGCCGAGAGACTGGCTTACGGTTCGAAACGACTACGTGAAGCGCTGGGGATGCTCGCAGACGGGCTGGCGGTGGCTAGCACTGCGGGTAAGGATGAAGCATGTTGGGCGTAGTGCAGACCAAGACCCTTCCAGTTCACAGCGGAGCAGGGCCATGTTAGTGTGCGGAGCAGAGAGAATTGCACGTTGCAGGCGGCAGTTCAGTGCGCATGGGCGTCAGCGGCGGTTCGCATCTATAGTTAGGTTTGGCAGACGTAGAGTTTGTAGGATTGCAAGAGTTGTAGAGTTGTAGAGTTGTAGAGCCAGCCTGCCAAGGCATGCACGGTGAATACTCGGATATAACATGGTTCGTCGCAGAGTTTACGGCGGCGGCGTTGTCTGCGCCACGTGCAAGGACATGGCAACGGTACTTTCCATATGGCGGGCTTCTAGAAGGTGAGGTATGTTGGTGATACTACGGGCCAGGGAGGCTTGCAGAGGCGACGGCGTGACAGTAGACGCTTGGGAGGTGTCTCCATGCTCCGGCTCTAGTAGGGGCGCGTACCAGAAACCATGTGGCCGTGCGCCTTGCTCACCAAAGTTGCCTCGGCCGGAGGGCCGTATGCTCAGTTACGAAGCCGGCGATGGGCGATGGCGAGTGGCTGCTAGAGACAGTGTACCTGCCTCTATATTGTCTGTATATAATTTCCAAGGGTGCTGGCGACAATTTCCACGGTTATATCATCCCACTGCCCGCTCTCGTCACTCGCATCGCACAATCACTGATCGCCCTTCGTCAGACTTGCACCTTCCCAGCAGCGACGCATACAGGCACAGTAGCGCCTGCCCGCAATTGGCCGCATCCACCCACCCATCGGCAGGGATCCCAGAGTCGGCCGCTCGTCCCTCGTCACCGCTCTGGCTCCCACCGAGACGCATATAGTTTCCCACGCCCCGGCACGACTGATTGCATAATTTCTAAACAACTATCCCAGGCCTATTTCAGTCATATTATTGCTGAGTAGACATTGCTCCAGAAAAAACAGCCACCGCAACCACTTCCAGCCATTGTACCTCGAGTACCAAGCCGCCACACACACACGCCAACCGCACAGTCATCTGAAACTGCGCCTAACGAGTCGCCGTTCCACTAGCATTATTTCCCCACTGCCATCTCTACATATTTCGCCCACCGTGAAGCTGGATTCCTACGAGCAACCGCCACCCCTCTCCCACTCGCCGCGTGAATCCACCGCAGCGAGTACCCCCATCAGCACTCCTGTCGAACAGCCATCGTCGCCGCATTTTGGCCGTGGTAAGAAGGACCCGAGTGCCGGTCTCTACAACCTCTGGCACCGCAAGCCCCAAGAGCTTGTGGCCAGCCACCAGCCCAGCGAGGACGTCCTTTTCGAAGACGCGGGCGACTGCAGCTTCCCTCTTTTCCCCGAGGAGCCCCAAATTCACAACGGCTTCGGCGACATGGCTACCGCCTCGCCCATCGACATCCAGACGCCCCCGCGCTATGGCTCCAACTCTCCGCAAAACCAGACGTCCAATCTGACCTCGGCCCTGAGGCAGGCAGAGGCACAGCCTGACATGTCTACTACCCCAGGCCTGCTGAACCCAAATAACTTTGAGTTCAACAATGGCCGCCCAAGCATGGGCGAGCGCCACCCCTCCATCAGCATGCTCGGCTCTTCTTTCTATGGCAACAGCGGCGCCCGCCCCATCACCATGAAGGACCGTGGGCGGCGCGAAAGCACCAACATGGGCAGCTTTGCAGGTGGCATGAGCTGGGGCGGCCACTCTGTCGGGTCCTGGATCCGCGACGAGTAAGTACCCACTTTATGCCCAGCATGTAACAAGTCAAATCTAACCGTCACAACAGCATCATGATGGGCACCTCGCCCGCACCTTTTGTTCAAGGCTCGCCCTCTTTCCACTCGTCGTCGTATCTTCCCAAGATGGAAGCCGCCTTCATGAAGGATTTCACATGCTGCGGACTCACCCTCGCCTCGCTGCACGACCTCCTCCAGCACTTTGAGGAGACGCATGCAAACGCACCGGCTGCCCGCCCGCAACAGCAACAACCCCAGAATGGTTTTACAGCCACATCAGGCGCCCCAACCAGCTCCATCGCGCCAAGCCAGACCCAAGGCGATACCTATAACACGCAGACCGGCTTCCAGTCACGGTCAGGCTCCATCGGTGCGCCCCGCCAGCGCATCGGCTCTGTCAGCCGCTCCAACTTGTCGACCGTGCAGGACATGGACACTCTGGACGATATGGAGATGGACGACATCAACTTTGACAACCTCGGTCCTATCGACGAGCAGCAGAACATGCAGCAATTCCCAGTTCAGAACCAGTTCAACCAGAACCAAACGCAGCAGCCACAGCTCAACGTCAATGTCAACCTCGCAAACAACATGCAAAACCACCAGGGCATGCGCACATCCACACCTACCACACCGTCCGCCTCGCAGCAATTCAACCTCCAAAACAACCCTACCGTCTCGTCGGTCAACACACCCACAATGGGCACCATGCCTATGCAAAATCACAACTTGACATCGCCTGAATCCTCACACCCGGGTACTCCGGCCGAGCTCGATATGGACTTTGGCGGGTTCAACCCAATGATGGGCATGGACATGAACATGAACATGGGCATGAACTTTGGCAACGGCAACGGCAACTTCGGTATGGGCGCATTCGACAACAACGGCACCATCGACCAGCCCGGCAAGCGTCTCTTCAGCAAGCAAGGTGGCGGTCTTAACCAGGCTCAGTTACAAGCAGCGCTCAAGAGCTACCAGCTCAGCGGAAACGATCAGAGCGAGATGGCCAGGAGATTACGAGAGCAGCAGCTCATCAACGGCGCGAGCATCCCCCAATTCCCCTTCCCAGAAGAGGTCAAGCCATTCCGATGCCCAGTCATTGGCTGCGAAAAGGCATACAAGAACCAGAACGGTCTCAAGTACCACAAGCAGCATGGCCACCAAAATCAGCAACTCAAGGAGAACGACGATGGCACCTTCTCGATCGTGGACCCTCTAACGTCCATTCCCTATCCCGGTACTGTCGGCATGGAGAAGGAGAAGCCATACCGCTGCGAAGTATGTGGCAAGCGATATAAGAACCTCAACGGTCTCAAATACCACCGCTCCCACGCCCCCCACTGCAATCCTGAGTTGGCGATGCAGAAGCTTGGCCTCACCTCCAACCTGCAAAACCTCCAGAATGCAAACGTCGCAGGTGCTGGAATGGGCGGCATCGACCCCTCCATGTTCTAAAAACTTTATCTTCTTCGGGATCGCTCTTGACGCGTCTCGCCACCTTCTACCCTTCTCCCAATACCCAAATCTTCCGTAATCGCGACGACGACGATTGCAGCTTTCGCCCGAAAATGTTTGTTTCTTCATCGGCTGATGTTGTTCAGCAACAACATGAAATGTCACGATTGGTCCGGCTCATCTCTTGTTCCTGCATCTACCTGGCGTAATTTCTGATTTGAGGAATCGTCACGATATCTTCTAACCCCCGAACCAGCTAGGCCTGACTTCTTGGATAAAGAGCTACACATGTTTCGCTTCCTTTTTGTACACCTCTCTTGAAGACGTACATGTTCCTTTTGACAGCGCGGCGGTATAGCAACGCTTGGTATGACGAAATCGATGTGCATTAAAGAGGTGTTTTCAGTTGGCTATCTTCTTTACTGTTTTCTAACGCGGAATATCCCCCCTGAATCGTCGACTAGACTTGGGTCTGTTTCTTTCACGGCGTTCTCGCTTCCTCTATCACAGAGCAGAGCAAACAAAAAGTTTTCGAAAATAGGTATATCACCGGCGTCCTTTGCTTTTGCGCGGAAATAGTTGATAGACACGACGGCTTTCCTGACAAGTCTCACTTACTACGGTTGGGAGATTGAGGGCTTGTTCCGTAATACCACACTCTGCATACTTCATTACGTGGTTCCAGTTCCAAACGTTTTTCATCTTCTGCGACTATGACGCCTCAATTTTCGGACAAACGTTTCAGGTACCGTTCAAACGTCAACGTAGTAATGCCTACACAATGTCTGCTAGTTGTACAACACTAGCATTCTCTACTTTCACGGATACACTCGATAGCCATGTCGGCTTGCCTGAAGGTTGATACTACACTATAGGCTTCACTACCTGGTTGTTCGAACAATATCTTCAGAAACATGAACGGACGTTTAAACATGTTGCGCCACATGCAATACTCGGATGCGAAAACAAGAAAAGCTCCTTCGATCCCAACGGCATCGTTTCATCTCCGACTATACTATGATGATGCGCATTTGTTCGGACATTCGCCCTCTTAGGCACAGGATGCAGCGACGCCCAAACATTTGTACTAACATCACGAACCAGCCGGAACCGTCGCCTGTTTAGTGTAGTACGCCGCTTGGTAACTTCGGTTCTCACTACTGGACACAACCGAGCTTTAGACAGGGTTTCGACACCGGATTCATGTGATGGGTTCCCTTGCATGGCAAGATACCACGAGGTCACGACGGCGATTAACCGAATATCACGAGCCTACGATACCGGGAGTATTGCCACCGGCCGATGCGATGCCAGGTTCTCAGGGTCCCATGGCACGTGGTAGATGACTCGAGCGTCACCGGAGCGCCGCTGCCAAGAAACGCTTTGTCCCGCCACAGGCCGCACGCTGCGCCCGTCGTCTTCACTGTGCGTCATGCAAGCGGACTGCTGTTTGTGGGCAAGTCTACAGTAATGCGTCGAGCATTGACAATGTCACGATGGGCTTGGCTCGAGTTAGACAAAGAAGAGGTCCAGAACCGCATGACCAACGGTGCCGTAGTTAGCCGTGTTGAGTAGACGGCGCACGCTGACTGGACGATGTTGACTGGAAGCTAGCAGCCAATAGATGGTTTGCCGCTCGCGAGGTCAACGACCGGCTGAGAAACAAGAAAATATTCAGGTGTCGGCAACAGGGAAAGGCAGGTGGGGAGATGAGAAAGGGAATGGAAGAAAAGGGTCAGGACAGACGGATTACCATGTAGCGATCGTCGCAGAGCCGCATTACCAGCGATGTGGGAATGTTGACTCGATCATTGAGATGTGGGGACGCACTACCAAACCCTTCCTAGGGTAAATTAGATTTTGGAGTCGTCTCTCTGGAGCACATTACATCTGCCATGCTACCTGCATCTATCAATATAGTGAACGACATAAGCGCACACGACCCTATCCCACATCCATACATGTATGCAGTACATGCCGCCTTTAATCTCCGCTGCCACAGCCGCACCTACCCTCCCTCCTGCACCTTCCCATCATAAATAAAAAAAATTATCCCACGATAGCCCCAGTCACACCCGCGTCAAAGCGGGTCCAGGTAGTTTCTATTACCCCCAGATAACTCCACTTGTAGTTAAACTCAATAACTAAACGATGGGAACACCGTGTTCTAGTGTCCTTCTACTGCCTATGTACACATGCCGCCGAGAGGAGACCCTAGGAGGTTAGTTACTGTTAGCAAACGGCACATCAGTAGCGGTGTGCAAGCAAGTGCAAGGAATCAACGAGGGAGGGTGCCAAGTGGAGATTAGTTGGCGCGAGACATGCAAGACATGTTGGTTCGCATGCTAGGTGTACAAGTCTTGCTGGGAGTAACGCTGGTGATACATGCATGTGACTTTGGTGAGTGGAGCGTCGGGGGCTAGTTGGGTAGTAGCGGCGCGGTAACTGCGCGCGAGCGTTGCACATTTGTACTTGTTTGCTACTACATTTTACAAGTTGAGATGGGAAACGCGCGTTGATGCAATACTGATGATAAGCATGGGACATTCTATATCTTTGTTTTTCTTTTCTTTTTCTCAAGGACGTGAAGAAAGCGTGCTTAGCGCATCCCTTCGACGTGTGGCGCCTTCCATCCGCACCCGCCCCCAATGTGCAAACAGCAGAACACCAATGCCTCTCTTCGTAGACTAAGACTTTCACTTCGGTATAGCGTTATCGTCAGTTGCGCACGGAGTTGCTTCAACCCTTTAGACCAGCTTCTTCGTACAGATGCGCTATGCTAGCAAGTGTGAACGTGAGCATGTAGCAGTCACTAATCGCGACTACACGTGCCTTCGCAGCCGCTGCAACACTTCTTCGCGACACTACTCTTCTGCCTTGTCATCATCATCGAGCTCAGGATAATGCTGGAGCAATCGGCAGGATCATTGCATATTGCTGCTTAGATGATGTGATGTAAGCTGTGGGAGAATTATGGTTTGGCGAGGAAGAGGAGGGAGGCGCGGTGCAGTTACACAACGGGAAGCCGCGGCTGGAGGGGTGATGTGTTCTCACATGTAAACGCTTGGAATGCAATCGACCTCACCACTACTTCACCACAACGAACCATTTCCATCCCTATTACGGCGACTCTCTTCTTAGTATTTTCATCGACTTATCTATTGAATTGCCTCCTCGTGAAATGTCCACATCTTTATCCGAAGAACCAGCTCACCACCCGGTGCGCCGCGCCCCGGCACCATGGAAACTCACAGCAGAAGTTTATATGCTTTTCCTTACTTTGAAGGGGCTGCCCGAGACGGGAACTCATGATGAGCTTGAAGGGGAGCTTGGAGGGTGGAACGACGAAGGATTGGGAACGTTTAAGGGAGGGCTGGGGACTGTTGTTATTGTTAGGTGAGTTGTTGCTTGAGGGGTGTTGAGAAAGGCAGATGGTGGGGATGGGAATTATAGATGATCTGAGTATCAGCTAACAGTTTGGTGTTTAGGTATAATGATACACCTGTTGGTAAGTGAAATCTTTCATGTCTGGAAGAGAAAGTGTAGGAAGAGGAGAATCATTGGAATAGGTGCTTGGCAGTCTGATGAGCTCTCATCCTGCTCGTCCTGGAAATTATAGATCAATGAATATATTTCTAACTTGTTCTCAGGCCCCTACGACGAACTCCTCCTCGTCCCCGGAAATTTCAGCGTCCCCCAGCCTACATCCAACAACACCTCACGTATCAAAATCCCCAAGAAGGCCCAACGGATATCCCGCATCTACGTCTCCCAACGTACAACTACCTACAACGGTCGTTTAAACTGGAACATCCCCAAACACCTCGCCCGCTTCTCCTTCTCCTCCCCGCCCACAGCTCCAGGTCAAACTCCCCCATCCTCCCTCACCGTGCAAGTCTTCCCTCCCGGCACCAAAGATGGTGATGGCGGAGCACCATTCTTCGCTTGTACCTTGAAGCCGTGGAAATGGGTTCCACCCATCCCGTTGAACACGAAATATCTACCGCTCAGTATGGCGGCTGCGCAACCTCCTCTTCCGAGTGCGCCAGGGTATGAGAAGGCAGTTAAGGAGGTGATTGAAGGATCGGAGGTGAATGACTATGATGTTGATCCTAAGAAGGCAGATGCAGTGCTTGTGGGTACAGAGAAGTGGCGTGCGTTTGATATTGCAGCGATTACGCCGAGGGCGAGGGGCTGCTGGGTCGAAGTGCATGAGAAAGGGCAGGCGGAGGTCGAGGTGGATGGGGAGAAGATTTGGTGGCCGAGGGGTTTGGGGACGTGGAGTGTAGGGGCTTGGATGGAGGATGTGGATTGGAGGCTGGGGGAGGTGGTGGAGTGGACGGTATAGACGCGTTGCTGTGATATCTGAAGGTATTTGTGGCGATCCAGTCTAGGCGGGCGAAGGAGTTCGATACTAAATCATTATGCTGTAGTTGACGATTTGTACTACTAGTTCCTCATCGAAGCGTGTCGAAACGTGTCAAAGTGAAGGGCGTACCTGCCTCGGATCTGTTTGCACAACAATCTAGCTGCCTTGAAATCATCGCACCGCGACAAACACACGAGCTCAAAACACGTGGGAGAGACCCTTATTGCTACCTTCCCTTGGTTTCGCCAACATCCCATCCAGTAATCAACTCAACACGAAGCTTTACCTAAACTGTTTTCCGTTGGGCATTTCACTATTCTTGGATCTCACACAAGAATTTCCATCCCCACACGCAAACATCAAGCGACAAACGATTCTGACGCATGTTGATATTAGTGAGTGTGCTCCATATGAAGCTTGCCTTCCATGGCCTTACTGATCCACATGCAGGTTAGTCTGTCAATAGCTATACTCCTCGATATTATGACCTTGCCGCTCCCGTACGACTTTGGCTGGACAGTTAAACTCATCCGTCGCGATGTACGAAACCTCCGGACGCGGTATAAGACGAGATTGAAGCACAAGTCCAAGCGTGGCAAGGTCGCGGAGAGCGCTTCACTGCATCAATCACACGAAGCTGAGAAAATGACGGAGGTGCCGGAAGGTGTTCAGCATATTGACAACCAACGGAGCATGCCAGCGAAGGCAGTGTATACTCCAAAGCGCCACAAGACGTTCTTGAATCCGGCAGCGAGAAGTGCCTCACTACACTTTACGGACTCTTGGAAGGAAGGCTTAGAGCCGCGTATGCATCCCGCGATCGAAATGCATCACATGAGGATCGCTGGAGATTTCGCGGTAGTTGGTTACTGCTATACAAGGCCATCCAGGTCTGCCCTTCGAATGACAACTGCGATGCCCACCGATACGGCGCGCAGGATGCATATGAGAAAAGGATGCTGCTGGAGATGCTCCAACTGAGCACTGAACGGGCTCAGTATTTTCTACACAAGGTCAGCAAGATGTCTGCTGTACCGTACACTCGAGACGACAGCGATCATCGTCGTTATGACTCCATGCTTAGCGGCGCTACGACACTCACACCTACGCCCTCTACAGCGCAGATCTGGTTGTCTATCCTTGAGGCCACCGACGATGCGACAAAGATCGTACCCATGGCTGAAGAGCTTCTACAGTATATCTGGTCAGAGAAAAAGGCTCTCGACATTATTGAGCAGATCGGAGATCCCCACGAGAAGTTTTCCAATTCCGATGACGCTGAACTCCGTCTCAAACTCCGAGAATCACTATGTCGGAGTTCATAACATCCACACCCGAACGCTGACTTCACCGCCAATGTCCAACAAAGTCTTGGTTTTCGGCATCTAGGACGAATCATACACCGGTTCGGGAAAGGTGTGTGTTGAAAACCCTTCGTCGGCAGCGGGCGATACCGCATTGCGAGTGGTAGCCGAAGCGGCACAGTGGGTCTATTGGTCATGGCTCTTTACCCCTCTACGAACTTCAACGTACTTATACCGCTCGGGGAGCTCGAATATGCAACACCAAACCGCTCGGGGAACCACAATCTGCGACTCATTTTCGGCGCGCGTCATCGATCGGGAGGCATCTAAGGGCTGTGAGAACGCTTTCGGGGACTGTGCAGGAGCTTTGCGACACCGCTCTCAATTCTGAACGACTTTCGTTCGGGCAGCACGCGCATTGTTACACATATTCATCCTCCTCACCGATACAACCTCAATACTTCGTATGAGCAGCGAATCAAAAGGCAGCACGCCAGGATCATTTAGCCCACACAATAATCTAACCAGAGTCAACACCTTTCCTCACGCCGAATTTACGATCCCGCCATCGGACACACTCTCACCATGCCCAAGTGCCCAAACTCACAACGCCGATGCCCCGGCATCGGCCAGCTTCAGGGCGAATCGCCCAAGCAACACTGCAACTGGAGATGAAAAAGCTCACCGACCTCTTGATGAGGAATCTCGATCAACCACATCTGTCGCCAATGACGAAGTGACGTACCCGGAAGGCGGCCTAGGTGCCTGGTCTGTTGTTCTGGGATCATTCCTCGGGCTCATCGCCTCGCTGGGTATGATGAACACAGTCGGTATTTACCACGCCTACATCGCCGAGCACTACCTCGCGGACTATTCCGAGTCGACCGTCTCATGGATCTTCAGCATGTACGTCTTTTTGTCGTTCTTCTGCGGACTACAGATCGGCCCCATCTTTGATGCCCATGGTCCGCGGTTGTTAGTATTGGCAGGTAGCATCTTGCTCTGCCTGTCGAACTTTCTGCTCGGCTTGTGCACGCTGTACTGGCACTTCTTCCTCGTTTTCGGCGTGCTTGGGGGTCTCGGTACGTCCTTGATCTTCACGCCCGCCTTCGCAGCAGTCAGTCACTTCTTTCTGCAAAAGCGCGGCAATGCAACAGGTATTGCCGCCGCTGGAGGATCGCTAGGCGGAGTAATATTCCCGCTGGCTTTGGAGAAACTGATACCTAGCGTGGGCTTTCCATGGGCGACTCGCATCATCGGCTTCATCACGCTGTTTTGTTGCATTGGTGCCTGCTTCCTCATTCGCTCTCGCCTACCACCCAAAGCTGGACAGTCAGTATGGCCCGATTTCCGGATCTTCCGCCATAAGAGCTATTTCCTTCTCACGGTTGGCATCTTCATGATGGAATGGGCACTCTTCATTCCGATCACGTACCTTACCACCTTCGCGATCAGCACAGGCGCCTTCAACGCATCCTTCTCGTACCAACTCATCGCCATCTTCAACGCGGGAAGTTGTCTCGGTCGCTGGGTCCCAGGCTTCCTAGCCGACAAGCTCGGGCGTTTCAACAGCATGATAGCCGCGCTAGCAGTCTGCTCAGCTACATCTCTAGTTTTCTGGCTTCCCGCGTCGCTCCTCACTCCGACCACCGAAGCCGAAGCTACTGCCATCAAAGCGCTCTCCATTGTCTACGCGGTCATTTTCGGTTTTGCTTCCGGCTCTAATATCTCTTTGACGCCGGTTTGTGTAGGCCAGCTTTGCGATACCAACGTCTATGGTAGATACTACGCTACGTGCTATACTGTTGTCAGCTTCAGTACGCTTACCGGTATCCCCATCGCGGGTGCTATCATTCAGGCTACAGGTGGACACTACTGGGGTGTGGTTATTTGGACTGCAGCTTGCTATATAGTGTCTTCACTCTGCTTCGTGTGGAGTCGTGCGCTTCAAGTGGGTTGGAAGTTGGGCGTGAAGTTTTGAGAAGTAGTGGTTGGGTGTGTGAACGTGCCGGGACGCTGCCGCTGAAGATGCGATCCGATCGCCGTGACAAGAAGATGACGCATATCAAAGGGAAAAAAGCTAGTGCAGTGCCTGCCTGCAGTACCATAAACATGCATGCCCACTTGCAGTTTCTGGAATTATGGCTTGACCCGGAAGTAGGGCCATGGAAGGAGGAGATACACATTGCGGGAAGGCGGGGTAGATTGTTTTTGTTCACTTGGTTTTGGACGCCACGATTCGCGTTCTCTTACACTCTTTTGGTTGATTTTCAGATGATCTTCGTAGCTGTAGCAAACGAAGAATAAAACATTCATTCTCGCACATGACCGGGCGAATTCAGCTTCTATCACGAGCAGGTTCGTTTTTCCAAGTTGCACTCGAGCTATGCTTCCTGCTTCGAAGGCATTAACTATGACGTCGAATTAGTGAATACCTTGAGGTTACGTATCATTGCTAGGTGTAATAACTCAGAAAAACGCGCCTTCGCATTCTCATGATACGGAGTTGGTGGACGATCTCCCGCTCGTCGAAGCGACGATGGTCTCCTAGCCACTTCACGTGCATAAGCGCAATCGCAATTCAACTTTTCGTCCAATCTCCACTCAATATACGCCTTCGCGCTCGAAAACTTCTTTGCGGAAACAATGTTCCTGTAGCATTGCCGCCGTCCATTTGGCCAAAGACGACGGTGCGCAATAGCGAGGCGGCGGAGGGCATTTTACCCCTGAGCCAACCAAGCCACAAACACGTGGGTCGGCTAGCGAAACGCCGTACGCAGGACCGGACTCAACTCTTCCCGAACTTTGAGCGCGACAGGGTCGCGTCCTCCGTCGCTTCATTGACTTTGCTTGTTGTCACGCCTCGGGTCACGCCTCGGGCCACGATGATCGCTATCCTGCTGCATTGGCTTGCAGCTTTCCAGAACTGTATCTGCATTGCGCCATTGCCTCTCTATACTTAGTAGCGCCTTCGCAATTGGCGGATCGTCGCGAGCAAGCCATGCGAAAAGAGAACTGTACAGCGCCTTCCGGGGTTCCTCCTGAAATGATTGACAGGAAGCGCTGCAAGGAATGCGCTGTAGCAATCGTCCTCGACGTACCGTTCCGCGAAAACGCGAGTCGTACATGTTCTTTCGATTCGATTTCGGCTGTCAGCGAGCCGCTTTGGGACTGAAGTAGGGGCGCTATTAGGTTTGGAGCACGACAAGGTACCCGTTATTGGTAACCGACTACGGCTCCTAGCGGTAAGCAAGGCGAAATAGCACGACAACCGCGACGAGAATGTCTTGATTCGTGGGTGCGCCAGACATTTCAGCTCCTCTAATTTGGAAAAAGAAGGGGAATGGTGGGGGGGAGCATACTTGTCAAGCTCCTGTCGCTCATGGTAGCTTTGTTTTGCCCTGCGGGTATTCGCATGCTTTTCTTTACCCTGCATATTTTCTTTTTGCTACTATTCGGTAGCCTGGTAGTCTTTATCAGGTCTTGATGTCTGGCCGCGGACAATGAAATCAAAATCTTGCAGTTGCCTTACTGTGAGATACTCAAGCGACATGGAGCCCCCAATTCCTAGGAATATCGACCTTGATCTGGATAGGGATACGACGAGACCGACTGCATTGAAACGCAAGGGCTCGACATTACAGACGTCCGTCGAAGTCTTGAGATGCAAGTTTGGAAAGCCAGCGGGAACGCCGGAGGACGATGGAGAGTTCAATCCTTCCAAGGACTGGACACCGATATACTATGCTGTCTATTACCAACGCGAAGCCGCTCTGTCACATTTTCTACGAGCTGGTGCAACGCCAGATGATGTGACTAGCTTGGGACTACCACCGCTGTGCATCGCTATCGCCAATGGGCATGCCAGTATCGCGAGAACACTCTTGGATGCCGGTGCCAATGTCGATGCTGCAATGAAGGACGGGGGCGAGACAGCATTGCACTTGGCAGTCAAGAATGGTCGCAGCGATCTCATCGAACTTCTTATTCCGTATGGACCCGACCTCGAGATCAAGACATACGTATCCGGCGAGACACCTCTTCACTATGCCGCATCCAAGTCGGGATCACTAGCAACAGTCATGACTCTGCTCAAGCATGGTGCTAGCTATGAAGCACTCAATGTTCAAGGTCAAACGCCGGCAGAGGCTGCTTTGAAGGCCAACAACATCCAGGGTGCCGTGGCGATCATCAACGCTGCACATGGCAAGCGCAACAAACTCGAGAAAGAGAAGGAAATGCTGCTTAAACACGTACAGAAGACGCAAGGCCGTTTCTCCATGGGTAACGACCTCATCGCCGATATCTTCGCTGCAGCCTGCGATGCAGAATCCAATGTTCTTATGGAAGCCATCAAGCGGAATGACGCCAGCTTGGTGGAGATGTTTCTGGAGAAGGGCTCGGATCCGGATCGAGAGACAGCCAATGGCCTTCGACCCATCTTCGTGGCACTGGAATGTGCAGGAGCGCCAGTAATCACTGTGCTTCTCAAGCGTACTCCAGATCTTACCGCCTGTGACGGTAAGGGTCTTACGGTACTCCAGGCTACTCTTGAGAGCCCATTGGCACAGGAGAAGGAGTCAATGTCCATCATCCTGGGTGCGCTACTAGAGCAAGGTGCCGATGCTACCGTGAAATACCCTGACGGCAAGACGCTGCTTCATCACGCCGTGTCTCCACGCTTCAGCAATACCAAGATCGCGAAACTGCTGATCGATGCTGGTGCGGAGATCAATGCGCGAGACCAAGATGGCGATACACCTTTACATCTCGCTACGCATAGTAGATCTTGTACAGAATTGCTGTTAAAGCATGGAGCGAACCCGAACCTAACCGACGCTGATGAGCTTACGCCTTTGTTAAGTGCTACGACAAACACGAAGAAGGACAAGGAGCCAGATCTGGAGTCACTCGTTAGAGCATCCGACATACGCAAGACCAACGCCAATGGACAGACAGCTCTACATCTCGCTGCGGCCAATGGTCTGGAGAGGACAGTGCAGCTATTACTACGAGCTCGCGCAAATACTGCCATGGGCGACAAGAACAAGAATACGCCGCTTCTTCTTGCTGTGAAGCATCACCAATGGTCCGTTGTACCACTTCTCACCATACCACCAAGCATCAACTCGTGGGACGAGGATGGTATGAGTCCTCTGCACCTCATTGCCAGCAGCATTCCTGGAGAGCCAGCGACCTGGCAAGATATTGCTGCCATCGTCGGTCCATTCTGCGAACGTGGTGTCAGCAGAACTACGCGCGAGCGATCGGGTGCCACGCCGCTCATTCTTGCTATCAAGACACTCCCAGAGGACGGTCTACCTGTGGTAGAAGCTCTACTGGCACAGAAGCAGGATCGAAAAGCGAGTCGGAACTGCGTTAACCACGAGGACCACAAGAATCAAGATGCGTTGTCTTACGCAGTGACGATGAGAAAGCCTATATTCGTAGACGCCTTACTCAAGAATGGCGCTACGTTCAACTTCCAAGATCGGATACCCGGATCAAGCCAGTTGCAGCCTACTGTTGAGGCTGACAAGCAAATTTTGAAGCTCTTCGCACAGTATGAATGGATAAAACGCGCGGGATCACTGCGAAGACGCCCAAGTAACCCTGTCGCAGAAGTCTCATCATTCTCTACGACGTTACCTATCAAGGATCTTGAACATATGATCTCGATGGGTTTGGATGTGAACGCTTTGCCCAGATCAGCCTTGGGCGTCTCGCTGTTATGCGCCGTTCTACGCCACATTACGCTTCAACCGCCAATGCCGCTGGACTACGTCCTGGAGATCCTTTGCGTTGTTTTGAATGCGGGAGCCAACCCCAACGCATGCATCCCACGGAGCTCACCATCGGCATCGGCTTCGAAGCAGAGCTCAATCCTGACCCAGCATCCTCTATGCTTCTTGCTTGAACAATATCCAGAAGTCGCTTTGGATATAGTAACCTTGTTGCTGGCGAAAGGTGCGCAGCTTACGATCGCGTCGGAATTCTCCAATGGTCGGCTACCGTTGCACTCGGCGGTCATGGCGAATCGCTTCGATGTAGTACAGGAATTTCTTCTCTACGGAGCTGATGTGAACAGTGTCGACCAGCACGGACGAGCACCACTTTACATCGCTGCAGAACGCGGGGATTGGGAGATATTGAACTCATTGCTTCGCCATGGTGCGAAGATGGATATGCTTGATGTCGAGAAGAACACACCCCTCCATGCGGCAGCTGTTGGCGGCAGCGAGAAAATTGTTGCTTCGCTGCTACGCGAAGGCGCTAAAGCAAATGTAAAGAACGCGAAAGGGCTAACACCAATGGCATGTGTAGCCGAGGACCTCCCCGAGGATGAGAAGAGTGTCATAGTAGCCATGCTTAAAGAAGTCGAAGAAAAGGAGCAAAGAGCCGAGGAAGCCCAACGAAAGCAAGATGAAGCGATCGCAGCGTACGAAGCGAAGATGCGGCAACAGAAAGAGGAAGAAGCGAAAGTAAAGTTGCAACGAGAGCAAGAAGCTAAAGCAAAGTTGCAACGAGAGCAAGAAGCTAAAGCTCGCATCCAGAAAGCCAACGACGAAGCCTCCGCTCAACGGCTACACGAACAACCAACCCTACCAGCCCCAATGACCACGTCACCACCGCTACCCACAACCCGAAAACCGTCCTTCCTGTCCCGAAAAGCCTCTTCCCTCTTCAACAAGTCAAAATCTGTACCTTCCCCTCTCGACACTCTACCTAAGCCAAGACATTCTTCCCTACTTCGTCTCCGTATCAACACACCACCTCCCTCCAAGCAACAACTGAACAAAAACCTCGAACCTTCAATACGACCCATCACCATACCTTCGCCGCACATCCTCGCCAGTCCCGATTTCTTCAGCACGGAATTCAACAACATGATGGATCCACGACCTGTTATCGCATTACCGGCCGCTATCCAGCGTCGCACGACTGCGGCACGCGTGGATAGCGGGCTCAGCGAAAGACGGAGTAGTATGATGGGTATCTTGGATCTAGAAAAGGTGAACGAGAAGTTGACGAGCCCTGAACTGCGCGCGAGAGAGAGGGAGAGTAATGGGGAGGAGTTGGCGGATTGGCTGGCGTTGACGAAGATGATGGATGGGTTGTGATGTTGTCGTTTGGGTGTTTTTGCTCAACGCGCTTTTTCTTGTCGATACCGGGTTTATGTCTCCTTTCTCTTTTGGCTAACCTTTTTTTTGGCTCTATCTCGGTGGTTTCTTTGCGGCATGGCATATACTGAGCGTCTTTCGGTTTTTTTGTTGGTTGAAAATGCCTGGATGTGTACGATATTAGGATTTATATGCTGATACCCGGGCTTTCATTACATATAATACACATCTTCATAAGTGGTAGCTTGAGTAAGCTTGCTTTGTTGCCCATGTTTCGCTTTCAGGTTTTGCGGTGTTCACTGTCCGATGCTTTGTTACAAAGTACGTCGGAAAGATGCGACATAGGCTTTCGGGAAGTGCTTGAGGATGAACATAGAAGACTGGAGCAGACAGTATGGTTATAACGTACGTAGTCAATACCGCCATCCCCGAATTTAAAGGTACATTCGCATTTGACAGTTACACTATGATAGCCGCTCACGAAGGCACAAGATATTGAAGACAGGCAATTTATCTACTTCTTGAAGAAGTTTAGGCTCTTCAAGTTAACGTTGTCGGACTCAGATACCTCTTCGGTCGAGTTGAGCCCCCAACTCTCCGGACTGTCATCTTTGACGGTCGTCCTACGCATGTCGCCCGTAAACTTGCCCTCATAGCTACCTCCTGTAGCACGATGCACTGTCGATACATTGTCCCATGCAATCATATCTCCATTGTCGTACCACTCCAACCTCAGCACATTTTCAGGTCGTGTTACATGACCAATCAACTTCTTCATGAGAGCCGCATTCTCTTCTTCTGGTAACGGTGTACCGTCTGCAGTCTCGACGTGATGGAGGTAGTTGCCAACGTACAATGTCTTGCGACCGGAAGCTTCGTGTGTTGAGACGAGTCGGTGGCGCGCCATGGGCTGGCTGTAGGGATCGACATCGGCGAAGTACTCGGGAGCTCCCTTCTTGCGAAGCTGTAAGAATGAATGCGCGCCAACTAAGTCCCTCTCGAGCAAGTCTTGCTTGAGATCTTCGTCTAGATCATCCCAAGCAGCCAGGCTGTCTGCATATTCCGTCTCACCACCAGTGTTTGGAGGAGGTAGCTTCACAGCCCGCAAGATAGACCAGCTCGCTCATTGCCGGTTGAACGACCCATCATTGTGGAACACGGCATTACCTTTGCCAAAGAGTGTACGAGGCGAGTCGACGGCAAACGGCTTGCCATCGTCGTCGATGTTGCCTACGTCGAAGAGCTCAAAATGCTTGAAACGGTGTTTTTTCACATGGAGTTTGAGATCATGCAACTCTCCGAGCTTTCGAGAGAATTCAACATGCTCTTCGTCGCTCAAACCGGCTTTGCGAAAGACAAGCACGTTGTACTATGATGGATCAGCAATTGCGATAGCAGGGGAACGACGAAACGTACTTTGGCCATCGCCTGCTTGATATCGTCAAGTTGCTCATCGGACATGTTGGTAAAATCTGCGCCCATTACCTCAGCAGCAAAGGTAGGGTGTAGCTGCTTCACCGTGATGGTGCGGAATGGTGCGCCGTTGATGATCTGGCCTCGCATCTTGATGAATGCGATCTTGAGAATTATTCAGTGGTAGAGTATAAGCTGTTAGAAACTCTAGTCAAAGTTCTGCTGCGTGGAGCGAAATGAAGGCGGGCATAGTTAATTTATACACAATATCGGTGTACTAGACTCTACGATACTCGGACGAAATGCCTTGTCTCAAGCTTTGCATCACCAAGCGATAGATGAGCAATGCTATGTAAGATGTGGAGCATAAGCACCTGTCGCAAAGGATTGATGTTGGGCCACCAAACCTAACGGTTCTTCTCTCGGTGAGATCTTTCGAATCAAGCGGCCAAACTTGGGTAGTTCAACACCTAGGCTGTTTATAAATACACGGAGGAACGGATGGACACGCAAATAGCAAGGCACCATGTTAGAGAAGCAATGGTATGCTACACCGTGAAAAGGTGGGCGGAGGATCGGAGGATCGGAGTGGTGGAGTACATAGTGGAGTTGCGGAGTAACGGAGTGACAAAATGTCAGGAGATATCGATACGCAGACCAATAGAAGCTTTACTCTACGGACCACGAACGCAATTCATATTTGTTCAGCCCATACACGGTCTGATTGTTTGGTGACCGCCGGATCTTGATATGTATTGCTTCCACAAACATGTGATACGTCTCGTTGTGCCCTCAGGATGCTATTCGTGGTGCAATGCGCAGCGGCGATATGGACAGGGCAGTTGCGACATTGACCTGCGGCGAAAAGAGAAGGATGCCGTCATGCTAGAGTGATGAGATTCCTAGAAACCTTTAGGTTACTATCCCTTGAGCCTCTATCCGGTATGTAGTTGGTCATCCTGCCTGAATGGTGGTTAACGCAGCTCGTCTAGGCGGTTCTAGACACTACGAGCAACCGCTGAACAACATGCGATTGAAGCTTTTGATATATTGGACGGATGAGAAACTTGAATCTGAATCGAGGAACGTTGAATTGTTTGGGGAATTTTGGCGCAATGATCTGCTTTTTTTTTCGTAGATGCCCACGTTCGCTGCTGGTTATATCCTTCAATATCGAAGTTGTTGCTTCTCTAATAGTCGAGGTAATCGATTATGGGGAAGGAAATCATATTGGTGTTTACGTCCGGATGGAAGTGATGATCCTTCGACCGATGAACATTTCAATTCCGCACGGCATGATGATTAGGTGCGCACATCGAGATTATGCACACCTGTTTCCTGAGCTCATGGACAAATATGCTGTGGTAACAAAGAACACCGAAATGCTCGTGGAGCAATGTTAGTGACAGCGTTACCGATTGTGTTGGACTGCTGCTCTTTCCGCTGCTTATGGTGGGGGAGACTCGAAGACAAATGCTGTCTTTATAAAGCTGATGCGGCTATCACAGTCATCGCGCTGCAAGCGGTTACGAGACCAGCTACGCGTGCGACGTACGCGTTGCAGCGCTACCATAACATGATCGTTTGCTTATATGGAACCTCAAAAAGGGATTTTATTTCGTGAAGAAAGAAACGCCAAAATGCGTCTGTTGAGGTTACGCACAGCCCCTCGGAGTTTTGTCCAGTTAAGACGCGTCAGTCACTTTGCCCCGCCTTCACCTGCTTACCCTTCTTATCTCTCAGCTTCCAGCACATTGCGACCCGAAGTTTGCACATTCACAAACAATGAGGGGAACTAGGGCTATTGAATCTCACACTCATTTCTGAAACTTGTTTCGAGGCGCCTTTTGAGGGAGCACATTTACCCCGCGCTTTTTACTATTAATTCTCCCGGTTACCGTCTCTACAAGATCGTTACCGAAGACGCGCAAATCATTACTCGTGGCGCCGAGCTGGATATTTTCGCAAAGTGAATAGGATCTGTTCCTGTAGCGATGATGCCTGAGAGCAGGTTGTGTGAAAGATGCCAAGAAATCTTTTCAGAGGGAGCAGATACAGGCGACGTATTGAGTCAGAAAGCGCATCATGCTGACAGTGGATCATTGTTCCAAGCAGTTGAAAAAGGCTGCTATATTTGCAGCTGGGCTCTTAGAGATTACAGATGGTCTAGATCACAAGAGCATCGCGCTTCTCAGCCTGTCCATCATACTGTGTACAAGTGGGACGACTATATAGACGAGCAGGTCATGTCGGACTGTGACGGGCTGCAGCTGAACATCAATGTTTATGATGTGCTAGGCGGCCACTCCAGTACAAGTACGTTCTGGTTGTTGGGATCAACCGTCGAAGGTAATTGTTGCCCTATGTTCAAAGTCTGTGACTGATCAAGCCAGGTCGACATGCGACGACAGTGCGTCTAAAGCTGGATCCATCAACCAGGTCCAAAGAAACCTTCTCTTTAATCAGAAGATGGATTGACAAATGCTGCTTCGAGCATGTCGAATGTAAATTGTCAACAGATCGTAGAAAGTTGCCCACGAGGCTTGTGTTCGTCCAGCCAACGGATAAAGGCTCCAGAGTCATAGCGAACATATGTCACAGCGATAAATTACCTATGGGGACACCGTACCTTACTCTCTCCCACTGTTGGGGCGGTATCAAGTTTCTAACCACGACTCGCGGAAACTTAGGTTCATTCGAATCCTCGCTTCCCGTAGACAGCCTATCCAGAACATTTCAAGACGCTCTCTTCGCGACCCTAAATCTAGGCTTCCAGTACATTTGGATTGACTCTTTGTGCATTGTGCAGGACGATCCTGACGACTGGAGACGCGAATCGCTCCTAATGCATGAAGTGTACAGGAATGCTAGCTGCAACGTCTCGGCTTCTGGGTTCCCTGACCCGTCGCAAGGTTTCATACTAGACGAGCGTCGTATCAGTTCAGACCCGGTGCCTGTTACTTTAGTGAACCAGGTTCCGAAATCCACGCACTTGACTTCTCAGGACACTTCTAGAAAGGCGTATCATCTGATACGTGAAGACCCATGGCAGGAGATGAGAAGAGCTCCGATCTTTCTTCGAGCCTGGACGTTACAAGAACAATTACTTGTATGTGCAATGATAGACAAACACTGATTTCTAAGAGCTAACGATTAGGCGACTCGCACTATACACTTCGGTAATGATCAAGTGTACTGGGAATGCAAAGGCACAGTTGCGAACGAAGTATGGCCCCTTGGGTGGCTGAATACTCCGTTGGAAAGCCTGTTTCGAGAACGAACCGACAGCAGCTGGAAATTCAAGCTTGATGATGTGCCTAGCATCAATGTTAGTTCTGACCATGTCGAGTGGAGCATCTGAAGCCGTCTACGTAGACTAACCAGCACTAGACCTCTCTCTACAATAGTTGGTTCGACGTTATAGAAGACTACTCACGCCGTCACATTACATTTGCCACAGATCGTCTTCCTGCCTTAGCGGGTATTACTAAGGAATTCGTAAACTATCTCGGGGATGAAAGCGAATATGGGCTATGGAGCAAGGATATTCATCGCGGTATATTATTCCAGCAAGTTGAAGACCGTGACGCGTCGCAGTACTCTAAAGTGGTGCCAACATGGCATAACTTACCAAGTTGGTCATGGGTGGCCTGTGGCAAGTCTGTGGTGTGGGGATATGGAATACGAAACATCGAAGCGGACCGTATGTGTGATGTTGAACTTCTCCACCTTGCAAAGACCACACGAATTCAGCTTCGCGGCACTCTCTTGCCCACTCCGAGCGACTATCGCAGTTTCGAGATTGTCAGTAGCAAGGACTCCCTAGGGTGTAAGCTTCGGGGGCCGAACGATAGAGGTTTTATTCTCGAATTCTGCCCAGACCCATGGTTCGAGTCGTTTCTAAGAGAGCACGAGGCCGAAATTATACCAGTCTCAACGTCGGGAGAATGGATTACCGAGGATAAGCAAGTAAAAGGATTCGTTGACAGCATTCTTATCATGCCGATACTGTGTTACAACGAATCGTCAGAGGAGGGCGACTACACCCAATGTGGTACTATAATGGGTCTTCTCTTGTATCCGTTGTCTGGAGCAGAGCGCGGGGTATATCGACGAGTGGGCATTCTAGAGGCTTCAATACACGGCAGCGACGAGATGGATATCGACACCATTAAATGCCAATTCGAGGCTTATCGTAGACCTCTTGACCCTCGGCTGTGTCCAGAAGAAGATTTTGACGGGAAGTACACAGTCACAGTAATGTAGTGAAGGTGCATCTTCAGGCCGTGTATGAAGGGGTGCAGGATAACGCGAATCAAAACTCAGAGATGTTACCCCGCCAGAATGCCCATTCCAGCGGAATGAATAAGCCACTTAGGTACACAGTCACCATTCCATTTGCACGTTAGCTCCTCTAGTATTGCAACCTAACACTCCTCCAGATCCTTCACGCCACAGAGCCGACCTCATCACGGTGGACTCTCATCAGATGATCCACCGTCTTGTCCTTGAGTGGAAAAACATGTCCATCCTTGTCCTTGATCCTATCGCATCCACCGACTGGGCACCAAAAGCGCGCGTTGTGTAAGTCGTGCATTGATGGGTGATGTCTTCGCAGTTCGTACCGGCGACCGAAGGTCGCGCCATGGCAGGGTACAATGTTGCAGATGTGTTTGAGCGGACGTAGTGATTCGCTGGCGGGGGCCGCGACATGACCAGTGTGCTGGACTTTAGCGTTCGTCATACAGCCGGGGTGAAATGGCGCACGAGAGCCGTGGGTCAGATATTGATGCTGGCAGAAATAGTCTAGCTGAAATCGGATTCATCAGAGACAGGAGGTGTCGAGGGCGATAGCGTTGCTGGGTCGGCCCTTTCCGAAGCTTTTGCAGTTGTTCTGGGCTGTTCGTCCGGCTTCAATGATTCTGGATCCGGGGCTTTGGCGCGCTCCTTGCTGCTCGAACCTTTGAACCAGTGTGTCGGAATCACGACACCTCCAGGCCTAGCAATAAGGTTCTTCAACCAAACGAGCACTTTTTCTTTCCAGGAAGATTCTTCGTCGCGATTTATGTACTTGAACGCTATCCATACCACTACGCCTGTCAAGACTAGGGTCAAGATTTCGGTACTCACTGTCAAGAGTCAGTAAGGATCTCTCTCGATATTGGTTTCATCTTCAATGAAGCATGCTCGTATCACACACTCGTGCAGATAACTGAAGTCTACTTACCGAATATGCCGCCAATCTTGCCTCTATGGTAAACGCCATCAGTACCAAAGATTTGGAGGTTCTCAAATCCGTCGATTTTGAGAGCGAAAAGTGCCGTGAGGAATGCAAGTGGAGTGAAAACGACTGTGATGACGGTAAATCCAATAACAGCGGTACTAACGATGAGACTGCTGTGGGCGTCCCTAATGCTGGCGTGCGTGCGCTTCAAGTTAAGCATGTCCTGTATACTCTTCTCAATTCTGTCCGCATCACCATCGATCTTTTCCACCCTTCTCATGTACTGTTGGATTGTTTCTTGAGAGCTTTCGATTGGTGCCCAATCTTGTGGATGTTCTTCCACGCTATCGCTTAGGCGGTCTTGGAGAAATTGTTTCAGCACATGCTCCTGCTGGTCGAGAACGTGCTTGACCATAGCAAGCTCACTGCGCACGTCGGAGATGACATGCATGAAGTATCGCTCTCGGCGGTATTCAAGCCCACTGAAACTGGACTTCCCTCCAGGAGGCTTCTCGATGTATGATCTCACTTCTGAAAGAAGCTGTACAACTCTGGTTTCGAAAAGATCGAGCGGAGGTGGATATCGGACGCCGTGATCAGTGTAGCCCTTGCCAAATCGTTCAATGAAGCTAGTGATGATCAAGCCGAAGTGGATCCCCGCATCTGGGACTTTTTGTCGGTTCCCGGTCAAGTGCCCATACGCATGTGGCGCATATTCAGTTCCCTGCGGCATACTGTAGGCCGACACAACGACGTTGCCTAACTTGTATAGCCAAAACTGCGGTACCGTAAGGATCAACGCAGTCCTATCGGTTTTTCTGATACCTTTCTCTCGCTCATCATAGCAGACGAAATTGTCTCTACTGTGTGAGGCTACCTGATCATGATTACGTACATACAGTGCTTCAGGAGAAAGCCCTGGATAGTAAGCCTCATCCAAGGTGCGTTCCAGATGGTCGTAATGTAGGAGAGGTTCACAGGGCTTTAAATTTCCTCCAAGAATCTCATGCTCTTCTCTTCTCTTCTCTTGTTGTCCGATTTTCGTGAGCACCAGATATGGGAACTGGAAGCATAAGCATCGAGACGCAAAACACAATTTCGAATACTAACCACAATTGTCAAACATCTCACTTTCCGCAACTCGCGTCGACTGTGAGGGCTTTTCTGAGGTATTTGTAAGTTGCATGGACATTGGAAATGTTACAAATTTGCTTGTCCTTATCATACTTCTACGGGCATCTGCAGGCATCTCGATTGATATGACGACTCCAAATACGTTAGAAGAGGATCATCCGAACTACGTAGCAAGGCTTCGAGAGTTTTGACAAAATCACGAGCAGCGGCCGATCTAATGGTTCGTATGTAGGCCTTTAGGACATCGTTAGTTTGTCAATATGATAGAAGGGTATTCGTACAGTCATCATTGGAATCTGTCGAGGTCAGCTTGATTGTTTTTTTTGAAAGAGAATAATGCGCACTAACGTTATTCCTAGGGACATGGATCCAGGTGACCCCTTGTTTCTGGATGACTTCAGGGCTTGTATATGGAGCTAGCTCTTTTTGTAGAGATGTAAAAGGCCCGCGGATACTTCTGATTTTCCAATGATCGCCTTCGAACTTGGTGTGCACAGCGAAAAAGATCTCGGGAAGTAGCCTCAAGAAGAGATGAACTGTTATCAAGATTCTCACATCCATATCCCAGGATTCGTTGAACAAGTCTTCCGAATAGTCCATACCGCTGTTTCGGGGATCTGCTCCATAGTCCAATAGGAGCTGAATAGTGTCAAGAGCACCTCATATGATAGCTCTCGAGAGCAGATAATCGATTTCGTTTGACTTTGCGGCGTTGATCTCTGATCTCAACCACTCAGCAATTTGCGGCTCGGATCCAAGAATTCGAAGAGCGGTTGCTAGTATCGCCGATTCTACAGCCGAAATTTGCCAGCCCAAGCGCCCTCCATCACGGCTTTCAATTCCCACTTCTTGATCCCAAAATAACGTGAATCCACCAGCATCTTCTATCTTCCTCTTCAGAGTATCTGGGGAGTGTGCTTTGATGCCCTTGAGCAACTTGTCAAGTTTTGCCACGTTCTCCAGTGTGTCCTCTGTCATGGGAGTCTGCAGATCACCAGCACGGTAAAGTGCCCCATTCAAGATTTCTATTAGCCTTGTCATTATCCAGCATTATCACCCTGTGATGGAATGGGCCACACCTTCTTCGAAACTGGCACACCGAGAGTCGTTCGAGTCCAATAAAAAAATCATATCACTTGCTGCCATAATCGAATCAACGCAGCAGTCAGTGGCAGGAAGAAATGGAAAGAAAGGTTTTCATCTCAGGCGGCAGCCTTCCTACTTATTCTACCCCAACGACAATCTCTCCAGTAATGCATATCACTGGCACGCCTTATATAGGTTAAACATATCATCATCGAACACTAAGCGCCATCATGCAGCCTTGCCCGAAAGCGTTTCCAGCCTCGTTGCGTGGGTGAGCATGCTGTCATCAGTTTTCAGCTAAACCAACGCCACCGATGAAGCAAGGGCGGAAGCTCGGCCACTGGTCCAAAACCCCGCCTGCAGATGATAAGTGCAACAACTCTTCCAAGGCCGCCATCTTGCAATTGATGGCACAAAACCGGTACATAAGACTACTGCCGTCATGTGATATGAAACTAGAAAGAGTCAACACAAGCACAAGACATTACTGCACCACCCCAAAGAACAACACTCAAGGTAGCTGATTGATGAGCAGACCACGTCGCCATGGTAATAAATTGGGTATCAATCTTGACCTCATATCTCGTCTATCCAAAGCATGTCTTCATGCACACATCGCGTCGTCAAACCATGTCGACATTCAAAGTCTTTGTAAGAAAAAGACAGAACAACCCCGAAAAACGCCAGGTGATGCAATCTATCGTGATCCCAAACCCAAAAAGGAGATAGATGAATAAGAGATGCTTCGTATATGCCAACTTCGATATTCCCCCAACCCACTGCCATGACCATCATCATGCCTATGAAGCTTCAGCCAAAGCCTCACCAAGCGCATCAGCATCATAATCCTGCACGACAACCTTGGCGGGGGCATCGGGAACCTCATCAAAGAAGCCCCAAATAGGGCCATTCTGATTCACACCACTGGGTCTCAGCTTGGGCTTGTCCTTCTTCTTCGAGCCGTCCTTGGAAGTCGCAGTACCTTCACTCGACTGTGAGTCCTGCGTATCCTGCGTCGACTGCGTTTCCTGGCTAAGGATCGAAGGCGCACGAGTAGCCGTAGCAGGCGGCGACACAACAGGAGCAGGGCTGGCACCCCACTTGCCAAAGACCCAACCGCCGACTTTCTTCGTGAGACCAGGTCCACTAGATGAGGGCTGGGGACCATCGCTCTTCCGGGGACCGCGTTTCTGATTCGCGATGCTGGAGTAGAGACGGTCGCGTTGCGCCATGCTGCTCTCTGAAGTCTTGTTTGAAAGCGTGCCATGAGCGGTGGCGGTCCATGGAGTGAGCTCTGGTCCTACGGAGCCAGCGTTACCGGGGGTTGCAAAGCGTGCTGCGTTGGAATACAGAAGCTGTGAGGGTCGTGATTGTAGAGTGTGGATGTCCATGCCGGAGACTGAGATGAGGGATTCGTGGGAAGCGTGGCGGCGTAATGCGGGGCGCATGGCGGTCATGGGCGAGACAAGATCGTCGGGCTCGAAGTCGCCGTGGGAAGTCATCAGCGAGGGCTCAGCGGTCGACAGCGAGGAGTCTTCGCTTTCCTCTGGGATCGCGGCCTGAGGCTCCGGCTGCAGGTATGGTGAAAGCGTGAAACTGGCATCCGAGAAAGAGTTGGCGGGGCTCACAGCCGAGATGATGGCGGTTGCAGGACTACTCTTGGTAGTTAGGGTGATTGGTGTGCTCGAGCTGCGCATTGTTGAGAGACTTGGTGGCATGAGCCCGCGAGACTTGCGTCGTAGATGCTTGCTTCCGCTCTTGGCCACCTCAAGGGTTCCAGACGACCTTCGCAGCATCGGAGGCATTGCATCTGGATCTGAGCTATAGTCGTTAGACTTGACGGGGCCGAACATGGGAGAGTGGAAATCAATCGAATCGGGAGGACTAGTAGGACGGGATGAGTCGTAGGCCTCGCTGAAGACACGATCGTACATGGAACCACGATGAGAATCCGATACGGGAGAACCTGCAAAGGAGCCCGGCGTAAGGGTCGAAGCCTGAGACCATCTGTGCGAGTTTGGCACAGTGACGGCAGTGTGTTCCAGTATCGCAGCCGTGGATGAACGATCGAGCGTCGGAGGCGGGTCGAAATGTGTTGGGGTAAGAGAAAACCGCTTCTTTTTTGGCCGTCGCTGCGCCGGCGGTTTGGGTACGTTCCTGGCAACCTTGGGACCGTGGTAATGGTGGTGTATGTGAAGTTCCTGATTCAGAGATTCCATCTCCATCTCGAGTTCCTTCTGCAGCGAAGGGCTCGTGACGTCCTCGGATGATGTGGATACGGGCTGGTGAACTTTGAGCTGGTCTCGCAGACGCTCCACTTCTTCGTTTGAATTTCCTAGTAACTCGCGCAATTCCAGTATGCCGTGTTGTAGATTAGCATTATCGAGTAGAATGTCCTTGACAAAGTGCGAGACGACGTTGGGCCCGCCCTTGTCAGTCCCTGCTTTGGCCTTGAGCCTGCCAGCGGCTGAGTGGAGGTTTTCTTCGACAGCCATCCTCCGCTCCATGCGTGCCACGACTTCCATGTGTCGCTGACGTTCTGCACGGGACTCTTTCTCGATGCGATCAATCTGGTCCTGGAGGTCACCTATAGTCCTCTCTGCTACCTTCCATCGTTGTATGGCGGTTCGCTCGTCGACCAGTTTTGCGTCGAGACTGCTCTGCAGCTGCGACTGTTCTCTTTCGAGGTCTATCAGCTGGCGTTCGAGGAGCTGGGTGCGTGCTGCCAGGGAACTCAGGCGGTCGATTTCGTCTTCAGTGGAGCGCAGCGTGTCTTCGAGCGCTCGAATGTGGGCGTCTGACTCGGCGACGGCGCTGTTGAGCTGCTCGAGCTGGTCGAGGAGGTCTCTGTTGGCCTTGATGGTTTGCGCATTCTTGGCTTCGAGCTCTATCTTGTCCTTCTCAAGCGAGTCGATGGTGTGAATCATTTCTTTCCGTTCGCGCTCCGAATCGGCGACGTAGGCTTCATGGCGGACGAGGAGTGCCTGCAGGGCAACGGTTAGCGGTACGCGCGAGGGAGAGAGTCGCTGCTAAGCTGCAGGGCAGCCGATCGCTGGCAGCCGGCAGTGAGCAACTTGACATGCAGAGAGAGAAAGACATACCTGACCCAGCTGTGCAGCCTTTGACACATCCCTCTCGAGCCCCTCTAAGAGTTTTCCATTGTGAGCCAGGAAAGCGCAGTCCTGGCTCCCACAGCAACACCGAGGCCCTGGCATGCCACCAAGGCCGGCCGTGTCCATGTGTACGACCCCTCGGTTGGCGTAAACAAGTCGTCGATAGGCGCCGGGTGCTGTACAGTTGATAAAAAATGCGTCGAATGATCGTCGATGGCGTCGCTCATGCTCGAATTAAATAGGAGCGGGTAAGAGGTGCGCATACATGGGAGGGCGGTGTTGACAGAAGCAAGTGCAATAGGAAATGGAGGTGTGGTAGTCGGGCGCGTCGAGCGATTTGTTGTTCCTGACTATGCCGCCGGCCCACTCTCCACTCAACCAGGTGTCCCTGCCAGCAAAGCAGCCCCGCCAAGCCCCCTGCCACCGCCTTTTCCATTCCCCTCTTCCCTGTTTCTCCTCCACTTTCACCCCAACTTGATGACGGGTGCATATGCGCACAGCAATATACCTTCACCCGCATCCTTCCCGCCATATCTGAAGCATCGTGAACTGCAATCTTCCACCCGGTCAGCGACGTCAACGGCGCTCGGACGCACCGTTTTCGATACCCCTGCGCAAAATCTAACATTGCTGACGCGAACGCCAATATCTCGCAATCTTAAGCCCAAAACAAACATTCGACTCTTGGCGGCTGCCTTTGCCGTGACTTCGACACAATCAGTCGCCAAAGTGCGAACAAGGTGAGTATATAGCATGCATCATGGTAAGTGTCAGGTAGGTCGGAGTGAGTCTCATATCTGGTCATATTCTACTTTCGAGCCCATCATTTCATCTTTACCGCACTGCGAGAACGTCTCAGGCTCGCTACGATGTATCATCGAATGGCTTCAACGACTGCAACGATGCACGTCACCCCACCAATGCGGAAACCCCATCGTTCTCACCATGTAGTGCAAGTTGTCATCGTGAACCCGCGGCGATTTCATACCTTAGCGAACCTCACCAAGAACCCTACCACTTCCTCACCCAGACCAAATCAACATACCGAAAGCCCATCACTTCCGTCCTTCAACCTCTTCAAACAGCTTCGAGAAGCTAGGCCAGCAGTGCGCTATACTGTCTACGCCGGCCTCGGTTTGATGGCTACCGTTGAGACCACATTCTGGTTTCACGTACTGCGAGCCAAGTTCTTCCCACGGGCATCGAAAGAGGAACAAGAAAAGGCTGATGCCCTGCTGGGGCGCATGAACGACGCTATAAAAGGTTATCGTCATGTGTGGTTAGCCAACTACAGCAGGTACTACGGTGTATATATTTGGGGGTTGGGGTATGGGGGACTCGACGGGTTGCTGCAAGATCTCGAAGATGGTGATGGCGATGCTCAATGACCGATTCTCCGCTTGGTGGGTGTCTTCCCTGTGCCCTACTGGATGCGTTGTGCACAATGGGGCGCAATAGGGCAACAACTCATTATGCCCCGCACTCTCCGCCCCAACGTTTCAAAAAGCTGCGGGTCCTCCCTTATCATGTCGCTACTCTTCTTTCCTTGTCTACAATATACATCTCTCGGTAATCTTACTTCAATTTCAATCTTGCTACTCATCTTCCAGTTATACATCGAAGCTATCATATGCCAAAATGAACGACAGGTCTGCGTTTCTTGGCTACGAGGCTGCGCCCCCATTTGATTTCGCAAACTATGCCGATACTGCAGTCGAACATGCTGCCTTTGGTAAATATATACTCTACGAGTATTACTCTTGTATTAACAGGAAACTTACAGGCTTGCGCTACGCTTCGTTGCGGCCATTGGGGGATCCTTTTGCTCTAGAGGCACCATATACGGAAGCTCAGCATGGCTCAACCCCCCAGCTTGACACTCATATCAGTGACCAAGGGCTGGCACTCACCAGGCGGGTTTATGTACAGGCCCTTGCTGTTTACATAAGGATTCAGGCTAACTTCCAGCTCGTTACAGAAAACAAACGCCTCATATTCCGTATCCTACCACGCTTGATGCTATACAAAACCAGCACACCACATCCTCGTTTCAAGGCGGTGCCAGAGAGGATCGTTCTCACTTCTCTCCCGTGAGCAACAATTCAGACCACGTTGTCATCGGCGTGATTCTCAGCAACGGCGAGGCACGCGGCGATCGATACAAATGTAACGCGCCCTCCTGTTCCGGCGCGAATTTCGGTCGTCTTGCAGACCTCAAGCGACACCACGCCAGTCTACACGGCGGAGTAGGAAGGAAGGGACAGCGCATTTGGTGCTCGGTCGAAGCATGTAAGTAGTCTACCACGATATGCGTAGATGCTTGTGCTCGTGCGCGCTAGCTTCGCAACCGGGTTACAGGAGATAGATGGCTAATACCAACACCACTTTAGGCAGCAGAAGCATGCGCGGTATTGGAAAACCGTTTCCAAGGAAGGATAAGATGATTGATCATTTATTGCGCATGCATGCGGATCGGATGAGCTCTTGAGATTGAATATCGAGGGTTCGTGACATTTTTTACGATAGGTGTTGGTTTCGATCTTGAATTTACTGTCTACCACATGGAGCATGGAGAATCTTGTTTGCAAATATCCAAGACATGATTCCCTCATACGATGTTATATACTAGGACGATTGAGAGCATCTTTCTTTACGTCCTGCGTCCCCGCCATTCTTATGCTCGCCTTCAGCATTCCCGCCATCCTCCTCGCGATCTACGGCGGATTCATCCTTTCGGGAACCATGCTTCTGATCGGCTCTTTACATGCAGCGAACGCAGTGCATTCATATGGCGCGGCGCGATGGGCTGTGATCGTGTCGGTGTTCGTCTTCCCAATCGGATATGTTTCGACGTGGGCAATTGTGGGGAAGATTTACGCACCCGAGATGCAGCCTACGAAGACTCGCCCGACAACGAATTCGATGGTTACGGGTGGCAGTTTTGTCAGCACACCTTCCATGTTTCTGCATCATGGACACCTCTCGTGTCATATCCGCGCATCAGATGGTGACTCATTTGACAAATAAATCGCAAACTGGCTCGTTGCTTTTGCAACTACAATTTTCCTGGCGAATCCGGCCTATGGCGCATACTTTCTCTTTGGTGCTATCGCATTGTTGACGATCGTTGTGCTTCCTACCTGCATGCGTGGGACCCGAGGTCTATCGCTTGAAGACATTCAGGTGTCTCTCGCAAGATCATCGATGCGCTCATTCTCTATCTCCCTGGCTTTGGTAAGAGGACGTGGTTTTGAGCAATATGTTTAATGTTCCCATATCCAGCTAGCAGTCGCACAGTCGAGAGTTCAAATAGAAGAAACACAATTTAGGATCACGACGGAGATATGCAGGAACATAGAAACATGAGTTCAAGGCTAGGAATTGATGCTATGGATCTAATGCTGAAGCCGTGATACGCAAGCATGTTGCAAGAAGGACCTGTGTTACACCGGAGCTGCCGACGGCTCTGAAAACAGTAATCAGCACTATCAATTACACCCTAGTCTTTCATGCTGCTCGCAAATTATACACCAGAGTCATCCTGCTCGATGCCAACCGTCTCACTATGGGTCTTCCAAGTATCGCAGTTACTAATCAGTGTGTCGTTGTTTGTCAGTGCCGCAATCGCGTCGTACTGCTCGACGAACTGCATCGCGAAGCCTTCAGACGTGTGCCAACCTGTTATTCCATTAGTAATGCGGACAATGCAAGGCGTTTTTGGACCTACCGATGTGACAGTGCATCAACCAAGCGCCAGGATTATTCGTCTCAAATGCCAACACCAAGTACCCAGATGCGGGAAGCATGGCAGTATCACGACGGGGGGGATTGTCTAGGTTGAGAGTAACTTCGTCGTCGTAAGTACCTGTACCCTGCGCAATAACGTAGAAATCATGGCCGTGTAAATGGATTGGGTGGGGCACGGCAAGCGTTGTGGAGACGACAACGTAGACCCATTCATCGGCGTTGGGTACCTGGAAGACCGCGTTGGATGTCTCGAACGTGGTTTCGTTTTGCATGATTTGCATGAGCGTTGGATCATCCCATTCCACAACCATGGTTGTGCTGTTGAGCTTCCACTTGAATAGTAGGTCGCTGTTGAGCCCAACGGTGACCAGCTCATCGGCTGTAGCACCGGCTGTGGATCCAACTGTCTTGGAAATGTATGGCACAATGTTATCCGTTTCGTCGGAGCAGATGTCTTCGTAGTCGTAAGCTGAGGTAGCAGGAGTGTCGACTGAGTCACCGTAGAAGATGATACCACGAATGTCATCTGCGTTGTCGTTCTCGGAGCATGCAGACTGAGGGATCGCGCGCATCCAAAAGCTATCAGCCAAATCAGCTTGATCAGCTGTTACGATGATATCATAACGCTGGCCCATACCGATACTGACGACTGTAGCTTCGTAAGGCTCGATAGCGACAAGGTCAGAAGCGATGACGGTCATAGTGTGGTTGTCGATCATGAACTTCCAATGTGTGTCCACGGCAGCATTCACGAGACGGAATAGATACGATGTGCCGGATGTGAAAGACTGGTTGAAGCGATAGCCGCCGTCTTGGTAAGTGTTGGTACCGTTAATGAGACCGTTGTCCAGTGTTGGCGGACCAGATGTCTCGGCAGAGATGTAGAGCTCGTCAACAGTCTGAGTCTCATTAGTAAAACTCCAATAGAATCGCTTTTTATCAAAGCATACCTGGTGATCCCAGTCATTGAGGAATAGTACGCCCAGATCTTCATCGTAGTTGGATGTGGCGGGTCCATTGATGATGATGCCACCGAAGACACCCTCCCATGCTTGCAACGCAAAGTGAGAGTGATACCAAGACGACCCGTATTGGGTGGCTCTCCAAGTGTAAGTCATTGATTCCCCTGGGGCGGTCGGGCATTGTGTGATTGAACTAACGCCATCTTGGTCATTCGTATTCATCTGCCAGATGCCGTGGAAATGGATGCTCGTGCCGTTGTTTGACGTCGTAAGCGAGTTTGTAACGTGAACGATGACTGTATCACCCCAGTCTGCGATCAGGGTCGGTCCGGGAATCGAACCATTGACGGCCATGGCTGATCGCGATACGCCATCCGGTGCAACCGTAACATCAGTAAGTTCTAGCCAGTATTCACGAGTTACCCCAGTGTCGGGAACTTCGGTAGCTGGATCTGTATCAACTGAATAGTCGCACCACTCTGAACGTGTAGAAGCAGTGTTTCCATCACAGGCTGCCCTGGGTTCTGCGCATATGTTAGTCTACAGCATTTTTGTAGTTACTACAAAAGACAGCGCGTAAAACACTGGAGTTGACTAGAGGAAAGACATTTGTGACTCACGTAAGTTCGAAGTAAAGGGGAAGGACGTAGCGTATCGAGCTAGAGCTGCGATACTGATGATACCGCGAAGGAGCATGATAGGAGTCAAGGCAGGGCTTGTGTGCTGTGGCGGAGAGGATGGTGTGACAATAACAAGTGCTCGTAAAGAGTGACTGAGAAAGTTCCAAGAGAGGGTGAGTTTATGAGAAGTGCCAGTAGATGAAGTCCGTCGTTCCCTGAGCGCAAAGCGATAAAAGCGAATGTGAAGAAAGCTGGATGCGTTCCAAGACAGACAAGGTCAATGGATTATTTATGTTCACAATGATCGTATCCGCAAGGCCTCTTCTCGTCAACCTGCAGTCTCATCACCCTACAGTCGATAGTCGATGTTCTCTATCGTGCCTCAGGCGGCCCGTCTCCTATCTCCACCCACGTTCAACGCCGCGTGGCATGATGTTGAGGCAGCAAAATCCTCCACAGCGCAAAGTATCTAAGCCACTTTGGTTGATGGAACCCAAGAAGGTTTGTGTAGTCCCCATGTAGCCGTGCTTATTTTGGCAAAATCTATAGAAAAGGTGAAGCAGACTTCACTGTCGGTCGTAACATGACACACGCAATCCATGAGCATCGTGAAACAACTTTAGATCATCGCGTAAGCTATGCTACACTACCCACACGTAGTGGTGAAGGCCGCGAAAGAGCCGCGTATGAAGACATGGGTGGGCCGAATGATTGCCGCTAAAGCGTCGCACGCTCCATCGCCACCCATCAACAAAAACGACGTGATTGGATGAGTGTGAACAAACATAGTTACACAGGAATTTCGAGCCGGGGAGGAACCCGACATCGTCAGGTCTCATTACTTGCGCCTTGGTACCGGGAAGTTCCATGACGGATGCATCCGTCGATAATGTGGGATTTCCATGTATACGTGCGTTGGGTGTCGTAGACCATCGGATGATTTCCGAGATGGTATCGCGACGTTACGTCGGCCTCATGACCCCGTTCGTGATACGTACAGACCTCGCGGCATGCTTGCGTTGCCTACCAGTATCTAGGAAAAGGACTCTTCCACTACAGGTCCCGAATGACATAAAATCGTCCACGCTACAGGAATGACCATTCTTCACCATACTTTCTCCACACTCCTTTTTTGACACTTCTTTCCTATAGCGCTAGGCTCATTCTTTCCAACATGCGGCTCGACATGCGAAACCTCCTCGTTGCCTCCCTCCCTCTTGTAGTTGAGGGTGCGCGCAAGCGTGATGTATCTCCGTCCGCAACATTCCAACTGTACGCGTATAGCGACGACTTCGGTGGCTTGCCGCTCTTCTATGCGGACGGCCTTGCGTATGTTGGCGATCCAAGCCAAGTCAACAACTCAGATGCTGCTGTTGTGATCTGTAAGTATCCAGTCTCAATTAGGCACTACGTATTCCACGATATTTGCGCTTCCACGACGTGAAGTCCGGATCCACTAACACCGATAGTCACAACGAACTCTGATCACCACTTCGTTGGCAATCCAAACACCACTCTTAGTAACACTACACCCTCATGGTCCAACGTCACGCTCTTCGTCCCCGAGGCCGCTTCCGGAGATAAACGTGTCGGCTTCCTTCCGCCCAACGATGGTACCGGCAATACTACTACTCATACATCTGGCTTCGCATTCTATGGATCCACGGCTATGCTTTATGGCGATGACGGTGGTATTGTTACCTCTTTCAGCGGCTCGAAATTGCAGGGCAGCGACGTATATGAGTTGTTTTGGAATGATACCGACGGGACAGTACCGTTGACGCTAAGGAGGATCGCGCCTAGTAATCCGGGTTCGAAAGCTCGCTAGTTCAGGACTTCTTTCCTCTCTATTGTGGAAATACTATGATACCTGACTATTTAGCTGAGTGACATCTAAATTATCAATAAGATACGTCAAGCTCTGCTGAGACTCTATCACCTCTTCTTGTTTTCCATATCCTCTTTTAGCGAGCTTGTCCTGTGTTGTAGCACAATGTCCTCGCCTCCCACTCCGTCTTGCGTTGCGAATCTACATGCGCTTGTCGACGCTGAGTTGGCCTTCAGAGCTGCCCTGGAGAGGCTGAACGCTGGTCCTGAAATTAGCATCGAAGTCTCGCACTAAGGAATCTTTGTGGCTAAGCCGCTGAATTTCAGCTGGAAAGAATTCGACTGACACCGGGGCGACTAGGATCTGAAGCATCCAGCCTCGTGTGAACCATCTGCTCTGCTAGGATGTACGATTCCAGTCACTTTAGGCAGGCACGCGGCTGGCGAGCTGCTCGTCAAAGTGTCGGAGAGATAAACGTAGCATCGAACAGCGGTGTCGTCGCCATTCTTGTTCCACAAAATAGGCCTGACAGGAAGATGAACCACGACTTTGGGTTCGGCCAAATGGACAGTAAGTTGGATCCATATCGCTAGCGGGTCGTGCGATTAACGATCGACAGGAAGAAATCACACGTTCGTGCCCCCTCTCGACGGTGCTGCTCGCGTCGGATCGCGACCTCGTCGAACGGCCTGCAATTGTCGCATAGATGCGCGACAAGTGCGCGGGACGGGCGCGGGCAGCGCTAATGGGCCCCGGCAGGGTAGGGTACTTCGATATCACCGTACCGACCCTACGCACACTGTAGCACTGACAGGCTGCAGCAAGTCGCAGCTCGCCACCTAGTACGCCTATAGAATCCGTGATGCAGCCTAGATGCACGCTAGGACTCCGTTAAGCCCGGTCCGAGGAAGCCTAGCGAGACATCACCGATCAGCTCCAGTTGCTGGGGCGGAATGACCCAAAGGCGAACGTGTTACAATTGGTACGGCTGGCTATGGGACAAGACGAAGGAATGGTAGATGGTAGTTGTTAACAACATAGATGTCGCACGGTTGGGTGCGGTGTTGCAAGTACGGGAAATCATGAAGAGTGTGTAAGTTATTGTATTGTTCTTGCATCATAGCTCAGCTTATATTCAGGCCCTCGCACGGCATGCTTAGTAACAGAGTTTAGGTTCACGAAAGCGCTTGGCATGCGACAATAGATGATATCTGGACCCTCTTCCCGTCGCGGAAGCGCTAACTTAGCGAGACGAGTAGACGCTAGCGCGCAGACACCGCTTGCTACCTCACTGATTCAACATTATGCTCACGATCTTACACATTATTTACTATGCCTTTCGCGCGTCGCTTTTTTAGGCGTATCTTTGACTAGAAGGCTGAAACCGGCCTTTGGCATAGCCCCGGGAAGCGTCTTGCGGCTGACGTCTCGACCGATCACCCTTCTTGGCGGCATAGGAGGCTTTCATACAGATACGAGCTAAACTTTCGCCCCCGGACTCTTAAGAACGTATATGTCTTCTCTTTCTACTACGCGCTCATCATCCGTTATTGAGCCCTGGTATTTCCTTAACAGCTCATAGTTTTGATCATGGCGAGAAACGCGTCCATTTGGTGTCCATCCGGTGGGGACTGGTACGCTTGTACGACTGGAACGTTATTCGCCGGCTGCTGCGCGGTCGATCCATGTAGCGTTACATGTCCAACTCGGGATCTCTATCCCGTCCACTTCGATCCCTCCGTTTATGGCACTTTTCCGGGCATGTCCTGCCCATCGGAATTCGATTTTTACGTATGCGGTGGCGGGGACACATTCCTTGGCTGCTGCAAGAGTAATCCTTGCGCTCGGGGAGTTCATTGTCCAGATGGCGATTTAGCTCCTGCTTTTATGTCACGACCAGAGCAAGTGGATATCTTCGGAGACCCGAGCTTCGTCAACCTAACCGCTCCTCCCGTCACCACCTCTTCAGTAGGGGGCACCCTTGAACCCGCCATGACGTCCGCACCGGTATACAACGATGTTGAATTCGGTCGTTCAAGAGGTATCATATTGCCCAGCATCTCAACAGCCGCCATGGTGACATTGTGTGCTTTCGTCACACTTTGGCTTGGCTGGAGGAAGTTATCCAGTCGTGGTCGGCATACGTATGTGTCGATAGAACCGTAAGTAAATGAGATCTTCTAGCGTTTGGATGTTTACCCAGAGATAGTATGCACTCATCTATCGACGCTGTGAATTCAACGAAACTTGATACCCACGTAGCCCTCACCGGGTCGTCGGCTACTCTAGCAAAAGACGATCTCCAGCGGCTTGGCTCGAGATCTGCCCTTGTTCTTCTCGCAAGCGCCCTGGCTGTACTCGCAATGTGCATGTTCTTATCGTTCTTGTGGTTCAACGATAGCAAGAACAAGACTTGGAGGTACATCATGGCCCAAGGATGGGCTACACGGTCCGTAGCCGTAACGGCCCTGGTACTGAGGACTTGTGTAGATCTACAAGCTGCTGTTGCTTGTGTTATCCTTGCCTCTATACTTTTGGAATCGAAGTCCGGAGTACACCTGTATCAGACCGCGAGCATGTCCACTATGCGGACTGGGAGTACGAGTCCTTGGACATTCGCTCTTTGTGTTTTAAAAGAGTTCTGGAGATCGACTGCACAGTCACGACGGGATTATCACGTATACGCTATGGTTACTTGCTTGCTCATCACCACCAGTGTTGTTCAGTTTTCATCCACAATACTGCTGTCAGACCTAAAACTAGGCCCGCTGAGAGGCGTTGTGATCTCTTCCGAGGTCCGGCCTGGCTTGTCTTATCCTGTCGGAGGCATAGAGAGGATAGCCCGTGACTCGGCATGGACCACTAATCCGCCCAACTATGCGACCTTCGGTGAATATCACGAACAGCCTTCTGAGATCGTCGATGGAATTGCAGATACTGGAATTTTACTCCGGGCCTTTCTACCATACGAAGCGGCCGGGTCGCGTCAGCGTCTAGCGACGTACACGGGAAACGCTTTGACAATCGATGCTAGGGTAGCCTGCCAGGCACCTTCAATTACTGACCTCGAGGGAAAAGGACTCAACGGGCAGATCAAAGGCATGGTGTCACCTACCACGAACGCGACAATATTGCAGTTCATTATGCCAACGCCATTCGACTGCACAGTGGCTGGAGAGGATCAAATCACGGTATGTCAGCTAGCTCAATCCAGTGACGCCTTCATGGGCTCTCTTGAAAGCCAGTTCGAAAATTCAACGGCATTTGGAACCGCCTTCCTCGTAATCGGTGGCTCGAGCGACACAGCTACGGGGAAAGAGTGGCAAAATATCTCTTTTCCGGAGACGAACAAAACTACCGAAGCTACGATCTCCCTTACCCTATGCTTTGCACCATGGGATGCTGCGATCCTTGACGTTACGCTTCACAGCGATTTGAATAAGACAGAGCCCCTGCTACGATATTGGGGAGGCTTTGAGCCATCAGACGTGCTCACCCATCTAATTCCAACAGCCAAGAACGGGACACGTCAAATCATGGAAATGCAAAGGCCGCATAGCTTCTTGGGAGACCTACCACCTGTATACCGACGCCCAGTGGTACAAAGCGACATGGGCGGCAGCTCAGCAGCTGCCAGGGGAACGAACGTACCCCTACCGGGGAACTGGTCAGTCTTCCTCACTGGTACGCCTCTAGTCACGCACCTTCGCAGCTTCGAGTCGCCTCCCACAAAAATCATCTCGGCAGACCCTGCAATCGCCGCCATCTTTACGGGCGCTATCAAGGCCGGTTTCTCGGTTGAATGGGCGCTGTCTTCTCTCATCACTGTCCTTTCGATGACCAACTACTACAGTCAACAGACTGCATTTGACCGCGTCGATACCGTTGCGGTATCTTTCTTCGAGAACGTCCTTTATCCGCGTAATTACACCGGTCTCACCATACTGATGTGGACGCTTGTCGCGCATTTTGTTCTTTTGACACTGCTAGTGGTACTATTTGTCACGAAGACCAGGCTCACGCTCCTGGGAAATGCGTGGTCAGCGTTTACACAGGTTGCTGAGTCACGTGAAGTGAAGGAGTATATAGCTGGGGCAAGCCTAACGGATGACTCTACACTGTTGAATCAGATGCGCGTACGTGGGAAGAAAGACCTTAGGGCTAGGCTTGTGAGAAGAGGTGACGGTGCTGAAGTCACGGTTGAGTGAAGGATATTTTGATATGCAGTAATACATCTCGTCTCGGTCGATGACTTGAAAAGTTGACGTTGGGTGTGTTTTGGCGAGGTGCTGAGGTGAAGGCTTCCGCAAATACCTCGGTTTCTTTTGCGTGAGGAATCTTAAAACTAATACTCCTATTGCATCTGTGGCGCGGCGCCGCAGAAGTTTGTGTCCTACCATATAAGGGCACGAAAATGGATATGGGTCAGAGAGCGAAGGAGGTTGTAGTGCGCCTTGAGATGACCGTGAGGAGTTGGAAGCTTGTGCAGGGTGAGTGATTGGGTCATGACTTTGGAACAGCGCTGGCTGGTGCCGGTAATGCACAAGCTTACGACAATATACACAACGTATGAATATCTTGACTCGAACTTGTGGAATGTTTGACCGTGGGTGTGTTACGTTATGAGGATGTTCATGGCAGCCTGGTCGTGCCGTGTCAGCTGCGGTTCAGCCCTCGTATTCGCATACGGAGTACGAACACCTCATCGTGTCACTCGCTGCTTTCACCACCACCCAGTAAACAAATTCTTTAGGGAGTTCTACTTATAGGTCTAAAGCGTCGCCCCGAATGTAGGTTGTGCATCAAGGTCCAGCTCTCTTCTACTATCAGAATGGCCGCGAAAACCGCAGGGACGATGAAAGCGTGGACCCACACTCGCGCCGGCCGCCCCTCCTCCGTCCTCACACTTTCGACTCTACCAATACCAACCCTACAATCACCCTGTGATGTCCTAGTTCGTGTGTCGTATTGCGCATTGAATCCTGGCGCTAGCATCGTCATGCAGCTCCTCCCCTTCACTTTCCGCTCTACCCCAGCCATACCGGAAATGGACTTCTCAGGCATCATCGTCTCTTCTTCCTGCAACCTCAAGCCCGGTACCCAGGTTTTCGGTTCTATTCCCCTCTCGCAACATGTAAAAATGACGAGCGGTGCGCTGGCGGAATACGTAGTAGTACCTCAGACATCCGTCGTCCCGAAACCCGACAGTATCTCGGTGGAAGAGGCGGCAGGGTTGGGTATAGCGGGCGCAACTGCCTTACAGCTTCTCAAAGCCGCAGGATTGAAGACGGGAGACAGCGTCCTCGTCAACGGCGCGAGTGGAGGCATAGGCCATTTGGTGCTGCAGATGTGCTGTCATATCGTCGGTCCAACAGGTAGAGTCAAGGCGGTTTGTTCTTCGCGGAACGCCGAGTGGGTTGAAAAACTTGGGAAAAACGTTCAGGTCATCGCATACGACACAAACGGCCCGGTACACTCATATCTCAACAAAACATTCGCTGGAGCGCGCTTCGATGCAGTTGTCGATGCAGTAGGTGTCCAAGATATCTTCAATAACTCGCCTACGTTTCTGAAAGAAGGGAGGCCGTACGTCACTGTTGGTCCGAAAGCGAGCAGCTATACGTATGTCGGTATGCTGGGCACCATTGGGACCATGGCAAAGAACATGCTTTGGCCGAAGTGGTTGGGTGGTACACCGAGACCGTATGTACAAGTTGCGGCGGCTTCAAATCCGGAAACTTTACGGGAGCTGGCAAGGATGGTTACAGAAGAGGGTTTAAGGACAAATGTCGGTTCATTGGTACATATAGAGGACGTTCATAAGGTGAGCTTTATACTCTATACCCTTGCGTTGAAAATGCTAATTGTTGCGTATAGGCGTATGAGCATTTACTTGGTGGTCATGCTCAAGGAAAGATTGTGGTGGCTATGACTGAACAGATCGTCGCACAAGTCGGAGCAACGTCAATGTAATAGCTCGAGCATTATCTTTTTTCAAAATTATGGAACCGATAACGACAGGCCTTACTTTCCTAGTTGTAGCAAGTCGGGTCCTGCAATGCTAACTTACGGCGAGATTATAGATGGATGCTTTGACAGATGAGTGCAGGGAAGAAGTATTTGTAGGTCTCGGTAGACACGAAAATTTGATCGACCGACAGCAGCTCAATCACTTTCACTTTTCAACTTTCTCCTAGCCTAATTGTCTATTACTGTTCACCTGTACATATAGTTAAGCATAGTTCAAGAGAAACACTATTTTTAGATTGAGATTTGTATTTGCTTAGAGCTAGGTGTCCAAGTTGCTACGGAAAGTGTGTATTCCAGAGAGTACTGTGTATGTCGTAGAGTTGTTGACGACGCCTCGAGGCTGGGCACGCTTTGATGCTTCTACAACAGTGCCAGCCGGTAGGCGCACCTCCGTCATAACATTTGCGGGCACTGTTACTGTCAGGGTAAAGACGCCTTCGGTCGTTCTATTCCAAGCACTCCGAGCTTCTCCCCATACAGTCTGGTAGGCCCCTTCTGCAAACTGTACATCCCCAACGAGCTTTGGCTGGAAAACAAGCCCATCTCCCTATGACTTGCTGACAGTTGTAAGGGCAGTAGGTTGTATGCCAGCAATGCCAGCGTGGAACCACTCTTCGATCTGGGCAACAATCATGTGGTTCCTCGAATCTTCGATGTTCCAACGCTCGGGCATCGTCGTGAGACCTTGTGAATTCTGTGTGGTCGAGGCCAAGAAGAAGCCGTAGCTGGGCTGGTCATTCTGCTGTAGAGCTTCCCAAAGTATGTCATCACGGCCCCCAGCCGAGAGGGTTCGTACTATTGGTCCCATTCCGATGGTTCCGCCGCTCAGATGTGGTCCATGTCCGTCTTGCGAAGGATACTCATACGTGAGCTCAACCAGCGCGTCCAAAACTTGCTGTCGATGCTCTTCAGGCACAAGACCTGCGTCCAAGGCGAGAGCCTGTGCAGTCTGCGTGGCGTTGACAGTGGAATTATTGCCAAAGCTGGTGTAACGACCGATGGCAGTGTTATAGAAGGCGGCGTTGAAAGCATTACGGATCTCCAAGGCCAGACGTTCGTACAGGACAGCATCAGCAGTATGCCCGGTAAGATTGGCCATGCGGGCCATGGCATTGACCGTTAGATAGTAACCTCAGGTACCAGTGATGCGGCCGGACGTTCTGGAGTCGTCTTCAACCCAGTCGGCAAGCGCAGCATCGACAATATACCCTCGCACCTTTTCACGCTGTAGATAGTTCACATAATCAGTCATTTGCTTGTAATAAGTGTTCATGACTGTTGTGTCGCCATACAAATCGTACAAGTAAGAAGGTACGAGCACAATAGCATTGCCCTAATTGACTTCGTCCCCAAATCGGCCAGTGTAGCCCCAGTCGTAAACAGGTGCTTTCAGACCCACATTCCCTGCCATGGACGTGTTTGCGATGGATTGCGCTTCTACCAAATTTCGCATATTTGTACGGAGGAAGGCGTTGATGTGGACGTTGTGATAGATGGCGCTCATAGGCATGGTATAATCGGCCGGATACGAAAGCTTCTCACGACCGGGACAATCGGTGAATACCGATATGACATTGCTTGCAATCGAGTAACGCGACATTCTGTGGAGTCGGTTAAGACGTGAATTAGATGAACGGAAAGTGCCAGCGATAGGTACATCTGCTTGGACACGAGCACCTGTTATGAGACCGGCCCTCGGGCTGAACCCTTCGAGTAAGCCCGTTACTTGGATCCACTGCATGGCAAAGTAGTTGAAGTCCAGATACCAGGTTTCACCTCCAGTACGTCCAGAAGTGGTATAAGTGTTGAAAACGTCGGTGCCACGGTCTCCAATACCCAGGGACTCCTGATTAACCGTACCGTTGGGATTAAGTGATTTAGCGGCCACCATTTTGATAATAATACCTGCTGTCATCTGCGGAAGCTTGATGATAGGATAGCCAGCAATGTTCTGGCTAAGATCGAAGACCCAGGTCCCGTAGAATGGGGTGGATACAGATACAGGCTCGAGGTACTCCAACACCTTGACTGGCTCGGCGGCACGGGCAACGAGCTTGGTCGCAAGGTTGGGCGGAGGTACAATACCAGCTGGAATCCAGTTGGAGGATTCTTGCTGAGACCCGGGATGATCCCAATCATCTACTTCCCTGCGAGCGTCATAATCGGAGCCCGAGTACCAAGCGTCGGTCAGTAGTGGACCGAGTGCAGTGCACCAGGACCTGTCAGTCACGATGATGTCTTTGCTGCCATCATCGTAGGTGATCTCAAGGCGGCCAATCAGGCGTGGAGTTACTGGAGTCAAGTCAGCCAAAGTCTCAGAGATCACTGAGCGTCGAAGTCTGAAATTCGGGATAAGGCGCTCAGATCTTCATCATTACTGGTTCTCCCAAACTCAAAAGACGTACCTGCGGCGCCAGCAGACGGGTCGCTGGCTGCAATATTGTTGCCTGAACCGGTGACCCTCGCGCCACCAGCATGTGCAAGTTTTAGTGCTGGGGAAAAGCTGACGATTCGTTGTACAGTGTTGATAGCGGTTATGACGCGCGACTCAAGGTTGTCACCGCCCCCACTGGTGTCAATGTTGATGCTGCCTTGCACGTGATATCCGGTTGCGTTGTTCAGGCGCACACTGATGCTGCCTATCGCGGCAGCCTCGGATAAAGTTCCATCGCCCTTGAGCTGGCTCTGCCACCAGGCGTAAGGCGCATTGCGGCCGAGAGCTGGGTTCGTGATGCTCCGACGAACGTAGGTCGGTCCACTGCCCAGCTTGACCCCGATAGCGTTCGCGCCGGTACGAAGGAGTCGTTTGATGTCGTATGTGCGGTATTCGCTTGAGAGTTGATAATTCGAATACCCTGGAGCCAACACTTCATCCGTGACGGCTTTGCCGTTTACAGAGGCAAGATGCATCCCCATGCCGGACAAATAGAGACGCGCGTGAACGATATCTTTACCATCGGGTACATTGAACTGGCGGGTGAACAGAGGAGGTGGCTGATTCGGGCTACGATCTGGATAGTCAATCCAGCGAGCCTCACCCCAGTCCGATTGATGGAGCAACCCTACGGACCAAGATGAGGTATTCGACCAAGCTGAAGGCTGATTGAGGGCGTCCCAGACTCGCACGCGCCAGAAGAGTGTGTCGTGGGAATTGAGCTCGCGATCCAGACGTAAGGACTGGATTGAACCTTGTTGCTTCCCGGGCCCCCATCGTAGCTTGGCCGTTTTCAGATCGTGTTCAGATGTGGCGACTTGAACTTCATACGCAGTTTGTCGATCCCCTGGACAGACTGCTTCAGCGCAATCTGCTGTCTGAACAATCTGCCAGCTGAGACTTGGACGACGACTCTCCAGATCCAAGGGTTGGTCGTATCGGCCATCGACGCTGAGCCGGACGACTTCGACGGTCGAAATCTGCGCTGAGACAAGACTCGGTAACAGCGTGAGCACACAGGCCGTCAAGATCGATAAAAACCGCATGATGTATCTTTCCCGAGAACAGGTTTGGCCCTTCCTACTCTGGCAACCTGCGTTGACCACCAGGAGCAGTCCCACAACATACTTTATGCATCTGGAACGCACATGCAACAAACACGGAGGTAAGGCTTCACCGGATGTTGATAGTGCGAGGTTGCGATCGGTTCGGGTACATATTCAGCGAAGTCAATCTTGTTCTGTGGTGTAACTCCATCGCGGGTGGCGGATGTCAGCAACTTGCATTAACCCCGGGTTTTACCCCACACAAACCACAGTATGGACTACTCTTGGCTCATGTTATGCGCATCATACTGCGTAGAGCGGAGCGACACGGTTCAGTTTCTGACAATCATCACTGCATTTGCTTAAGGCTAATACGCTTGTTTTGGCAACCTAGGCAAAATTAAGGAAAGAAAGGTAGGCAAGTTCCGTGGTTATGTCGCCGCCGCTCCCTGCGGATGCTGAGAAGATCTTTGGCTTGTCCTGTGCTGAGTATGTTCTTTGTCCGAGTCGTCCTCGAAGTCCAATTACACGCCCGATTTCAAATTCATCGGTGCCCGTTTAGGTAAGCGCATCGGTCTGCATGCGAGTCGTGGTATCACGTCTTGCTCTCAGGCTCGACGCAACTGCTGCGTCCCTAACCACTGTCTGCGCGCATACTCAATACATTAGCCGTTGCGGAGTGAATATGCGCGTGATCCTGTTATCACAATTTAACATATCTCCCTTGGCCGTCTTTACATCGCCCTGTCATGCCAAACGCTCAAACGGGGGCTACGTCACCATCAGCGAGTCGTCGCCAAGTGTCTTTGTTGTGGAAACCTGATGTGAAGCCGTGCCGCCGATAGCAACGAGAACTATCCATTGGCTATCCATTCTGCCGCAACATGTGTTCGAAGAGAGAGGGACGCACAGCTGACGATGTGCGTCTGGTAAGACGTATCACTGTGACGTGAATAGGTGAGCGGGAAAAGGTACGCGCCCGTCTTCGGCTGCTCTGCCCATGCTGCAATGGGGGAAGGGAAGCATCTGTGCAGCGCATCGTCGATCGTTTTCGTCGTACGTTGTAGTGTAGCGTCACGTTCACTGGCAACGGAAAGTCAGTAAGTCTAGTGATAGTAGCTAGCAAAAGATTCCAAGGCCTACTGATTGAAACTTGTGAGGGATCTTAAAGTAAGCGACATGCTGTTCGGTGACTTCATTTGTGTGTGAACCGCCGATGAGCACATTGGGTACGGGCGTCCTTATGCGAACAGCGACCGTCGGACGCGTGCTGTCGTCTGCGGGGCGCTATGTCAGTTCGATCTCACCCAATCTCCATGTCCGCGTCAGGCCGTGGGCTTGCGAGGCGAGAGCGCATAGTGTAGTTTGTTGTTGGCATTGGAGGGTGTCTGGGGAAAACATCCCAAGGGTAAAGTGCCCGTGGATGCGACTCGGGTTTGCGTGCGACCTGCCTTCTTGATGAGCATATTGCCTGGTACGCTGACACAGCGTGAATCTTCGTATTCATGTTGAACGTCCTCTGTGCCATAAGGCACTGGGCTCCGCAGAATGATAATGCCTGTTGATAGATTTGGGGTACAGAAACTGAAGCCGAATGGAACTTCTATCCAACGTGCTAGATACGTCTAAAGACGATCGTGATGAAGGACGGGTTGAAGACTCTGATGGAGCTGACAGGCACGGATACGGTCGAGCACCGTTGCCATCCATGATTGTCGCGATGCATCGTCCGTCTGACAATGCTACGACTGCACTTGTTGAAGCTAGTATCTGGGTTCTGGTGTGACAATTGGTGGCGGCGTGTTGATGGCATTACGGGCAGGTGAAGAGGAAGCAGCGTCGCGTCCGTCCATCCAGTCCCAACCACATCAACCCTCAAACTACCATGTTTCGTAACGATGATAAACCAGCTCTCCTTTCAAGAAAACCGGACCGGACTGATGCACGTAGTGAACAACAGATGATCAAACGTGCGGCGCGAAGGATGCTCGTGCAAAGCGGAGCGTCCGAGGCGATGGGACTGAGGCCCTACGAGACACGCGGAAATCATTCCCACAGCCGGTAGTCTTGGCACCGTGTGCGGGGAGCCTAGCTTCAGCCAGTGGGAACGCCCATCATCTCCGCAAGCGCGATGCGAGGAACATCGATATCGACCACGTTTCACAAGGCAAAAACAACATATCACTCTCTTTCTCTCTTCAAGTTGCTCGTTCCTGCCTAAAGCACGTCAGCTTGAGAATGAACCCGGCCAATGGTTGAGAATGGCTGGTCTTGGTGAATGTCCTCCAGCTTAGTGCTGCCTGCATACTCGATATGAACGCCTAGCTGCTCCCTTGAAACACGACCTTCATCGATAGCGACATGGCCGACCTAAGCGGCAATAAGCCAACGAGTGCACCACGCTATGATGTCAGATCTCACGCCTCACCACCGTATCGACACGCGCTAGACTGCCTATTGAACCTAGTTAGCATCCTAACTCTCTAGCCCACACAACGATTGATCCTCCTCTTTCTCCTCTTTCTCCTCTTTCTTCTCATCTCCGTTTACACCGTGTCGCGAACCCTCACTTTTACTCCATATCTTTCTTTTGTATTCCTCCCGAATGTTCTTATTAGAAACCCTACCAAGGCTTTACACGTTCTCCAGAGTGGCTATTGTAGGGCGATCAGCATGGGTAGGATAATGTTGCAGGGCGGCGCGTTGCGCGTCACGCCTCATTCGACTTGGTGCATGGACATAGTATTTCGATGATGCACTGCTAATACCCTCACCATCACAACCCTTGCGTACAATCCACCCTCTTTCTACGATCTGCCACGCAAGTTGGGTTCCTACAGATCGCACGGAAAATCCAGTCTGCTGGTGCGAACAACACCTCGAAGTTTAAAGCAGATACGCTAATGACGTCTAGATCAGTCTGCTTATGAAACTATGTTCGAGGTTACGGTCAACCTTCGATATACACGATGCATACGTAGGTCCGATTACTAACAAAATAATCTCGTCTTATAAGATTGGACTTAGAGCCTTGGACTCGAACAAAAAGCAACGATGACGGCGACGATGCGCGATGCGCGATGCGGATGGTGATACGTAGGTCGCTTGCAGCGGGCCGTTCGCCTCGACCCGCATCCTTGGCTATACCTCGAAGCACCACGACCCAGACCCGTCTAGAACACGCAAAGCTCGAAGCCCAAAGTACGCCCGCGGACACAAGCGCAGGGCGATGCTTTCACTGAAAGGTCGTGCCTGCAGCAAGTGTATTTGGTGGCTGCAGAAAGAGACTCTTCATAAGTTGTCGTCAGCCAAGCTGAACTCGGCTGCCTGGTATAAACGGTGAGAAAACCTCTTTGCAAGGACTAGCGTTTCCGGAACACTGCTCCGATATGACGCCTCTGCTTTGGCATGGCATTGTGATCATGCAACTTTGAAAAAGGAAGCTGAGGTTGGAGTCGCTCGGCATTCCCAGCTTGGAACTTCACGCATGTAGCGGCCCACTTAACTATATATGTGAGACAATACCCCAGGGTTCGACGATGTCTGTCGACTGTAGGTACCCACTTCTCGCTTAAACTGTTGGGCTATCTTACTTCATCTCTTCTGCTATTCTGCTTTCGACTCCTGCTTCTCTTTTACTCAACGCTCATGGAGGACGCTACCTGGAAGGAGACCCGACCGGGGCGTTGGGAGCGCGCGCAAAGCTACCTCGAGAGGATAAATATACTCACTCGCAATGTTCCAAACGCCATTGGCCGCGATAATTGGGCTAAGAACGCAGTTGCCAAACTCGAATTCCATCCTGAGATCAAAGATCCTGCTGCCTACCTGCAGACTGCTTGGAAACAAGTTCGCTACAACCACCCGGAGATTGCCGCATTCCCATACAACGGTCGATATATCTACCGCGTCGGAGACGAACCATCAATCGCCTTATGGGTTTCGGCGACATTCTCCGTCGTGGAGGGCAAATCTGTTGATGAACTGCTGGGCCGGATTCCGAGAAACGAACAAATGATGTGTTACTTCCTCCCCGACACATCCGAAGTCATGATCTGGTCCCCTCACTATCGCGTCGACGCCCGCGGCGCAATCTTCTGCCTCAATCATCTCGTTGAGTCCCTGGCCAACATGAACCCTAACCTAGTCTTTGGCGGGTGTGCCAAGAACCTGACGCCGAGCATGGAGTTGACGCTTCGCATCGGGCACGAGAAAACACCAGAGATCGAAGCACAAGCCGAAAGCCGTCTCGCAGCACTAGAGCCTCACAAGCCCGCTCTAGAACTGACGCCCACAATCAAAGCGCAGAGGCCGGGATACACTCAGCGACACTTTGTCAAGTTCTCCAAGCACGACACAAGGGCCGTCATGGATAGTTGCGAGAATCTAGCTCTCGCCAACGACGTCGCTCTACATGCCGCCCTCATTAGCGCCGTCGCAAACCTCGCACAAACAAAGGAAGCGCGAAGCTTCATGGCCTCTTTCCACTCCAACCTCCGCAATCTGATCCCAGAAGGCGCAGCTCCCGAGCATTCGCCCACAAGCTACACCAGCGTCATTACCACGGAAGTCATCGTTTCACCGCAAACGAACTTCGATTCCTACTACTCTCAACTCGCACCAGTCTATGCTGCCGGCTATGCACCGTACTTACAGTCATCGCCTTTCTTCCACAAGCGGCTCGAAGAGACGCTGTTCAGTCCCGACTACAGCAAGAAAGGCGAGGCGGACGGACAACTACAGCCGCGCTTTGCTTTCCTTGGCGAGGTAGATGAGCAGGTCGTCAAGGATATCGGCGACGGACTCGTCAAAGTCAAAGACTTCTGGCTGGGCGCCGAAACCCTAACGATGCGCATGATGGTCCACACGTGGATATGGGAGGGCCAACTCGTCCTCAGCGTCTGCTATAACGAGAGCTATTGGGACAGGGATCAGGCGGCGAGTTTGCTCGGTGGCATGCAGGATACGTTAATGGAAGTTGCGCTGAGGAAGAATAAGGTTAGCGCCTAGCAAAATATCGCACTTCGAATCTCACAACATCCAATCCAACCAACGACATCGTCGCATCGGGTGACACTGATCTAGTCGACCCACCGGTTGGTTGCATCATGTCCGTGTCGGTAACTGAACGACACGGGCTGAGCTTGTGAGATACATTGCGTAGCTGTAGCTAGTACGACACGATCATCAACCCATCCTCATTCTCATTGCCAATTCTCCGCTCTCCCTCCTATTCCGTACTACCAAACCTTATCCACGAAACCCACGATGGTGTACAACACCGAAACTCTTCTCGCCATGACCGAATCCGAACTCGCCGACCTCTTCTCTAAAGCCGAAGTCGGACCTATACCCAGCGGCGCGGCAGAAGGCACAGCAATCATTGCACCCGGCACCTCCTTCACGCGCGAAATAGCCAAGCCCATCAACCTTTTCACTTGGCAGGGTAAGTTTTTTCAACGCAGAGAAGATGATTCTTGTAAACAAGATTACCGTATTCGGCCTCGATGCCATCCTAGCTCATATCGCCCGCGAGCCGCGCTGGATGGACGGCAAGGAATGCGTTGTTCTCGATTCCTCGAGGACGTTGGTTGTTGCACATTGGGTGTGCGATGAGATTCGTCCCATCGCGCCAGACTTGTATCTTGGGAGACTGTTTTGGAGTAAGGCGCATCTTATCTGGTTCACGCTGAAGTTCTGAACCGGTTTGCTAAGCGATGATGGGATCACGAGGAGTTATTAGGAGAGAGCTGATTTAATTTTTCGATTCATGCTGTACGGAGATCTATTATGTTGTCACTGTTTGAAATTGTTGGGGTGGGAAAGTTAGAGAAGAAGGTGCTTGGCGCATGGGTATCTGCCAGATGGTGGTATGAACGACGGAGATGATTCCTCTGGCGTAATGCAAGACAATAAGACTATTAGGTCAGACAGTCGAGCCTCCCTCGCACCGAACAAGCAGGAAAACGTCGTGCACGACCTAACTCTAATACAATAAGATAGGGAGTAGCATTGTTTGCTTTCTTACCCAAATATTGAGCGCGCACACAGACTGTCGAGTCTCTTTCTTTGTCTTCCTAGAGTGCCTTGATTTGCTCTTAACATTATTGGAAAGCGATCCAACGTTTTTGCGACGTGCGGTAGAGCGATAGTAGTACTATGTGCTATTTTTAAGCATATAGCAGACAAGTTGTCCGTGTAAAGTGATATTGGAAGGTGCGCGTTGGTGTTCAATGCCAGTTTTCGAAAGCGTACTAACGCGAACACCAAAACCGGGGTAAGGCTTACGGAGGCGCTGCAAGCGTTGTGCTGGCACGGCCGAGCAGCACTAAGTGTCCGGATGCGGTGCAGGTGGCACGCGAGAAGGAAGCTGATGTCTTGCCTAAGAGTCGAGGTACAAACCTAGCCTCGTAAGTAGTTAGATGCGTGATTGGTCAACAGACAGCGTTGATAAAAAGCTAGTATTTGGTTCGTCCGTGGGGTAAGGGTTGTATGCGGAATGCGGGGGATCTAATTAGCGACACCGCGTGGTTGGCTAGGGTTAGGTTGGCCCCTGACCTTTTTCCGGCGACGATCTTCAAAGCCACCGTCGAAGTCTATCTCTCTGGCTAATCTCTTGATACTTCTGCGTCCGAAGTAAGACCACTACTTTCCCGGTTTCTTGCCTGTCTTTAGCCTCGTTCTATCAGCTGTATGCTCATCGGTCGTACTTCCGGAAAGTAAGCCTCTTAGTTGCGTGCCTACGGTTTGATCAACGTGCTAAGACGCTGCAGCCTCGAAACGTCTGAGCCCGCGTCAAGATAGCGTGCAGAGAGTTATTGGGGGCGTCGTGGCTAGATGAGTTGGTGGAGCTAACGTGAGAGACGGCTGCATGTAAGACTACCTAGATATCTTCTATTAAGGCTTAGAGTTTGAACGAGAAACCAGGCGAACCAGGTCTCTCGACATAAAATGAGTTTGGCGCCTTACCGGGCGGTCTTGACCTGAACTTCTTCTTCATCCGCCCGTTCAACGACCTTACCATACTTCTGCCTCGCCATCATTTCACAAAGATGAAGAACCTCTGGCTGGCGACCGTACTGACGGCCGCGACTGCTGCTACCGCCTCGAACGCCACATTCGTACAATGTCTAGAAGCAACCCTTGGCAACGACACCTCTATCTACTCTACACCGGAAGACCCACTGTTCTTGCAGGGAGACGTGAAACCATACAATCTGAATTACCGTACCATTCCGGCCGCGATCGTATTTCCACAGACGCAGGAGCAAGTATCGGGAGTCGTCAATTGTGCGCATACCGCAGGAGTCGCAGTACAGGCGCGCAGTGGCGGCCATAGTTATGCGAATTATGGTAAGGCTGAGTCCAGGAGGAAAGCTCGTGGTCGTGCAGTTGCTGACAATGGCGTCGCATGTAGGGCTGGGAGGATTCAACGGCTCCCTAGTGGTGGATATGAAGAATATGGGTGCTTTCGCTTACAACGAGGCTGATCAGACGGCGACTTTTGGGCCAGTATGTCACCTCCCGATATCATACATATCTAGAGGCTCCTTGCTGTTTCCTCCGCTGACTTGAGCGCCTTGCACAGGGAAACCTTCTCGGCAACCTCTCGGAGAAGCTGCAACCCCTCGGCCGCGTCATGGCATACGGCGAAGTGGGTGTCATCGGCTCGGGTGGCCACATGACCATCGGCGGTCTCGGAACACTCAGTCGCCAGCTCGGACTGGCAGCCGATCAGATCGTGTCGGCGCAGTGTGTGGTCGCAAACGGTTCCATCGTGACAGCAAGTGCAAGCACGAACCCCGACTTGTTCTTCGTTATCCGAGGCGCTGGCTTCTCGTTCACTATTGTTACAGAGTTCACCATGAAGACTGCACCCGCGCCATCGGAAATCACCCAGTATGCCTACAACATCACGGCCAAGGACGCGACGTCTTTCTCAAGCACATTCCAAGCTTGGCAGAAGCTCGTCTCGCAGCCCAATCTCGACCGCCGGTTTTCCAGCACCGTCACTCTAAGCCAGGGCTCGATGATCATAAACGGTATCTTCTATGGATCACGATCCGACTTCGATGCGCTGAACGCCCAGTCCATCATGCCTGCCAATGGCTCAGCCATTCTCGCGCAAAGCACCGTTGCCACGGTGCCGTTCATGGGGCTCGGAGACCCCACCCTAACAGCTACAGGTAGCTTCCCCATCCACTTCTATGCCAAGAGTGTCAAGACGACAAACAAGACACTCATTTCGAACGAAACTATCCAATCGATGTTCTCGTACATCAACGCGACCGAGAAGGGATCACCCGTGTGGCTTGTCATCTGGGATCTCGAAGGCGGCGCCATCTCCGATGTGTCTCAGACGGCTACCGCGTACTGGCACCGCGATGCGCTCTACTTCATGCAGAGCTACGTCGTCAGTCTCACCGGTCCCGTCAGCGATGCCTCCAAGAGCTTCTTGGCCGGCCTCAGCAGCTTGGTGCAGAAGGAAACTGGCGCGGATCAAAGTGCGTACACGGGCTATGTCGACCCTGAGCTTGCGGATCCACAGCAGTCGTACTGGGGTTGTAATGTGCCTCGCTTGCAGCAGGTCAAGGCGGCGCTTGATCCTGATAACGTCTTTCGGAATCCCCAGTCAGTGTCGACTATCCACAACGCTTCAATATGTCAAGCTCAACAGGACCTACCCACTTCGGGCTCAGATACACTAGCCCATTCAGAGCAGTATACTCTGTTGCTTTCCCTCGTTCTCGTAGTAGTAGCGTTCTACTTTTGATTATACGCGACTAAGCAAGTTGTCAGGCACCAGGTTACTCCGGGCCCGTTCGGGCCGGTATGCCAAGCAATCGCAGTATATTAGCCTACCTTACCGCTGTTGTGGCTCGACAGCGGTTCGTCTCTAGTCTTACAAGGCAATATACCTCTACTTCCACTATTGCGGTGCATCTCGTATCTATAAAGACTCTATTGCTTGACATTCGAACCGCTCTCCCTACGATACCTACGTGCACCTAATTTTGTAACAATGAGCTCTAGAGCTGGTCTACCCAGCGCCTTAACTCGCAACTTAAGAAGGGCTAGTAAGCAACGGGTTGACCTAGTAGGGGACGTTACAGACCGCGACTCCCTGAGCCCTCGCATCCTAACACTAGACGTTAACGAGCAAGTTCGTTAGGAAGGGACTACCTTAACCGCTAACGACCTAGGACGCCCTGTTCTAGGCTAGAACACACGGGCACTACCTAAACTAGCTTCTTAGGAAGAGTCTAATACTACTGTTAGGGGGGACGCCCCTAGACAGGATAAGCTAGAACGAGAGCTAGAGGAACTTAGGCGTTAGCGCTAGCGGGAGGAAAACTTCCGCAAGCTAACTAAGCTAAGGGAACTTAAACGCAAAGTGCAACAGGGAGACTTATCTGTCTTTAATAAGGTCTCTCTCCCCGCACTATTACCTTAAAGGGTAGAGAGCGTTACTAATCTAGGCGCCCCTCGCCCTAAGGACCTAGAGACGTTTATAAACTGCAATTACTAGCAGTATAACTGCTAAGCGCGTGACTATAAGGCAATCTTTAGGGGACCGCCCTTACGCTTCGCAACAGACACCTAAAGAGTAGTCTTTAGGATTAGGTTTCTAGACAAAACCGTTAGATCTACCTAGGATATACATCGCGACAACTACCTACAAGAGGACCCCTTTTAGGAGCCTACCTAGGCTTAGCTTAAGGCAGTAATGCTTAACTACCTTAGGCCCTTAGAGATGCGACGTCTCTAGGTTTATAACGACCTAAAACGGCTTAGACAGAGGCATAATTAGGACCTAAACGTCCTTCTAGCTTAACTTAACACACTGTAGAGCGAGATAGAACACGTCTCTAAAGAACAGCGTTGCATAGATTTTATAGGCGCACTCCTCTCTAAGATACAGAAGGAACTTATAGGTAAGGACCCTAAGGATATTAACACAGTATCTAAGGTTAACACAGCAGCACAGTTTATTTAGAACAAGACAAAGCAAACTGCACCTACAGCAGAGCATCTAACCGCGAAAAGGGAGGGCTACGCTAGAACTACACATAAAGATCGTGCAGGGCCCCCTAAGACCTAGAAAAAGGCTAAGAAGGCCTTTACGGGGAACTTTAAGAAGAAGCAACGCAAATCAGACCCTAGCGGCCTAAAAGACCCTAACATAACCTGTTAGGGATGCAATAAACCTAGACATTTCTAGAAAGATTGTCCTAAGCTAAAGGAGGCCTAAAAAGAGTTAGCTAATCCTAAGTTAGGGAAAGGCAGTAGGCAGAGGAGCTAGAGTCCTTCTTGTCTGCCTACATTGTACACTCCCTAGAGACTTAGGATCTAGGGCTCCTTTATAACGTGCTTTACCTAAAGCTAACTAAGTGTTACGGTAACTACCGTAGTTCCCTTAACACTAAACGCGCTACAGAATCCGAGTGCTCCGCTAAGCACCCGAATTCTGCTAATTGGCCGGCCAGGCCTAGCGCCATGCGCACGGCCCCCATCAATAACTTCTTACTGCCTGTACATGCTAATTCTGTTTCCTTACGCAACGTCTTGTATTACACTAGATATCGTACGTAGCTACAATTAACGCTTCTAGTAAGCTCTTAAACACGTGCTCGTAGCATCTTGTAACACTAAGTTACTAACAGCTAAGGTAGCTATTAGCTAATTAGGCTTTATAGAAGCCTTAATTAATAGAGGTGCGTAGTTAACCTTATTTCTGCTATACTTATAAAGGAGTATAACTTAATAGTCTAACTCTTACTAAAATTATTAGTAGAGGGGGTAGATAGTAAGGCGTTAAAGGTCTATAGAACTACAGAGGTTGCTATTAGGATTAGAGACTTGCGTGGAAAGGAAGAAACCTAGAATGTACTATTTATAGTAGCTAACATTTAGAAGTATTAGGTATACTTAGGGTTACCCTAGATAGACATGTACTTGCCTAAGATTAGCTACTCTACACAGAGAGTAATTTTTTAGGGTACAAAGTCTAAGTGTAAGGGGCTACGCCTAAGTACTACAAGAGGCTACGCCGAAGAACTTCCCGCTTATCTATCTTTGTATTAGCGTACAGAAGATAAATACTATACAAGGAGGACGCTACTCTTCTTTTCCTTATCCTTCTTCTTCTGTACATAGGAGCAAATGCATACTCGTTAGCAGGCCTCTTTCTGCCTATAACATTAGAAGAAGGATCTACACCTTCTTTTACTTTAACTCTTCCTCCTCGTACAAGACGAGTTAGAATTAAGGACGATACTCTTCCTGCGCGCGTAGCAAGAATTAAGAACAACTCTTCCTTCTTGTACAAGACGAGCTAGAATTAAGAACAGCTGCTTGTTAAGTGTTAAAAGTTAGCAAGACCCTACCTGTACAATACAAGCACGGGTAGACGACAATACGATAAACTAGGAAGAATTAAGTAGAAGTTAGACAGACCTCCCCCTAGAGAGAAGCTAAGCTCTTAAAGTAGAGGAACTTCGAGACTACGTACGACGACTACAGAACGACCTAAACTAAGCGACCTAAGAACGACAGTCGTACGCTATGTTAAGCTAGCAACTCTAGAGTCTAACTTAAATTATTAAGGATTAGAGGAGGACGCTAAGTGTGCTAAGTCTAGGTAGGACTACTCTACCTACTACGTTAACATTAGGCTAAATCTAAGAGCTTGTACGATACGAGAAACTGCGCCTACTAGACGTAGAGGTCTTTAAGAAGGGTAGTTATAAGGACTACGCCTAATAGAAGACGCGCGTATAAGCGAAGCTCTTTACTAACTAAAGAGCTTACCTAAGCAAGAGTAACTAAGTTTACTATGTAATTACACGTACGAAAGGATAGGCATTTACAGCCCTAAGAACGTACGTTACCGCGATTATAGAGGGGAGGTCTAGCCCCTTGCTGTAGAGTCTGTAGTAACAGCTAGATAGGTTCTTTATTAATCCTACGATTAAGGAGAAGGCAATGTAGTTCCTTTGTACAACAAAACAGGGAAAAGGAGAGCTTGTTCCCTACGTGCAATCCTTTAATCTTAAGTTCTTAGAGGCAGGACTTAACACTACTAGCAACGCATAAAAGATTAATTACCTTAAGAACTTACTAAATAAGAGGCTGCTACGCTATTAGGTAGGCTATTAGCCTCCTGCTAGAGAGACGTACAAGCAGTTTGTTTAGAAGATACGTTTTACCTAGGAGAACCTAAAAGTAGTAGATTAGTATTCTACTAACTACACACCTCGTACGACTTCTCCCCCTTAACCTAGTTAACATAGTAATGCAATAGACTAGACTCCTACTGTTATGGGCGGAAAGAGGCCTGCTAACGAGTATGCATTTGCTCCTATGTACAGAAGAAGAAGGATAAGGAAAAGAAGAGTAGCGTCCTCCTTGTACGGTATTTATCCTCCGTACGCTAATACAAAGATAGATAAGCAGGAAATTCTTCGGCGTAGCCTCTTGTGGTACTTAGGCGTAGCCCCTTACAATACCTCCCCTCTCCCTCTTCCTAGATTGTACGGCTAGTTAAGTTCTAAGTAAATCTAGTTTCTATCGTACGAGACCAGTAATCAGGTAGCTGCCTATTCCTAGCCTCGCGTTTTGTTTGCTCAGTTGTGGGGTTATCAGCAGTGAATTCGTCCTTTACCGTACGATTGTCAGCCTCGCTAATTCCGCTCGTGTAGTGAAGGTAGAATCTAGGGCTCCTCCTAAGGTATATAAGAGCCACACCTCTGCTCTTTCTTAGTCTTTTGTCTTGTTGCAACAACTCCTCGTACGGCAACTTGTTACAATGCCTCTAAAGAACGCTCCTGCTCCCCCTCCTGCCCGTGGCTCCTAGGCTGCTAGCGGCGTCAACTACCTCTCTTTCGCTCTTGGTAGTAACGCCAACAGCTCGTACGCTACGGCTGCCGCCGACATTCAGAATGTCGCTCATGGTCTGCTCACTCGTACCTACCCTAGTGCTGTAGTACCTGTTATTAACGTCGCCGGTCCTATTAACATAAACGACTACTAGGTCTAGTACATCCTCGACAGGGACGTTGCTAGCGAGCTTCGCCGTGTTCTTTTAATGGCCTCCGTACGTATTGCTTAACGTTTCCGCTCCTGTCCTTTTACTTACGTCTCTTAGCCTCCTATCCGCTGCGTCGCCGAGTTCTTCCTTCGTCCTGTAGGAAACTCGCCGTACAACGCTTATTAGGGCCCGGGCAACACTAACTGGTCTCCTCTCGTTGCTCGCGGCACTCTTTACGCTCGCCAAATCTTAACCAGACACGACTCCTACCTTAAGGCCTTTGTCATCTATACCCGTAGTGCTCTTAACGCTTCCCCGTGCTCCAACAACTGCGCTTAGGCTGTACGTAGTAATAAGCCCTTTACCGCTTTCGCTAGCTGCGTATCTATTGCAGGGGAGTAGAATAGTGCTTGCTCTAACTGCGTTTGGTCTAAGCACGGTGCGCAGTGTTAGCTTCCCTGTTACGGAGTTACTAATAGCGGAGGAGCTCTTCTTGGTTCTCGTTCTCATACGGGCGGTCGTGCTGTTCGCGCCCCTTCTGCTAATGCAGAGCAGTTTGTTAATGCTGACGACTAAGTTGGCGTGACTGCTAGTTCCGTTTTCTCCGATGAGATCCTGTAGGTAACTGTACAGCTTGCGTACGAGTTAGCTATGACTGCAGGGCTGCTGTATTAGCTAGGTTCTTCTCTAGTTCCCAAGTAGCTTCCTGAAATCTAACCCATTTCACTAGATACTGTCTTGCT